CTTCCTGCCCCCACACCTTCCAAATCGCAGCGGACAACAAAGAACACTTGCGCCACGAACGTTTCCCTTTCTCCCTATACACACACACACACATATCGCCGGCACACTGCCACCCCATGTAACCTACATCCACACTTGCATCCGCTGGGCGTACCATACCACACCAGCCACCACAGCCAACGGGGATAACAGCACGGTTCAACGACGCCAAGAGATTCTCGGGGCTAAAGTCTTTTAAGCGGCAGTTAGCTGCGAGCTTGGCAATAAGCTTAAGAAGTTGTTGCATGTGGCTCGTGATGCCTTCTGGATTTCTTGGTCGACTAGGGTGGGCTGGATGCTTGTAGGAATGGGGTCTGTTGCAGGAAGTACGTCATTGCAGGATGCGCACCGGGAATCGTCATGAAGGAAGTGGGAAGGAGGAGGTAGATTGGGAATGGCGGTGTTCCTAAAGGAGCGATATCTAACGGATGGGGGAGATGGACGATGGGCGATGGCGCAATTTCTCGGTCTTTTCTAGTTTTGGGGGTGTCGCATGATTGGTATTCGCGATGATACTTCCCATAATGAGGCGGCCAAGATTTGAGCGTCGAAGATCCCTAGACACTTATTTCTCACCGCAAAGTCATGAGGACCGAATCGGAGACAGCATGGAGTACACATGACAAAACACGAGGCATTTGAGACTAAGTTGATGATTTGTTGAATTAGATAATCTGCTGAGCTTTTGACTCGCTTCGCTATACAGTGCCGTCCATATCTTGTCATTGCGACACGAGAACATTTCCCTCATCTAAGAAAGCTCTGTGCTTTATGCTGGTTGCTGCCCATACCGAAAACTCCATGAAATGCGACGAATGTTGGTATCCGCAGATGTAAATAAGCCTAAACAAAGGAAATCGTGAACTCAAAAATGAAACCCAACAACAAGGGAAACCGAACAGGAGGTTCTCATCTGTAACTCCTATTGATGATGCTAGTAATTTTGCGCGTTATGTCGATTTAAGCCATGCTTGCGACACCATGCTTCTCGTCCTCGTTCTTCTCGAACATTTTGTCCTCGAGCCACTTGGTCGCTTTCGCACATTGTGCGTCGACGTATGTGGTCCAGAGGTGGGCGATGGTGTATTCGACGACGAAGAAGATAGGGATAGCAAGGGCCCAGACCAACCAGTTGGTGGACCTGGGGATGTAGTGCTGGATAGCTTCGCCCTGACCGTCCTTTGGTTGCTCGACGTGGTACGGTGCAGTACTGAATCCGTAGATCAGGCGTGCTAGGCCAACCTTCATGACCGTTCCGTGGGTAAGGTATACGGCGAAACTGTTGCGGCCAACCCACATGAAGAGCTTGTTCGAGAACATGCTCTGCAGAGAAGGCGATAGCCAGATTCCGGTGACCATTAGATCCCATCCGATAGCAGTCCAGCGCTTAGGATAGCTTGCTGCACCCTGAGGAATAATCCAGTCCCCAATATTCTTGAGCTGAACAGACCAAGCCGACCACTCCCAGTGCTCTCCGGGGTAGCACGCCACGTACCAGCCGAGGATAATGAGGAATGCGGTCGCGATGCGGCGGGCCTTGACGCGGCTGTTGACGAATTCGCGGAAGCTCTTCTCGGAGCCGAGGTCGCAGAGGATGACACCGTAGAGGAATTGGCACTCGAAAGTTTCTAGCGATGTTAGCGATGAAGTACAAAAGCTGAACTATCAAGACATACCCTTCTCAGGACTGGTGCGCATCCAGTACCACAGGAACAGGACCATGCAGGTAAAGAGGCGCATGCGGAACTTCATGAAGACAGTGGCGAAGAGCAAAACGTAGATAAGGAAGGCACCCTGCAGTAGAGGCAAGAGAGCCCACTGGTGATCATCGTATTCGTTATTGGCACCGGACCAAGACGTCTGGAAGTTCTTGATCAACCGTGGGATTTCCGTGTCAAGACCACCGATGTTGGTAGGGACAGAGCGGCGGAACCAGTGGGAGTCGCTAAGGTGTGCAACTTCAAAAGCACCCAACTGTGCAAAGAACCACGCAATGACCAAAGCAATGGTCGCAGGCATAATCAGTCGCGGTGGGCGACGGAAAGCAGATTTGCCCAGTGTCTCCAGCGCAGCTGGAACATTTCCAGATTTGGCCTGTCGAAGTGGTTTGATGGCGCATACGTAACCGGTGAGAAAAGCAAACATGGTAACACCGATACGGCCTTGGAATGGTAATCGGAGGAAAGGTAGTTGCAGTAGTTGCGGTGCTGCGTTCTCGTTGTCACGCGGTGACCAGAGGCTGTAGTCCCAAGCCCGACATAAATGTGTTACGACAACCCAGAATGAAGCGACTCCGCGAACACCCTTTGACAGTTAGTAGACGCCCATGCCCAGCCAGAGTATAGGTACATACCTCAACCCAGGTAACATTCTGGCGATTGTTGGAAGCCATCTTTCCGGGACCAGTGGCGGGTTCCAGAGGAGTAGCAAGGCTCGAGATGGTGGCGCGCGCGAGCGATAACGGGGCCTTTGCTAGGAAAGACATACGCATGCAGACGACTTAACGACTGATGATGGGATATACAGGCCCCAAGTGATGATGTATAAGAACGCTCAGCGAATGCAGGAAAGCAAGAGAGGGAAGAAAAATGAGCGACAGTGACAGCTATAGAGACTGTATTGGTGTGGGTAGGATCGAACCAAGAAGGAGGTTAAGTGCATTGCAAGGGTGCAAGCAAGTTCCCCCATGCGAAGACGGCATCTCGGATAGGCTCTCTTGGCATGATAGAGATGCGTCGAGAAGGAATAGGGATTTGTGGCTGTCTAATTGGTTTCGGGGCTGAAAGGGGGAACAAGCGCCGAGCCAGCATGGGTGGCCGCGTAATATTCGTCGATGGATGGGAATGTTCCCCACCGGTTTCAGGCCTTCTGTTTCTTGGCAACAAGCCGCTGCATGGACAATTCGCTGTGGCGGTGGTAGTGGCTGCGCCAACCGGGAGGTCGGCACTGCACTCAAGAAAACAAATATATAGATTGTGTTGGCACCGCTGTGGCGAAGGGGGCGGATGCTTGCCTGAGGTTGCGCAGATGATGCATTCTACCCATGGCAACAAAAAAACAACCTTGGACGGGTGGCGCAACATTAGAAGCTAAAGCAGCGCGTCCTCGGATCTCATTACCCACCCTCCACGTTTGGCTGGTGGTTGACAGTGGGTGGGATCGTCGGCGTAGATTAGATGACAGCCGCTGTTTTGTGTGTTTCAACTTTGGAGGCCGCGCAATGTGTGTAGCGCGTATCACCGCAACGTCCTAGCGCGCTTCGACGACAGAGAAGTGCGTATGGGACGACGCGTTGTATCATGCGTAGATTAGGAGCCGAAATGAGGCTCTTCGTGGATAATCATTCTAGCGCCGGCATCGTTACGAAGCCACAGCTGGCTGTCCTAACATGGAGTTGTAGCGACCCCAGAATGCCATCTGTCAGCATGTATGCGCCATTGGATTTTCTCCGTCGACTCAGGTCCCGGGTACCTTGGGCAGGAACACTCGGGAGCTTGGCGGCGTGTAAAATTGTTGGGTGAGATGCGTGATGTCATTATACATGTCGTCTATTTACTGACTGGGAGTGTATTCGCTACACCATGACTGCTTCAGCCCTAGTGGTTCTTCTCAACAATCTCCTTGGCGAAAGCAGCAAAGTCCCTCTTCTCGTCAACCTTCTCCCACAAATTCGGCTGCGTAAACACTGCCAATGTATTCCTCGCTACTTTTCCTCCAGCTGCAGCGCCTCTCACAAAATGGGGCACGGCTTTGAATTTGCCCTTTGTGATAATTTCCAGTGCTTCGCCAGTCTGGAAAGCGAGGCAGTCGCGAGGTATGCTGACCTTGGTGACAGTACCGGTACGGGAGTGAATGTAGAGACCCGCCTTGGGATCCGGTGAGCGGTCGAGTTCTTGAAGAGGCGTAAATGATGCACCAGTTTTTGGTGGACTGGCCGCTTCGTCGACAAACATGGCCGAAGTGAGACCAGTCAGACAACCATGATCGAGATGGGTGGCACACCAGTCGTCCTCGTCACCGCTGGATGTGCCGGGGGCAGATGAGGGACTGGGGAAGTAATGCAGTAGTCTGGCTTTAGTCGAGACACTTGTCTTGACAACGTGCTCAAGATAACCTTTCTGGTAGCCATCAATATTGGCTTCGGCGTACTTGTCGCAGGCACGGGCAACCAATGCGGCTATGTCGATGATGAGAGTACATAGCTCGCGGAAAGTTTCTTCGAAGCCTGGGAGAAGCTCTTGGGACGGCCAGACGTTGGGCGCAGTGTATTCTGGGAAAGACGGGTACTTTTCAGCGAATGTCTTCTGCTGCTTTTCGAATCCAGTGGCACAGTTGACGTAGTATGAGCCCTTGAGGGTATCATATCTGCCGTCTTTGAGAGTCTCTTTCCCACAGCTCCAGCCAACAAGCCACTTGGATGCTGGCGATTCGAGTTTGGCTAGTGGGCTATTAGTGTCATTATGGCCGTGGTATTTGAGAATGTCACTTGCCTAACTCGTCTTCTGGTAGGTTTCCCAGAGCAGAAGCATATGACAATAATTTATGCCGCAGCTCATGGAACTTGGAAGGCAGATCTTTTACAACAATGATACCCAAGCTAGACGACCCAAACGCATCTTCAAGTAGCGAAAAATCTACATCATCTACAGAGCCATCAGCCAGTATCGGGTACGGTCATGCTAATGGCACTCACTATTCTTCAGAGCCTCGAGACCCACGGCCACAGCACTCTGGTTCACTGCAGCGTTAGCGTTGGCCATTTTAGTCGTCGAGCAGAATACAGGTATTGATGATCTTATTCCCTACGTAGTCTGCACTGCTACTTTTATCGTGATCTCGTAGTGTGGGTTTGGTCTCGTCTGATCCGAATCTCGACTGCACCTGCCTGATTCGCTTCAGCCTCGGCCAACTCCGATCTCTCAACTCCGACGCCTAACCACCACCACCGCAGCGCCATCACCATGCCCAAGGCACTCCACTTCAAAGGCGACAAGAAAGTCAAGAAGCGCAGAAAAGCTGCCGACCCGTACGATGTCGATGAGAAGCCCTCGAAGCAGCTCACCACGAGCGCGCCTGCCGAAGCTGAGAGTGACGACTCTTGGGTGAGCGCGGATGCGCCCAGCGACATCTCAGGGCCAATCGTCATTGTGCTGCCTACCGATACACCGACTACCTGTCTCGCATGCGACGCGAATGGAAAAGTCTTTGCAAGCGAACTCGAGAACATAGTCGAGGGCGACGTCGCGACGGCTGAACCGCATGATGTGCGCCAGGTCTTCGTTGCGAATCGCGTCGCTGGCACCGAACAGCTCAGTCTGAAGGGCCATCACGGAAGGTAAGAAAGCTTGGAGTATACTGAAGCAACGCGACTCATTTGTCGTAGATATCTGAGCTGTGACAAGTTCGGCGTCCTAAGCGCAACAGCAACTGCCATCTCCCCCGAAGAAACCTTTGTCGTCATTCCTGTACCCGACAACCCCTCTGCATTCTCGCTACAGACTGCGCGCGACAACTTCCTGACCATTGACGAATCAACCGGAAAAGCCCCAGAGCCACGAGGCGACGCAGAACACATAAGCTTCAACACCACTTTCCGCATACGCATGCAAGCCCGCTTCAAGCCGCGACTCAAGGCGAGCAAGGAAGAGAAGGCAAACGTCAAGATTAGTCGCAAGGAGCTGGAGGACCAAATTGGCCGACGTCTGAACGATGCTGAGGTCAAGAAACTAAGGAAGTCGAGGGTGGAAGGGAACTTCCATGAGACAGCCTTGGACATGAAAGTCAAATCTAGCCACGACAAGTATGCCAGCATGTGAAGGCCTTGAGGTATCAGCCATGGTACCTCAGTAGCAACAAGGCATTGCGTTGCTGCATGGTGCTGCAATGACACCCCAAGCCAACCTTGGCGTCCACAAGCAACGGCAGCACCCGCGTCACACCATGCTGTGCATATAGCCGATCCTATGGATGCGACACTGCACGGCCACGTAGCCTTTATGCGCCACAACTTGGAACTGGTTTCGAAACGTCACGCGCCACAACTTCGTGGCTGGGCATAGCCTAGTACTCGACCACCTAAGCCCGTCGGTACGGTTGAACGGCAACTTGTCTTATCTCAACAATACACCACGGACTTTCAGAGAGCCGCACGGGATCATTTTGCTTGTTTCTTTTTCGGCAGATCCCGTATCAGTAGCCAAAATAATTGAACACGTCTTGTGTGAAACCTTGTATGCAGTCTTTCTTTTCTATCGCTTTCTTTTAGTCTGGCCGCTTTTTGCCAAGACATCCGACTGTGACAAGCCAAGAAGCATGATCTGCGTTCAGCTTCGAATGAGTGGTGCTTGAGTAACAGGCTGAATAAAGCATGTCATGTCACATTACCGACTCGATGAAATCTTCACAAAAGACGCATACGGTAAGGAACAAGTCTGTATTCTAGCAACTCGGTCCATGGTCTATTTTCTGTTGATGCAGAACATAGGCGGAACTCTTGTGCACTTATCATGTGACCGACTGACTGAAAAACCCTGACACCCAAAGCATAATGAATGAATCCCATATTACTGTCTCATAGCAAGTATATTCCTCCATCTCCCGATCCCTTCCGGCCTATCAGTAGTTTAGACAAAATAACCGCTGAATCATTACACCGACATCTTAGTTCTTCTCAATCTCTTCGACTACAGCTTCAACTCTATTTTAGCTAAACAGGCAAATTCCTCAGTACGATGTCGTCTAAACATATTCACTGTGCCTCTCGGAGGAATACCTACATGCTCGTCGCCAGCCTGATAGCAATATCCACGAAGCGCTTCGGCTTTTTGGGCTTTGAGATGTTGACTTAACAGAAAATGAAAACGGGGTCCTTACTAGAGGCTCACTTCGGTTTGATGATCTACCAGTCCTCCCATACATACGAACTACCACGATTTGAATTGGAAGACCTGTCTCGTCGCGAGCCGCGCAAGCATGACAACGAAAGGTGGTCTCCATAATCATCTGGGCTGCACGTAAAGATGACACAGTTGGGTTTGTCACCTGGCTCGCAGAACGGCTGTACAGTGTGAATATCACAATAGTGCCAAAAAAAGTTGCGATTCAGGATAGTAAGTCTGTAAATGCTGGAAGTCGGTGAACTGCCGCGTTATGAAATGGAATCATCTTGTTTCACTCACTTGAATCTAGATTCGAGCTCCAAGGTCATGCGCTCCGCATTCGGGGTCAGTGAACATACGCAATAGCCCTGGTACACAAGATCTAGCGGACAAATCAGCGAGAGCGTTCACGTGGAAAGCACATTGGACAAACATGCCTCATTACCGCAACTAAACATCCCCACCATATCAACCGTGGTTGAACATCTCGCGCCCAAATCTCCCTGTAATCTAATCCACATTGCAGACGCATTTAAATATGTCCACTTGCAATGCCCAAACCTCAATCTTCTCACCTGAGCATCCCGCCACTACAGACGCCCTGGAAAGCTTCACGGCTGCACAACAGATCGTAGATATTCGCACCATGACCGGCCAGTATGTCGAAGAAGACTGGCACCTCACCAACAGTATCACACCCGTGCTATGCTTCACCACTGCCGTATTATACGCCCTCTATATCCTCTCTTTCCCGCCACCTACGCGCCTCTACCGCAGACTCTCCATCCTCATCCTCGCAATACCAACATGGTACGCATTCCGGTACTCGGACCAACTCTGCCCGAACTACAACTTAGTCGACACTTTTGCGCGGACATGTCTGATATGGTTCGCGCACATGAGCTACGAGATCTGTGTCGTGGAATTTGCGCCAGTTCTATCAGAAGAGAAACATGATATGGGAGAGTGGGAACAAACGAAAGAGAAAGTCAGACAGGGATACAAGGTACTTTTTGATCGGAATCATACACAGGTTCTCCAACAGCAACAAAGACACCACATACCGAGAAACCCCGATGAGATTTCAGCAACAATGGAAAAGGCAGGGGAAGAGCAGTACACGGAGACTGACAAGAAGACCGACGAACCTGTCATGTCAAGCACTCGTGTTCAGCAGGGTGTTGCGCTGCCGATGGGACACCGCCACGGCTACTCGCGCTGGGGATTCGTCAGCTACCATATCCTCAAGGGACTCTTTTACTATGGCCTTGGATACGTATATAATCTCTACGAAACATCATACTCTCCCCTCGTTGAACCCCCCACCGTATACATGACACCGGAGCTTGCATCTTATTTCCAGTGCTTCGCACTGTCTGTGAATTACCAAGAGCTATTCTGGCGCTTAGAGTTCACATTTGACTGGTGCGTAGTATCCTTGTGGCAGTACGAAGGCTATCACAGTATGTTCGCCATCTTCTACGTCGGTTCGGGGCTCGACGGACCGGAGGAGTGGTCTACAGCTCTCTTTGGTCCGTTTAGTAACGCGTGGTCGGTGAGACAGTACTGGGGTAAGCATTGGCACAACTATGTCTATCACTCCTTCTCAGGCCATGTCAAATGTATGACGCGGGGCTGGCTGGGTATGAAGCTTGCGGACTCAACCCGATTGATCGAAAACACGCTCGTCTTCCTTGGTTCCGGGCTCATGCATTCGCTCGTGCGGTGGCAGCAGGCTCCCTGGGGCGATTGTTGGGGTATTGCCTGTTGGTACGTTGCGCAGATGCTACCTATGATCTTCGAGTGGGGTGTGGCGACTCACTGGAGCAAGGTGCGGAGGTGGTTAGGGTTCAGGGCGGATACGAGATGGTTGAATCGCGCGGAGTATGCGATTGGGTACTTGTGGGTCGCCTTCTGGTTCTTGTACAGTGTGCCCAAGTATTACGAAACGAGGATTGCATGGACGGATGCAAAAACGGTTAAGAAGTTCACGGCAGAGTTGGAGGCTGCTCAGGCTCTCAACGAGACAGACGCAGATTGATAGAGAATAGACAGGGGTCGAAGCTTCAGCATGCGAAAGGGAACGACCAAGTTTCATGTTATAGGGTAGATTGGCAAGCGATAGATAGAAAATGGTCGAATCTGAGCTGTCGTACAACATTCAGTTCTTCATCATACGTATCGATTGCATGCATGCATTGATAACTCTGTAATCGAGTGTTGGATTTTGAAAAGCTAGTCGGAAACCAGAGGTATAGATCTATTTGGGTAATACAATTATTCAAGTCAATCGGCATCTACAACGAGACTTCGACGTGCTGGCTGCCGGCTGGATCGGTATAATGGCGTACGGCGTACGCCACTTATCGCGCAGTCCAATAGAAAATTCACACCATTGTCAAGATATGTTATCGAAGGCTGCATGATGATGTAAAAGTATCTTACTTCATTCTTACTGGTATCATTAAACTATCGCTAAATATTTCATTACGACGCCGGCACGTCTAGTACCTGGTCAACTTAGGGCTATCCTTCGACGCTGGGAAACTCCACTTGGTCTCAACAAAGACCTTCTGCATGCCATCCTCCTTCTTCTCGAACTTGTAGTAGACCTTGTCCAAGTCCTCAAGGCGGACGCGGTGGGTAACCATCTTCATCGGGTCGATGCGCTTCTCCTGGATCATCTGGAGGAGAGACTCCCAGTACATGTGAACGGGTGCCTGGCCGTTACCGATGAGACGGATACCGCGCTCCATAAGAGAGCCAATGTTGAAGTGGTTAGTGAAACCGACGTATACACCAGTAATACCACAGCGACCCATGTTGCGTGTGCTGGTAATCATCTCGTTGATGATCTCGCTGGTGTCGGTCTCGAGACCGAGCATCATCTCGAAGTAGTGTGCCCAACCCTTGGCGTACTCACCGGCAGCACACTCAATGCTGACGTCTGGGCCGCGGTTGTTGCACATCTCCTTGAGCTTGCTTGTGACTGACTCGCCCTTGGCCAGTGTGGAGAAGTCGAGAGTGTCGACGTTGGGGTATCTGGCCTTGATGAAGTCGAGACGCCAGTTGGAGTCGATCATGATGACCCTGGATGCGCCTTGCATCAAAGAGAAGTCTGCAGCCATTTGTCCAATCGGGCCGGCTCCCCAGATGGCGACTACATCTCCCTTGTTGACACCAGTGTCAACAACCGCGTGCCATGACGTGCACAAAACGTCAGAAAGGAAGAGACCCTGCTCATCCGGGACGTCATCGGGAAGCGGGAGTAGGTTGACATCGCCGTATGCTACACGAGTGTACTCTGCTTGACCTCCAGCGTATCCACCAGTGAAGTGAGAGTAACCGAACATGCCTGCTGTCCGACCGCCGTACATTGCGTTCTCAATCGTGTTCGAGTTGGTCTTCTCGCACTGGGAAGACAGCTTCTGTTTGCAGTAATAGCAGTCACCGCAGGCGATCTGGAAGGAGGCAACGACTCGTTGACTACAGTCTGTTAGCGATGCGCTTGTTCAAAAACATAGAGACATACGTACCCCTTCTTGAATTTGGTAACCTCGGAGCCGCACTCATCTACAACACCACAGAACTCGTGTCCGAGAATGTCACCCTTCTGCATCTCTACGACGCTGCCGTGAAGCAAATGCAGGTCAGAACCGCAAACTGTGGAGCCAGTGACCTTGACGATAACATCGCGAGGCTCTAGAATCTTTGGCTTGGGTGTGTCGATCATTCGAACCTCGTTCTTGCCATACCACGCCAAAGCCTTCATTGTCTCAGAGTAGTCGGCTGTGCTCTCATCGTTACCGGGGTTGGAAACATTTTGCGCAGTAGTGGCGTTGTCGCCATGGCCAATAACCTTCTCGGCCTGGCGGGCTGCTTGGGACATCATCTTGGGTGGATGTTTGATGTGTGACTGTATATGTGGAGGGTATAAAAGTGTTCCGAGCTGGGAGAGTATCCAATGGAGAGAGGAATGGAGATGGAGAAGCTACGAGATGCGCAGAGTGTCTACCTTTTCAATGCTAACAGAGACAAACCCGATGACATATTACCAACATGTGACGTTGAATTTGCAGCGCTCTTACAACTACCGCGAACCAGAAGATTATCCGCCCCCTTGTACATGCGCTTGGAGGGGCTAGTCCAACGTCATGACACGCTGTGGAGGGGTACAAGTCCGCTCTACGCGAGCTGAACAGGCGTGAATTTGGAAATGCCATGTGCTGGCGCAGATCGACGTTGACGACGGGAATCTTGATGAGCGTCATGGCGATGTCATGGCGGGGCAACACGCGTTTCGCGTTTGGCCGTTAAAGCTAGACAAGGAGCTATGGCCAGAACATCGAGTATGCTCGGAACGGCATTCGTTCTGCATACAGAGCTGTTGTCGTATTAAGGTCGGGGTGTTGATATGACGGGCAAACGGGATTAGACGTGGCGTGCGCGAGCGAGAGGCATGTGGAGTCGACCCTTCCGAGCTTGCATGGAGGCATACAGGTTATACGAGCGATGAACTTCAAGCCAGCGGCAATGCGGGGACTTATATTTTTACGACTGAGGACCATGATGGCGGTTCGAACATTCAGATGATTGCTATACGCTGAGACTTTGGAGAGTCAATGCCTATTAGACGGGTGGGTGGACGGACTGGGTAGTTGCCGACGCAGGTACAGAGGCTTCTTTTGTTGCCCATGTACGCCAGCATGAAGAGCGTTAGTAGTGGGACGAGTAGGTGCAATTCGGCCCTGATTGACTTCATCCTTCTGCATTATAGCCTAGTCAGCTACGCAGCTTCACATATCCATGGGGCGTCCTCTGCTTGATAGTAGCAAACGACCCAAGTCTAACCAGCCGTTTAACGCCAAAGCGAAGCAAAGCATCATGTCTCAAAGTCGCTCGCAAAAGACATCACCCAAGCCGAACGACTAGGCTGTCTCGCGACAGACAGCTCGTTGATTGAAGTGTAAATGGCAACCTTAATAAATACCGATGCCAGGCTCGGGCTCAAAAGGAATTGTTCAAGTTGTTCAATCGTACTTCTTCCTCAATCCAATGCACAAGGCACTAGAATCAATGAAAAAGCCGCAGTGGCAGACCAGCAAAAATTGCCCCGCTGAAGCCCCCGAAGGAGATTCATGACAACACCACACCCCGCTGTGCAATGGAGGCGACGTTGTCAGACCATCAAAAACTTGAGCTTGATGAGTCGCAAGAAGGTAAGTATGCAGAACAAGACTTCAAGGCGAGCTGCAATAAGTAGACAGGTAGGCTTGGCACGCTATTGAGTCATGTGACTATGCACAGATGCTCTGCGCTCGCTTGACGGGTATACTGCGGGCGCCGGCAGAGCTTGGACAGTCCGAGCTGTGAAAGTTCTCTCACCTCAATATTTCATCCATTGCTTGTCCTCGGCGTGCCGTGACAGGCATGTTTCAGAGAAAGGTAAGTTCACAACATTCCATTTCACATGCAGCTGCCTACGCTGCTTTTCAGCGCTCAACGGGCGGATTGATATCCGATATTATTCCTGTCTCGAGCTCTGTTAAGCTTCGCATGCCAGCCCATACCCTTTCCTATGATGATCCAAAACAACCTTAGAACCGTTGCGAATGACGCCTTCGGGCGGTTGACTTCACCATACCCTTTACTGAACCTCTCTTCATTAAAACCTTGTTACAAGACAATCTCTGTGACTGGAAGCTAACGAAGCAAAGGAACCATGAGTCGACCAGCCTTGAACTTTCTCCGCCCATACCTTCACCAGGCTAGTCGTTCCATCAGACCGGAACATGCGCGAGCATACCTCTCTGTTCAGCGGCGGTTTGCTCAGAGCCTAGCCGTCGATGCATACACTGGCCCACATGATGTAGAGAAGCAGAAGCGTTTGGAGCACTTGGGCAAGGTGAAGCCCTTAGGCGATTACCATCCCAGGTTGGTTTACTCCACGGATGCTCAGAATTTATCGATACGTGATTTCAATGCCAAGTACGATGGCATCCAAGAAACAACCCCTGATCGTGTGTCTGTGTTTGGTATGACAAACCACCCGTGAGCACCAGTCCGGTTCTGACAGTGTCAGGAAGGGTGCGCTCAGTGCGGCTACTTGGCTCCAAGTTGATGTTCCTCGATATCGAACGCGACACACAGCGATTGCAGGTCATGGTGGAGTTGAAGAAGCTCACAACCCGAGATGACCTTGATGAGAACTTTAAGAGCTTCAAGAAAGTCGCTAGAATTGGTGACTGGGTGTGTAAGTGATAGAATTGTCAAGCTTGACAACAGACTCTAATGACATGAAGCCATCAACGGTAATCCTACGAAGACATCGAGTGGACAGCTCTCAATCCTCGCCCTCGACGTACCTCAGATCCTCGCGCCATGCCTTCACCACCTACCAGAAAGGATTGATGATGCCGAGACACTTGCGCGACGACCACACATTCACGCGCTTACGAGCGACGAGCCTGGCGATGTTCTTCGACTCCGGGCGCTGACATATGACTATGTGCGCACGTACTTTATACAGAGCGGGTTTTTGGAAGTGGAAACACCCATGTTCGACGTCAACGCCGGAGGTGCTATTGCGCGACCCTTTGAGACTGTCGCAAACGAACTGTCAAACACTCCTATAAGGCTCAGGATAGCACCTGAGCTCAACTTGAAGCGGTTAATCGTTGGAGGACAAGACAAGATCTTCGAGATTGGACGTGCCTTCAGAAATGAAGGTGTGGATAACACGCACAACCCAGAGTTTTCAACTTGCGAGTTCTACGAAGTTGGCGCGAACCTACCCACAGTCATCGCCAGGACAGAGCAGTTGGTACACGGTCTCCACACTGCGATTGAGTCATTGAGGTCGACGTACTTCCCTACCCTACCGGCGCCGGAAGAAATCGACTTCGCACAGCCTTTCGCTCAGCTGCCCTTCATACCTACCATCGAGCAAGCCTGCGGTCGCAGGCTGCCTGATTTATTGTCACCGAATGCTTCCAAGGAGCTGCTACAGTTGTTCGATGAGCTGGACCTCGCCATTCCGCCCAACCCCACTCTCCCACGTCTACTTGACTCTCTTGCCGAGATATACATCGAGCCTCTCTGCAAGAACCCAACCTTCATCACCCAACACCCGGAAGCACTCTCTCCACTCTCAAAGTCATACGTGGACGAGGTCACTGGGCAACGTGTCGCATCTCGTGTGGAGCTCTTCATCCATGGCCGCGAATACGTTAACGCATATGAAGAGGAAAACTCGCCGTTTGAACAGCGTCGCAAGTTCATTCAACAGCGTGACTTTCATCCAGAGGGTGAGGGCGCCATCGACGAGAGTTATCTCGAAGCATTGGAATGGGGTATGCCGCCGACTGGTGGTTGGGGGTGTGGGTTGGATAGACTGGTCATGCTGTTCGCCAGCAAAAAGAGGATTGCCGACGTGTTGCCTTTTGGCACATTGCGAAATGTTGTTAGTATTGCCAAGACAAAGTGAGTGGCATCCATTCGCAGTGAAGATAGATTGTTTTAGAGGAAATGTACCCTGTTGAGTATGTAGTGATCTGGTTACTGTAGCACACTTTTGCGCCACATTATGTGCAACTTTTGGACCAATACAGCTCTACTTCCAGTGATCAGCCCACTCCCTTTCCATCGCTGTCATGTTATCCTTAATAATAGCCGCTTGCATAGCCTTCTCGCTAGCCTTGGCCATTTGGGCATTTGTCATAGTCCAATCGATCTATGTTATCGTTAGTCTTGTTTTACTATGTCACAACCATATGCCGATCCGCTTAGTACTTACTGGTGGCCCGATCCATCCACTAACATTCCACTGTATACTGGCCGTCGTAGCCTGCGACTGAGCAATCCTCATCTGACTCATATGCATATTCTCCTGCATTTTCAGCTGTTGATACTCTTGTTTCATACGTCCGAGCTGAATGTTTAACTCTTGCATCTTGTTGTTCCGTGCCTGTAGCTTCTGCCGGAAGGTCGATAAGTCGTTGGTGCGGCAGACATCTGTAAAGTAGGACTGAAGACGGGGAGAGAAGAGATCACACATGAAGCCATTAGGGTGTGGTCCTTCAGCTTTGAGCTGCGAGAGGATCGCTGGTTGCGGTGAACTGGAGTAGAGAGGTTCCATGTATTTGAGGTAGCAATCCTCGCAGGCGGTGAATTCGGATCCCAGAGATTGGAAGCTGTATTGCTTCTCTCCTGTGACCAACTTTCCTTTCTGGCAAGCGGGGACTGGCCCCCATTTCTTGACGAAATCAATCAGTGGTGTAACATCCCGCGTCTTGGTTTCTAGGGTGCTTTCTGCAACGCTAGCGATCTTGTCAACGTACTCTAGACACCGTTGTTGACCATCTCCTTGAGTCATAAGGTCGCAAGTCGCGAGTAACGCTTGCCCGTCCGCAACGGGCGCAAACAAGGGCTTTAGGCAAGGGAAAATGATGTTGATATGCGCGACGCAGTCTGAACAGGCAGTCATTTCTTCGACCAGCGATCCGTTCTTCGGATCCCGGAGACAGTACCATGTCCTCGTTACAGCTGGTTTCCCGCCTTTCTTGACTTCTGGATCCTCCATATTGAAGTTCGGACAGATACCATCCTTGTCCCTTTGGATGCTCGCAATCTCGCCCAGCAAGCTAAGATCAGGCTGTCCCTGTTGAAACAGCCACATATAGGCTAGTCTCACCCATAGTAACGAGAAATCACACATATGGTGGAGTTGGTAGTTCGCCGGTTTGGTGGGTTGTGCAGAAATAAGGGAGGCATAGCGGGTACCGCGGAAAGACGTGTTAAAACAATCGGGACAAATGTCTATCAACCTGTTAGCGCAAACGTCAATCTAGAGTAAGACGTTGAACGCGTTGCCGCCTACATAGGTAGGAGAATGTTAAACAATGTCTTACACCTGCCTATGTAGGCCGCAGGGTGTTGCACGCTATTACTATGCTCCTCTACCTAAGCTAATGTATACGACAGAGACAGAACGTACTATTGAAAGTTAGTAAATTGTCTTAAATACCATCTGTAACGTGAGTTTTACCCAAAATTTGGGATTGGTCTTGGTGAACTAACTTGCAGCCAGTCATTATGTCCTTGTGTGAAGCTCGACCGTCCGCACAATCCAAATTTTGGGTGCTGTTTAGTCTGTGGGGTCGCTGATTGTGAAGACGAGGAATCTCGAGGTGGAAGAGGTGGGGGCCGAACTAGAGGCATGTTCGGTACAGGAATATGTCTAACTGAATAGAGCCGAGTGAAAACCGCCAGTAAGAAATTTGACAGTGAAAACGATGCTTCGGTACAGTGGAAGAGACCATCTATCCATCTGGCGTGTTTTTGAATACCTCTAGGCTACATAATGAGTAGCTTGCCGAGGCCCTCAGCTGAAGAGGCTGAAAAGTCGTCCGAATACGATACCGGTCAAGGACAACCCCACAATGAGCGCCCAAATCAAGGCCATCAAAATGCCACGCATTTCGGACCTTCTACATGCGGTGCGTATCGAAGTGCTTAGTGCATGGGAAGCGAAAGGATTGACGGGTTGCGGCCCACTGGGTCATGGACGGAGTAAGGTCAACAACAGCGGCTGATGAACCCATACAATTAGCAATAGTGATAGCAGTGTATGCCGATGATGGTGAGAATCAGTCGTAATGGTAACTTTTGTGGCATAGCGGTAGACGCACGATCTGTTCGGCAAGAGTTGTCTGAGCTGACCTCGGTAACACCACGCCATTGGTTACAGATCTCGCCTGCCCTTCTCCAGAATCAAGAGTACAAGCAGCCACGCTACTTTAGCTCAACAAGGCTTGTATCATTTTGTATAAGTTAAACGAACGTGAAGTGCCGAAGAGACATTCGGTCGACCACCACCCGAGTTAATGCAGTTGGGCACCTGAGGTTCATACTAGTTCCGAGGCTTACTTCACGGCGAATTACAATCGTATCATACCAAGAAAATGATTTCTTCCGAGCTGTAGATGACACTAAATTGTATCTTGAAGGTAACAACAGTCTCCCACGTGTAACTTTGGTAATGTAAAAGATAATGTATACCCCTAGAGTATGCTTTACTACAAAGATAATACGATCTACTTCGTACATAGGTGCTAGTACGGTAAACTCACACCAAAGGTGGATTATTGCAACAAACAGTGCCACCAAGCGACACGTGACATCTGTCGTCGTTCACCTGCTGGTGACCGTCCACGTGGAGGGGTACAGCAGCATGAAGGTTCGATGTTCCACCACCTTTAGAACGACAAGAGCGTACAGCGTCAGTCGCGCGAGGCTGTACACACATTTGTATTTGCCCAAGGCAGACTGTGACAAACAGAATGTTCGACTTCTAAACGTTGGTGTGTTCTTTAGGGCTGACGGGCGTCACAAAGCACCTTCCATGGGTTGCAGAAGCGCCCGGCACGGGAGGGAGTGTTCCTAAAAGCGGAGCCCCTCGGAGATTTCATGCTATGGATAGCGTTTTGAAAAGAGCGGTGGCTTCAGATCTCATTATCGTGATTCGCATAGCCTCCTGAACGGTGAGAGTCCGCAAAGTCGGTCTGGCCTGACATAAGAAAAAAAGAACCACAAGGCATCGTAGCAGTTGGTGGAGTGAACCCCGCTTGTTGGAGGTCACTGCAGCATTCAGTGACAAAGCAATTGTAGATCGAGATGCCTCTGTATATGCCATTGTTGGTGGACCTCGCTTGTGTGCTCTTCCTGTTTAGGGTATTGACAATCATGAGGAACAAAAAACGCCAGCTTTTCGGGTAGCCATCGTACCGGCACATTGGGATGTCGCGTGGCAGTTGCTAGTCGGGGTTGCTTTCAGGCCGCCCTTTGTCATGACTTTGAATGCTTGAATTTATCTGTATGCCAGTACCCGATCGAGTATAGGTGCCGTTGGTGGTGGAGATGTTTGCCAAAGAGACGATGGGAGTAAGCGCCGATAAGGTGAGAGCGGGGTTGCTTCGGTTGGATATCTGCGCAAAGCTATCAACGCAGGGTGGGGCACCAAGTATGTTTGACACCTTCTTCGAAGCAAGACCATTACTAGTAGACCAACGTAGCGTGCCTTATGGTGTTGGTTTCGATATCGCTCACATATTCAAAATTGGGGGTAGTTGGTCTCGAGAGCATAGTCTGATCGGCCACCAACGTATGTGCAGGAAATTATGCAAGCCGAAGCTGCAGCCTCCTGTCAGTCATCTGGGAGATTATTTTGTACCTGTCGGTCATACAAAGGCCGAAAGAAAGACCTGTGCTTCACGGCGCTTATTGGCAAGCCGCCTTGGGCGCGGCTAATGTCAAACGCGGGAGCGGCACAGGTCGCACGAAGAAGGGCAGCTGGTGCCTTTGTGAAGATGGACAAGGTGGCTGCCTGTAGGCGAGTAGGTTAGACTAATAGAAAATATTGGAGATACACGCGGCGGTGGACTGTGGTAGGTTGGGGGAAGGGAAAATTCTGTGCTTTCGTGCCCAAGTCGAAAAGTTGGGGGTGCAATTGGCCAATCTGAGCTTCCGAGCAGATGGTAGCCGGAGACGCTGGCACGCTTGTAGAGTATGGAGATGAGCTAGCGGATATGTGATACCGATGACGATCCTACAGATATAGCAAGAAGAGGCTCTTGTAATGCCATGTGTCTACGGACCGTTGCGCGGAGGAAGTCATCACACTATACCGATATTCATTTGATGCAAGTCGGCCACGTCGACGTCTATGGGGCCGGAACTGGAGACAGAGCAAACGGTACAACGGGCATGTTGACTGTGCCGCACACACTGCTGCTGTCTCAGCGCACCTGATAGAGCATTTTGGAGAAGGATGCATTAGCGTCCCATGGAGGCCTGGCCCTAGTCGTCTGCAGCAACGTTCGCCATCCATCTGAGGAACTAACGCTGGGTGAATAGACGATGCCAAGGGGCTGCTTACCCACGCTTTGGGGGGAACCGCAGCCGTTTGTTCTCTCTGGGACGGCGTCGGAGTAGTACAACAAATCGAAGGTGTTCGCACCAGTAGACGGCATATGGGCCCAGGTTCCCAGCGATGGCTGTTCTAGAGGATCCAGTGTCATGTCTCTGGCACGCACGGCGCGGGATCGCTCAGCATGCCCGCAATCTAGCGTGGCCCTGGGCGCTTAATCTGCAGTTCATCCCTGAAGCTTAGTAGCTCCCAGGGCGGCGATTCGTCTGATGCGCCAAGTGGTGGTGGTGAACGGACAGGTGTTGTAAGCGGGCCATGGTGCACGGTCGGGCGAGCATGTTCGCTGCTAGGTACACCAGCTTGATGCCGCCTGCGCTGAGAGTCTCCACCGAGGCAGAGTCGCTGTGTTGAAACAACGACACCACTTTACACGCCGTACCTTGAGCCTCTTCCTGGCAGCTGGCCTGCTCTGATAAGCCTCGTCCCGTCCTTCTTTACCGTAGACGCAAGCGCTCTCGTCGCCCACCCCTTCGCGCCGCGCATTCCCTTCTGATTCGTGACTCGCCGCTCAGCCTCGCCAACATCGTCGTTTGAATTGATAGGCAGCCGATTTGGAGACCGAAATCTTTTTCGATTGTGTTTTCCGACCGCAGCGCAGATCCGGCACAGCTCTGGCGCAGCATCTGTTGTGCCCTCCTAAAGAGCAGCGTGAGGCATGGCAACCGCGACGCAGCTTATGCCGTCACCGAGTGGCCTAAAGTCCATGTCGGCATTCAGCCCCTACACGGACTCGCCCAGCTCGCCGGGCACTTTTGCCCAAGTCTTTTCAAATAGGTGCGACACCCTCGCCTGGAGAGCATTGGGGACTGCGGGCTAACATGGACTCTCCAAGATCCTCAGGACACACGTCTGATCACCTCCAACCACCACCTAGCCCGTACCCGGCTTCCGTGGACCCATCGCCCGTCGACAGCAATGGCACGAGTCATACAGACCACACTGAGGTAAATCATGCCGTGGGTGGATACGGGAACACGCGGGGCTGACCCCACTACAGATTGAAGAGGATGCCCAGGTGAACCACCCGAGCGAAGATGGCATGAGCGAGATTAGATCGCCGGGCACTGACGACATTGTGAGCCCGGCGAGCCAGGACGGTCAGACAAAGGTATGATATCATGTCAACATCTCCATGGCGCCCGCACGCAGTCATCTAACACGCGACAGCCCCATACCCATAAGCTCAACACCGCCGTGCGCAGGGCAGACTCGGACGAGGCTCCTCCGTCTGTCATCCATGCACCAGATAGCTTCAAACAATTTGTGAGTGTCATTCCTGTTATGGCCGCACTACATGGCTGACGTGGGAGCCAGAGCCGGATGAGCACGTCCGGCGCGTCGTCGAGCGCAAATACGTCGGATCATACCGCCGTGGAATCGCCATCAACACCAGAAGCCAACATGCTTCCCGATGTCGAAGACAAGCAAACCTCTTCTGCTTACACAACCCCAATCGATACCGCTGTATCGAACTCGGTTGCAGACCGCAGCACGCCGCGTGCACAGACACGACAAGATTTCGAGGAAGACCTCAGGCGGCGCAGCGTTCGCAAAAGCGTCAATCTCGCTGGTATGTCTCCTTGAATCTTGTAATGATCACATGTTAATGTGCGCAGATATCGCCGAGTACGAAGACCATGCTACCACTGACTCTTCTGCGAGCTCTGTCATCGAACAGGATGACAGCCAGTCATCACAATCGCAGGACGGCGAATCAATGTCGATAGGCACCCAAACGATGGGCCAGGCGATCCACGGTATCCACGAATCAGAGAAGGAGGTGGCTGCCTTGCGAAGTGCACTGGACGAATGCTGGACACTCTGCAACTCGCTGGCCAAATTGAGTCAACATCACAGAACACGCATGTTCCATTACTCCGGTGGAAGCCCTGATATGCAAGAGCATGCTTGGAGAACATGTTGGCGACTTTGCCAGAAACTCTACGAGAGTAGAGAGGAGAACCCTTCCACGCAGATCCGACCGACACTGGAGCTTTGCCGAGATTTTTGTCAAGCACTGTTCGATGTGCGTCAGCGCGGTGATGAGGCTTCAGACTCGGTGCTTAGAGTCAGCTTTGAGCTGAACAATCATCTCTACAACGCCCATGATCGCACACTCCCTGAAACATTTCGTGAACGCACACTGGATTTCTATCTGACGTTATGCCATCGCCTGATGAAGCAGCGGACTTCTCTTCCAGAAGAGACGGACTCATTGCTGCACGCATGCTGGTCGTTGGCAGAGATGCTATTTAGTCTTCGCCAAAATAGCCGAGATGGCAAGCCCGCCGATGAGGAATTGCTAGGTTCGGCCATACAGGCGTGTTGGGAGTTGTGTGACTTGTTCCGTGAAGGCTGGACACAGGTACGACCTGACCGCGGCACCCCACGACCGACTCAATATGCCTTTTCGGTTGGCCGGAGTTCTGTGACGCATCGCTCTCAAGCTGCGTATTCGGACCGGTCTGGACGATCATCCAGTGTAAACCAGTCGTATCATTCTGCCATTTCCTCAAGACGAGCGACACCAATCCAGCCAGAGACACCGACTACAATTTTCGATGACCGCGAGGAGTTCTCGCCAGCGGACGAGCCAAACGTTCCAAACATACTCGTTCTTGGTCCAGAAGCTGGTATGACACGAACCCATGACCGTTGGTCTTCCGCTTCTTCCAACCTCTCCACATATTCGGACGCTTCGCATCACACTTCTTCCACCGCTACCGCAGGTCGAGAAGATGCCAACTTAGTTCGCTTGAAAGGGTTGATCATCAAGGCCGCTATCAATACGGGCTACAACCGCCAAATACCCCTCCCAGACTTCATTCGCGCCTTACCGTCCAACAGCTTCGGCGCCGAGACATGGCAAAGCCAATTGTTCGACAGCTATCGAAAACTTGTTCTTGCAGACCCAACATTACGAAACGTTCACACTCAGCCACTCCGCAGGCTGACGGCGCTTGAAATTGGACGATCTGTGCAATGGCTGGGTCGCAGCGAGTCGTTCAAGTGGCTCCGTGAGCTCTATCGCTTCGTCTTTGGGGCTTATCCTGAAGATACAAGTCAGCGCAACCTAATAATCAACGCCTAACGCACGTTCCTTTCACTTCATACATGGGTCTTTTTATTTCGGATCTTTGGAACATTCTCAGATTACGGGTGTTATTTGGATGGGCTATTTATTCTATTTCCGCCTTATACCCCCAACGCTCTCTTCAGTGCGCGTATCATTCAGTCCCAGCATAGTTTCATCGCATGTTGTAGATTACGGATCCTGCATATTCGCTTCTGTGTATACCTTCTCACTATCCTTATCACCTTTGTGAGGCTTATCGGCAAGTTCATGATTTCTACATTACATATGAATAATAACCCATTCTTACTTGATTGCAACCCTTTCGTGGTGACCACGATATCAGATGTTTGAGTCTTAGTGACAGATATTATCTGAATAAATATGCTAGCTAGAAGTCTACATTAATATTAAAAATTCAGTGTTCTTCTATTATACACTGTTGTAAGCTGCATATTAAGAGAATAATACCAAGGTACACCTGTTCAGGTTTTTCCTTGCATGAGGCGTAAGGGTCATTATCATACGACCCCAATGTCCACAATGATGAAGGTGCCATGTGGAGCCTGGTTCGTGGTCCGCGCACAGACCACCCGACACTCGGAAGCTCCCTCAAGCTCCCCACATCGCGACTCTCTGACCCTACGCTCACCATGTAGTTGCCGGCAAACTTGGGTGGTACAGCCTACAGTCTTCAATGCCTACGCGCGCGATTAAAGCCATCTTTTATACACGCTTTCACCATGAAAAAGGTACCCCAACAATATCGCCCTGTCCACAGAAACCTGACTAACATCTTCTTCCCAAGGAAATCGCGTCCTCCACCAGGTGCCCGCAGGCGCCATAATACCATCCAACCTCCCGTCGGCACTCACCACGCCGCTCTTCACCTTTTCCTCAGTCACGCAGTTTCTTATACCCACGCAACAGTTCTGTGACCGTCTTATCACTTTCTGCATCAACCATCACCGCGTCATCGGATACCCTGTTTGCATAAGAGAGGGGAAATATAGCAGGAATGAGTTCATATTCAACTTCGCAATTGTAATAGGCGAAAATGAGCGCGATTGGGCGTGCTACGGTGAGGTAGTGAGGAAGTTGGGACGCTTGTTGAGAGGACTGGAAGAGCAGGGCGGTTTCTTGTCAAGGGAAGAGGAGGGCATTTGGGAAGACGAAGGAGGGAATATTGGGTGGGGAACGGATGACGGCGTTGGTGGTTTTGGAATAGGCGGCGGAAGCAAAGTGTATGCGCTGTGCGAGATGGTACTTGAGGACCTGAATAACTACGCCGAGTGCATGATACCAATTGGTATGCGCCGTCCCGTACTGGGTTGCATTATTTGGCATGCTAATCAACTCCCAGATGACTCGAATACGATCAATTTGAAACTGTTTCCTACGCGGCCGCCTCCTCCACCTATCCTCGCGCATCAAGTGCCTTTGCTCACCATTTCTCTCTCAAGTCTTCAGCAGCCCGTATCTTCGGACCTTACTCTCAACCGAATCCTTCCATATATCAACGGTGTCAACTCGATAGCCCACATTGCGCAACTCGCCGACACCGATCTTTCCTTGACTAGGCGAGCTATTCAACATCTAGTATACTACGGATGCTTAATACTCTTGGATATCTTCAGCTTCAGCGCCATCTATGCGCCAACAGCGGAGATTGGCGGTTTCATTGTGGACGCAGAGGTCAAGGAAGAATGCATGCGCTACGTCAGCGTGCCGAAAACGAGGCTGGGTTCCAATGCGAAGACGTCCCGGATGGACAGTGAGGTTTCTGAGACGAGCAGAGACGAGCGTAGCTCGACATCGTCTTTGTCATCGCAACAAAGCGGGACTGTGGGGTCTACCCTTAAGATCTCAGAGTTCGATGCTCACGTCGCGGCGCAAAAGAAGGAAGAGGAAGAAGAAAATGTATGGCAGACAAACCATGAGACGTTGATAACGCTATACACATCGCTGCGCCAAGGTCTGACTCTGAAAAACTGGGTGCTGGAGAATCTGGACTTGCTCCACGGCATTGACGTACGCCGCTTCATTACCTTCGGCATCATCAAAGGTTTCCTCTACCGTGTACACAAGTACGCGATAGCAACCTCAACAACCTTACCTCCTGCGCCACCAACAAGCCTGCAGACAAGCGCCGCGACATCCCTCGCAAACCCTCGAGACTCAGACACCACGACGATCCGTGGCCATGAACGCATGCATCACTCCTCTCAACCAAGCCTCCTGACCCATGGTCACCACACTTCCCAACCCAACATTCACACGCATCACCCATCTTTCTCCATCCACAGACCGAGCGTTGCCTCTATGTCATTGAACCCTCACCAGCAACAGAACTCCCAACATCTCAGTGTCCACAAGGAAGAACACCCGGTTATTGAGGGCTTGGTGAGCGATAGGGACAAGAGCGGTTTGCCTTTGCTGAGGTTTCTGGATGGTATGCATTGTTTCGATGAAATATGTACCGATTTGGGGTTGCCTGAACGTGTTGTCGAGGGGAAGGTAAGGAGTATGGGTGAGGGCGCTGGAGTAGTCGTCCACCGATGAGTAGAAAGGGTATGATGTCACCTTTGAACTGGAATAAGTCGACGAGAAACAGCGTATCAAATCTGTATACTATGCTATAAAACCCAATGCTTGTATCATGATGGCGCCAAACTATGCATCCCCCAAACAAAATCGCGGAAAACATGTTCCCGGGTCGCTTATCAAAAGTCTCCTATGCAGTTTGTTTACCCCGTACCTCAAGTTTCCTCGGTTTCTTCTTCTCCTTTTTTTCCGCATCCCCACCACCACTCTCTTCTTGTTTCGCTTTCCGCTGTTGCGCAAACTCATCTGCCGCGCGTCTCAGCGCCTCAGGATCCGGTATACCGTCTTCTTCCCCACCCATCTGATCTTGCATCTGTCCATCGACATCCTTTTCATCCGCGTTGCCACTCTCCTCGCCTTCTGCTTGCTCATCCTCCTTGTTCTTATCTTCATCGTCCTTGTTCCCTCCACCAAGCTTCACCCATGGCCCATGTATACCGCCCACCCCGGCACCAACCAACGTGCCCACAGCCGTCGTAGGTATCGTAGCCACAGTCCCGACCAGCGTACCCACCACAGTACCCAGTCCAGCACCCACAGCCATACCGATACCACCACCCCCTACACTGCCTTGGAATGCGCCCGAGCTCAGTACGCGTGCCTTTTTAGACTGTCCGTGCGCTTCAATCTCCTTGTTGTATGCATCTTGCAGGTATTTCTCCCGTTTCTTCGGGTCCTTGATCGTTTCGGCTGCGGAGCGTAGCGACGAGGCTGTTTTGGCCGAGGCGAGTGCGGATTCGGCACTCGCGGCGGCTGCTTTGAGTTTGTCTTCGGGGGAATCTGATTTCGCGGCTATGCTTTTGAGTTCGTCGACTTCGGGGACGGAGGAGGGTGCTTGTTGGTTCAGCTTCTTAGGCGGCATGACGTAGTTGCTTTTTTTCAGTCGTTCGGATATGCGAGATTGATCAGGGAGTTCCAAGTGAACTTTCTTCGTGTGTGAGAGAACCCCATGGTAACAGGTGGTACGCAAGGTTTCCTTTGGGGGCTTTCGTCGTATCCTTGGAGGTGCAAGTTCCCGTTATGACGTCATTCGTGAACCACTCCGCTTGTCTTAAAACCTGGAACGCTGGGAGGACAGCGCGCTCCGAGGAAGCATTAATTTGTCAAACATGAAGGTCAGGATTTAGGTTTGAAACGTAGTATATTTATGACTGGGGTTAGCTCGCTAATCGAGCCCAACGGTCATGTCACTATTTACCGTTGAAAGGTTTATCCCTTACTCCCAGCTTAGGGTCCAGCTTCCCTGCCAAGCTCCTCCACTAGTCAAGTCGTTCAAGCCTGATAGCTTCAGGACGCTGCTAGTCGAGTTGTAGTTCACCTTGCTTGCATCGATGGTCTCGCCGTTCAACTTGACCTGACCAACAGACGGAGCACCTAGAATGGTCACATTGGCAAGCGCGTTCGTGTCTTTGAACTCGCCCTCAACATTGACCTTCAGTTGTCCAGTCATAGCAGCGAAAGTAACATCCAGGCACGATTCTGGCTCGAGAGACTCGCCATCATCGACGTAGAGGTTGCCAGAGGCAGTACCATCTGTGGAAAGCGCAACGATGAGACCCCATGGGTTCTTCCGGGACTCGGTCGTGGTGTAACCGGGCTCTTGGATGGGTAGTACTGAGCCGCCGCGGACGTATACAGGGATGTGACCAAGAGGGGCAGAGATGGTAGTGTTGACGCCAGCTTCAGCCTCAACGCGCTCGCCGGAGTACCAGTCGAACCAGCTCTCACCGTCAACAATACCAGGGAATACTCCATTGACGGTGTCGACTTGAGGCTCAAGAACAGGAGTGATCAGGATGTTAGGACCCAGCATGAACTGTGTGTCAACACCTGCGAGCTGAGGCTCATTGGGGAACTCCCATGCTAGCGCACGCATGACAGTGGAGCCAGTGGTGTGGGCATCATTGAAGAGGGTGTACATATAGGGTAGGAGAGAGTATCGGATGTGCATCGCGGTCCTGGATGCAGAAGCTACGGCGTCCCAGCGGTAGGGCTCCTGTGGGATGGCGGAGAGCACGTTGTGGTTGCGGTAGAAGGGGAAGAAAGCAGAGAGTTGCATCCAGCGGGCGCAAAGCTCCATGTCAGTATTTCCGTTGAATCCACAGGTGTCGACACCGAACATGGGAATACCGAACAGCGAGAATGATAGAGCCTGAGGAATTGAGAAGAACATGTAAGCCCACTTAGAAGCGTTGTCACCACCCCAGTGACCAGCCCACTTGCCGCTACCAGCAAAGGTGGAACGTCCAATAATGAAAGGTCGTTTGCCAGGGAAGACTTGAAGAAGACCCTGGTAGGTGGCATTGATGATCTGGTGACCGAAAAGGTTGTGGACATCGTACTCTTCAACGCCATTCTGATGCGTTGCGTTGGGACTGACTGCGTGGACAGCAAGATCAGCTCCGGATTGGACATGGTTGATGACGTATGGAGGGTAGTTGACGTTGCGCACACCAGGTGTAGGCGTTGATCGGAAGTAGCTGGTAGTCGTAGCAGCCTCCTCCGTAGGCGCTGTCGGTGCGGCCTGGCTTGAAGCGCCGGCTGAAGCCGAAGCGGCCTCAGTTGCGTTGGTGATGTTGAAGCCTTCTGGATAGTCGAAAACGACGTTGCCCACCTCGCCAGGGAGAGAGAAGGGCGGGTGAACAGGGTTCATGGTAACGTTACCGGTACCGCATGAACCGACGCAGAATGAGGAAACTTCAGTCATATCGACCCAGAAGCCGCTGTATGGCACTTCCTTGTACCACTCAACCATCTCCTTGACCCACCATGCTACACCGTTGGAAGACAGCCAGTCTGGGAAGACGGTGTATCCAGGCCACACAGCACCGATGTATTGACTACCATCAGGGTTCTTCAGGAATACACCAGACTCGTTCCCACGAGCGTAAGTATCATAAGCATCACTAGCATTCTGTGGGTTCGGAATGTAGATAGCGGCATCCACGATAGGTACGAAGTGCTGGTTGTTTCCATGAAGCCAGTCAAAGAAGTCCTTGACACCCGAGGGAGGGAACGACACTGGATCAAGCGTGAAGTCTCGGTATTGGTCCATGTAGTCAATGTCGAGCCAAATTGTTTCTGCTCATAGTTAGTAAAGGTACTTGAATTATATCAGGTTAGGAGAAGCTTACCCATAGGGATGTTAAAGGCCCTCATAGTCTCAACAATCTCTCTCGTCTCCGTCCAGTTGCGGTATCCCCATCGGCATTGATGGAAACCGAATGTCCAGTACTGTTGCATAGCAGGCAGTCCAATCGCTGACTTCTGGTACTCCTTGGTCACCTCCGGTTGAGAAGGACCATCGTAGAAGAACAGATCGATTGCACCTCCCAATGTTCTCCACGTAAGGTGATCAGGCTTCATAACAACATCCATGCCGTGCGTGTTGCGGTAGTAAACACCATGAGAGCGCGACTCGTACGGCGAGCCGGCGGGTTTGTTTTCGTAGCCGATGCTGGGCTGTTGGAGCTCGGACTGCTTCAGAGGCGTCTTGCTACCATTGCCACCCTTTTCGAAGTAGCGAGTTTCTAGGTAGAATGGATGGCTACCGTACAGATTACGGTCGATTGGGTCACCAACATCGGCAGCATAGATGGTTGCGGTGAAGTTGTTGTTCAGGCGGAGGCCATGGATACGTTCTCCTAGACCGTAGAGGTTGTAGTCCTCAGGCAGGCTGTTGACGAACTCGACAAACTGGTTCTCATAAATGAGCTTCGTGCCTTGAGTGGTGAAGATGACATCTCCTGTAGAGCGACGGCCAACATTGAACCAGAACGATGGTTCGTTACCCCCTTACAAATGTGTTAGCTAAGTTCTCTCGTTCTCCAAGAATCAATTTACTGGGAAAATCCAGGTCCTCCAAAGGAATCACTTACAGTCAAACTTCAGGTCTGTACCTTCAGACGAGGCTTCTGCTTGCGGCCGTGGGATGAGACTCTCGGGCACAATCCATTGGGACTGGTTGCTGGCATCAAGATGCTTGGGTACGATGCTAACAGCCAACCTTCCCTTCGCTTGGTATTCAACCTTGAGGTCTAGCTCTTCAATATCGGTGCCATAAGCATTGCAAGCTGCTCCAGCCAATGTCAAGGTTGCACTCAGTCCACGGTCACCTTGTTCGAGACCGGACGCCTTGTAGCCTGGGCAGACATCTTGCGCGTTGACAGCTTGCGGATCGTAAACGTTAGGGATCTGCTCAACGCCTTCATCCGCCGAGGGAGGGATGGTAAAGACAGGACGAAACGCAGTGGGCGTGCCAGCTAGCGTCGTGCTCCAACCGCCGTCGGACGAACTGATAGGTGTCTGGCCGGATGTCAACGCCAGGAATGAGGAGAGTAGCGTTGAAGCTTGAAGAAAGCTTGAGCGCGACATGATAGCTGTGCTGAACCAGTCGAGTGCTGCCTGGACATCCTCGGACATCCATGGTGACTTGGTCCTTTTATAGCTTTTTGCAGTGCTGTCAAGGGCATTTGGCGCCATTTTCGTTGTAGTAACCCTCAATGACGCTGAGCAGCAAAAACGGAAGCTCTGGAGCATGAAAGCTGGGCACACGCATGTAGCATGCATAAGCGAGAGCCGTGTGGGGGATGATCATGGGGAATCGTGCCGACATTGCGCGAATAGGAACATACAGGCTCATGCAGTTCGCACCGACATGTGGGGATCGTGCAGTCGAAAGCGCACTCCCAGCTTCTAAGCTTCGGGGCTTGATGCTTGTGGTAGCATGTTAGGCCTGACTGAGGCGACTTACTTGGTTCCTTAGGTCTTCTATGCGCCATGCAATAAGTAACCACACGAAAATCGGGATCGAGAACCATGGAGACATCCTCGAGGTTGGAGATTAGGACGGTGATGTAGGCAACATCGAATATGTCTTGTCTTCAAGTAATATTGTCTAGGAAGTCATCGTCGCTGCTTCCATAAGTAGACAGACCTACATAGTAGGTGCGATAGAACAGAGCTGCTCTGCTTACAATCCACCACCAAATGGCCCAAAACTTAGACGCCTTCACTGCGCGTCCACATCTTATTCCCGACCGCATGTCACTTGGGCCGTACTTTGCAGACTAGAAGGATTAGACGACTCACAAGACGCATCGCGGAATGTCTTTCGGACTAGCTACGTCTCTGCACGGCAGAGCACCATAACAGGCTCAACGTTTTGTAGCCGCATCTCAAGGCAGTGGGGTAGGCGCGCAGATCTCCCCACATGCACGGGACAGTTACCAAGGAAGAAAGCTTGTACCGCATAGCTATAAGCAGATGATTTCGAGTACTTTTATTGTATTTATTTGTGTTTGGTTATTTTACATTACGTTAGGGTATTAAAGTACAAGAACGTTCAATGTCTTCTGTGACATTACATCTGTTCGGCAGTTGTAGTCGGTATGGTATATCCACCTCGCTCGTAATTGCATCATGAACTGCTGCATGCGCGAATTCACGGCCTCGCGCGTAGTCCTAGCGCGCTCCCGCGTCCTTCCCGCGCGTCCCACTATGTTCTTGGTCGCGCACGCCCTCGTTGGTCCAAAGTCGGGACCAGAAGCGGAAGCGTCGGCGTGGTATAACATCGCGCGCATTGCGATCTTTCCTTACGGGTCTCGACCCCTTGGAGAATTAATGAAAGTAGTGCCTGCAGTACACGGCCTGCATGGATAAAAGTACAAAAGCTGAGCAACTGCCCCCCTAGCTTTGTATTTGAAATGATCGTCGGCTTTTCGTCTTCCAAAATTAAGTGGTTTGTGTAGCTCAGGTCAAAGGCGAATAGCTTGTTGGTCTGCTGTCTTCGCTGGGTCGACGGAACGTCTTGTATTCGGCAAACTCGTCGCCCTCTTCAGCGAGATACAGTCCATCATCCGGTAACCAGCTTCGGGAATCGTGCGTAGCACGCGTCATGGTACTCTGTGTAGAGGCCCGTGCCAAGCTTCGAAGCGGTGCTGTCGGTGGTATAGGTGGTGATTGTTGCGACGGCGGTGTATAAACAGTTGGTGATAAACGAAAATTGGAGCTCGTGGGGCTTGGTACTGCCGCTGAGCGTGGGTGCAAAAGCAAACCTGAAGCAGCAGGAGGTGCAGCAGGTGAAAGTGGCGCTGGAATAAGACTCGAGTCCAGGCCGGCCAGGTCGGCGGGCTTGGTCTTCTTTGGAGAAAGAGATAGTGGTTGAGGGAATGTGGCTTGCGTTGGTGTCCGTGCAGGATGGCGCGAAGGGAGCGTTGGCGTGGTCGGCTCACCGTTTGGCTGATCGCCTATGATGTCTTGGTACCAGTCGTAGGAACGGAAGCTGAAGCTTGGGCTGGGAGGTGGAAGATCCGGCAATGGGAGTTGCGGAGCCTTGCTCTCCAACTTTGAAAGCGTCTCGACGATAGGAGAGGGTGGTTCTGAATCACCTCTCTTTGAACTATCGTCAGCTATCGAGACAGTATCTACAGAGTTCCTTCTGTTCGGGAACTGGCTCAGTTCGTATTCCGAGTTCCGCTTCTCTGTGGTCGGCGTTGGCTGCGAGATGATAACTGGGGGAGGTTTTGCGGCGGGCGGAATATATTCCTCGAACTTATATTGCGGCTTACGGTCACGAGGTGTACCACTACTGCGGGGAGTATCGTTACCCCGAAGCGAACTGACAGCGTTGATCATTTCATCGTCAAAAATCATGCTCTTGTTGATGTTAACGTTCACAGCATATCTCTTCGGTTCAGTGGGCGGTGGTGGAAGAGGATTTGACATGAGAGGATGAGGTGTTGGACGAGGTGGTAATGCTTTCTCTGTTGAGCTTCGCGACTTCTTGTCCATCGAGTCTGATCTCTTACTGCCCGCTTTCTCCTTTGTATCGTTGAACGCAAGAGCTCTGGCGAAGACCTCAGGAGCCATGGTTTGTTGTTGACTGAAGGCTGCGTTGTGGGGGCTGTTTGGTAACGAGGCTACCAGTGTTCTTTGATCCGTTGCATTCGTCGCACATCTTCGGAGATCGTTTGAAGGCTCTTCTATAGTTTGGGGGCGTGGCCGTCTTGCTCGGATTCTCCAGAACCAGTAACCAAGTGCTACCATCAGTACGACCAATCCAACAACCCCTACGCCAACACCAATAGCTGAGCCCGGGGTTAGTCGCGAAGTTGGCTCTGGACCCGATCCTCCAAGCGGTGCGGCGCCGTTCAGAGCAACACATTTTGCGCTCGAACACGTCTTGTCCTTTGCGCAGTCGCTATCCGTAGAGCATGTCTCGCTGGCCCCAACACTGGTATCGACGAGAGTTGGCTGGTTGGCTGAGTTGGTTGCGCTGGGGACAGGAGCATTGGTTTCAAGTTGAACGAAAGAGAAATCCGAGGCCAAGTTGGTAGGTAGTGCGGTTGGTGATGAGGAAGCTACACCTAAGGAGGTGGAAGTTGCGGATGGTCTCCGCTGCGTGGTAGAAGTTGTGAACGCTCGTTGCGACGAAGCGAGTGTAGTAGGTGTTCTTCGCGATGAAGTGGAAGTAGTGGTTTCTTGTCGTCGACGGCTGGTAATGAGTGTGGTAGACATTATTATTAAAGATAGTCTCGGAGCAGGATATACTGATAAGGAAGGAATGGACGACGCCGCGCCGATGTCTCAGCCACTTCGTCAAGATGCGCAAAGCTTCTTTAAGTGGTACTCGAGGATATCCGAAAAGAAAGCATATAGAACGAATGTAGTGTGCGTGAAGGATAGTAGTAGGTGTTCACGAAGTCACGAAGATCCACGATCGACAGAGTCCTTGCGACACAACATCGCCATGCAGGGCGGCGCGGGTTAGACCATATCTTGTAGGGTCCGGTAGAAGAGCTAAAGTTTATTGACCATGCGCGCACGGCGCGGTCGATCCACGTTCGGTTGGAGGTTTGACGATCCTTAGTGTGCAACCCAACGTCGCACCCGTCAAACCTTGTCCCCAAAACATTGCTTTTGCCGAGACAGATGACAGTAAACAGCGAGACAATAAAGATATTTCATGATGACGGACTACACTGCCGCGCGAATTGAGGAATGTCGAGCATTCAGTCCTCATTACAGCACGATAGCGATAGCTATTTCCCCTGTCTACCAACATTGCCGAATGCGGCAGCCGTAAAAGCACCGTAGGTCCCGAGTCATGAAGTTCGCGGGTGCGCCGCCAAATGTGGTACCAACTTGTTTCAGGGGCACCAAAATGGTACCTGCATATACTATTTTCTGCCTGCGAGCCACTCCACTACGTCTTTTGCGTTACTATCGGGAGGGAATACAGGGTACCACACTTTGATGATGCTTCCATCCTTGATAGCCAGCGCACATCTCTTGATCAGTGTCTTGTTCTCCCAGGTAAAGGTGGGTAACTTTAGGGCATTAGCAAATTGTAGATTCTCGTCCGAAAGCAGTTCATAGGGTAGATGCAGCCGGTCTTTGGCCTCTTTTTGGTATGCAGTGTCCTGAGTCGACAATCCAAATACATGCTTTACGCCGAGGTTGCGCAGTTCGGTCATCTCATCGCGAAAGCTGCACGCCTGAGGTGTGCAGCCTCGTGCTCCGGGTATGGAATTCCAATCTTCTGTGATTGTTTCACCAGGTGCACCAGTGCGCGGATAGCAGAAGACGATGCTCAGGCCCGGATAGATCGAGACATCTAGCCAGTCGCCTGACGTTGCCGCCAAGGATACGGAAGGTACCTTGGTTCCGTTCAAGTGCGAGCACGCTCCGTCATCCTGGGGGATGGGTAGGGTCGAAGGGAAAGTTGTGTCTGTGCTGGTGAGCGCTCAGTCTTGTGAGTACATGTGCCACTAACGAGCCATGATAACAGCCGTCGGTACCGAAGTATTGTCGAGTTGCTCTCGCCTGGCTCTTGCGCTACTTGCAACGTGCGCTTCGGTCGCCGTCAAGTTGGTGCTTAGGGGATTGTCTACAAGTTGGTAGAGGGCTGACCCTGATGCCCTGTTTTCGACTTTCCACCAGCGGGGTCCGCAATGACTTTTCAACACAATCGACGATCCGGTGCATGGAAACAGATCAAGGACAGAAATAGTGGTGCAGTCTTGATTCAGATTTAGGTGTTTGCTTTGCTGTCTGATGTGGCCATGTGGTGGTGTTCTCGGCAATGGCAGATGCTGACTGGTGGTGAGAAGTGTCGGGTGGCGGGGTGAGGCTTGAAAAGCATGAAGATGGGTTCAGGTCTAATGCAAGATATTACTTTGCTGTCAGAACTACTGTTTGGTACGGCACTAGAAAGTCGCGGGGTAAGAAGCTAGCACGCAAACGTCGCCGAATTGCACTGTCCTGCGTATGTTTGCTTTGTGATCTGCCAAACTAGCATGTGCTTAGGTGATGTTTGGTAGGTGGCGGGCACGCGCGGAAGAGTGGGTACCGTCCGCGCGACCCTACTTTCCCTTCTTTCCACGTCATGGGCTTCTACAGCACAGTGAAGTAGTTGCTCCTGCCAAGTTGGAAGGCAAAGTTTTGACATTGCAAAAGCAGTGTTCGATCCTTGGGTTGAGTCATCAGCAGTACTGCCGCGGTGAATTCCGCAGCCTTGCCTCCTGGGCTCAATTGCTTCTTGTATTTCATCTCGCTTATTTGATGCAAGACTTTTCCATTTCTCGGCTCTTGCCTTGGAAGTGTTCTTATCGATGTATGTTTTCACAAGAGAATACAGCAATGAGCTTAAGTTTCCCATCTCTACGATTGTCTCCATGCCAGCTGCTCGGAGGGCCAAGCACTTGAGCTCATTGCTAATTGCAAGCCGGGGTTGACGAGCTCAAGTGCACGGCTATCAACACTACCGCTCGCCTTGCTGCGCGTGAAGAATCCACCAGGACAATCAGCTCGCTCAGATGTTTCTTCATACTCCACAACCTATGCTCCTTGGCTGCCAGACTAACAGCAAGAAAGGTTCATGCTGGCTTCATAAATAATTACGAGTACCCTGAGGGTGAAGCAACGTAGTAGATGTGTCGAATTGATTACCTGGATGTTCATGCATGCAGGATGCCAGCGAAATATCGCATGTTCTTACGGCCGACAACGTGGTGATGCCGAATGAAGTGGGGTGGAGATCGGCCCTACAACGGCTCTGGAGCTGCACGCCCAATGGTGACATCATCAAATGTCAGTAATGCGCTGTCCATCATTGGCCCACTGGTAGCTGTCGCGCTCATGTACCGCTCCTCACCTGTTACTTGTACCTACAAACATTAATGCAGTCACTACGAATCTTACGACCCTTACGAACCTCACTTAAGCTTCAATTCAGCCCCACCAGCCGTCTCCAAAGAGCTCCGTTCACATCAACGACCGCAGTCATGGCCCAAGAGTTCAAGCTCAAGGATGTCACTTCCTTACAAATGAAGAATGGAGAGAAGAAAGAGGTTGAGGTTGAGGGTGTTGAGGGAGGAAAGGTCCTTCTTTTGAAGGTGCAGGATCAAGTCCATGCCACAAGTTCCAACTGTACACATTACGGAGCTCCATTAGTGAAGGGTGTATTGACACCGGAGGGTCGGTTGACATGCCCCTGGCATGGAGGTAAATTCCACTTTCCACGTATGCTGTCCCATTGCGACTAACACCTGCAGCCTGCTTTAAAGTCTCCACCGGAGATGTTGAAGATGCACCCGCGCTCGACCCCATTGCCAAGTACGAAGTAGTTGAAAAGGACGGCGCCGTATACGTCAAGACGACCGAAGAGGCATTGAAGAACAACAGGAAATTTCTCAACATCAAGTGCTCATCAGTGAGCGAAGACAAAGTGCTGGTCATCGGAGGTGGTTCGGGTACTCTTGGTGCCATTGAAGGTCTCCGAGGCGGCGGCTACAATGGCAAGATTACCGTAATCTCCAAGGAAGGCTACCAGCCCATTGATCGAACCAAGCTGTCGAAGGCACTACTGGCTGATATCTCAAAGGCGGCATGGAGATCGAAGGAGTTCTACAAGGATGCATCCATAGACATCATTGAAGACGAAGCGAAGAGCGTAGACTTCTCGAACAAGAAGGTCTCAACAAAGTCTGGAAAGGACTACGAATACTCGAAGCTGGTATTGGCGACTGGCGGTACACCAAGGTGGCTGCCACTCGATGGTTTGAAGGGTGACCTGGGCAATGTCTTCCTTCTCCGCACTTTGCCTGACGCACAGAACATCCTCAAGGCTGTTGGAGACAACGGAAAGAAGGTAGTTGTTATTGGCAGCTCGTTCATCGGCATGGAGGTCGGCAACTGCCTCGCTGGCATGAAGAACGATGTTACCATTATTGGCATGGAGGAGGGTAAGTAACATTATTCATTTTGTGGATTCAGACTAACGTCCCTGTAGAGCCAATGGAGCGAGTAATGGGCAAGAAGGTTGGTGCTATCTTCCGCGGTCTGCTCGAGAAGAACGGAGTCAAGTTCAAGATGGGTGCCAGCGTTGAGAAGGCCACCCCGTCCAAGAGCGACTCATCCAAGGTTGGGGCCGTACATCTTAAGGATGGAACCACACTTGAGGCCGATCTCGTCATTGAGGGTGTCGGTGTTGCGCCTGCGACTGAGTACCTCAAGGACAACTCAAGTGTTACGCTCGAGAAGGACGGATCATTGAAGACGAACGAGTCTTTTGAAGTTAACGGTTTGAAGGATGTCTACGCCATTGGTGACATCGCAACATACCCTTACCACGGCCCAGGAGGCGATGGAACTCCAGTCCGGATAGAACACTGGAACGTTGCACAAAACGCTGGTCGCTCAGTGGCCAACACCATCAACACTCCAGGATCCAAAGCAAAACCCTTTATCCCCGTCTTCTGGTCCGCATTGGGTTCGCAGCTGCGATACTGTGGTAACACAGTCAATGGCTACGACGACGTGATTCTGCAAGGCGAGCCGGAGAAGCCATCGTTCGTCGCGTACTACACCAAGGGCGAGACGGTCATTGCTGTCGCGAGTATGATGAAGGATCCATACATGACTCAGGCAGCAGAGCTCATGCGTCGCAACAAGATGCCTAGTAAGAGTGAGCTACAGAAGGGTGTCGACATCCTGGAGGTTAGTCTCCCGAACGAGATCAAGATTTGAGGGGAGATGACTGTATATGGATAGTCCCGGCGGACTGCTAGGTTAATAGAAACCAATGAAGAAATGTCAACGAGAATTGCAAGGCTTTGGTGCCTGCGATCTGAAAGTATCCCTCTCATCAGTCGCCGTTCCACCCACGTGACAATAATGACATTTACGATGTCGCTTTCAATCCACACCATTTTCTGTCACTTCCGCCACATCCGCATCCACATGCCAACTTATCCTTACGATGACTGCGCGAACAAGTACTTCAGCGCCACGACGAGGCAATCCTGTTTGACTACCGCTGTCATAATTTCCTCCCTTTAACAATTTTAGAAGCAAGTCACAATCTAGAGCCGACAATGAAGTGTGATCAAACTCAAAACACGGTAAGAAGATCTGGATCTGCCCAACACGAACAGCGGATCCATGCTACTGGGACCCGGCCGTTGCAATCTGGAGATATGCTCCGCAAGATGTGCCATTAGGGCGGTTGAAAGGAAATGAAGCTTCGAGCGAGCATTTCCACAATGTGACGTCAAGATGGCAAGGTGGAGACTCGTATTGCACAGAGCGAGGGCCAGCAAGAGCGTCTGGAGATGGCGCAAGAGTCGAGTAACGGTGCTAGCGGGAAGGTGGGTCCGCTGGTTGCACGGCAAGGGCGATCGAGGCACCAACGTGTAATTTCCGAAGACTGGCCTAACGCTGGCTCAAAGGGGAAAATTGTACAGAACGGACGGCGCGACTTGGGGTTTTGGAACAGCTTATCTAGCCTCACGCTGAGAGGAACAGTAGGTTATGTATTGTTGGACTGGAAACGGGAAAGGTGCAGTTGTGACAATCACGTTTGATTGGACATGTTGCCGAGGAATGCAAAAGACATGCAGGGCACGCCTTCCTTATAGCGTGGGCGGCTGAGACATGGTGACAGCGGATTCTTCGTACCGTCTTGTCGCGAACTTGTGTCTTTGTTGCTACATGCGTGCATGTCCTTGCCGTGCATGTCAGATGAAGTCAGGGGCAGCACTTGGGCTGGTGGATCCCAGCATGGCGCGCCATAACCGTCCGCGCCAAAGGTGTTTGAGTTTGCATGATTGTTGTTGATGTTTACCATGTTGCTTTTGCTGTTGGACGCGTCGCTACGGCCACGCGTGAGACAGAGTGATGCAACTGATCACACTGATGATACGGATGAATGGGTGAGCGGAAGTGGATGGTGAGAATGGATCATGCATGTCTCGCGTCTATTGTGAGGTCAAGCGACATTCAAGGAGCCCGACAGATCTATATCGAGGACCTGGCCAAGTTGAAGCACTTGAGCACATGGCGGGCGAGCGCATAACAGGCAATTTGTGCGTGCCGGGTCGGTGCTGTATGAAACAACGACCCATGCCTGCTACTCCTATTTGAGAAGTGGCATCCAAGATAGGCGCGTTGCGAAAGCGAGGAAAGCGCCTGCTGGAGGGCGTCGTTCGGGCGGTCATGTTAGAGCTGGCGCTGGGAGAGCCTGGCTCGCAGTAGTTGGGTGCAATTTGACCACCATGTGGATATCAGATACCTAGCATCGCATCTAGCAGACCAGAGTCATTGCTTTGGCGGGCTGGTTTATGCCGAGCCCATGTCGATGATGTGCATCTGCCTCCTTTCCCAAGCCACAGCCTTTACCGAAATTGCCGTCAAGACCAACCTCAGCCGCGCCTTCTCTTCTCTCCACTCACGTCAATCAACACGTCCAAGTCGAGCTGCACATCGCCGCGACCGTTAGATAGCCGAACGCGCTGTCACCGGTAGGTAGCAGAGTTGAGTTGACGACGGCCGACTTTCGTGCACACCACGACTGCACGTTCGCTGCCCACGCGCATGTGAAGGGACTTGCTGCCATCGCGCCAGGAATCCCTCGTGTTCTCCCTCACCGCGCCCAAGACGCCAGCGTAATCGAGTCTTGTCGCGCTCCGCCCACGCCAGCGCCGGTCCCAATTGCTCGACGTTCAAACACACCGCACCGCGAAAAGTTCCGATTAGCCCAGTTGCGCTCAGTTGCAGCTGTCTGCACATTCGGCGGGAACTAGGAGCATCTCACCTCCCCGCCATCGCCCATTCGACAGCTCAACACCGCCAGTTGAGCTTCCGCCCACAAATATTGCCAGCGCAGCTTAGGACCGATAACATAGCCTACCAGCCTGCTTGCCGTGCTATTGCAAATACTCCTGCACGCTGCACCAACAGATAATTATGGCCGCAGTGGCATCGCAGCCGCCGCATGGTCAGCAACAGTACTATCAACAACAACAATCATCGCCCGCAGCAGCCTCGCCCGGCAATTCACGTCGACCGACTTCGCGACGACCCAGTAATGGCGCGTCCCCGAACACGCCTAGCACGCCCCAGACTCACAACTCGTCTGCCGTGAACACCCCCCGCGTGCAACCACTGCCCCCATCGACACAGAATTCTCCCCAGATGAATAACACGGCCACCACCAACGGCACTGGGCCCATGCCGCCACCCAGGTCATCGTCGCACCGCACCCCCAACACTGCATCAACTTCATCACAGCCTAGTCGGACATGCGACGAGTCACGCCGGCGAGAAAAGGACAGCCCCAGCTCACGACAGCCAGGTAGCTCCAGCAGAGCACAGCCCGGCCACAGTCGCTCGGCCACCGCCATTGGCCAGCCCCCCGTAGGAACCAGCTTGCCCCGCGAGGAGAGCGCCGTCATAAATCGCATCGTTGTCTCAGATACCCAGGAAGACATCGCCCGCGCACAAGCACGCCAACGGGACGGCCCTCCCGTGACTTCTGGCGCAGATCTCACTCCCATTACAGGACTCAGTCTGGTCGGCAGCGAAGGTGTCGACGATGGCGGCCGCGGTGGAGGCGCCGTCGGAGCAAAGAGCAGACAGGACCACTCCAAATCCGAAAACGCGAAGCGATCCAAGTTTGGCAACTACATCCTCGGCCAGACGCTTGGCGAGGGTGAGTTCGGAAAGGTCAAGATGGGCTGGAAACGAGACAGTTCGGTCGAAGTTGCCATCAAACTCATACGGCGAGAGACACTGGGAAGCAACTCGAACCGTTTGCAGAAAATCTACCGTGAAATCCACATCCTACGCGGCTTGGACCACCCCAACATCGTGCGCCTGCACGAGATGGTTGAGACCGAGCGCCATATCGGCATCATTCTAGAATATGCTTCAGGAGGCGAACTATTTGACTACATCCTGAACCATCGTTACTTGAAGGACGGCCCTGCACGTAAGCTGTTCTCCCAACTCATATCCGGTGTTGGATACCTCCACCGCAAGGGTATCGTACATCGAGATTTGAAGCTCGAAAACCTGCTGCTCGACCGCAACAAGAACATCATCATCACTGATTTCGGTTTCGCAAACACCTTTGATCCCAACGACGAGCTCAGCGAGGAGATTGAGTATAGACTTGGAGACAAAGACTACATAAGATCTTTGGGACTGGAAGGGACCGACGCAGCTCGACGCGGTGATCTCATGCAGACTAGCTGCGGAAGTCCCTGCTACGCTGCGCCTGAATTGGTCGTCAGCGATTCGCTTTACACGGGACGCAAAGTCGATGTCTGGAGTTGTGGTGTTATTTTGGTGAGTCTCTTCAAACATGCGTCTACACGCACACACACACACACACACACACACACACACACACACACACACATGCTAACTCTACACAGTATGCCATGTTAGCCGGTTACCTACCTTTTGATGACGATCCAGCGAACCCCGAGGGCGACAATATCAACTTACTCTACAAGTACATTGTATCCACGCCATTGACTTTCCCCGAATACGTCACACCACATGCGAGGGACTTGCTGAAACGCATCCTTGTACCGGACCCACGCAAACGAGCGGACTTGTTCGAGGTTGCACGCCACAGCTGGTTGGCTGACTACGCGCATGTTGTTGGCTTCATCACCTCAAGCAATACCAACGCGGCCGAGGCCCAACAGGCATCTGTCTACTCGAGTAAGCCTCTACATTCACATGTAAGCAAGCATACATGTACTGACATAGTAACAGAAGACACATTTGAGCCGCAGCCCACACTCGCTAGAAGCGCCTCTGTTCGCGAACCCTCGAAGCCACACACAGCACCCACTGCACCCGGCGGCCTCCAGACGAAGCGTGAAGCGATTAACCAGGCACCCTCCGAGAAGCCAAAGACCACCCGCGACACCAAGCGACGGACCGTACAGGTCGAGTATGTCGCACCGTCGTCGCAAACCGCTCGCGGCGAGGCATCCCCTCCAGTCGAAATAATTCCGAAGGCACGCGGCAAAGAGGCTGAAGTACCACCTACGGACGGATACCAGTCGGCTACGAGCGCCAAACCTCCTCGTTCTTCTGGTGCAGTCTACAACTCGACCAGCAGAAGGCAGGAACCCCAACGATCTGTCTCCGATTACACGGCATTCGGCAATGCACCTCCATCGGCTACGCGCCCATCTACTAGTGGCGCTCTAGGCAACACGAGATTACCATCGCGAGGAAACTCCTATGGACAGCCATCTGTAGCGACAGTGGCCCAGACAAACGCAGAGGGACGCTTCTCGCAGCCCAAGGGTAAACAATACTCGATCTCGGCACCTTATGCACAGCAGGAGCCGTCTGATGCTGCGGAACCTCCCAACATCGGTCAGCCGAGCTCTCAGCGAGTGCAGTCTATACAGGTTGGGCCGCATGGCGGAGCTGGTGGTCACAGAAGGTCGAACACGGTTTCCTCCACTCTCGGACGCATGACGTCTATGTTTTCCGGTCGTCAGCCTTCTTACACTCAGGATCCCAAGGAGTCTTTCACATCCACAGGATCCTACGGCGGTTATCCTGAGGAGAAGAAGCAGAAGAGCTACCCTCCCACATCCATGGCCGGACCCATGTCTAACGAGGCGGTTTCCGCGTCAGCTGGCCCAAGAGCGAGCATGGAATCCAGCCGACGGACTTCCTTTGGCTTCTCCAGGAAGAACACAGGCAGCTCCGGCGAGAACCCGAAAGGCAGTCGTCGCTTCTCACTCATTCCGTCTTCGCTCTCCAAGACCTTCTCTTCTGGACGAGAAAGTCTACCAGCCCAAGGCTCCCACGAGCGACGCGGCTCCAGTGCTCGTCCTCGCGCTAGCTCACGCCCTGGCGGGATGGCTTTTGGTCGGGGTTCGGAATCCAGATCTCCTAGTCAGAGCACCCAAGGAAGCAAGCTGCCCGGTTTCTACGATGGCCAGCATGACAGTAACTCTAGGGTAAGGCAGCCTAACACGAGCGCCGCTGGACCATCTTCGGCGCCACCAAACCAAACTCAGTTCGCTGGCTACAATCACTCAGCACCCGAATTCGACGAGAAGTTCCCCAACCCACAAGGAGCTCATCCATCTGCGCAAGGAAACCGTCCCTATCGCCATCCTACGGACGGCTCAGAGGCCGATATGTCACAGTCACAGCAGTTCAGCCAAAGGACACCTTCCAACCCCTACCCTGCAGGCATGGGCGGTGATGACTTGAACCAGCAGCAGCAGAGGAAAGGCGTGCTGCAGAAGAGCAGGCGCTTCGCTGATGCGTACGATGAGCAAGGCACGGGCAACAAAGGAAGCTCGGGTAGCTCCAAGAAGGTTATGGACTTCTTCCGGCGCATGGGCAAGCAGAGAACCAGCAGCCGATAACGCGCCAGATGTGAAGAACAATCCAGACATTATCTTCAAAAGGGGAAGCCACAGCAGGACGGGTGGCCAGGCAAGATGGGTGTTTGGAACGATTTGGTTGTCTGACCTTGGTGGTGGCGTTTGGGAGCATACCGGCGCATTGTTTTCTCTCCTTTTCCTGTCTCTTTTTTTTCCCACCATCACAACTTGTTCTCTGTTCATTCTTGATTGTGCTTGCTGGATACCACATATTCACGCACATGTCGGCTGTCTTTGTTTTCGCCATCATCAGCGTGCGGCATGCTGAGGTAATTATTGCATTAGCAGGCGTTTTATATTTCCTTTTTTTTCCTCCTCCACTGGATTGGCAACGAAGATTGTTGGCCTTGACGTTGCCAGGTTAATCTTTACTCTCTCAGCTCTCCTTGTCTCTTTCAGGAGAGAGATGAGGCTGGTTGTTCAAGTGTAGTCGTAGTTGTAGTGTAGTATACAAGGGCTCTGGGCGATGGCGGTGGAAAGTGGAATTGATATGTTGGAATGTTCGATACTCTTTGACTATTCATGTGTGAGAGGCTACTGTGCTTGATGTCTTGATATGCCATACTTGGTAAATATGTATGGTGCGATTTGCACTGGTGTCACGAAACGCGAAACATGTATGCAATAACATAAAAGACACTTTTGCGTTCCTCTCAATACTACAGACACGAATCAAACTACATCACGAGACATGGTCGCACAAGTCAATTGAGAATGATACCACGACAATGCCGCTAGAACGATGGATTTCTATTGAATTAAAACAGATTCGACACGCTCCATATAACTAACCTGACTGAATAGCCCATGGTATCATTCGTCCCGTTCTATAGCTTCCTTGAACAAGAAAAGATGCCAATAAATGTCGCGGTTCCACAATATGCCAAGCCCCCTCCCCACCATATATAACCCAATTCAAACACAAAAAGCGCGTCTATGAAGGAGGAAGTTGACCGCCCTCCTTGGTCTGACCCACGGGCGGGTTCGGCTTGGTGCCACCTGCCGAGTTCAATGAACTCAAATAACAATTCCAGCCCAGAGAAATGACGTTGACAACCAAGACCCTCATCTCCGCGGGTACATATTTAAAGTTGGTAAACTGGACCCATGGCCACACCATCAAGTTCTTCTGGTAACCGGGCAGGTAGGCGTCCTTGAGGCGCTGCACGGGCGAGTTTCCTTCCATGTAGGCCATGGTGGAGAGGAAGAGGGCCATGTTGCAGGGTGCGAAGATGAATTGATCGCAGGCCACGCGGGCGAGAATTGTGCCGTTTTTGGATTGCAGGTTTACGCGCTTGACGAGGAAGTCGAACCATTTTGTTGCTGCAGGGCCGAAGATGCCTGGGGGAATGGGGCGTTAGTTTAAGGCATTATTTCGGAGGAGAGTGGGGATATGGATAGGGGTATGGTAGGAGAAAAGGGAGGGATTGGAATGGGAGAGAAATGAAGACGTACATCCTCCATAGGCGGCCATACGACCTGTACGCGCGAGATCGTGCTTATCGAGTCCTCGGCGTTCTACACCTTGCTGTGCCATTGTGTCACCGGTTGCGAAGAGTACCTGTCGCAGGCCATGTCAGTTGCCTGTCATTTTGCATTGTAATCTCTCAATCCCTCTCCTGTTATTGTGTCGACTCGTGGATTATGCTTATTGGCAAACTTGCTCGTTGGTGTTCCAGTCGCATTGCGTCGCGCAAGGAGAAGATCGGGAATCGCAATTCGAAGCAAAAGGCTTGCATACCGCGGTAGTAATACTCTGCGTCAAGTAGGGCGAAGTCCTGAGCTTCGATTGGTACCTATCATTCGTATCAGCATCATCTTCTTCGGGACCACCGTGGCCGTCCACCGCTCTCTCACTTACCAACGAAACGCCATTTTGTCGGTAATTAAGGTTCTATCGCCTCAGCAATTAAAGATAGACAACCAGTGTATATACGACTGAGAGCGAGCGACACACCGCAAAAAAAAGGGCGCGGAAGAGTGGAGAAGTGGGTGTGAGAGAAAAAGAAAGTCGAGTAAGTCGAGCGAGGTAGTTTGGTGAGCTTGCGGGACCTATGATGTCGTTAGTGCAGCAGGGTCCCCGTCGCACATGGCGGTCGGAGAGCTTAGCTTTATACCCCTTGATCCCCACTCACGTCTCGACCGTGAACACAAGTCTTTATGCAGGCAATTTACACAACTTTATATAGACGTGTCAAGACAAGGTTTATTGGCAAGGTAGAGCAAAGTTCATAACGCAGTTGAATTCCGACCTCGTCTGTTCATGGTGGGGTATAGTATGATCAGACACGTAGTTACAAAAAGGACCGACAATTGTTGTACAAAGGGTCGTTAGATGGGAAAGAAAGAAAAAGGAAAACAAATGCGGGTTGGTATAACTCCTCGTACGTGATGCGACATTGCAATCCGTCCCGTCTTCAACCTGATATCTCCGCATACAGCCCAAAAGAATCCCTAGATGAAAGAACGCCAGTCCCGCTGATCTCATCCGGGTATGATCAAGCTATGCTCGCAGAAAGCAGGTATCCAAGAAGTCATGTCGTAAATTTTGTGTAATTGGGTATGTAAAAGGTCAACTAGTCGATTTCCATCCGTTGTGATGGCGCAGGTCCGCTCAATGATGGCATCTCTGTGTTGTATGTCTTGTCGCTCTGCACAATCTTGTCGTTGACATGGGGCTTCAGGCCCTTGTTGAAGTTGTGCGTGCACAAGCATGCTGTAACGATGGTGATGATGAGTAGGAGGATTGTGAGGATGGCGAAGGCGGTCAGCGACTTGCGGGCTGGCTTGTAGTCCTCCTGGCGGTTGGCATCGGCAACCCACATTCGAATCAGCTTGAACAAGAAGTAGCCTAGGGCGATGAAGTAGACGACGATGATGCCGATCATACCGGCAACGGACTCGCGACGGACCCACCATGCGGCAAGGAACAAAAGGAAAAAGGTGATGACGAGGGCGGCAGCGGTGAGGATAAGTTCGACCGTCTTTGTGTTTTTGACGACGACCAAAAACTGCACGGTGAAGGCCAGGAAGAAGAAGAAGTCAAACTTCAAGAGGGCGATGTAAATCTAAGCCATGGTCAGTAGGGCGCATTTGGATGGGGATTTGGTAGGCAGTACCTGGTAGGTTAGATAGCGCCTCTTCAGTCTAGTGTCGGCACTGATGCGCTTGTAGATAGTCCAAGCAAACTCATCGTACAACTTCCAAGCCTCAAAAGCAAAAATGATGGTAGCGACAGCCATCAGAACGGGTAGTGCGATGAGCATAGGCTTGACGTCTTCCCAGAAATCCTTGGGAATGAAGCGGCGTGTGTTGAGGTCGTCGGCAGCGTCTTTGATCTGGTCGAATTGGATAGCGGCATATACGAGAATGCCGATATTGTACAGAACGAGACCGATAACCTGAATGGTGTTCTTCATACGCAGGGCATCCCATGTGAGGAACAATTGATAGATGTAGCCGAACATGAAGACGGCGAGGAAAGTGGGAATGGTGCGGGCTTCGTTGGCGCCAGCACCCTCGGCAGCGAAATGGATCTCATTCTGGAATTTGCTGAAGACGTACGACTCTAGGGCGAGGGCGATGCCGACCTGGCAAATGGCCGTGAGCATGAAAGCCCAGGTCCAGCGTGTGTTGGGAATGTACATCCTCGGTGGGCGTCGTACAACTGGTGGGAGTGTGGTGGGGAAGCCTTCGCGATGGTGATACCCCCCGGGTTGGGTATCGAAGCCGGGCTGCGGTGGATACTGTGATTGATACGTCGCGTTGGGATAGGGCGCGTAGCTGCGGTCGAGGGGTTGGCCTCCTAGGAGGGATGTGCGAGCCTCGTGGTGAGTAATTTTGGCTATGGTAGCAGCCGCGATGGGCGGCTGGAGCGTGGGGATATAGAGACGGTTGGCGGTGCGGGTTTGCTTTTGCGGCGCAGACAAACTGCGACCTGAGTCTCAGCGGGCAGTTTGTAGGGCTGCCGGGGTAGGTGAGACAATGGATGGGCGGTGGGAGGAATGCTGAAACCAGAAGAGTCGCTGTGTTCGGGGGACTGAGACTACTGAGTGAGCGCGCGTCTCTGAAACTAGTATCTTGGCTATGCGGAGAGGCCGAAGAAGCAACAGAGAATGACGAGCGACGGAGTCGGAGTGTGGGGATGTCGTGGACTAGGCGCGGTAGTGATGGTCGACAGCAACAATGAGCGAGCGGCGGGCGAAGAAGAAAGCGTCGTTGGGAGTAAGCGGAGATGGGTGCGGTCGGTGGATGCTGAGGTGCCTGGTGCGCAAAGTAGCGCTGGGAGAGCCCCGGCCGGTGTGGAGAAAGGCTGAAGGGGGTCTCGCCGTAAGACCCGCTCGCTGCTCCGTGTTTACCTCTGCAAAGATGGTAGGACCTAGTCGGAGCGTCTTCGCAGGCCACTTTTCTGTGGGTAGTAGAATACGAGCAAGAGAGAATGCGCACGTCGGCCAGGTTGGAGGCTACAAGTACACAAAGGGATGCATGGCACCAGCCGGCCTTGTCCAGCTGCCTTTCGAATGCGGCATCCTCTCACACGGGCACAGGGCTTGGCTGCACCACCTGTCGAACCACAAACCACATGCACCGCCCCCAGCACTGCTTGAACAGCCCTCCCTCATCTGTGCTCATTGGTCAGCCACCTCTAATTATAGTCTGGGTAGTTGTGGCGCAGGCCCTGGATTACCACGCTGCGGTGGAGCTTCAATCTACCGTCATTCTGCGCGCCGCAGACAGCTTTTCCAGTCAATTGTTTCGACCAATCACACCGCCATACCTGACATCATTAAGGACGCGTAGTGCACAGGGTCGCCGTTTCGACTGCCCCATTATCGGCCCGCGAAAAGCAGCGGTATCGCGAGTCGCGCCTCTAATCGCATCACGAACACCACGCGCGCTGCAGCCATGGCGTCTGGTAAGTTTCCGGGCTTCGGGCAACGCGGCAAGTACTGATGCTCCTGTAGCAGAGTCAATCCTCCAGCGAGCTGCCGACGACGGCTCCCTCGACTCGTAGGTACCCCACTAAACAGCATACGCCCGTCGTACATCGAGTCTAACGCGCCCATCTGTAGAGCAGAATGGCCAAAGACACTTCAGTACATCTTGCATCGCCTTGATGAGGTAATACCACACTACAAACCTCACAACGCGCACTGCTGACCCGACCTGCCCAGATAGTCAGCGACTTCCCTAAACCGCCTGCAGATTCCACTCTGAGACCAACCACATCAGCAACCACCGACCTCCCCTCACGGCCCAACACCTCGAATGCCATATCGAGCCAGGACTCGCATGCTACCGACAAGGAGAATGCACCGCCTGCCACGCCTCCGCGACCGCCCGTGCCCACCTTCTCTGCCTCTACCGAGTCGCAAAGTGTTCCACCAGAGATCACCACCTTCTACTCGTCAATACGCTCTGCCCTCTCTAACAACTTCGCAAAACATCCCCCACATACCGTTCAGCGCCTAGCTGAACTTGTCCTCGAGCCCAAGAGACGCTACCGGTACCTCCCACCCTACCTTCGCGCCCTCGACCGAGTCGTCTCCGTCTCATCGCCTCTCACCATCTTCCCACTTCCACAAGCCGTGTTGCCTACCTCAAGTGGACCGCTCAATGGCGCAACACCCACCACTACCCAGGCTGCACCATTGGGCTCAGATGAAGCACTAGGCGGCGCCCTACTCACACCCATTCCCTGGCTACAGAACCGCGGCCAAAATGAGCTGATTTCTGAAAGCACAGAGATGGTAGACGGCCCAAATGGTGCTGGTCGCATAGAGACAGTGACTGTTGGAATGCTCAGCGGTGGCCAACGGGCCGAATCTCCCAACTCCAATGTAACCCAGATTGCTTCGTCACATCCCGATGGTGAGACGCTGCCGTCTACAGGGCCCGTCACCCAAGGCGAACTTCTGCGCCAAGAGCAAGAGGCTGGAATCGTCCTCAACAACCCTCATAGTATGACTACCAGCCCCACAAAAACTACCTTTGGTGAGATAGAAGGCGGGGGTACCATCATCGACACTGTCGAGGGCGAGGAAGAAGCCCCGCATGCGAGAGGTCCAGAGGTCATTGGCATGGAAGACACGGGTCCGCAAAAGCAGGGAAAGCTCAACATTGAAGGAGCTATTGGCAGACCGAGCCTTGATCACAAGAGCCCAGAGCCCCAAGTACCCGCTGGCACAGACGCCAAGGATCAAGAGATGAAAGATGGAGGTTCAGAAAAACCAAAAGACGCAAAGGCCGTTGATGAAGAGTCCAAGGGAGATGCAACAGCCAAGGAGGGAACGAAAGATGCAAAAGACGTGGAAATGAAGTCGGATGATTAGGCGTCTCTAAGCACTTCCCATGCAAAGGGAGAGACCGTTCCAGACACAACCGTAGCCGAGATTCTGGCTCTGCTAGAGACCTATATGCCTCTTTGACGGGTTTGTCTGCATGAACATGTCGACCGGATGGTTTAAACAACACCATGCAACGAAGAAGATGGCATCTGTGATTGTCTTTAGACATGAGCAGCATGTACAGTGGATAAGTACGTCCTGTTATGGGTAGTATCAGTTGGTACTGAACAATGCCTACTCATGAAATGATTACAACTTGGTGCTGTAACAATTACCAAACATGATCACAAACACATCTCATCCACATGGTGACGGGATACAGCACTCTTCGACGAACGCTTTACATGGCGGCCGTATGTATTGTCTACGCCGGTCATTTTCCACTACCCAAACATCCCCTCACTTAAGCAAGCCTCTTCCACCAAAGCACACCCCTATACCCTCCCCCACGTTCACTTCCAATCCTCAAATACTTGACCATCTCCCCTTCTTCCTCCACCTCGACTACTGTGTAATTCCTCCTATGATTCTGTCCGACCCACGTTGGCACATTAGCCACCGTCAACGGACCATGGAAAATCTGGCCCTCAGTCTCGGTAGCAGGAAGCTCGTCGTTGACACGGAAAGGTCCAGCATACCCGATACTGTGCTTGCCGACTTGCGCCCAGTCGGCGTCTGTGTCATTGGCTTGGTAAGGAAAAGTGAGGTTAGGGCGAAACTCTGGCTCTGTGGCGGTGATGGTTGCGCTCATGAAACCTGTGGCTGTGTAGATGAGGAGGCCGACTGGGGCTTCGCCGTAGGGGAGATCCGGGATGGAGACTCCATTGAGGGTGCTGGAAGTGTTTACGAGGGAGTAGGTGCCGGCCAGTGCGTTGAGAATGGCTGTGTCGTCGTTGGCTTGGCGTGGTGGTTCGGGATCGGGTGTGGGTGTGGGTGTAGGTGTAGGAGGAGCGATCTCGCGTTTAGCTGCAGTCCATACAGAAGTACATGATGCAACACTACACAGGTTCTGCTGCTGCTGCTGCTGGGGGAGAGCAGACGCCAGAGAAACGAGGAGAATGACGGGGGCAATAGAAGCGCGCATGATGCAGTGCGATTCACAATGGTGAATGTAAACAACTCAGAGGTTTAGAAAGGCGGTCTGAACTGAAAGACCGCGCTTGCGTAAGACGATAGGGCCCTTTATACACAGCATGATGCTGCACCCTTCTCCAATCAAGTCCTTACAACCGATCTATAAGACATGATTGTCCTGGAGGCGTCGCAATTACGCCGAATAGGCATCTCTTGTCCGTGCTGGGCACGAGCGTTGTGAGCAGATACCTAAGCATCATTTCCGGGAAGGCGCCGTCGGCGGTTTGCGGGGTAATCCTTGGTAAAGCCCTTTAATCCGACCCCGGTTCTTGGAACGTGAGGTTGAGTAGCCGTTTGTGTGTGTTACTGGAGCTCTTGAGACGAATGTTTGAATTCGCCATGTATGCATGACGACGGCGAAGTAGAGTTGATCATTGCGAAAACGTCGCTTTGACGACGCTTTGCCAAGTACCCCCGATTACACATCAGTGCTGAGCAGCGTGTCTAAACAATTGTTAGCGCGAAACGTCTTTACCCATCTAAACGGAACTACTTGCTTCTTGCTAGCTCAGTCTCAGCATTAGCAATTAGTGTACTGCTATACCTGGGCAACGCCGAAGATGCACCCGTGCCATGTTCACCGAGTGACAAAACCAGGAAAGAACCAATGGCTGGTGAAGCGGTCCAGAAGGCGGCCACCAAAACTCCATGAGGCAAGTGTAAGAAACGACGGCTCTAGCGTCGCTTCCGGTTCTGCGACGGGAGCATCCTTCATCTCCGTGTCTCCGCTAGAGTCCTCATCCAAATTCTTGTTATCCATGGTTGCAGCTTCTTTCTGGAGCTTTTCGACAATCGCCTCATGGAAACTGAACTTTCGGTGCGCTCCACTGGTATCGATGAGCACGCTCCCTTTGGGAACTGCCCATTGCCCATGGCGATAGTTTGGTTTGTTTCGGCACATCCCACCCTTGGTAATATCCCTTGGAGGTCCATCTTTGCGGCTAAGTGGAATGACATGATGAGGGCAAGTAGGTTTTGGGTCGACCTTGAGGGGAGTGGGCTCTGTATCAACGTTGAGAGGGGCAGTGCGAAGGATGCTCATTCTAGGCTTCTTTGCAGCAGGCTCCTCGAGAAACTCTTCCGAGAGTCCGGATGATGCTTTACGGAGGACGTTCACATCAGCATCAGTGCGAACATAGACGTCCTCGTTGAAAGAAATACTGGCGCCTTCACGTCGGCGCTTACGTGTTGGCTGCAGATCTGCGGTATCGGACTTTCTAGGTAAGGGAACCCGGGATCTCTTGAAGTATTTCTTCTGTGCTTTCGTGGGCTTTTTCCACTTAAGCTGCCCTTCATGGCCATCTCTGTTGGGATATCCAGAATCATTTGCGACCGTCCAGCGCCAACCGCGTCCTCGGCTGAAGAACTCACAGTCGTCCTCTATACGACCGATGAATCCATTGTTCATGGTATCCTCGTACCAATAGAGCGCCGCCATAGCACCATACTGCTTCCTCAGCCGCACGTGCTCAATGTGAACATTGCTGTTCTCTGGAAGCTGCTTCTCTTCCCAGCTCACCTCCATACCGGAAAGAGTTTCTAGCTCAGTGACCAGGTTGAGCAGATTCCTCTTTTTGTATCTGTAGCTGATGTCCGTTCCATTTGCATCTGTATAGGCGGGTCGCCCTTTCCTCTCCTTACCTCCTGTCGTCGTGACCATATAGAGTCTGCAATCGTCCTTGCCCATCCGATTCTCATGCCATTCAGACATGCCACCGCGGTCATTGATCTGGTTCTGTGTGCTTTGAAGGCCGTTCATCGAAGCTTCCACAAGACACATTGGACACATAGCTTTGGAGTAGGTGTCCTTGTACACGGGATGAATCGAATGTCCACACGCGGTAGGAGGTGGACTTGTGGACGCGGGGTTCGATTTGGAGACAGTTTTGGGGATGATGGTGACTTTCGTTTGAGGGGTTGGCGTGGCAGTGAACTCATACCGTGGTGGAGGGGTATCCGGTGGCGCTTCTGTTCGACGACTGTTGTACCGCTTTGATGATGTTGAGGGAGGTGCGAGGTCAGTCTCCGCATCCTGCGAAAGACTACCATCGTACAGTGTTCGCTTCTTCTTCCTCACCGGCGACTGTTGGATCGAGCTCTTGAATGCGTCCTCATCGATCGTAGGATGTTCCTTGCGCTTGGTAGAAGAAGTTGTGCTTGCACGTATACTGGAAGAAGGCAAAAACTCTGGGCTTTGCGATCTGCGGGCGGACTTGTTAGGAGCGACAGCTTTGCGGGTCATAAGTGTTTCGTAACGATCCGGCTCAGACGGCTGCAAGGCTTGCGCCAGACCTCGAGGAGGGGAAGTGATGAACGAAACCATTCTACTGATTTGTTTGTTGAGAAATTTGGTATGCGAAGAGCTTGAGGTCATTGGTAGAAACTTGCGATATCACTCAAGTTGCGCAGAAGAGAAGAGTTGTCTGGAACGAGAGGCGCGTTGAAAAACATTTGAGCAAAGTTTAAGGCTAGCAAAGAGAAAGGGCACTCAGGCTGAAGTTATAAGTGACGTCAAATGTTTTCCAATTTACGCTACTGTACTGGTCAGCTGTTGTTGTTGGGGGAGTGAAACTTGTTGTACTTGCACTTTCACTTTTCAAGATCTACATCGATAGTACTGTGTGAAACAAAGTGGAACTACAAGATAACCTCAAATGAAGCCGTGATGGTTTACCAATAACAACTGATGTTGATCTATACCGATTCTAGTTGTTAGCAGTCGTATAGACTACCAGCAGCCACAACGTAATGTTAAAGCCTGAGTGGAGTAGTAGATAGTGACATGCGCCTCTTCGCTACCATGCTCTCAACACCACCTCAACCACTCTCTAACCACATCTAATAAGATTTCACTATATATGTGATGTCTTTGGTATGGAAGTCTGGAGTGTGAACGTTATGAGTGACTTGTCGTATGGCCAATGAGGTCGGATTGCAATCATCATATCTGCTGCACTTGCTCAAGACTCCACTTCAGCAGATGGAGATCTCTGCCGGCGCACAGCAACAGCAACATCTCATCTTGGGAGTCGCCAACTGTAAATCTGCCACTTGGATGACATCTAGTTAGTTCTGACATACATATCGTAATAGTGGATGGCTGTTGAACGTGGTACATTGGAATAAAGTAAATAGTGATGCGATCTACTGCCAGATAACGAATAATAGTCTCGATTAACTTTCACTATATCTGCTCCCGTAACCACTCAACTAGCCCTATGGGTCAACACACTCCCAGCTCTCAACAACGTCTGGGTTGCCGCCCTTGTACTGGTTGACCTTTGGGAACTTGCAATGCGCACGCTGAAACTCGACGCCAAGGGCCTCAGTATCGTTCACAAACTTCGTGCCGATCAGTGTCTCAGGTGCATTGCCATTCTCTACCCAGTCAACCAGAGCCATGAGGACGTTGTGACTAGGCTCATAACCGTTGATCTCGCCAAGACCTTGACCGATGGCATGCGCACCGTCTCCTCCACTGCAGTGACCGGTGCCGCTGACAAGGAAGTACCGGTAGAATTCGTCGAGCTCGTCAGAAGAAAGACCCATGGTAGAGGCAACATTTTCGTAGTAGCGGGGTGAGTTGTCGGACGAGATGATGAAGTCAGCGCCACCGTGCCAATGGATCACTTTAGTGCCACGGTTCTTTACTCCGCTCAGGTCACCCTTGAAGGTTTCAATTCCAAAAAGGTTCAAACGTGCAGCATTGTCATAGTCCTTAGCGCTCAGAGTCGTTGGGTCCCAGGAAGGGTCGTTGTAAACAGCGTAGCGGAACCAATCCGTAGTGTAAGGGAAGGGCTGTCCGTTCATGAGAACGGCGGCTGCGCCGAGTTCAGCACCGGGCTGCAGACGAGGATACACTAGGTCTCCGTTGTCGTTTAAGAGTGGTGAGTAAACAGCCTTGACAGTCTCGACCTGCTCTGGTGTTAGGCAGCTTGTGGTGTTGCTGCCTTCAGTGCAGGCCAAGCCCGAAGGATCGTACTTGCAATGTAAGGGAGCCTCGATGATGCCGTCTTCGTAGTTATCAAGTTTGTCGCATTGCTTCAAGACGTCGGCATGGACTACCGCCCACTTTGACATCGGAACAAAAGTCGAAGCGTTTGCTGGGCCCGTAAGGGTGTAGAAATGTCCACTCCACGAAGTGAGATTGTTGAATGAGAAGGCTGGTGCTCCCGCGATGATGCCGTCGAAATCATCTGGGAAATCTTGGGCAGACTTGAAACCCTGTCTTCCTCCGGTCGAGCATCCAAGATAGAAGGACTTGTTGTGCGGCTTACCATAGAAGTCCTTGGTGATTTGCTTTCCGACCACAACACCAGTGTGTAGGCTAGAGTTGTTTAGTCAAACTCCAATAATGCGGGGGAAGGCTACTTACGCTCGGTATGCGAAGTCTTCCACGACGTCTGAGTTGTTGTAAAAAGGTTTACCGCTCGTCCCGTTGTGACCATTGTTGGTTCCAACAGCTGCGAAGCCCAGGCCAGACGCGTAGGCCAAATCTTCGTATTTGATGCAACCGTTTAGACCGCCGTTACCACCAGAAAGGAATCGTCCTGTCCAGTTCGCCGGAAGCCATGCCTCCATATTGAGGCCAGAACGTTCAGATGTCGAAACCCAAAGTGCGACGCGGCAAATGTCTGCTGTTATGGGCGGCGATGCTTCAGCGCATGTCTGGTCATATACAGGTAGAGTCAAGTTTGTGCCGGCGGCGACGAACTCGGCTTTGGATACAAAGGCGCCATCGATAGCGAGTTGAGAAGCAACGTCCGCACACTTTGAGCTGAATTCGGCTGGTGTCGTGTCATTCGTGGGGTAAGCAGCGGACTGAGGAGCGGCGAAGACGGAGGAAGCACTAAGCAGCGCACACTGTAGTGGTTGTTCGAGCTTCATCTTGACGGTAGAGTGATGAAGAAGCTTGGTTCTCGACCTCAACCCAAGGCTTTGGGCATGCGTCTTCTCTTTAATCTACCGAAAACTGGGTCTTTATCAAGGTACATCACTAGTATTTACTCCCCTACCTAGGGCAGACTAAACGAATAAGATAAGCTGGGGCAAACTTGGGGTGCTTCGTTATGCGGCTGCAGGGACGTGCCGCCTGCGGATGTCGTAACCATCTTTGGCGACACAAAAACATACTGGAAGCACGTCAAAAGCTGGGGTAATGTGACGGATTACCGAGGCAACGACGCCAAGTTCACGTGATCATATGTTTAGTGAGAGCGTTGTGTTGTTTGTCGCTCAATTGCCGTCGGTTAATCGTACCTTGTGTATGCGTACGTAGAATTGGGGCTGCCGAACATGTTGCCGACGATTGTACTGAAGCGGGGCTAACAGGGTCGCGACTGCAGAACATCTTAGCACTATCGAGGACCCGGCCCGATTTGGTGTCTTTTCCTGGCAGCGCGGTCGTGACACCTGCATCTTTGAGGGTTGAGGCAGGCAAAATACACCGTTGCGGAGCATTAACGCCGACATGCGGAGTTTTGCCGCTAGATCAGTAACGATCTCCGCGCGAAGGGTGGGCCCAAACAGCCTCTTGTTAACAAGTCGGTGTTCCAGCTAAATTACGATGGACGCAAGAGATCCTGCACGCGCGGACATCGAGCGAAATGTGGTCGACGAAACAGGAATAATGTTTATTCGCAAGGAGTATATCTCCTAAGCGTTAACAGGAAAAATGCAACCTGATCCTAGAGCAATAGCATCATCGGGAAGATTCTTGCCTACAGTATCTCCTTTGGTGTAGCTCATTACTGACAGACATTGCTTTTCTATAATCTCGAGGATGTATTGGAGTCCTTCATCACGTCAGCCACCCACGCACTGACAGCTCGAATAACACCAAGATCACTTTCATACCTTCCATGCCTTGCTAACAAACTCCTCGACATCCTCCAAAAGTTCTTTGGGTTTCTCCAAAGCAGCAAAATGCCCACCACGCTCGTGCTGCCTGTAGAAAACTAGGTTTGTTTCCTTTTCCATGATACTCTTGATACCCGGAGCCAGCTCATAGGGGAAGAATGAGAAACCGACAGGCTTCTTGTTTTGCTTGATGTCCTTTGCCCCTGCACCGAAGAGCTCGCGGTAAGGGTAAATGGAACGAGCAAAGCTTTCCGTAAACCAGTAGAGAGAGATATCGGTGAGAATCGTATCAAGAGAAGGGTCCTCGTCCGTCCATTGCAGGAACTTCTCGCCAATCCTGATTGGTCTTAGTCAGTGCATCGCTGTATGGAGAGAATGTATCCTACCATGCAAGGAGTGCGAGCGGGTTTGACGCCAGCACATTGCCAATCGTACTGGGTCTGGTTCCGTGCTCCTGTGCGTAGGCCGTTCCGGTTGTGCGCCACTTCATTGCACGATCGAGCGCCTCCTTCTCCAGCGCATTCATGGAAGTATTTTCATTTGGTTGTGAGAGACTTGTCAACATGTTCACTGATGCACGTTAGAACTGCGGGACCTGGTGGTATGCCGTTGACTTACGGTGCATTCCAACACACGAGTCGTACGAAATGTTCATGATCTGCGATGTGAAACTGCCCACATCTCCTCCTTGTGCAAGATACCTGTCGAAGCCAAGGTTCAGCATCAGCTGATTAAGGACGCGACTGCTGTCTTCCAGCTTCCACTCTTTCTCGGTCGACTGCACGGTACTGAGAGTGTAACCAGGCAGCGAAGGTACTATGAGGTGGTATGGTAGATCCTTGGCGGAGTACTTCTCCTTAACCAGTGTCAACATCGGTAGAAACTCGATGAAACTTCCAGGCCATCCATGCATGAATATGATGGGAATTGCGTCCTTCTTCTCAGAGAAGAGAGCGACAAAGTGTAAATCGACATCCTCGATTTGCATCTTGTAGTTTGAGAACGAGTTGATATGCTTCTCTTGCGCGCGCCAATCGTACTTGTTCAGCCAGTAGTCCTTTGCATCAGAAAGCCACTTGCGGGACACACCGAAGCGGCGGTCTTCCTGTCGTCCTTCCCAAGTCTCGGGGGCGAGCTTCGAGAGCTGAAGAAGCTGGCGCCATTCTGAGATGGCTTGGTCAGAAATGTCGAGGGTGAAGGGCTTTGCGGAGTCTGGTGGTGAATAGGACATGTTGGTGATGCGAGAACGGCTTCAGATTGGTGTTTTGGTAGCATAAACAGACAAGTCAGAGCGGAGAGTAGTTGACCCTTTTATGTTTGTACGGACACACATGCATACAAGCTAAACACGTTGGGCACATGTCAGCAGTCAGGCGAGGTGGGGTATATACATGCACTACCATAGTAACCAGGGCTACACAATCCGGATCTGCGGATTGGAATCTTTCCGGTCGAACGTGATTCGATAAGTTCCAGTAGTTTGATATTCGTTGATAGCTCAAGGCTTCTTTGATATAGAACCGTACCTTGTAATTCTAACTTGGATGTTGGCTCCCTCGAGCTAGCAATGTTTGGATCAGGACCTCGGCATGTATGATCAGCTAGCAAAGGACTAGTTTTGGGTGTTCATTTCTCGGAATTGCCCTTGATATGAGTACCGCCCCATACGGTATCTAACAGTATCGTAATCAAAGCAGCGACGCGGAAGTTATGAACAAATTCGACGCTTTTGGACAGTGCGACGCGAGTGAAGCGCGTCGGTGCTGAAGTCGTCATCATCATGGTGGGGCGGATCGCCCCGCGATTTGGCATCTGCTAGTTCTGGAACTTTTTACTCACGACTCACACATGTACTGTGATTCAAACTTCTCACCGAAGTTACAATCGCGCAAAACAATACAACATGGCGCCAAATCTGGTTGCTGCAATCGATCTGGCCACTTACACAGAATCAACCCAAGGCCTTGATGTTCAGGCATTGTCCTTTATCGGCAATGTATTCGTACGAGTCACCGATGAGACCATCGACCAGGCTCTCTCCCACCTGAAGCAATCTGTAGGTCGGTTCGCCAACTACATGGGCGTTGCCTCTATTACTTCAATCGACGACATCCTTTCCCTCCTCGATGCCGGCGCCGCCAAGGTCTTCGTTACTCGCCAACAATTGGATGAGCTCAAGAAATTGAAGATAGACCAGGACAGGATAGTGTTGTGCTTGCCGGGAAACACAAAGGAAGAGATCATTGAAGCCATCTCAGGTACACAGGTGGACATTTACTCCCACCAAGTCGAGGACGTTGGCCTTGTGGAAGCATGGTTGAAAGACTACGGAACAGACAGACCAGGTGTCTTCGTCTCGTTCGCGAACCCGGACATCGAGAACGTCCTACGCCTTGCAAAACTTGACGCGATACCCATCATCTCCTCAGAAAACCTTACCGTCGATCCCTCGAAGCAGACTGGTGCGTTGAGCGTCGCGAAGCTCTTCATGGCCAATGCAACTAGCGACCGATCCGACGGCCTTTTCACAACTCTCGTGACCGATGAGCGGGGCATCGCTCTCGGACTTGTGTACAGCAGCGAAGAGAGTGTCGCAGAAAGCCTGAGGACTGGACGAGGTGTATACCAGAGCCGAAAGCGAGGATTATGGTACAAGGGCGAAAGCAGTGGAGATATCCAAGAGTTGGTCTCGTTAGCGCTGGACTGCGATAGCGACTGCTTACAGTTTGTGGTGCGACAGAAAGGCAGAGGGTTCTGCCATCTCGCAACTCCCACCTGTTTTGGCGAATACACCGGCTTGTCAAAACTCCAGAAGACACTCCAAAGCCGAAAAGCCTCAGCACCTGAAGGCTCATATACCGCACGGCTCTTCAACGACTCACAACTATTGAGGGCGAAGATACTAGAGGAAGCTACAGAGCTTTGCGATGCGAACACCAAAGACGAAGTTGCGTTCGAAGCTGCCGACCTTTTCTACTTTGCTCTCACTAAGTGCATAGCATCTGGTGTGACATTGGAGGATGTCGAGCGCAATCTCGATGCTAAGAGTATCAAGGTTAAGAGGCGACAGGGTGATGCTAAGCCGGCCTTTGCCGCACAAGCAGCAGCAGCGACGAAGAGTACAACGAACGGTGCAACGAACGGACCTACAAAAGAAGAGGTAAAGGAAGCTGCTTCAGTACCTAAGAGTAAGGATGATCCTGCCGGTACAAAGGACGGTCGCATTGCCATGAAGCGATACGTGACCGCAAACGAGACATCTGAGACCGTCAACGCCGCGTTACAACGACCATCTCAACGCTCCACCCAAAAGATTCTAGACATATGTCTACCAATCATCGAGGCAGTCAGGACCCGCGGAGATGCTGCATTGCTAGAGTACACGCACAAGTTCGAAAAGGCTACATCACTAACATCGCCTGTACTGAGAGCACCATTCCCTCCAGAGCTTATGCAACTGGCGCCCGAGACTGCCAAAGCCATCGACATATCTTTTGAGAACATTAGGAAATTCCATGCTGCGCAGAAAGAGGACAAGCCGCTAAGAGTAGAGACTATGCCGGGCATTGTATGTTCACGATTCGCTCGACCAATCGAGAGGGTCGGCCTATATGTACCGGGCGGAACAGCAGTGCTTCCCTCCACCGCGCTCATGCTTGGTGTGCCTGCCATGGTCGCTGGCTGCAAGAAGATTGTCCTCGCAACCCCACCACGATCCAATGGTCAAGTAACACCGGAGGTTGTCTACTGCGCCCACAAGGTCGGCGCAGAGTCCATTGTCCTCGCTGGTGGCGCACAAGCTGTCGCAGCCATGGCCTACGGTACTGAAAGCGTTACCAAGGTCGACAAGATCCTTGGTCCAGGAAACCAGTTCGTCACGGCAGCGAAGATGCATGTTTCCAACGACACAAACGCTGGTGTAAGCATCGACATGCCTGCAGGACCGAGTGAGGTACTCGTCATTGCGGACGCGAATGCCAACCCTGCTTTTGTGGCATCCGACCTTCTCAGTCAGGCTGAGCACGGTGTCGATTCCCAAGTCATCTTGATTGCAGTCGGAATGAACGAGTCGCAGCTTGGTGCAGTCGAAGACGAGCTTCACAAGCAGGCGATTGCTCTTCCACGAGTAGATATTGTCCGTGGGGCAATCGAACACTCTTTCACTCTTGCAGTGGATACCATGGAGGAAGCTATGCAGCTAAGCAACCAGTACGCGCCTGAGCACCTTATCCTGCAAGTCGATGAGGCAGAGAAGGTAGCGGAAATGGTGGAGAATGCTGGAAGTGTCTTCATCGGTCAATGGACTCCGGAAAGTGTTGGTGACTACTCTGCTGGTGTTAACCACTCTCTACGTAAGTTTTATTGTACCCGTTCTTAAAGGAAACTCTGCTAACATTGATCAGCAACATATGGCTACGCTAAGCAGTACTCGGGCGTCAACTTGGCGTCGTATGTCAAGCACATTACTAGCTCTCACCTTACTAGGCAAGGACTTGAGAACGTTGGACCTGCTGTCATGGAACTTGCGCGCGTGGAAGAGCTGGAGGCTCATCGAAGGGCTGTCAGTCTACGATTGGGCGTGGCGTAAATGCTATTGAAACTCAACCCGCCATGACCTGATACCCTTTCGTCATCACATAGTTTCCTAGCGTAGAGATGTCATGCAGTTGGATATGATTCAATAAAATGATCAATTGGAAGATGAATTTTACCATCTTGAAGAAGTAGATATATATACGATAGAATCTGATCTCATCTCCTGCAAAAACAGACACACTTCAAGCCCCGAATCCTCCACTAAAGGTGGGTAGATGTGATCGGGTGCTTTCTTGCCCTCACCCTATGCATCTAAGCAAGAGCGGAGCAGAGGCCGTTGTACGCATCCTTGGCCTTGAAGCTACCGTCGAACAGCAGAGGGGTAGCAGCAGCACCGATCCAAGAGTCAGTGTCGCTAACACCCCAGACGGTGACACCAACACAGTTCTCAACGTCCAAGCAAGCGGTAACAGCAGTCTTGTAGTCAGCGGCAGCACCACCCTTGATGTCAAGCTCAGTCATGGCGCACTCGGGAGCAGACTCGCAGAGAAGCTTGAGGGCAGCGGGGTAGTCGGAAATGGGCCAGCTGCCAGACAAGTGGGACTGGGAGCCGATACCGTCAATGGGGACACCGGCAGCAACCCACTTCTTGACGTTGCTGGCCATGGCCTTTGTCTTGGCGTAGCTGGGGCTGTCGAGGTTGTAGTCGTTGATGTAGAGCTTGGCCTCTGGGTCGGCAGCCTTGGCAGTAGCAAAGGCAGTAGCAACAAAGTTCTCGCCGAGAACGTTGTAGAAGACGGAAGAGCGGAAAGAACCGTCCTCGTTGAAGATCTCATTGACTACGTCCCAAGCGTAGACCTTGCCGGCGTAGGTGGACATGAGCTTCTTGATGTGGGCAACCATGACTTCCTCGAGCTTGGTCTTGTCGGTAATGGAAGAAACCCAGGTAGGAAGCTGAGAGTGCCAAACAGTAGTGTGGCCGCGGACGAGCTTGTTGTTCTCGGTGGCGAAGCTGACGAGCGCGTTGGCACCGTCAAGAGTGAACTTGCCCTGGGTGCCCTCGGTGGCATCCCACTTCATGCTGTTCTCGGGAGTGACCTGGCCGAAGTTTGCGACGATGATCTCCTTGTTCTTTCCCTTGCTGAGCGCGCCCTGGTCGGTAGCGACACCAAGGTACTTCTTGCCATGTGACTTGAAAGCAGCGTCGAGCGAGCACTTGGCACCGTTGGCGCCGCTTCCAGCGACATCAGGGATGGAACCGTTGGCACCGCCCGGGGCAGCAGCAGCAGCGCTGGTGGCTGCAGGTTGAGCAACCTGAACTGGGGAGGCGACGGGCTCGGTAGCGTTCACCGACGGAACAGGTGCGGCAGAAGGAACGACAACGACGCTGGAAGGTGCAGGCGCAGCGCCAGTACCAGCAGGAGGAGCCGGGGCGTTTCCACCGCCGCTAACACACTGGCTGTACCAGTCGTTGGACTTGACGCAAGACCAGCCTTGAGCGCACTCGGTCTCGCCCTGGAAGCCGTTGCCGCCGCATTGTCCGTAGGGAGCAACAGCGCCAAGGACAGCCGAAGTCGAGGACAGAGCAACGACGCCAAAGTAGATGGAGGATCCGCGGAAATGCATGGTGGGCTGCTTTTTCGATCGGTACGATTCGGTTCGAGTTCAAAAGTGTTCGGTTGATGTAGGATTGGAAAAGAAGCAAGCTTCTGTATGGGAGTTCAAGAAAGAATGTCAGGAAGCACGCTTCCAGTAAAGTCTGAAGAAAAAGGTTTGAAAAAAAAAGGTAGAGAGAGTGTGATGATGACCGAGTGAGTAAAGAAACATTATGGCGGCGGATACGAATTCATCTTATACCAGAATAGCCACTGCTGCGATGCGCCTGGATCGGTTCTGCATAGGTGGGTCAAATTATGGGCGGGTAGCCTCCCTGAGAGAGCATTGTTTCATGAAACCATGAAACGCCATCCTGGAGATCATTACAAGGGCAAAGGTGCCTCGGGAACAGAACGACTTTAACCGTTCCGTTGTTCTGACGAACGACAAGTCGATGAACAGTGGGCTGATGCGGCGCAGAGCAAAGCAATGATGTTACTTGTGGGCAAGGTGCCACAATGCGATGTGAAAGTAGGTCCGACATCCAGGTTCGAAGCTTCATGCGAGATCCGTGCGACCGGGGTGCCAAGCGCTAAGCCTGTCAGAGGTAGATGTCAACTAACCTTTTGGGGAACAAACACCAGGCGAACAGACGATTGTATGAAAGCCACCGGTTATCAAATGCTTCATGTTCCTTCTTTCAATGGGTCGCGCCACATCATCGATAGGTTAAAGTACTCAAGCTTTTCAAGCATTTCAAAACATTCTTGTATTGACTAGGTCACGATCGTCCATTTCTTTCATCTATCTGATCATGCCATTTGAGACCTTCATCCACATAGTCATATTATGACTTGTAGACGTGCATTACGTGTGGGTTGCAGTAAGCAAGAAGGCCGGTCTTGCCCCATTCGCCGCCAATTCCAGATTCCTTGTGTCCTCCGAATATCGCCTGTGGTGTTGGCTTCTCCCATGAGTTTACAAAGACTGAGCCGGCTTCGAGGCGCTTCGCAACCTTGGTTGCCTTCTCGACGTCCTTACCCCATACACAGGCACCGAGACCAGTGTTTGTGTCGTTGGCACGTGCGATGACCTCCTCGAGATCGGACCATGGCTGTGTGGGCACGATAGGACCGAACGGCTCTTCTTGGATGATGCGGGAGTCGTTGGGTGGGTTGTCGATGATGGTTGGCTTGATGAAGTAGCCCTTTCCACTGCTGACGTCAGGCTCACCAGCGGCGAACTTGTAGCCCTTGGACTTGCTGTCCTCGAAGAATGTCTTTACACGTTCGTACTGCATCTCGTTTTGAACAGGTCCGAGCAGGTTGTCACCGTCATCTGGGTTTCCGATCTTGATGGACTTGGTGAAGTTGACCATCTCCTCGAGGAACTCCTTGTAAATGGATTCGTGAATGTAGATACGCTTGGTAGCGACACATACTTGGCCGCTGTTCTGGAAGGCGCCCATGACGATCTCGGGCGCTGTCTTCTTGATGTCGACATCGGGAAGAATGATGGAGGCATCGTTACCACCTAGCTCGAGTGTGACACGCTTGAGGGTCTTTGCAGATGTCTCCATGACCTTCTTTCCGGTAGCGATGGAGCCGGTGAAGCTGATCTTGGCAATGTCTGGGTGCTGGCACATCTGAACACCGAGCTCGTTGTTGCCACCAACTACTTGAAGAACGCCTGGTGGCAGAATCTCCTGAGCCAGCTCGACAAACTTCAACGCTGTGTAAGGTGTGAAGGGTGAGGGCTTGACAATCATGCAGTTTCCGGTCATGAGAGCTGGCGCAACCTTTCCAGTGCTCAGGACGAGAGGGAAGTTCCACGGGCAGATGGCACCGCAAACACCGAGAGGTGTGTACTCTGTGTAGATTGTCTTCTCGTCATCCTCGAACTTCTCAGATGGTACGTCAAGTGTCAGGTGGTGACCGATGAATCCAGCAGCGCCACCAACTTCCATAGCAGCGAATTTCCTCTGTTCACATGTTAGTATAAAGCTTTCAATACTCTCTAGCGTTGATTACGACGTACGGGCTTGCCAGACTCTTTGCACAGCAGGTTGACGAAATCATCGTTGTGTTGCTGGTACAACTCGGCAACCTTGTTGAGTAGCTCCTTCCTCTTCTCAATGGGAGTATCCCTCCATGCGGGAAACGCCTTCTTTGCAGCGGCAACAGCGTCGTTCAGGTCTTTTTCACTCGCGATTGGTACATCCCAGAGCTCCTGACCAGTTGCGGGGTTGATGCCATGATGGATCTTGTCTGACCCGCGCTGCTTGCCATCGATGATGTTATAGAAAGTCTCGAAATCGAGGGTTGAGACTTTTCCCGGAGACATATTTGCGGTTGATGTAGTAGGTTATGGGATATGATGATGTAGGTATTGGTTTGCGAGCACAGGTATGACGGGTGAAGGTGCCTCTTTAAACAAGTCGAGTCGCCACATTCCTGTGATTACCTGTCTGCTTGCTTTATCCTCGGTAGTAGGTACGCTTGCCGCATGGTGCACCTCTCATGGTGGGTTTGTAGCACCTGGCTCCCCTTGGCTGCGACCCTGACCCCACTTGGAGCAGCAGAGTCGCGGGGCTCGAGTAGCAGCTGAGCTTAGGCTTGCATCGTCCATTCCCCAGTAAAACCCACTGGCCGGGCTTTCGCGGATTCTAGGGTCGGGGCTTAGCCTTCGCGGAGGTGCCGCCAAGATGAGCCGGCTATTAGTTTATCATCGTCATCATCCCGTGGTAGGTAGTTTACCAGATACGGAGCTTATACTGAACAACTGCCGCCTGCCCAGCATCGTACGCGCCATCCGCAAGCACCCCGCCGGGACCATCTCGGTGTCTCCCGTTTAAAAAAAAAAGTGGATTACTCTCCCTGACAGCGGGACCACCAATTCACATGGCTGGAGCCTTTCTCCAACAGCGCGACTGTAAAAGTCTTGACTAGCGTTTAACGTGTCGACATTCAGACTAGTATGCCCAGTTTACGTCTTTCGCAACGGACGAACTTCTGTCCGAGTACCCTTTGGAATTCCCTTGTGGATCATTACAGGGTTTCAGCATTATCGTCGAAGCCGCGGCTCTTCGTATCCCCCTACCTAGGTACGATGATCACGTTGGTGAGGCGGGTCACATAGCCTAGACTCTACCGCCAACTTTTGCATGTGTCTTACTGAGACAACAAGAGATCAGAACAGTGGGTAGATAATGAACAGGGCGATTAGAATGTTGCAAAAAGAGTTTCGGCGACGAGCTGACGTTGAAGGTTTACAAAAAAAGATGCTCTTGTGTCAGCACACGCGCCACATTTCATGCATACCTAGGTATGCTGTGGAACGCCTTATTGGTCACAGCGTCATGCGCTGATGCTAGCATACAGGATACACAAATCCATGCAGAAATTACTGATGAGATGCATCAAGATGAGAAAATTTGATATCTCGGCTTGGCACCAAGAACGATCTACAACTACAGTTTCCACCAAGATGCTTTCCTACACGTGTCCTACTAGCACTTTTTCCACTGTACATAGAGATTTGATGTGAAGCGACCAGCCTCGCGCGTCGCAGCAAGCACACCATTGGCTGGCGTAGCAAATGGCGTCAGCGCTACCTCGCTGTTGATGTTGAACAGGGCATCGCTACCACACGGTGACCAGACTGCAGCTGGAACGTTGTCTTGCTTGTAGTATTTGCCATGGAAGGGACCATCGATGCTAAGTGCTGACGATGACTGGCTTTGCTGACCAGAGAAATAGTACGTCGACTTGATCACGCCAGTCACACCACCGTCAAGGTCGCCCCAGCCAGTGTAGTCTGCGCTGAAGATGGCGAAAGAGAAACCGGGGGAGAACTCCAGACCGAGGTTGATTTGGCAGTTCTTTCGTGAGTCTTCTGCGACTTTTCCCGTACCGACGCGAGCGGTGAATTGCTTGTTGAAGTCTGGATGTGGTGATTAGTATGGAGTTGAGTAAACAGGCGCAATGGAAGCTTACAAATGGGCAGAATGCCGTTATCAGTCCAGTTAATATCAATACTGCCTTGGGGGCAACCTGAGCCACCGGAGACGACTTTAGTGATCTTGAACGAGTCGGGTGCTTGGTTTGTCGGGGCAGCAACCGTTACAGCGGCAAGGGCAAGAGCGGTAAGTGTGTACTTCATTGTAGTAAAGTCTCAGCTTTGGTTTTGGTAAGTCGAGAAAAGATTAGGCAATCTGGTAAGCGGTTGCTAGATGATGAAGTCTTGTTCAAAGTGTAGTACTGCTATTAGACCAGAGCAACTGTGGGCCACGACCATCTTATATGTCATTGTATTATCCGGGTACGAGACCTAGAGCGTAAGTAGTACATTCTTCACCACACCTACTCTGGAGAGCCCGTTATGAAAAGCACACAGTCTTGTGGCCCGCAGAGGAAGTTTTCTTATTGGTCACATGCTGTCAAAGGACGGCGAAAGATAGTCACTCGCTACCTGTTAAGAACCTTGCATATCCATCTCCTGTATCGCTAGTTCGGAGATGGCAACAAAGCTGGTAAGTCTGCCATGTTCCTGATATGGGATCTGCCCGTCGATATTGCTCGTAGACTTCTGTACGAGACAGCCGAGAAGCAAGCGAAGGGGATAGCCGTGGAATGCAGGGCAATAGCGCTCTAGAACATGTAGATTCTGGGGTATAGTGCGCACGTCTGAAGCAACCCAAATCCAAAAATAGTTGTTGTGGAAATTATTCTAGCGTGACAAGTACAGGACGGGTTTGGAAGAGGCGAATGTTGTATATATTAGATTGATAGACCCGGTCGAGGTCACGAACCGGACGTTTGACGGCTGATTGTGGGCTGGGCTTTCTGGGGAAGCTTGACAGTCTTAGCGAACGAGTAGGATCACTAGACTTTTTCCAATCAACGACGGTCGTGGGGATGTCGGCAGGAGCTCTCCTTCTAGCGTTCGTATTCATCAATGACAATATCGGTGTTGCTCGTTGTTCGCCGGGTGGTATGTTTTGCGCGATAGTCTTGGGCTGGAAGGTGCGAAATGCTAATACCGGCGCGCTGTGGTCGAGGATACATGTCGGGCAGGAGGCGTTGAGATAACGGGTCGAATGGTTATTGTAGGTGCATGATCTGGGTAAATAGATTGGGAAGCCGCAACGAAGCATAAGCGTACAAGTTCAGTACAGCCGAGGACCGATAAGGCTATAAGCATCAAATAGCAGGTTCAAGTATAATACAATATAATAATCGTATGCAGCAGTAATGCCGCTATGTAGTCCTGGTATCTCCCTGCCCAAGTAATTCCAAAGCCGCGTCCATAATCTCCTAACGCCGTTGAAGTACATTACGTTAATGAAAGTGTTGCGCCAAAACTATGCTGAGGTATCATAATAAAATAAATCGCTTATTGATCAAATGGGAAAGACCTTGCGGAACATCCGCCTCCACTTTGGGACGTTTTCTTCTTCTTCCACATCACTAGCAGGTGCATGACGCGGACCAAGCATAGCCAATGCTCTTTGCCGTGCCCATTCTCGTCTATTATGGGTAGGACCACAATCTTGCGCATTTTGTGGAGCTGGTGCGTTGGGAGGCTGAGGCTGTGATGAGGCATCCGATGGTTGTGTAGTTCCCATCTCAATATCAGGCGGTCGTGATTGCGTTCGCTCGGGTGCACTGAAGATACGTCGGCCGGAAATGGCTCCACCTATCCTACTACCAAGCGACCCAAGAGCAATCGGCGGGCGAGTGAGTGGTGTTGGTACTGTTGCGGAAGACGGCGCAGATGCGGAACCTGGTTGGGTGCTTGCTGTATGTGCACTGCGTGCTCGCATGCGATTGATATGCCGTTCTCGTCGTACCATGACGTTGGTGATCTGGACTGGACAAACTCCAGCAGGCAACACAGTTTGCTTGCACATGGGGCATAGCGAGGAATGATTGAGGAGGAAAGTATCGATGCATTCGGGGTGGAAGATGTGACGACACGGGAGCTCTCGCACTTGTGTTTCGTTGACTTCGAAGTCGTCCATGCAGATTGGACATGTGGGCTGGGACCACGAGGCAGAAACGCTAGACGTGGGCACCGTAGGCATCGTGGGTGCAGACGAGTGGCGGGTCAACTGAGGTCCTTTGTAGCCAGTTTCAGCGTCTACAGCGGCATGCGGAGTATCGAGTGCTGGGTTCAGCGCTTGTGGGGCGGTGGCTTTTTCAGGTTCGTTCGAAGTTGTAGCAGGAGCAGTGTATGTGTGTATGGGAAGTTTGTCAAGGACTTGTTGCGAGACTGTCAGGCGCTTGACGCCCAATGCTTCGAGATCGACCTGACCGTTAAGTACGCGCTCGCGCAGATCGTTGCGTCGCCTTCGTTGGATGATGTGCATGACGAGGGAAGTAATGCTAACGGCGACGAGGAGGATGGCTAGCACGATGACGAGGAAAACCCATAGGCTTGGGAGTTGGCCACCGGAGTCAGTACTGACGGTTGCCCATAGCCGCACGTAGTCGGTAGGCTCGTATATCTGCGAAAGTGTATCGCCATGCGGTACCTGGCTCAAGTTTCCAGAGTACTGGTTCAACTGATCCATGATGTTCCTCCCGGTTATTGACGACAGCGCGTAGGTCGGAAAGTCGTTAGCCGTCTGCCAACTACCACCATCTTGAAGGTTCCACGACGCATCATTGAGCACTGGTGGCTTGGCATTGCTGTCTCCTGGCTGGTATGTGAGGAAGGCTTTGGTGGGATGGTTGCGCGCTGCTGTGAAGTACTCGATGGTACATTGCGCCGAGTACCAGGGCGCAACGGCGATGAGGGCGTAATCCTTGTCAGTCGGGAGGTTGGCTACCCGTGTCGCATTCTCGGGAACATAGTTTCCCTCCTGCTCCCTGCATCCGGATGTGTAGACATCGGGTACGTAGAGTATGCCATATGGGTCCTGGTTGCCGTCGACGCCTTTGGTAGACAAGGTCTGGATGTTGTTGAGGATGCGATACTGGAACGAGACGGATTCGTTGAGGGTATTGAACTGGTTGTTGTCGTAGTCGATGCGAAGAGGATCCGGGAAGTCGATGGTAAAGATACCAATCCTCTGGGCAGCTGTGTGACGGTCAGCGTGTGGTCAGCGTGCTGGTGCCAATGGGCGGCAAAAGTCGTGTGACGTACACATGTTGGGCGCACACTGGACGATTACACAGAGGCGGCTAATATGAGCCAACTACCACTCATTGCCGATAGTCTATGTGTGTAGTGTGGGCGCAGGCAGAGTGGTATTCAGAAGAAAGAAGAAGACGGCGTGGCTGTGGATTGCAGCGTCGGGTGGTTGTAGAGCGGGTGGCTAGGAATGAAGGCTGGTCGGGTACAACAGCGCTGCCGCCCCTCCCGGATGAGATGCAAAAGCGCCGAGCTTAGCAAAAGCTTGTTTCCCTGGCGCGAACAGGAGATTGCGTTAAGAAGGGCAGCATAGGATGCATGCAGGCCCCACTGGACAATTCGAAGAGGAGGCCGTTGTGCATGAATAGTGCCTTACTCGCCGGTGATGACGTTGACATGGTCTTATCGCAGACAGGACGCCTTTTGCGACCTTGGCGTGTCTTCAGGGCTAGCACGAGCCGATTCCCCAGACCGCGAACAACATCGATACATGCGCCAGCAATGCGACAACCGAAGACGCCTACCACGAGCCTCTTTGATACCCGTCCTTGATTAAAATAGAGCCCATGATACCACGCCGGTAGCACTCAGACTTCGGCCGCCATCTCGCGTCTGTCTGCCGTGGGTGGACGCGACTTCCTTCCCCGCATACCCCAACATTCCACAGCGACAAAGCCCAACATGGCTCCTCCAGGCGTGAGTAGCAAGGGCAAGGCGACAAAGCCCGGCAAGCCCTCGCAAGCACCGCGCAGCCGGAATACAACGCCGCTGCCCAATGTACGCACCTCGGTCGAGCCTGCTTCCTCTTCCTCGTACTTTGGAAACCGCCTGAGCTCCTACCTCAAAAAGAGCCCCAAGACGGTCGAGGACATACTAGATGGTGGCGCCAACGGCTCTTCCATTCCAACCGGCAAGCAGCTGCTGTCTATGCGCGACGAAATCGAGAAGACTGTGCTGAAGAACGTCGAGTCACGCTGCGTGCAGTCGGAAGGTGCGCTGCGGGAGCTAATGAACAACAAGAAGAACAGGGCGCCGCGTGAAAGGGAGAAGGACAAGGACGGCGAGGAGCGCGAGCGCAAACACAAGCTCAAGAAGGTGAGCAAGAAACACGACGAGGACGGGAAACACCCGCCTGCAATCGGTGCCCATGGTGTAGCCAGGCAGGACGGCGGTGACGCCAAAGGTGAGTTTGATAGCAGGCAATCACTCGTCCCTTGGGCCTTTACTTTTACCATCACTCTTCGTATGCACTACACTGTATACTTTTCAACATGGCTCCTCTCCGACAACAGTTGATTGTCAAGCTCAAGATTGGGGGCCTCAACAGACATCTGACCTTGCGTACAGACAACTCCTCGGCCATCTCGTCACCAATATCGCAAGCTGCGCCCTCCGCTGCCGGCAACGGGCCAGCAGACGCTCCCTCGCCCAGCGGCTCAGATGTCTCTCACCAACCCGCCCCCGCCCCCGCTGTACCGCAGTTCCAGACTTTCGGCCCTGATCCCGCCAAATTCGATGACCCCACAGTATACCATATACGCGAGGTTACGCCCGGTATGTCCATTGAGGAGAGGAAAGAGATATACTGTGTCGCAGAGTTTCCCAAGCACGATCTCCGCGACAGGATAGCCGGATCACCACCAGCAAAGGACTTCTCCAACGCCAAGCCGCCTTCACAGGTCAATGCCACTGTCTTCGCCAACTACGTTGAACCCTACATAAGGCCCCTCACTGAGGAAGATGTGGCCTTTTTGAGGGAGCGCGGAGACCGCATAGCGCCTTTCGTACTACCCAGACGCGGCCAACGGCACTACAAGGAGATATGGGCAGAGGAAGACGGGTCTATGCACATAGACTCGAACGACCAGCGACCACCACCCAACGTCCCCCGTGGGGCTGCAGAGGACATATCAGACGACGTGCTCGAGACAGATCAAGTGTCTACTGGCCCTCTCCTGTCGCGCCTATTAGCTACATTAAGACCCGAGGGGCGTGGTAATCAGGGTGGTCAACACGAGACGAACGGAACGAATGGAGACGCCATGGACATCGACGAAGGCGCGGGGGCTCAAGCGGACACGACCAACACCAACTCAATACCTGCTGCCGCCCAGCTTCCCGACCTTGTTCAGCCGGGCTGGAAACCTCCGCCACAAACTGGTCGCACCGACTATGTTGGCATGGAAGATCGTGTACTAATGGAGCTGAAGCACTTTGGCCTGATTTCTGAAGTAGACGCGGAATCGCAATCGTACGATTCCCATTTCGATGACGAAGTAGCCCAACGGCTTCGCTTCCTGCAAGAAGAACTTCGCAAACAATCCATCATTAACGGCGCACGAAAACAACGCCTTCTCGAACTCACCGAAGAGCGCATAGCCCAGCAGGAGTACAACACCATAGCCGACGATCTCGATAATCAACTCAACGCCGCATACCTCAAGCGGAACCGCAATATCGGCAAAGGCAAGAAACAAAACAAGCGGCCGGGCGGTGCGGGAGGTGGCAGTCATCCTGTAGCTAACGCTGGAATTTCGAGACCGGGCGTAGGCGAGCCGATTCGGACTCTTATGGAGAGAAGACAACAATGGATCAACACGATAGGACCTGTTGTCAACTACGGAAAGACCGGGTTGCCGACCGAGACCATCTTCGGAGAGGAGAAGATGAAGGAGCTGGAGAACAGAGAGGTGGAGATATGGAATACAGAGGCTGATGAGTAGAAATCCTGGCATCGGTGAATTCAATTGGAGCGGACGGGTGTTAGGGGGTTAGGGCAGGAGAGTTGGCATTTTTGAATGCGCATCCGACTGTTGAAAATGACGACCATTTTTAATGGCGCAAAATAGGCATTCCTAGGTGGAATCACCTGTAGTCAGTCTTTCGGCATATCATAGCGTTAAGGGTGTCAGTACCACACGGGTGGTCTGGAGTTATTGATTGAACTTGCATAAGACCGCGTTCAAGAGTCAGGCGTTAACAGATCGGCTGGCCTCTAGACACCATAAAGCCGCAATCCTAGTTTGGTTTCGAATGAACACCCCATCTTCTTCATTACCCACCTATTGTGGTTAGTCCAGGTCCGCAGCTCTTACACACAGCTTTTCCACGTGTATGCATGCCTGCATGCACGCGCTCATGAGATTAGCGAATATCGAATTTCCCTTGTCAGCCATTAAGATAGCAACCTTGCTGACCATGTGTTTAACCGGTGTCGAGCGACGGTTGCGGCGTGCATATTGGGGCTGTGTCTTCATCCTCGAGCGACCGAGCGAATGACGATACGGTGTTCGCTTACACGTTCGGAAACTGCATACTGCACTGAACAAATAGCCTTGAGCTGCTTGAAAACTTGCCGCAAAGGGGCGTATTTGGTAGACTTGCAAGGTATGGGAACTGGATCTGATAGTTTTGGTACTGTTTCTAGTTGTTGGTTGGGAAGGAGCCGCGGTATCAAGTGCAGTAATACGTAGATACCGAGCTTGGTTTGCTACTTCTAGTACCCTGTTGCTTTACCAAACTACCTTGTAATGTTGTATAGAAGGTGGAACCCTTATCGCGCGACAAGTGGCCCGGTAGCCTGCCTCTAGGACTAGGTATGACAAGTTCAAGGATCGTCTCCACTATCTCAATACTGGTCCGCAGAGCCGCATCTGATCTCTGTCAAGGTTCCTGAATGGGGAGTAAGATCATCTTCTTCAGGTTATCTGATCCATGGACCAGTACCGAGACCTGCATATAGCATCGAATTGCTTCGCCCAACGCACAGACTGAACACGAACCTCTTTGAGTGGATGGAAAGCACACGTGGACTCAGCACCTTGACGACGGGACGCCAATGCTTTCGAAGAATATGCGGGAGTATGTTCACAGAAGCACGACGGAAACACGCATGTGGTAGGATGGTGTGCTGGCCAGTGACGCGGGAAGCTATTTTAAGCTGCAGGTGGTGCTTACCCAACTCGGCTGGCAGAACACTAACCGTAGGGAACTCTGGGAGGGCAGCTCTGGAGGGGTTTGGAGGCACTATCACTCGATCCAAGAACTACACAGGCAGCTGAACATGTTCGATTCCTTTCTCTTGTTTCAAAGCGTATCGTGTTCTTGCTCCACAGCTTTTCAACCACTGTAATCACTACCTGGAGAGCGGATACGGTAGCTCGTCGCAATACTGAGCACACTCAAGATGCTCACAAACGACGCGGAACCACCGTAACTGCTTTAGGCTCAGTTACCGCCCACTGTGGACCTCTCACCTTGGTAGTGGATGCTTTAGAGAACGCTACAAAGTGGATTGTGCAGGTCTGTCAGCACAGTGAGGCTGACACTTCGTCTGTTCATTGGCCGCTGCATCTGCACGAATACCAAGACATATTTTCTTTCGCACAGCCGCCTTACACCTGCATGAGGCACCAACTTCTCTGCGCAATATTCCCAGTTCACCATTAAACCTCAAGAGGGTGGAATCAAGGATCAAGATAGCTGCAGCCGTTGGCGCAGCCAACCGGCATGCGTCATGCAGTGAACAGGCCTTATGAAGGCATGTATAGGTGGCTTGACGGGTAGCAAAGTATCCGGGCTGAGACGTGCGGGTGCGCTAATCATGGCAGATGGTAATACTGCAATGCACGTCTATGCAGTAGATCTAAAATCTAAAATCTACCTACACCACAATGATGCATCCGGGCAAGGCGAGTATCTCAGGACACTTGTTAATATATAAAGGACGGTAGGATGGTCAAGAGCTTAACTTGGCCACAAATGGTTGGTAGTATAACATTCAACTTATATCTCACCCGACACGGACTCTCCGAAAGAGGCTGCATCGTCGACTATAATGTCTCTTCCATCACGGCCGTTTCTCTGGCGCGCACCGATCATGATCGACAGAAAAAAGACAACACTCAAGATGTCTTCGCCTACTTCAGCACCCAAACCATCTATACCCAGGAAGCACAACAACCCGAAGCTCCGAGCTTCTTGCGATTCTTGCGCTGCATCGAAAGTTAAGTGCAGCAAAGAGCATCCGACCTGTGCACGTTGCTCCATCATCAACTCGCCATGTATATATGGTGTCTCGAGGAAGCACGGAAAGCCAGGCCGAACGAGGAAAAGAAACCCAGATGGAACTCCGTTTGTCAAAGCCGCGAAGCAACTCTTATCCCCAGGGATTAGCGAGTTCAGCATATTTAGCCTTCAGTCAGAACCTACTCTTCAGCAGACAGATATAGAAATCACATCGAATTGGGCTTCCGACTGGTCGCCTACACCAAGTTTATCGGTCACTCCAGGCTTCGACTTTGAAACTGCACCAGAATCGTCATTCGCAAGCGACGTTCATTCAGATACCGCCTATATGGATAATGCTGTCCTACCGACACAATCAGCTCAACCAGAACCAAGGTCAACCATCGAGTCGAACCACCTCTTCCGAAACCCTTTCGTAGAAGGACAGATAGTGCAATCTGAGTCTCCCAACTGGCAAGCTCTCGAAGAGTACGTAGGTGGTAATGACGTAAATCCTGTGGACTATTACCCTACCGGTCCAGAGACCACGGAGCACCTACGTTCTGTCTCCTCTATCTCCGTACCGTACGGCCCTATGAGTCAGGCCACTAGAATGCATGACGCTATGCCACCGCATCTCAACTCCTCGATGTACAACTCACACTGCTGTTACACGTCGGCCTGTTCAATACTCGATAGCCTGAGGCACGTGAGGCATATTCATCCAGCTTCTATAAAGGGGTCGTACCATGCCGTTCTTCCGACTGCTCAGTCAGCGATAAGGGACGTCTCGCAGCTCCTCAAGTGCCCTTGCTCTTCAGACCCTCACCTCGCTATGCTATACTCAAGCATAACATCCAAGATTTTGACCTGGTACCAAACTGCCGCTGGTGTAAATCCTGCGAGCCAATCCGGTACCTCAGTATCGGCATCATTGCCTTGGAGCGGCTGCCAGTCCTTGTGCTCTGCTCGGCCTGTTTTTCCACCCCCATCCGTACCGCGCACTAGCGAGGGTGAGAACTTCAATCTGTACATGCAGCCATCTCAGCATCAACACTTTGACTTTGAAGATCTTGAGCAGCAGAGATACAAGAGACGGGCGATACTGCATGAGCTAAGAGGTTTGGGACAGCTCGTCCAGGCACTAGCTAACTGGAGAGGGAAAAGCCCAGCTTGCGGGCAGGCAGAGTACCTGTATGATATACTAGGCGGGTGGCTGAAGAGCGAAATATACAAGACAGTAAAAAGTATTGAGAGCAGGGATTCTCAGATGATCTGAATAACTAGAAAGCGGTAAATATTGTAATATAAGCCTGGGGGATTATATCGAAGGCTTTTGTTCGCGGTATAGTAATCATGGTGTCCCATGTGCGGTAGTTGCCGGACTTGTTACGTAGTAATCTTAATCATGAAGCTCTGATCTTGTAATATTTGAGCATTAGCACGACTCTTACCAAATTGATCACGGCGTAGAAGTTGAGACGGAAACAAAAACATGGTTTTGAGGCGGCGTTCGTGGAGCTAGTGTGGAGCCATATCCCCGGATTTCCCCAGTGCACGTGGCACATTCACATGCCTCGGCTCAAACGGTAGCGAGCATCATAGCACTTACTCACATGCCAGGTACACCATCTCTAAACCTCCACCACCGCTTTGACGGCCGAGAAATGACAGCCTTCCCAGAGAGGATGTACACGGTCAACAATGGCCGCTCAGTCTACCTTACGACAGCCTCATGACCCTCTCTTAGCACTCTACGACCACTATGCTACGCTCCTCAAGTCGCGGGTCCGCGGCGCGTCTAAGCTCACGAAGCTGCTATCCACCATCACTCTTCTGTTCACCATCATAGGTGCAGGCTATGGGGGGACAAGATGGTACAAGAGCCGGCGCGCAGAGAAAGAGACGGGTCGACGATTACTGAGGAGGAACTCCGGCCTCAAGAACAAAGACGGCTCCAGGACAATCTACGTCCCCTACCGCGACTCGACGTCTAAGGTGGTCATCCATCCCACCAAGCAAACCACCTTCGATGCGCATCGTAGACTCTTCCTCCAGCCTCCACGCGCAGCCCGCATGGCTGATACCACGTCGAGCGACCCGCAAGCGCCGCCGCCGCAAACTAAGCCGGGCCTCAACTTGGCTTTCCTACACCAGTTCCTCAGCCTGCTGAACATCATGATACCGCGTTGGAACAGCAAGGAGACTGGTCTGCTGGTCAGCCATAGCGTCTTTCTCATGCTACGCACATACCTCTCCCTAGTGGTGGCGCGTCTCGACGGAGAGATCGTGCGCGATCTCGTCGCAGGCAACGGCAAAGCATTCTTATGGGGAATAGTCAAGTGGCTGGGTGTGGGCACATTCTCCTCGTACACGAATGCTATGATCAAGTTCCTGCAGAGCAAAGTTTCCATCGCCTTTCGGACACGGCTCACAAGGTACATTCACGACTTGTACCTGAACGACCATTTGAACTACTACAAGCTACAAAACCTAGATGGAGGCGTAGGCGTCGGAGCAGACCAGTATATCACGCAAGATTTGACGCTATTTTGTGCAAGTGCAGCATCGCTGTATTCGAGCTTGGGAAAACCGTTTGTGGATCTTTGTGTGTTCAACTACCAGCTCTACCGTTCTCTGGGACCACTAGCGTTGACGGGGTTGCTGAGCAATTACTTCCTCACAGCGACGGTGCTACGGAAACTCTCCCCGCCCTTTGGCAAACTGAAAGCCGTCGAAGGACGAAGAGAAGGCGAGTTCCGCGCCCTGCACTCTCGACTCATCGCAAACGCCGAGGAAGTAGCTTTCTACGGTGGTGACGAGATGGAAAAGCACTTTCTTGAACGTGGCTTCAAGGACCTCAAACACTGGATGGAGGGCATCTACAGCCTCAAAATCCGGTACAACATGCTTGAAGACTTTGTGCTCAAGTACTCATGGTCGGCTTTCGGATACCTTGTTACGTCGCTCCCCGTCTTCTTGCCTGCATGGGGTGGTGTAGGGGGAACACCGGAGCTACCTGGAGGTGAGAAGTCACACCGCGAGCGAAGTCGCATGAAGGACTTTATTACAAACAAGCGACTTATGTTGTCTCTGGCGGATGCTGGTGGCCGTATGATGTACAGTATCAAGGACCTCTCTGAACTCGCTGGCTACACTTCACGCGTCTACACCTTGATCAGCACACTCCACCGTGTTCACGCAGACGCATATTACCCCCCACCTGGCACGCGACCTGAATTATATTCCGTTTCCGATATCCAAGGCACTGTTCACAAGGGTTTCGACGGTATCCGTCTCGAACATGTTCCAATAGTCGCCCCAGCCCTACACCCCATGGGCGGCGAAGAACTCTTGGAATCTCTATCTTTTATCGTTCATTCCGGCGAACATCTTCTCATCACCGGCCCCAATGGCTGTGGCAAAAGCGCCGTCGCGCGCATCGTCGCCGGTCTCTGGCCAGCATATCGTGGACTTGTTAGCCGTCCTCGCAGCATCGGCGTAGATGGCATCATGTTCCTTCCCCAACGACCTTACCTCTCCACCGGCACTCTCCGCGATCAAGTCATCTACCCCCATACCGATGCCGACATGAAAGACGCGGGCCGCCGCGACTTTGAACTTTCCCAGGTCCTCGAAGAAGCGAAACTAGGCTACCTGCCCGACAGAGAAGGCGGCTGGGACACGAAGAAAGTATGGAAAGACGTGTTTAGCGGCGGTGAGAAGCAGAGAATGGGTATTGCGAGGTTGCTTTATCATGAGCCGCGATATGCGTTTGTGGACGAGGGGACAAGTGCAGTTAGTAGCGATGTCGAAGGCCTGCTCTATGAACGCGCAAAGGCGAAAGGGATAAGTATGTTTATTCCACCAATCTCTCTCTCTCCAACATGACATGGACTGACTCGGCTACTCTAGCATTAATCACAATCTCCACCCGCGCCTCCTTGAAACGCTATCACGACTACACATTAACCCTCGGCATGGGCGACCATGGTGACGAGTGGGACTTTCAACGCATAGGCACGCAGTCTGAGAAGTCGAGTGTAGATAAGGAGCTAGTAGAGTTGAGGGAGAGGTTAGCCAAGGTAGAGGAGTGGAAGAAGAGGAGAGAGGAGATTGAGGCAGAGTTGAATAGGGTGTGGGTAGAAGGGAAGGATGGAGAGGGTGAGAGCGAGAGCGAGGAATTGGCACCGCCGCCGTACCTCGAAAGAGACGAGGAAGATGATACAATGAATGCAGACGATGGTGGTCAGGAGGAGGCGGTCGAGAGTGGTAGTGAAGAGACATCTACGTCTAGTTAACCTTGTTGTCCAAATATAGACAGATTCCAATACTATAAAGAGAAATGAGTAGACCCTGGGGCTAGTCTAATTGTGCGATGTCTTCTCAAACGCATGTTTGCAGGGTTCGAAAAAAAAAGAGGTAGGCAAAAACATACAACAGCGGGGATTCGCCAGTGGTCACCCACCTGACTACTAATCCGCCGGTATCTTGCTTAACTAGGGCTGAGCGAACGGGAAGCCGTGATCTCAAGATCCTATGGTCGTATGTGACAGTTTTGATCATCCAACGAGTTGATATTCCTCTGGTGTAGGTTTTGATAGCGTATCCCTAAAGCTTTCACAGGGCCCACTCAGCTAACAACACCCCCCACTTTTTCAGCGCGATTGTACAATTGTCTTATTGCTCTTTCTCTCGTGGAGAAACGGCAGACTATGCAAATGTTATTCGCTCTTTATATGATTGTACAACTATTAATACATTTTTCTTTTGCTTGGACTCGCTCGCTAAAATCTAAAAGCCGTCTACTAATACTTCTTCTTTCGGTGCCGCACATGAGGATCTTGACCCTTCCGATTCCTCTTTTGCCGGTCCGTTGGCGGCCGATACGGTTCTTTACCGTATTCTTCCCGGTACAAGCTAAGCATGTATTCATCGACATGTCTGCGTTCTTTTTCATTACCGTCAACATCGAGGTCTTCGTCCGCTTTGGCGGCAGCGGCGGCTTCAGATGCAGCCCTCGTGGCGTTGAGACTCTCGTTGAAGTCGACTTGGTCCTCCTGGATCTCGTCCACAATCTCCTTTTGTGCAATGGAAGCTGCAGTACGATCCTCCGTGTCTTCCACAGTGCCCATGACACGTGCATCGCCTAAGAGTCCAATCTTCTCGCCGAGCACACGTTCCATAGCCGCGCCTGCTTCGTCGGTAGTGTCAATGCCCATGTTCTCGTCAAGTGCGTCACGCCAGGTGACTTTGTTGAAAGTGTCAGTGGTGAAATCACCCTTTTGGATGATGACATCGTCGAGAAGACGTTTTTGGTTCGACTTGCGGAGGATGTTGGCTTCGATGGTGTATTCACTGACGAACTTGTAGATGTGCACGTCGCGCGTTTGACCGATGCGATGAGCTCGATCTTGACATTGCTTGTCCATTGCGGGATTCCAATCAAGATCATAGAAGATGACGCTGTCAGCACCTGTAAGATTGATACCGAGACCACCAGATCGAGATGACAGGATGAAGCATAAGATGCGAGGGTCAGTGTTGAAACGATCGGTAAGAATCTGGCGCTGTTCGATCTTGGTAGATCCGTCAAGACGCAGGTAGCGGTACCCATGGATGTTGAGGAATTGCTCAAGGATGTCGAGAACCTTTGTCATCTGAGTGAAGATGAGCGCACGGTGACCACCAGCTTGTAGATCTCGTAGGAGCGTTGCAAGACGCTGAAGCTTGCCACAATCGTATTGAAGAAGACGCTTGTCTGGGAAGGCGATGGATTGTCTGATGCGTGAAGCATGGAAGGGGTCTTTCTGGTGTGCTGCTTCCGACGATTGGATCAGCTGAACACCGCGCCTGGACAAGGTCAGAGGAGCGAGCTCCTCCGCTGCAACAGCAGGTGTGACACATGTGAAGCGGGTGATGAGAGGCTCCATGGCCTCAGCGCGCTGTTCCAGTGTCGGAATCATATCGTGGAAGTGTGTAATCTGTTGATCGTGCCAGTGTGATAAGACACGATGAGAACGTGGTGATCTGAACCCGAGAACACCATGATGTTGGCGAACGATGTCGTAATGAATTGCTTCCTCTTGTTTCGGTTGCATTTGCGCCTGACCGAAGCCGTGATAGGTGGGATGCGGAGTGTGGTGCGTTCGGTACAAGAGAGGCTTAGCTATCTTCTTCCCTTCTGTGATAGCCCCAAACGTGAAGTCGTGCCAATCAACCGTAACTGCGTCAACAATGTCCTTTCCGTATATCGGCATGAACTGGGTACGAGCACGAGTGAGATTGAGACACGTTTGCAAATGATCTCGAACGGCCACTTGTTCTCGCCTGGCCATGGCTGCTATGGTCGATTGTAATGAGGATGCACCCTTGTCGATCGGTTTGTTGATGCGTCGTGTTTGGCGCTCGATCAAGTCTTCTAGAGGTCGTGTGGCACGGATAGGGTAGGTACGTCGAGCATGACCCAATTGAGTCTGTTCCCGTCGCGCAAATACTAGATTTAGAGCGTCTAGATTCACTTGCTTGTCTTCCATGCCTTCTTGCAAGCGCTTCCTGATGAGGAGGTCTTTGATTTCGTACTGAGCAGCAACTGACTTGGGCATGGCCATGGACGTTACAATAGCTCGTGTTTCGAACAGGTCGGGGTGATTGCAGACTTTTCGTAATGACATTAAGCAATTGATAATCGACATGTAGTTTCCGGAGGACAAGATCTCCTTGGTCGAAGCGCGGCCCATGAATCCGTCATAAAGCTGTCGTTGACGCTTGGAAAGCTTGCAGTATACAACATGCTCATATTTTCCTGGCATTTGCTTTTCAACCTCTGACTTCAGTCGTCGAAGTAGATATGGGCGAAGAACTTCATGAAGCCGCTTGACTACCTTCTGCGCTTCTGCGTCGAGTTGTTGCCGACCCTGATCGAGAATCTGCGACGTGGGATTCTTCAATGCCAAGGTAAACTCTTCTAGCCCCGCAATGCGACCCTCTCCAGCGAAACCTGCTGGCATCAAGAAATAGAGCAACGACCAAAGCTCGTCGATATTGTTTTGCAGAGGCGTACCGGTCAACAACAGACGCCGCTCGGTCCGAAGGTTAAGCATAGTTTGCCATCGTTGGGATTTGAAGTTCTTGATGTTGTGGGCTTCATCGAGCACCAGGTAACGCCAGGGCCGCATCTTGAATGCTGCTGCATCCTGGAGGATGAGCTGGTAGGAGGTAATGACAACATTGTACATGTCCTTTCCAGTGTTGCGCCAGCCTAAGCGCTTTCGCTTTCGCTCGTTGATGTCGCCATAGTAAGTCAGAATCTTGAAGCCTGGCAGGAACTTCTTGAACTCCATTTCCCAGTTGAGCATGACACTGGTGGGTACTACGACTAAATGCGGCCCCCATATCTCGCGACGAACAGCAAGATATGCGAGGAGCGAAATGGTCTGTATAGTTTTACCCAGTCCCATTTCATCGGCTAGGATTCCGTTGGTCTCAGACTCGTAAAGGTTCGCCAGCCAGTCCAGCCCGTCGTGCTGGTATTCTCGAAGAGTGCCGCGCAGCAGCGATGGGACTTCAGTCCTTGGTGGGGAAGACGTATGCTGAGATCGGGAAACACTCTTGGACTGCACTGTGTCTTCCATTGGAGTTGATTCAGCCACCTCGACAGAAGGAGCAGGCTCTGTTACAGTGTTCCCGTTGACGTTTGGTTCATCTACCTCGGCGACGGAATCATGACCATTCAGATGAGGCTTCTCCTCGGTGACTTCCATGGGCGACAAAGCATGTCCGTTCGGCTGCCCTGGTTGAGGGGTGGGATCTTCCGTTTTGACCTCGTCGATTGCAGTATTGGCGGCTTCTTTTAGTTTCTTGATATCTTTAGGTGCCAAAAAGCCCATCATGCCCAAATCTTCTCCCTCGCTCTCGTCATCGTCATCTTCTACTTCCGATTCGCCTGCTTCCTCGCCATCGCCATCACTTTCCGAACCTTCGTTGCTCGACCAGGCTTCGCTACCGGATTCTGAGCCTTTGTCATCGTCGTCGGAATCCAGCAAAGCATCGTCAACTTGATCAAGCTCAATAGTAGCAGGGTCAATGTAACCTGGCTTCTTCTTGTCGGCATCTTCGTCGTGGTCGTGGAAGCCGTTGGTATGTGAAAATGGGGTTTCCGGAAGTTCGCTCTTATCTTCAACTTCGAGATCAGGATCAGGCGTCGGCGCAGGAGTACCTTCTTCAATATCGGCCTCTTCCACCATCGCCTCCTCATCGTCCTCTGAGTTCGCCTCGGCCTCGGAGCTACTTTCTGGAAGATCAGGAAGTTGCCCGTATTTCTCGCGTAGTTGTTCGGCCGTTAGGTTCGCATCTTCGTCCTGCTCGTTTTCTTGTTCGCTGTCGGAGCTGGAAGACATTATATCGTCGTCGTGCTGCTGTTCCAAGGCGTTCGACACCCCACTTTCAGATTCCATTTCATCGAAGTCACGGTCCTCGCTGATCAGGGAAGATGCGCCGTCGCCAGCGTTACGACCCCCCAGAATCTCTTGCGCCTGATTGAACATGTCATCCATAGCCTTGTGCCCGAGCTGCAACTGCTCCTCTTCATATTTGGCGACACGCTCCTTGTCGATCTCAACCTTGACCAAGCCCCACGCGTCCTTGACATCTTTCACAAGTTGCTTGTATCTCGTCACCTGTCGCTCAGTTTCTTCCTGTTCAATTTCATCTTGACTCTTGCGCTTGAACTTGTTCTTCCAGAAGTCATATGCCTCTCTAGCCAGGATCTTAGCCGTCCGCCGATGCGCCACCTTTTCTTCCTTCAGTAGCTTGCCAAAGTGCAGAGCATGCGCAACCACATGGTCCCAATGACCGTACTGTGGCGGTGGTTCTGGGGCTGCTTCGGGTGCATACACACTGCATCGTGCTTGGCTCAAAACTCCATGCTCAGCAGCTTCGACGATCTGTAACCGGCGCTCGGCTTCCTCCTCAGCCTTCTCTTGTGTTATTCGAAGCGCCTCCTCGCCGTCCAGCGGATCGTCCTGCCCTAGCCACTCTTCGAGCGATGCATACTGGGACTTGGGTGGGGCATGGGCGGGATGGCGGTTCGGAGGATCGGGCTTTCGTAGTCGCAGGCGAAGACGAGGGGCAGGCATTGATGGGTTTGAGTCGTCGGGCGATCCATATAGGCCGGCATAGGGGTCGTGTCCGTTCGTTTTGGCGTCGTCCATGGGCTCATCACCTAGTTGGTCAGTAGGTGCCTGGGCGCCCCTCCGAGAGCGTCCGACTCGCTTGCGCGTACCCTCGGGCGACCCATTTTGCAATGCTGGCGATGCAACTGGCGATGTTGTCGCAAGTCCTGAAGACTTTTTCTGACGCTCAGATTTGCGCGCAGGCGTTACCAGTGATTGTGCAGAGGCCTTCTTGGTGATGGTGGATGGCGTCCTCCCTTTCGGGACAGACATGGGCCCTGAACCATTGCGCGACTCCCGCTTTACACCATTCTTAGGGGTGCCATTCGTCTGCGTCGTCTTACTGGCCGGTCGTGAGTTTCTCTTTACAGGCTCTGGCGTAGGTGGTGCCGTGTCCTTGTTTACGCGTGACGATTTCCTAACACCATTCTCGAACACAGTCGTCGGTCCATTAGCGACGAAGGACTTCCAGGGCGGCGATGTGGCGCGTGATGCTGAGCGACGCGGTGTGGTGTCTTCGAGTTTCCGCCGCTTTGCCGGTCGCTCAATGACGCCACCATCATGGCCATTTACAGGTGCCGACTGCTCTTCCTCCTTGATCACAGTTGCGCTATCATTGTCGATGACTTGTCCATTGTGTGGGATATCGGATGCGTTGTGTGCGTCGGTCGAGTTGCGTGGTGGGATGGAGTCGATGTCGCGATCCGCGGCGGTAACTTCTTCCATTCAGGAAGGGCGAGAGAGGCGGCCTGGGGAGCCTGGAGACCACCCGGCGCGCGGCCAAATCGACATATATCAGCTCAGATTCGGGATCGCAAGATAGTCTGGCACGTGCTGATGACGGTGAAGGGGTCAGATTTCAAATTAAGGTTCGCGTTGGGATGATGCGGTGTTATGTCGAAGTCGTGAGATGTTAAAAACAGAGCCGGCGATAATGTTTGGTAGGGATCACGCTAAATACCGGCACGGGCGCGCATGCCATCCCTTTGACGTGAACGACGGCAAGATAGTAATTTCTGTGCCTCTGAATACTGTGATTGTCGCTGTCTAAAGTCTCCGCAAATTCTCTCAGGCAGGCGTCTAGCTGTTAAGTCGCGTAGACGCCTTTCGTGTTACGTCCATGACGGATTGTGGTAGTACGCAGAGCAGTTAGACCCACTTATTCGCCAAGCATTACCGGGGTGCCGTAACTGAGCTCATCGCGGACGACACACCAACACTGTAATCCATCTAACCCCCGCCATTGCGCCACAACGTACGGAGACACTGAATACGCATATCGTCGAGATACTCACTGGACTTCAGCATGCTTCCCAGGCGCATTGTAGCGGCTCGCCCGCTGGCTCGAGCCATCGTCCCCGCCGTAGCCCGACCACGACCCCAATTCACACAAATCCGAACCGCCCTCACCGATGCCGAGAAGAGCGCGGTTGAGCTCGCTGACCCGAACCAAGTACGCTCCCGGACTACATGGAAGGAATGAAGGATGCAGTACTGATAGTGATAGAATGGCGGCTACGTCAACCCTCCCGCTGAGAAGCGAGGAAACCGCGACCCATATGGCGATTACTGGGACAAGCAGGAGCGCCGCAACTATGGCGAGCCCTGCCACGAGGATAACGATATTCTCGGAGTCCTAGCCCTGCACGACTACAACCACTTCTCCCCCCAATGGGGCTTCGTCCTGATGGGCACATTCATTGCGACTGTCTTCGGACTCTGCGCAGCTGTTGGTACCATCTACCCCGACAAGCTCAGTGCTCCCAAGACATACCCAGATGGTTTGGAGGCCGAGCTGGGCGGGAAAGGTGCATTGCTGGTGAGTTTATGATCAGAAGTTGAGGATTATCGCTAACTGTGTACAGGCAAGGAAGCCCGGTGAGGGCTGGTAAATTGTATGCAGACTCAACTGATATGTACATACAACCGGAATGGAATTCTCTTTGTCAATTCAATACCCAATTATCATCCTAGGCTAGCTGATGTTGCTTATTATCACCACCTCGTCTCAGCTACTAATGTTTCCATGCTTTCTCGATTCATAGCATCACTTACTTAAAAACCGGGAAATATCGTGTCGATACGCGATTTCAGGAGCGAACTACAATAATGCTGCTCTAGGTCCTGGATAGTGGGTCCTGGAATATGCAAGACCAGTGTTGCTTCGCACCTATCCAGGGGAACCATGGGCCACTACAGCGTGGCAGCAAATTATGGATATAACCTCCTAGACCCCAAGTATCCCACACTTTACTCCAATGGTTCGAGAGAGCTCAGCATTCTATTGGTTGTATCTCTTTTCACCCTTGCTTGGTACTCGCTCTATCGGGTATCCGCCCAGGATGCTTGCCAGGATCTGATTGGTCAATCCACATATTGTATACAAGCAATCAACATACTCATGTACGGCAGTTGAGTTTGGAACCTTCTACAGGCAATGATCCTTCGATAGAACTACCCGATACGGTGAACCGTAAAGATGATGTGGGGTGAGTTCCATGTGGAGACCTTGCTACGGACGTCACACTTATATATTACTATACGCCTTTACTACAAGAGTACTTCCCCTGAGCTTCAACACCTGCATTTCACGTTTTTTTCCATCCACATATTTTCGAGTCCTTCAGGGCACCTGATCGTCAACATGTATTGGTCCTCGCTTGCGCTCGCGCTTACCCATTTCTTCAACGATGCCGCGGCTTCGCCCTCTCGTGACCTCAAGGCACGACAGTTTGCAACAGCCGCAATGTTGCGCTTTCAGTGCTCACAGTTAGTCTACGATCGTATAGATCCACTCGTCCAGCCCGGCATCGCACCCTCAGCACACATGCGTAGGTAGCATCCACATGCGAGCTCTATGCAATACGTATACTGACTGTGTACATCAACATCTAGACCAGATTGTCGGTGGAAACGCATTCAACGTCTCCATGCCACCACTCGATCTCGATCCTAGCACAGAAGCCACTTGCACGACTTGTGATTTCGCTGAAGACTTCTCAAATTACTGGACTGCAAACCTCTACTTCAAAGCGCGCAACGGTACCTTTCAACGTGTCCCGCAGATGGTCAACTTGGGTCTTCAAGGTAGAGAAGGTGTTACCGTATACTATATCCCGCCGTACGATGGAAAGAGTACCGTTACCGCTTTCCCCAAAGGCTTCAGGATGCTGGTTGGTGATCCAGGATTGAGAGTCAAAGAGGGACAACAGAAGCAGCTTTGCCATCGGTGCTTCACGAACAAAGAACAAGATCCCTTCGGTGGCGCGCCATGTATTGGGGAGTTTGATACTGCGGGATTGCCACCAAAGATGTGTGGAGGTGGAATCAGAACGACTATCACGTTTCCAACGTTCGTTCACTCCTTCTGTCCAATCTTTTTGTAATGCTAATATTGTATATAGATGCTGGGACGGAAAGAACCTCGATTCTCCTAATCACAAAGACCACGTCGCATACCCAACATCCGGGTCTTTCGAATCCAATGGTCCCTGCCCAGCGACACACCCCGTACACATGCCTCAACTCATGTACGAAGTCATGTGGGATACCACACCTTTCAATGACGCGGCCCTCTGGCCTGAAGACGGGTCACAGCCTTTTGTATACAGTATGGGCGACGCGTGAGTAACCGGTAGCAACTATAGAGTAAAGCAAACACTGCTAACAATACGATAGGACTGGTTACGGTCAACATGGCGATTATGTCTTTGGTTGGAAAGACGGCGCGCTGCAGAAAGCTATGGATCAACGCTGCTTTCAGAATACCTGTACGGGGTTGAAGACTCAGAGTGCTGATGTATCGACAAAGTGTGGGGTGCCACAAGCTGTGAAGGAACCGGTTGATGGGTGGCTTGAGCAGTTGCCTGGTGGGCCGGTGGTGACTTATGGGTGATTCAAGCGAAGTAGGAAATTTCAGGAGGGCAATGATGATAAGAGAGGGTTATGTGGGTATGGCGTAAATTCATTTTCACAAGTGGTTAAACTTTCGTTTCTTTTATTGACCGTTATAGAAGAAAAATGACTCAATTACAGGTCGATATGGTCGCTTCTAAAGCTACCCAGAAAAACAACAGAACAACGCTCTAGCAATCGTGCGTACCGCTTGGGCCAACGAAATGCGTATCAAAGTCCCTTGCGCTACCAGCGGTGTCAGTCGCTGCGTGGTCACAGTGGTCCGTGATGTATTTCATGTCCGTTACGATATCTCCGCAGGAAGCACAGAATTGGCCATTTGTCTGAAAGCGTTATTAGAAAAGCTCTTTCTGGTTTAGACGACTAGAACATACCTTGTTGCATAAGAAGTTACCCCATCTAAACGAGCAAGCTGCGCGGTCACACGTCCCCGCACCACCATCCACACAGCAGTTCGCACGATCGAGGTCTTTCAGGTAAATGTAATTGTTGACGATGCACATGCCATCGACGGGCATTCGGGCGGCGCTGCTCACGAAGAGGCCGTCATCTTCGGGATGGCAACGGCGTCGATCATGGTCTGTTGGTTCATTTAGTCAAGGGTGTTAAAGGGTGGTTAGGAGGAACAGGAAACTACTTACAATGTATACCAGAAGGCATATAGTGGCAAGGAAAGAGTTCATGTTAGCAAAAGACTGTGCTGATGGGCACGTCGTTCGGTTGGGCTGTTCGTTTTCGAGTGAAAGAGTTGAAGGAGAATAAAGGAGAGAGATCAACGGCATTCTTATACTTAAGTGCTGTGGCTCTGATAAGAAAGACACCGCTATCCACTAATGGTTTGCATTGAATTCCCTATTAGTTGCCTTGTGTACGCGCACAACAAAAGGTCATCGCGCAAAGGTTTTGTAGTGAGTAACTGAAGTTGGCGTCTGGACAGATCACACACGCTGTAAGAGTACACGGTATAATATGTAGTGAAGAGGCTATACCTAACCCTGAAGACCTACGAAAAAGAGGTTCAAGTATATAATAATAATCAAGCGTTCACAAAAGAGCTCTGACAGAAAGCTTGTTCAAAACATACCTAAAGCTTGGAGTAACAAACTAATAAGGGCAGGGACGTAGTGTCGTGATTACAAGTGAGTTGGGGTATAAATCAGGTAATGAAGTCGCTTTCCAAGTATAATAGTACAGGCTGGAGGTATTCAGTGGGTGGATAGAAAATAGACAGACATCTAATACCTCACTCTGGCAGACATCGGCTCCATTAGATACTTCATCCTCTCAGCCGCCTCCTCCTCCGCCCACTTCTGCCGTTCAGGATCTATTCCCCCCTCTTCATCTGATCGCTCATCAGATACTTCCGTCTCCTTTCTCCTTCTCGCCCTCTTTCCCCTCTGCGAGCGGCTAGTCTTCGTGAAAGGTCTCATTCGAGAAGACGGCCGCCCCTGATTAGTCGTCCTATCAGACTCCGGCTCGAAATCGTGGACATGGAACAAATCGCACAGCTTTCTTTTCATGTCTTCGAGCCAGTCAAGTACGTCGTCCTCAGACCGATCTCCCGAGAAAGGCACAATTTCATCCTCGTTTGCGGCAATTAAGCAGTCCATCATGAATTCTTTCGGCAGGTCGTCCTTCCAGTTTTTCGTTTCCTGCTTCGTCCCAATATTTACAATGACGTCGACAATAAGACTTCGCAGCGAAGAGTTTGAGCTAGTGGCTTTATATATGTCATGGATGTATTTATACGGGAGGCGATCGGGATTGTCGATAATGCGGAGGAAGAACTCATCTAGAGCCGCATTTCGCAGCGTATCGATCTCGTAATCTTTTGCAAATTCGAAGATGTCGATGAGGGTGCCGAAGGAAAACCGCCGATCTGTGGTCTCATCTGAGTCGGGATGGTGAAGGTGACTAGTCTTCATAAAATCGATGTAGATGCGAAAGAGGCGAGGCGAACTATTGGGAACGACGAAGTGCTCTGAGGTCCCATGCAGACTAAACACGTCAGTATATTTTCATTCGGTGCGAGATGTGTAACAGTGTGCTGGATGCTTCCACACTAAGGTATTGGAAGGTGAAAGGACGGAACTTACTGGTCATGGAAGTAGTCCGACGTGTTGCGCAGCTGTCTCAGACGCACTTCAAGCACCTCGGTGTCGTCGCTATATCCTACTTCTAGCGACACCATCTCTTAACCGATCCGATTCTCAGAGACTACGGAGCGGATGCTACAAGGTACGCGAGAGTTCGACATCGTGATTTCGCGTATACACGTGTTGTTGACGTTGATCTATATATGAATATTGAAGGTCAGGAGAGAAGATGGAAAGTCGCAACGGAGATGACAAGTTCAATAATCGTCAAAGTGGGGTCACCTTAATGTGCGCAAACGGTGAAGTGAAGGCGAAGAGGCGCATCCCTTAATAGGGATATGTGAACGTACACCGAGAAGATGATGCAAGGGGACGCATTGATAGGCTACATAGCGGACTTATATGTATATGGAGAAGAAAGTGTGTTCAGGCGACATCTGACATTCGATTGAGGATGGTGACGTACCCACATGCATGTATCCCACAACTGACATCCAGGAGCAATCCTGAGCATGCTCACAAGAGTCAGAAGCCTAGATGCTCCTTCGCGCACTTCGATCCTTCTTCCCGTTCCGTAGACCCGCTTTGCTTTCGAGTCGACCCAGAAAGGGTGCACCCTGTAAGAATGAATCGACAACATTTGCGGTATGTTTTTGCGCTTACGATACGGCTACTACGTTCCACAAAATATCCCGTGGAGCCTTTTTGCGCTCTTCAGCGGGCACTGCCATGTTCTTTCGTTGGAGACTATCCTTTCCATTCCAGGTACCTAACCAAAGCTATCAAGATAGGTCCAGCGAGGCTCGGGCGGGAAAACTAGAAGACCGTCTTTGTGTATGGTGTATCTTCTAAATCCGGAATTTGTAAGTGACTCGTCATTTATGGGTCAAAGTCGTGGAGACCAATGGTCCACCGATCCTTATCGCAATCGACGCCGGCTCGGAAGGGCAGGCGTCGCTTCCGTTAGCACACAGACAAGACCCACATCGACGGACGGCACACCTGCCTACATAAAACACCATGGATATCATCTAGCTAGCTATCCTACTTCATATCATCCCATATCTGAAAAAGCACGTATAGACGCCTCGCTGTCCGTTCCACACACATAACATGAAGCCCGGATGCCACCAATAATACATTAGCTAAGTATGCCACCCAACGCCCGAACAACGCACAATGATGCAGAGGTATCAGAAAGGAGAAACAAACGCCAAAACAGTGACATATGGCCGGAGGAATGGGCTTTCTTTATCGGCGTGGACCCATACCGCCTGTCATGCGACCACCACCAGCGTTGAGACTCTGCCGAACAATCATTTCTGCGGCCTGCGCAGCAGCAAGGCGTTCCTGTTGTTCGTTAGTGACTTCGACTTTGTAGGATAACACGGCGATACATACCTTTTGCCTGCTTCTGTCCTTCAGGTACCGCTCCGCCTCAGGCCTCATTCTCAGTATTCTCAAGATCATGTCGTCATTAGGCTCAGCCTGCGCTTCCTTTCTCTTCTCCTCCTTAGCTTTCTTCATCGTACCTAGGTTTCGCGATAACATGATGGTTTTGTGTTTCCTAGTCGGCATTCCAACGAGTCCTGCGGCACCACCGAACTGGTGGCCCATAGCAGGCGGTGCCGACATGCGATTGAGGCGTTGCGACTGTTCTTGCTGTCGTCTTGCACTGGCAGCGGCCATCGATTCAGATGTGCGTATCAGATCCTCGGTGGGTTCGAAGTAGAAGAAGTTGAGGTTCTGAAGCTCATGGTACTTTGGTGACTTGAGAACGTCCATCGGTACACCTTCAACGTTACCGTCCTCATCTACAGCATGGAAGAAGTCGAACAGCATCTTCAGCCATTTGAAGACAATGTCGAGCTCTTGTTGCGTCAACGGACGCTGCTGCGAAAGCTTGTCAGAGAGAGGAGGCACGAGTAGTGACTCGATGGTCGCCAGCGCTTCTTTCCAGAGTCTTGTCATGACCATGATCATGGCAGCATCTGTTAGTGTCTGCTTCATGATAGCAAAGTTCTCATCGAAGTACACGAACAATGGGCCAAGAGCTTGTGTGACGTCCTGCTGGGTGGGACCTTGGGCCTGGATGACCGACATGGGTCGGGCGGTTCTGAAGTTGCCCAGGTAGTTCGTTACCTTTGATGCTACGCCCTTGTTTAGCAGAGCATCAAGTGACCGACGAGAAAGTTTGTAACCGATGAACGATGAAAGCTGCCTTTGTTAGCTCAAGTCGCATGATGTGAACGGCAGTATTCGCCTACCTTGTCCGTAATTTTCCGTGTCATGTCACGCTCAGTCCTCTTAAGTGTTCTGAACGACTTGCCGAAGTAGAATTGAATGTCATCTCGCTCTCCTTCCATACTCACACGTAGCAACAGACGACCTTGGGTATCCAGGTCAAGCCAGTATTCCCGGGGCATGTAGTCCCGGAAATGCGATGGATCGAGCTTGAGAGACGTTCGACCGACGCAGTCATGGTCGCCCATGGCGTCCCAGTCCCATATTGTCGCAACAACGTTAAGCGGACCATTAGTCGTGATGTCAATCGTCTCATCCCAACGTGGGTTCAAGTTGCGGTAGATGACGCGAGTCTTTGCCAAACGCTTCTGGTACTCATCACCAAGTACAACATATGGATCGCTTAGTCCATTCATGTCGCATGCTTTCAAGTCTTCAGCCTCAATAATCTTAATGGTGAAGACGAAGTTGTTGTTACGAACGCGTTGCGTCGGAGGTGGTGAGTGCTTCTGAATGACCTCAGCGCAGGCATCGACGCCAATCTCGCGCTCGAGCTTGTCTAGTTGCTGCATCGCATACTCAATGTTGTTAAGTTTGACAAGTGACTATATACGTAAGCATTGAACGCGTCATTTGGTTGGCGACTTACCTCGGGGTAGAATTGAAAGGGCTCGACCTTCTCCTTCTGGCTATAAAAGTCCTTCACGGTTGACAACCACTTTTCTGACTTAGTCTGATGAGCGGCAGCTTCTTGCTCCGGTGTCAGTCGATCCATCTCCTTAGCAAACTTCTGTTCCACAAGTTCACAGTATCTTGCGAGTGCGATACCGATCGACTTTGATATTGCGGTCATGAATTTGGCGTATTGAACATCGTTGTCCCAGTTCAAGGAGACGATCTGCTCGATGCTCTGGTTGAAAGACCGGAAGACGTCCACAACAGAGACACTGTGGCGCTCATCATCTGAGGGGATGGGGTTTTGCGACTCAATCTGGAACTGGTCTGCCTTGAAAGCGTTGTCAACCCACCCAATCAGATTTTGGTCTGTCATCTGAATCCATCTCCACACAAAGTCCTGTAGCTGGTCTTCGATACTAAAGGCAAACTTCTTGTTTGGTAGAGCGTCGCTGTGTATACGACGAATCTCGACGAGCTCTTTGTACAAGTCGAAACCGTCCTGCACAGGTACATCCTCCCCTTTGTTTTGAGCAACCTCCATAATCCGAGCGACTAGGTCTCGCGCATCTGCAGCGTACGAAGGGAACATCTTCTCAACGAGACACATCATAGGACTAGCACCCATGACTTCTGGGTTCTTACGATAACGCTTTTGTATCCGCTCACACAACTTGACCACAGCACGACCTAACTCAATGACATGATAAAACTCCCACTCTTCCTTGGTGTCTGGAATGTGTTTCGCAAGAAGCTCACGATACACATCGCCCGCCTTCTCTCTTAGACCCTGACGTAATTGTTCGGTAAACTGGTCCATATCCTCTTCTGTGCCAGGGAATGTGGGGTCGTCGTAGATGTGCGTCTCAAGGATATACATGACCGGGCCGAGTGGAGGCGGTTTGGTATCGTACACATGCATCATCAGCTCGTAAAGTTCTCGCAGTAAGCAGTCGTGCAACGTTGACAAAATCTGCTGGTTGAGAGCATAATCCTGGATCGTCCATTTCGTTCGATCGAACAAAGACTCCTGCACCGGAACATGACTCATTCGGTGTGACTTCTTGTCCGTTGGTGGCGGCTCTTTGACGTAGTTGAAGGCAGCATCGAGGGTGTCTAGACTGATGTCTTGGTTAATGTACTTGTCGCGTATAACGTCCAGGAACAATACGAGGCGAGAAAATTGGGGTATCCTCCATCGGAGAGCTATCTCATTCAAGAGTTCAGCTGACTGCTTCGACAACAGCTTGACGGACGGATTATCGCTCGTGGCTTCGGTTGCCTCGAGTTCAGTGTCCGCCAGGTCATATGTGAGCGCTTCATTCAGTATCGCACGGTAAGTGGCACGTGGATCTGATGGAATGAAGGTATAGGATGAGCTATCACTTGGGTCGTCGTTGATGTTGAGCCCACTCATGTCCACAGGTTGATCAATGACATAGGAGGAGCCGTTCTCGGAAGACAATGATCCCTGCCTCGAAGCATCTGAATAACCCGGATCCAAAGACACCTTTGGCTTGAATTGCGGCACAGATCCGGGGGAGCTCTTTGCAAGCTCTGGGTTTGATTGAATGATGGCCAGTATCATCTGCGAAAGATCTGGTACTTCTTGGTTTTTCCATGCCTCATATGCTTCCTCAGTATCGAAGTCATCACTGTTAAGCGTCTTCTTCGTCATGAGGCTGAGGTGCGCTTGATATGTTTTGAGATCCTGCAAAGCAGCCTTTTCAGTCCACACAGACTTGTATCGGTTGATGTCGGCCTGCACATCAGAGTACCCGACGGCGAAGATGCGCGACACTACTAAGACGAGTGGCATATCCTTGACTTCGTAACTCCGTGGAACTTCAACTTCGATTGTTGTGCCACCTTGGCCGCCGTTGCGCTGGTTCTCAGCCGCCAAATCCTGGTCATGTACGAGTAGCTTCTTCTCCATAGTGGCCAGCCGATGCGCAAGTTCTGGTCGGTCTTTCTGCCAATCATGGTCCTTGAGAGTGGAGCTGACCAGACGCAGGAACAGAGCGACGTGTCGATCTACCATGAGCTTCCAGCCCTCGTCGCCTGGCGCCTTCCCCTTTTGTAGTTCTTTGGTGGCGTTTGAGTAGAAGATCAGGAGCAGATCCTCGACTCTCCTATCCTTGTCCATATTCTTCCTGAACGACGGGTCCTTGAATGCATTCAAGAAGACAGCAAATGTCCGCTTGACTGTGGCATCCTGGAACTCAGGCATACGCTCTTGTCCCATCAGCACCTTTGTTATCCGCTTGTCGAGTGCGGCCATGAAATCGCGGGGAAAGCGCGTGCTTTTGGAGTCTCGTATGAGGGAGAAGTCTTTCATGAGGTCGTTTATGGAGGTTGATGACCGCTGGACGTGCTTGGGCGCAGCAGGGACATGCTGCACTCGCTTCTGTCGGGGCTGGAGGAGGTATGCGAGATATGCTGCACGGAGAGCATAGAGATAGGCATCTTGGGCCGTGACGGGACGCTTCCCACGGGCGTTCGCTGAGCTGTGTCGTCGCAGGCGGTCCTGTGCTTGGAGGCTGTTTATACGGCGATTGCTCCCCCGAGTACCGTCCATGGTAGAGCGAGTGGGAGGGTTCAATGGCGTGGGTGGAGGAGTTTGGCCGCGGTTGGGCGCATATCAAGGCGGTGGTGGTGTAGTGCACTCTCCCGGGCTGCAGCTGCCCAGTGGGATGTCCTAGCGGGGTCGTGCCTTCTCTTGTGGTCTCTCCTATAACGCGGCGACTCTGTTATTCACCCCAAGACTTCCTTTTCACGCTTCACGGAATTTTGCTACGATCGGCGGTAATCTTTGGGCGTCGCGTCGTGGCCGACGGGGTTCCTGGTGGCGCGGAAGATCCACCGGAGTGCGTCACACGTTGTTGGTGTGCAGGGAGCCAGGAGCCTCATATCCGCTGACTGGGCCCGGGCGACGTTGAAACAACGCTTTAATTAGCCGCGAGTTTCTTGTTTCGTAGCGCAATGTCAACGTCTATGCAACGGAAATAGTGGTTTTACTAGAAACGACGCCGTCATCCGTACATTGCGCAGCCCACTACCCTATCGCCAGGCACATGTCAACCATGAAGAGCTTCCGCTTCACCTCATGCGCGAATCGACAGCGCGCCACACACTACGTTATACGCGATATTCCCATTGCACCTGATACCATAGCGTTCTCTTGCTGCCTGCTATCGCTCGTACATGGTGGTGCCGCTGACAGTATGCCTTTGAGCTCGGCACCCGTCGGCCCATTCACATGAACGGCAGGAACCCTGAGCGCCTGATGTCCCTTACAACACCACAGCAATCGCGAATCGCGGTTCGTAAACCGGCACTTCACTTTACATCTCGGCAGTATAGAATACCCCGCGAGAAGCATCACACGTATCGATACCCACCGAATCGGCTCGTACGCCTCAAACAAACCACCTATTGAACAGGCTTGCCATTCGCGCCAGACAATACATGTTTACACCTGCACAAACGCAATCATGCCAGAGTCGCAGAGTCCCACAAACGCCGCCGACCGGCCCCGCCTCACCGAAGCCCAAAAGAAAGAGAACCACATCCGCTCCGAGCAGAAGCGACGCGAAGCAATAAGAGAAGGCTTCGACCGACTTGCCTCGATAGTACCCGGTCTAGAGGGACAAGGACGAAGCGAGGCAGTTGTGCTGGGAGGCGCGATCAAGCTCATGCGCGAGAAGATTGTGGAGCGACAACAAATAATCGCCGACGCCAAGGCAAAGGGTATCGATACGACGGGATGGGAGTTGGACAAGGAGACGATGGAGGCATGTGCTAGGCAAATGGAGAGAACGCTGGCTGAAGACAGGCAGGCGGCTAACGAAGAGGAAAACGGTAATGGGATGGAGGTAAAGAAGGAGTAGGCCTGCATGTATACGGTATGGAATACCCACGCTGGGATACTTGGGCAAGAACACGAGGCTCGGAACGTGGTTACATTATTAGTCAACAGAAAAGACATGGACATGTTAACCAGCATGTCTGGCTCCTCCTATTGCCCATGACAGGACCTTAAGACAGAGGAATGGTGGCTCTATTGAGCACCTCAAAGACTGCACCTAGCCGCTCTCTTCGAACCTAGTGTGATCAACTAGTCAACTTTGATCGTGATAACGCCTTTCAAGGCGGGTCCAGATGGTCGACATTCACTCGTGCACCTACCATGTTCTTATCGATAAGCCCCAAAATTATCTTTCACATGCTTCTACCCCCACCAAGCGACATACTAACGCCTGGCATATCGGTCTAGCCTGATCCAACCCCAGTCAATTAATCCATCATGGCGTTCAGTTTCGGCTTCTCGGGCGACGACATAGAAGAAGATCCTAATGATGTGCAAGAGCAAGGACAACAGCAAGCATCAGCAGAAAGCGATGTGCCACCACCGATCGCCGCAAAGACACATGATCTAGACGAACTGGTAGGTATGCGCCTTTGAATATATTGTAATGCAAACACAGATGCAAGACCATCATCTATCGATCCATCAAGTGTTCCAGCGATGCTTTCCTCCTCACCACGACGGCAGTGTCGTTCGAAACCATACTGACATCTCCCCAGCTATCAACCCTTCCAGACAAACTATCCTACTCAACCGTCAGCATAACTAGTCCCAAAGGCTTCACAACCCGTCTTCCAAGACGCGAGCTCTTCGACGTGCGCCTCCAACTCATGGCCGAGGACGATGGATCCTCCCAAACGCCCCTGACAGGTCTCGATGTAGGTTCCACTTGCCACTAAAACCAATCCATTGCACATAGGTGTAAACTAACGCTTACACAAAGGACTCGGACCTTCGCCAAAACGTCTACGAGGGCGGCTATAAGACCTGGGAATGCAGTCTCGATCTCGTCCGCTACCTTCTGGACCGTGGACCACGAAAAGACCTCGACGACTTGATGCGTGTTGGCCACGTTATCGAGATGGGCTGTGGATCCGCGTTACCTTCCCTCATCTTATTCCAATACGCAATCAAGAACCAACTTGGGATTTACTTCACACTGACAGATTACAACGCCGATGTTGTACGGCTCGTCACTCTTCCCAATTTACTCTTGACATGGGTGAGTACGTTGAGTATTGAGGAGAGCAAGACGTTATTTCCGGAGACGGGTAACCCACTTTTGGGACAGGAGGAGAACGGCGAGTTATACATCACTCCTGAGATTCTCTCTACTTTCAAGAAGGCGGTTAGCGAGATCGGCATTACCATGACGTTCATCTCGGGGTCTTGGACGCCGGTTGATAAGCTTCTGGAGATGATTCCTTCGTCGTCGGATCTGAATACTTTTATTCTTGGTTCTGAAACAATTTACTCTCCGGCTTCGCTTACGGCGTTTACGGACGCGATTGTTGCGTTGATGGGACGGGTGAAGACGGGTAAGGCGATAGTGGCGGCAAAGCGGGTATATTTTGGTGTTGGAGGTAGCGTCGATGGATTTAGGGAGGCATGTGCACAGAGGGGCTGTGTGGCGTATGAAATGGAGTTTGAAGGGTTGGGAGATGGTAACGATGGGGGTGTAAGGAGGTGTTTGGTTGAGGTGCAGATGTACTGAGTTTGTGGGTGAGGATGTTTCAATGAGGTTGTGAGCCATGGATAGGGTGGGTATCTAGGGATGTACCAGGTAGGAAGCAAACATAAAAAAAAACTAAAGACAATCTCATAAACACCCTCATGTCGTATCCAAGCACCAACACAAGTTTAACCAACTTTCTCAACGTCGGGACGATCCTACTACTTCGCCCTGACTGTGACCGTCGGTCCAGGCAACTCCCTCCTGCCGTCGGCTTCCTCTCCACCACGCATAAGCCTCCTGTACGTCTCTCTCTCTTCCCTCATCTGCTCTCCACGGCTGACCTGCAGTCTCTCAACACCCTTCCCAATGGTATCAATGTGGAACTCCAATGAGTAACCACTCGAGTACCCTAGAATCTCCGGCGCCGCAACGCCTTCTCGCAAATTTTCCAACTCAGCCTGGATTTCCTGCAGTTTCAGAAGTGTGTCTGTCACATGGTTGACGGCTCTCTTGCGGTACGCGCTGATATTCGAGAGTAGATTTAGAGATTTGGTGTTCGCCTTCACATCCCCACGGTTCCCGCCGAGCTTTGTCCAGAGGCTTGATAGAAGCTCTTCTTGTCGGCTCGTTATCGTCTGGTCGTCATTTGTCGCAATCTCGTAGATGGTACCTAGTCGCTCGTCGAGATTTTGTAGGACAAGAAGGAGCGCTTGAGCAGTTTGAATGAGGCCAGTGATTTCGTCCTTGTTCTTGCTGACGTGCAACACGTATTGGTCGAAGATCTGTCGTTGAAGCGTTGGCGGTGGGGCCACAAATGCGCCTGTAAGTTGGTTGAGGACTCGGCCAACAGCGCCAACGGAAGCTTCCTTCTCTGAGATTCCAGAGAGTACGTTCATGGTCCAGGTATTTGTCGCGATAACGCGGTCCATGGCTGCTCCTATACGGCTGTTGTAGCGGGAGAGATCGAGCGAAGCCTCGTTAGCTGTTTGCATAAAGTACTCAAATTCGTTCTCCAGTGCCTTGCGGCTTGGAAGACGAGAATGTTTAACCAGGATACGCAGATCGCGAATCGCCAGTTCAGAGTTCTTGATCGTGGCGGGTAACGCAGAAGTGTCCTTTGATGCATCCAAGATATCCTCAAATCTACCTTGGACGTTGATAAGCTCCTCAAAGTCGGCTTGAGGGTCTGGAGTGCCTATCGCACCGCACGCGGCGATGAGGTAAGATGAGCCGGGTATGGCGCAAACAGGACCCATTACAGCGTTTGAGACTGTGGAGCGTAACATGCCGGATGCTATCTGGATACTGAAAACTAGGATACCAACACCAAGGATGACACCTAGGACGGGTTTGATGAAGTGGCGCAAGGCGTAGGAGAAGATATCCAAGAAATGGGCGAGAAGCGGTGCGGCGACGTTGTCCCAGAAGAGACTCACATAGTGCCATGGGCTCACTTCGTCCTGCTCTTGCTGTGACGATTGCTGGTATTCGTTGGCGGAGCCTGTGTTAAAGGAACTGCCACCTGCACGGGACGAGTTTGCTGAAGGGGTTTGGGCCGTATTTCTCGCTCGATTTCGCGGCTGGGACTTTGCACCTGGTGATCCATTGTAGCCACTCGGCGAGTTAGCCATAGAAGGCATGATGAGGCTCGGTTCGAACGCGTCTTGTTTTGGCGTTCTTCGGTCGGATCTTATTTTCTGCGACTGACTGACTTTAGTCCGACTCGCTGGCTTTCGTACCGGCCGAACCTGAGTTCGAGCTGTAGGCGTTGATTGACTGAGTTGATTGCGTTTAGGTCTGGGTGTCACAGGTGCTTGTGCTTCTTGTATAGCTTCTTTGTCGGACCCTTCCAGTTCCACTTCACTGGCTTCTTCGCTAGCTGAATGAATGGAGCCTTCTTCGCCGGATGCGTAGTCGGCGTCGCCCCAGCTACTACCCAAGCTGTGTTCGAGTCGACGGGAACGTGCGCTCATGTTCTAAATGGATAGTATCTGTGACGTAGAGATGATGGCTGTGTGGGGTAAGGTAAGGATGCAGGTCAAGTGGTAGTTGTAGACCTAGGCAGTAGTGTTTCTAGCGACAGTTCAAACTGTCTCACTGACTGCCCTTTGTGTAGTTGTAGGAGGCTGGGTAGAACAGGTGCCACTTCCTACGTGTGACGTGGGGCCTACCAATCAGGCTTCGAGCGCATACTGCGTTCCAGCGCGTTCCCGAGACATTTAGTACTTTTGTCATCAGTAAAGTCTCGGGTGAATGATTCTAGCACGTTACCTCTAGTGCTTGACCACGTTCCTGATTTGGCGTTGACTTACGGACGCGTCGACGTCATGTTCGAGCTCATGGATGCCAAGACCACTAGTCCAGAAAGTGCATCATGAACACCACGCGAAGTCGTTACAGGCATCAGGACTTTCCGATGTCATTACGCCAGCTTCCCTTCGCGCTACGAACTGCAAGACGGGCGCAACTAGAAACAACAAGGTGGCTTCAAAATGGACGCCTCCTTGTGCGGAGCTGCTCTTGCTCTGCGCCTCACCAGTTACAGCACACGGTGACGGTCTCATCTGAAGCACCCACCAGTGCACAATTGAACCCTACAAGTGGCACCCCGCCTACGCCTCCTCTTGACCACAGGACTCTCGCGCAGACACACAACCTCTTCATTACATCTCCCTATAGCCCCGGCTCGCCGCTCATCCTTCCCAACGGCGCCTATGTCTTCCAGAAGTTGCAGTCGTTCCTTCGTGCGCAATATCCACAATTTGGCTTCCAGGAGGTCATCACGCCCATAATATACAAGAAGTCGCTATGGGAGAAATCAGGGCATTGGGAGAATTATGCAGAGGATATGTTTAGTGTACAGGGCCGGGGGACAACTGCGCAGATACCGGAAGCAGAAGGTGGAGAGGATGGAGAGTTTGGTCTGAAGCCAATGAACTGCCCAGGCCACTGCTTGCTGTTCAGGGACGAGATCAAGAGTTATAGGGATTTGCCAGTCAGACTTGCCGACTTCAGTGCTCTGCATCGGAACGAGATCTCAGGCGCCTTAACAGGCCTGACCAGGGTCCGACGATTCCACCAGGACGATGCGCACATCTTCTGCCGTCCAGACCAGATTTTGGCCGAGATTGAGCAGACACTCAAGTTCGTGGGCATGGTCTACGATACATTTGGGCTGGGGCCCTATAAGCTGCTTCTCTCCACTCGGCCCAAGGATAGCTTCATCGGTACCATCGAGGAATGGGACCGTGCAGAGGAGCAGCTGACTACCGCATTAAACAACATCGGAAGCGAATGGGCGATCAACGAGGGGGATGGCGCGTTCTATGGGCCGAAGATCGACATTATCTTAAAAGACTCGAATGGCAAGGAGCATCAGACGGCAACCATACAGCTCGACTTTCAGCTGCCGCAGCGCTTCGATCTACAATACCAGGCATCACCAGAAGAATTAGAGGCAGGACCACAGTCGTCTATGGATGCAGGTCTAGATCCGGCACTTCGTCGCCCAGTCATCGTACATCGCGCCATCTACGGTTCCATCGAGCGTTTCATGGCTCTACTGATTGAACACTATGCCGGCAAATATCCGTTCTGGCTTTCTCCCCGGCCAGCCATCGTCTTGTCGCTGAACTCAGACCCTAAAATTCTTGAACACGTTTCGCGCATTCAGTCTGTTCTTTCAGGTCTCAGACCATCCGGCGCACCAGAAACGTCCGCATCGTCACCTAAGCCCCTACCGTTGTCGACTATACATCTCCCTATCGATGTTGATACCAGCGACCGCTCGCTCGGCAAGAAGATCGCCGAAGCAAGAACAAAGAAGTACAATCACATCATCGTCGTTGGTGGTAGGGAGGTTGAGAGCGGGAGCATGAATCTCCAGATTGTGAACCAGCCGAATGAAGAATCAACCGTAGAGGCGTTGCAAGTCTCCCTAGGAAAGAAGCTCACTGAGAAAGAGCGATCCAAGGCCACTGTGAACGTCGATCTGGACGGCGCTAGAAGATATTTCGAGAACCTAGCCAACTCATTCTTGTAATACACAGCCAGTTCGGATTCAAAAGCTCGCCTATGATCAAACATGCGCCATTACTGTTGTCCCACGTCTCCAATTCTATCTTGCTCTCTTTTAATGTGCCAACTCCGCCATCATGTTCAGCTCGACACAGCAAGTAGCACGTGTAGCTGCTCTCATACTCACGACACTCCATGCCTAGTTGGAATTCCCAACTCCTCAACAGCGAATTCGCAGGAAGCGCGTCAAAGAGTTTTCAAGTCGTTGCTATCAAAGTGTACGTCTTTTAACCCTTCCTCTAATGAACCAATTTGGGTAGACTTGACCTCAGTGAAACGGGGGTTTTTTTGGGCAGTGGAAGATGGGGATATAGAATCACACTGTTGCCGACTACTGCATTGTACAAGCTTTCAGGAACATTATCCTCGACCAAATGTGCCATCCAAAGCATGGTGAAGTGTTGGAACCCGTCTCACATATTCTTATAATGTATGAGATGACATGGAAGACGACAAGTCTCCCACGTTTGTGTGGTGGTGTGACGAACGTGCAATTTTGCAGCGTCCATCAGGAAGGGTACCACAGCAACTATCTTTTCGACTTCGGCAATACTGCTGATGCTACGAGTACCGTCTCTTGTGTATTGAGGAGCAAATGGAGGAGCGGTTGGTGGAGCACCAGAAGCACTTTGCGATCGTTAACACAGCTGCAGGCTACCGAAGACTCATCTCTCTAAATTGATACATACTGAGGTAATTATCTGTTCCAGTCTGAATACGACGTTGACCTCGTATTTGCCTCGCCCTCACCGATCCTGACATTCTAGCAGTCGAGAAGCCGATATCATCATTGATTCCGGTTCGGTACCGCCTCCTGGACCCTGTCCGTTGCTTCTGCTTCTCCAGCTCGCTGCTAAGACTGACTGGCCGTCATATCTCTTCCTGTGTCGAAAGGCCCTACTCGCAGGCATCTGTCACTTCTACCCTCCTGACCGTCGCTTCGTTGATGCAGCTCTGCTCTTCTACTGATGGTGCCCAAAGCTTCTGAAGAAGCGCCTAAAAAGGTTTATCCTCCAATCTTCTTCTCCAAGTTCCCGCATGCCACTGAGCCGCTAGCCTTCACCAGGCAAGGCATGCTTTTGCCCCTGCATACGTCGCCCATACGTACTTCAGATGTTGCAAAATCCGCTATGGCCTGCTCCATGTGTGGCGGAGCGCACTTCCGCACAATCTGCGAGTCTGCCGTATAACGTGCTCTACATTTTGCTCCGCCTAAAGGTATTGTAAGAAAGCAACAAGCCCAATGTTTGGCGTCCAGAGTACCGTCTCCCGTTCCGCGCTTGTAACACAACTGGTACCCGTGTGCTGATTCCAGATCCTATCTCAAGTTCCGATGTTCCTGAAAGAACGGCGACTTGCAGGTCATGTGCGCCATCTCCATAACCGAAGATTGTAGGTTACAAGTTGTAGGAAATAACTTATCCGCAGGAACAGGTCTTTCAGCGGAGGTTGAAGTGTGCCTGATGCATTACACGGCTGATGGGTACAGGCTTCTCGTCCCTGAGCAACATAGAGTCGGTATGTTCGCCTGAGAATGAAACTCGAGAAGGAGGAATCACCTCCGATTCTGCCGAACGCATCGTTAACCATTGAGTAACAAGCATACCGAGACAAACTGAGTTGCGTGTTAGCGTATCTTGGTTATATTGGAGATTGCGAACTTACTGTCTGTCAAGCACATCAACAGGCAAGCATGGCTCATCTTCGCAAAAGCCCAGCTGAGGAACAGGCTGTTGTTGCATACGGTGACCATCAACATGAAGCCCGAACCAACAACGTTTCGAACCAGCATGACTCGCAAGTCGCTCCGAGAAGATGTTCGCATCGAGCGGCGCGTTTTTCTCATCCAATGCCCGAGCGCATGCCTTGGAGATTCAGTTTCCGCACAGGTAGTATTACTTGCAAGACTGCGCATTTTAGGTGCCGCTGAGCCCAACGCCGGCCGAAGCTGCCATATGAAGATACCTGTCAAAATAGTGTTGATGAGAGTGTCCAGCACAATGACTGCCATTGCAGCCTGTGGTTCGATACCGATCCTGCATATACCGGTCTGATGGTTCAATTCAGCCCACGGATTGACAAATTGCCAGACCATGATTGCGAAGAAACCGCCCGTAGTCAGGATCGCTCCAATGACGTATACTCTATCTCTTGTACGGTCGACGAATGGAGCTCGAACGATATGGACGCGCTCTAGCAAGAAGAGATATCTGGATGGGTCAGCGTGTGAGCTCAGATGGACGCCGCGCGCAGAAGAATACTGACAGAGCTATCTTGTCCGCGCCGTACATAACGATGCAGACTCTTATGGCAGCACTGCACTGACCATCCGTTTGCAAACCCATTCCTGATACCTGTATAGCCGTGGCGAACAGGAAAGCTGTACAAATGAAGCCTTGCGCAAAGACGAGCACGTCAGAAACCCGAGTCTTCGACTTCTGGCCGGCCATGCGGCCTGCTCTGTACCCTATCTGACAGTCAGTAGATGTTTAAGGAGCACCTACACATACAACATTGTAGAGTTATGAAAAGATTCACCTACCCTGGGTCAATGCAAGTATGAATGCAAACAAGATGCATATAACAACGACCAGTATCCGATGAGGCGGGCGCTCGTCTAGTCTATTGATATAGACGTCGTCCCGATTGACAAGGGTAAGTGGAGACATCGGATGCGAAGCCCCACGAGCGATGGCGATTTGCGTGAATGCAAACAGGGTCGAAAGGGTGAGAGATCGTATAGTCGCTGCCAAGCTGTCTATGGGGACATGGGGATTGTGTCAGGACATATACTGCCGGTCCATAAAGGGAGCTTAGATCAAGTGTTCATTGTCAAAACAGTCTGCTCGATCTATGCACATAGACCGGTGTATCACGGGATTGGCGCATTTCCGAGAGTGCCACCGCTAAAGCTTACTTACAACGGCGCCAGGCTTGGTGAGATGGAGATATCTCCGTAGCGTCATGCGTGGACCCCGTAGCGATCCTTCCGCCGCGCCAGGTGCGGAGACGTTGCGCTACAGCTATAGTACTCGACACCGTTGGGCTCTGAAAGCCTGGATCGACATGAGAGTTCTGACCGCTGCTTCACGTACACTGGAAGTCTCTTTAGCCATGTTTCTATCGTAAAAATACCATAGTAGAGATCCTGATTTTTAGATACTGCAGTGACCTTCACACCGAGAATTACATCTGGATGTTTACTGCGAAGGGTCCGGAGAGATAGAGATGAGTCTGGATCTAGGGTCGCCGATACATCGGATGTCCGTACGCACCGAGCCGCAGTGCTGACACTGCAGGAAACTATCGCGATGCGTTCTTCCCTTTAACCTCTACGCATCCCTACACGCCATGATGCACCGGTCTTGGTCGTCATTGATATTTATCTCTGGGCCTTTCACATGCTGTGGTTCTTGTTCCGGCTCCGCTACCGTCATGTCGCCATCACAGACGATGCGTTACACGATGCGTCATATACGTTCTTTCTGATCCCTCTTATTGCTTCGCCTCCCACTATCTTGACCAATCGCACGATATGCGGATTGCGGTATAGTCTTGGTCTCCCACCAGAGCTTGCTGAAACCTACGTTCTGCATGAAAACGAACCAGCGAAGCCATTTGCGACTTGTAGAAGGTGTCGAGGTAGAGAAACTATAATTGTGTTACTTGTAAAGAGCTTGAATTCGGATTCGGCTCCGGTATTAGCATATGCACGAGGACGAGAGTGTCGGAAGTGGCGAGACAAGAATGGAGGTTTTACTGACTGGAATATCCACCTGGGAAAACGTTAAACGTGACAAATACTGCCTGAATTCCAAAGACAGTGCCTCAAAAACTCACTCAGTCAGACTCCTCATATGACCGCTTCCCCGATATTTATCTGGTTAATCCTGTGCATCAAAACGTTGCGCTGCGCTTGTGAATAGGGAACATGTAACTTCGCCGTCGTCTCTGCAGGATTGATCAGTCTACATGCAGCAAGCCTCCGCGACTGACTTAATGCATGAATGACTTACTCGAAAATTGCAAACACCTCCATCTGCGATCAATCATCCACATGTCTCGATATACTAGCCACCGTCAATGTTAGGTGCCAACATGTCCGTACTTCAGCTGTCGCGGATGGGATTGAGGGATAAGCAGTGTTGCCTCATCTCCTCACTGTTTACTTCCTCGCTATCTCTCCGCTGGCGGTTCGTGAAATCAACGAGGCTTCACATTCTCTTCTTCACGTGTTCAGACGGCTCGAAGCTCTAATCAGCCTATAAATTCCGCTCCTTACCATTCTTTTTACTATGCACAACCTACCACAATTATAATTAGAGCATCTTCCTTACTTTGTTATTCGACTCGAGCATTTCTATACTAAAAAGACGTTACGCAACAGAAAAGCACTAACTCGACACTTTCTTCAAAGCCTCGCAAATCTAATAAGTTGAACATGCCGGCATCTCCCCATAGCACCATTTTCATTCAAATGACGGTGCGTTAGTACGGGGTGCACGAGCCTGTATGGGAGTTTGTTTTTGTTTGTCATTTCGAGAGAACCTCGTCGTACGAGTTCGAGTACCCAGTTGTACATGACCGTGCTCTGCTTCGAGTGAACTGCACACTCGTAGACTGCCTTACTCACTCCAACTCACACCAATCCGTTAACCACGAGGTCAACTGTGTCTCTAACCCTTCCCCACCGATAGCTGCTGCCTCGATCGTCGTCCAGGTCTGTCAGTTGTCGTTGAAGAAATTGCGTATGTTGGGTAATGCTAATGTATCATCGAACCAACAAGCAGTCATAAGTCCCTGGAAGAGTTTACCAGGCAGAAGTGTTGACATCGACCGCTGCATTGGTATCGTCCACCCAGTTGCCCGTCGACTCAACAGTAGCATCACCCCAACCGCCAGCCGCAGCCGTCGAACCACCAGCATCGCCCCAATCACCGCCGGCGTTCTCAGCAGGAGGCTCAGGGCAGCGCTTCTCGCCGTGACCGAAGTTGTTGCAATTGCGGCACTTGACGCGGCTCCAGTCGCGAGGCTTGGGACACTCCCGAGACGCATGACCTTCCTCATCGCAGTTGCGGCATTTCATCACGCGAGGCTTGTAACACTCGCGGGACAGGTGACCCTCATCGCCGCAGTTATGGCAAGCACGTCCGCCGCCACCAGCCATAGGCTTACGTGGTTGAGTGCAATCGGTCTTGCGATGGCTGACAAAACGTTAGCAAGGCATTCGAAGATACTTCAAGGAGATTTAACTTACCCAAACTCACCGCAGTTGAAGCAAGCTTGACCACCGGAGCCCTGGGGACAATCGCGCTTCTGGTGACCAGTCTGACCGCATCCGTAGCAGGCACGATCACCGCCGCCACCACCTGCACCAGACGGGCAGTCGCGCTTCTGATGTCCAGTCTGACCACAGCCATAGCAAGTCCGATCGCCGCCGCCATTGTTGTTGTGGCTTGAAGTGTTGGTAGTAGTGAAGTCGCCAGTAGAGCCCCAGCCATCGTTGGTTGTAGTGGTAGCATCGCCAAAGGTGTCACCACCGCCGAACTCGTTGTTGGTATTCGCGAACTCGTTGTTGCCGCTGAATCCGTTGCTATCACCGAAGCCAGTAGCATCGCCACCGAAGCTATCGCCAGGATTCTTTGACTTCTCTAGCTCTTCATGCTCCTTAACTTCGGCAGCACGGTGCTTCTTAGAGTTCTTGTGGCTGTTCCAGTCTTTGGTGAGGATCTGACGGTCGCAGAGCTCGCAGAGAGACATGCGAGCAACATGCTCCTTCGCCTTAGGATACGGGTTGGCAACAAGGTTCGACACAACGGCAGTCGGGCCACGAGCCATGATGCGGGTTATCGAAGATAGAAGAGAAGCAGTCTGACGCAGTCCTAATTAGCTGTTGCACCTGGAAAAGAGGCAGCGGGTGAGTGAAGGGCAACAGATGCCGGGCATGCCTCTGGAAGCTACAGACCTAGAACAGCTTCGAGCGCATGTTACGCTTCCCAAAGGTTCCAAGTTGACTGTACGCTCGTGCAAGATTGCGGAGCAAACTGCCTCGACTTGGAGGCTCAGACCCAGGTGTGGTGGAGGTGAGAGAGACTTACATTATACGGTGTGAGTATGCGTCACAGACAGCCGGCGATGCAGTCACTGTCTACTGATACTAGGATTGATCTCGTACGTCGTCGTTATGGTATCGTGAGGTGGGGTAGCAGAGGTGGAAGGTGAGTATGGGAAATTGTATAGTGGCAGGCGCGACGTAGCATGGACCCTGCACGACAACAAACATGCGAAGCGAGACCGGGTACAAGCCGGGAGATGCAATAGAAGACTATAGAAGAGAGAAGAGTATAGAGACGGCAATGCCAATATGCATGTCGGGTACCTGCTTAAAGATGACAGGTCGCTAAGGAAATGGTTGCGGTGAGAGATGATAACGAAAACAAAGGAACACACAAAATGAGGCAATTGGGAGACATGACAGTAAGCCTCTCAGGGCGTAAACAGAGTGCTAGGTCCATTGAACAGTAGGTGTAGGCTTACATGTCACAGTGAGAGATCGCTGTACTGAGAGATCTGTCCCTTAGAGAGACCCGGCTAGACTTCTTTAGATCGGTGGAGACAGGATACCTAGAGATCGACATAGTATAGATGCGATTTGCTATGCTAATGTCAATATCAACTCGATGTGCATACGTTCTATGGACCGCTTTACCCAAATATTACTCAAGCACCTACAGGCACCCCATCTTCACCTTCAGCCTCTTCTTCCTCCCTCTGTTCCTCACTCTTTACCGGCTCTTTCCAACCTGTTCCGGCTTGTACGAGCGCGACAATGACCGAAAGTCCTACGGCACAGAGGAACAATGCCTTCAGAGCATCTGCATATGCCCCGACGGCAATAACCCTATCTTTACCTTCCAGCTTACCCACAAGCGCTGGACTTCCCAGCAGTCTCCTAGTAAGCTCACCGCGGTTCTTCAGCCCAGCCTTCGCAAAGCCATTGTCCAGAGACTTGTGCAGCACGCGGACGAAGTAGCCACCACCAATTGCCGAGCCGAAGGAGCCTGAAAAGCCGCGGAAGGTAGCAAGGAGAGAGATGACGATTGGATGTACCTCCGGGAGTGTGAGATGGAGAAGATGGACTAGCGCGTAGTTTGTTGCAGCGCCAGTGGCAAGGCCGTTGAGGAAGACCATTACAACGTATAGACTCCACGGACTTGTGGGCGTGGAGATGAGGGCGAGCACAGCCATCGTAAATGGAAATAATGCCATAGCAACGACAGTATGGAGGTAGAAGCTGCCTGTGCGTTTGATGTGGAAGACGCCAGCAAGAAGACCGCCAGTTGCAAAGCCGGCGTTAGTAGGGATGAGAATTGATCCGGCGACAGCGGGCGCCCAACCTCGAACGGCAAGCGCGTATACGGGCGTGTAGAAGAGGATACTCCAACGAGCCATCATAAAGCCAGTTGTGGCAAGGCAGGTCAACAGTGTGCCACGGGATCGCAGCACGGAGACTGGAATGACAGGGTCGCCGGCGATGTAGGCCTCATTGAGAACGAAGACTGGTAGGGCGAGAGCCGATAGAATGATGGGTGTTGGAAGGACCTTCGGACCAGACAGGCCGAGAAGGAAGAGTACAATGGTCGTGGTCAAGAGGAGCGCTCCGGAGTAGTCGATGCGGGCGAGCTTCTCGCGGATCGACAGGCTTTCGTACTTGATGTTCTTCGAGGTATGGCTAGCTGGGATAGAGAACAGTAGGCCCAAGCCGGCCACAAAGCTTATTGGTGCTTGAATACCAAAGAGTGGTTTCTGCAAGTGTGTCAACAAATGACTGACGATAACTTGAGTTTAGAGCAGCAGCTTACCCATCCGATTCTAGGTTCAAGCGCACCTGCTATCACCGCTCCTAACGAGACACCAACCGTCATTGCGGTGTTGGCAAGGCCCATGTACAAGCCTCTCCGTTTTGGACTAGTCATCTGAATTGCCATGATGCTAGCAACGATGAAGATGCCACCGCCACCAGCTCCAGTCACAACGCGACCAAGGATAAAGTGTTCAAAAGATACGGAGGTGGACGTGATGACCGATCCAATACAGATCAACATGGTGGAGAAGAACATGCATAGACGTGGACTAAACACCTGACATAGTCGTCCCATCAAAGGAGCGAGAGAGGACATGGCGATGAGATATGAGGAAGTAAACCAACTAGCGGTCTCGAATGCATCTAAATCTGCAGCGATGGAGGATTGGGTTGTGGTAAGGATGGAGATGTTTGTAGCTATTATGGGAATTAGAAGGTCATATGAGCAAGTCCTTCGAAAATTTGATACTACATGGCTTCCCCTAGATTGTCGTGGTGCACAATCATCCTTACTGATGGATGGAACAGTACATAGTCAAAGTGACAAATACATGCTGATGAGAGTCCAAAGAGATAGGAAGACATACCTTGCAGAAAAATCAAAAGACCGACAGATCCGACTATAAGTGACCCTCTTAATGTCGAGATGACTGCTTCACCATCTTTACCCTCACTGTCCGATAAGCTTGGCGATGTCGAACGCTCAAGCAGAGGCTCGCGTTCTGCTGAGCCGTTCAGGACTGTCATGATGTAGGTTTTCCGATGCAAATTCAGGGCATAAGAGAAGTGCTATCGAAGAGTGATAGTAGAATGAGGGACATCGCGTAGAAAAACGCGTAGGAAGAAGACGGTAATCATGATGATACGTGCAGGGACGTTAGTGCTTCCATCGATGACAAATGCGGAAAGAGGTCGGTTTTCCTTGCCCGCGGGCTTTTGTCCGCGACAGTAGTAAGATACAGACGACAGCATATGTCGAGGGCGCTAAAGTCCAATGAAAGAGAGACGTCCGACAGCCTTTTATTAGTGATAGTAGGGAAAGCCAACGGCGATGTTGCGGCGCGTGAACGTGTGACATGAGTGACGTCAACGCTCATTGGCTGCTGGAGCCACGCATCGGGGCGCAACTGCCACCCCGGCCGTGATAGTGGAAAGCTGGCCTCTACAAACAACTTCACCACGACTGCGTACAAGTAGTCGCGCTTCTGCCTCCGACCCCTCGAGATGACGCCATGAGTTTCTTTCTTCGCATTACTCTGAATTTTAACATATACCCACAATGAGGCCACGGCTACAGCGGCTTGTGCCGCTTCTCTTCGGTATGTACCTGCGCATGTGACTGAAGTAGCTTCTGACTGACTGGTAGACTCGCAGTCTTTCTCTCACTATTCTTAAGCGTTTCTTCGGAGCAAAGTAGGGAGGCTTGGGGGTCAAGATGGGGGAACACGGACGGAGACGTAAACCCGCACCAGGGCGTACTGGCCTTCGACGATGCTATGGCGCTTCTACACACGATCAAACCGGCTACGGCGCCGTGGTGGAACTTTGACAAGAAGTCTGGCATACTGGGGACTAGCGCCTACTACGCAAAGGAGGTCTTCTTTCTCCTCTTCATGAATGGACCGCCACAGCAGGAGCTGTTGACAACGAACCCGCAACCCAAGAAACTTGGACAGCCGCTGTCACAAGCCGTCGACCTATTGCAAGAGGCAGCGGCCCAGAAGAACCCAGATGCAATCTTTACTCTCGCCGAGATGAACTTCTACGGCAATTACACGCACCCGCGCAATTACTCCGAAGCCTTTCGAAGATACCACGAGCTCGCGACTCTCGATGGGAATGCCTCGGCACAGCACATGGTTGGCTTCATGCACGCGACTGGCATCGGTGGAGCAGTCAAGCAAGACCAGGCCAAGGCCATGCTATACTACACATTGGGCGCTGAAGGCGGAGACGTGCGGTCGGAAATGGCTGTTGCGTATAGGCATTCGGCAGGCATATCCACCCCGCGTAATTGCGATGAGGCTGTCTATTTCTATAAAGCGGCAGCTCAGAAGGCTATCGCATATATGCGATCTGGACCACCAGGCGGACACTCTATGCCGCGGGAGTCATACAACATCGCCGATGATCAAGGTGGTGTGTATGGTGAGGGGGCAAGTACGAGCAGTTCTGGGCCCAACGCCAAAGTCGCAAGCGCTCAATCCGATGCCTTCTCCTCCCTCGACGACGTTTTTGAGTACATGGATCTCCAGGCCCGAAAGGGCGATGCTAGGGCCACATTCAACCTTGCTAAACTTAACTACGACGGCGCACGAACCTTGAAGCGCGACCTTCCAGCAGCCAAGAAACGATTCTTGGAGCTTGCTCGTATGTACTGGACTAAGGACGGAAAGATCAACGCGAATGTGTCGCCGACCACCGAGAAGCTGGCTGCGAAGGCCGCTGGCTACCTCGGCCGCATGTTCCTGCGTGGTGAAGGCATGCCGCAGAGTTTCGAGATTGCGAGAACCTGGTTTCGACGTGGCATGGAACTAGGCGATGCGCTGTCCCAGTACTCCATGGGTATCATGTACCTGAAAGGTCTCGGTGTACCTCAGGATGCCGTAAAGGCTGCGGAACTGTTCGGCGCAGCCGCAGACCAGGATCTGGCAGTTGCACAAGTTCGACTTGGTGCGCTCTTTCTGGATCAAGGAGACATCGCCATTGCCGCCAAATACTTTGAGCTTGCAGCTAGGCACGGACATCTCGAGGCCTTCTACTACTTGGCTGAAATGACGCATAACGGGATCGCCCGCACCAAGTCTTGTCCTTTGGCGGCCACATACTACAAGATTGTCGCAGAGAAGGCCGAGCTTGTCTCTACGTCTTTCCCAGAAGCTAATGAGGCTTATGCGAATGGCGACCTAGAGACCGCACTCGTTGGCTACATGATGGCAGCCGAACAGGGCTTCGAAGTTGCACAGGCCAACGTGGCCTACCTCCTCGACCAAGTCAAGCCTCGCTTCACGTTTGACTCCCTGGTTCCCTTCATGAAGCAGAAGACTTCGCTAGCTAGCGATGCATTCCTGGCGCTGGTATACTGGACGCGCTCTGCGGAACAGAAGAACGTCGACGCAATGGTCAAGATGGGAGATTACTACCTGATGGGCCTCGGAACACAACCTGATTCTGAGAAGGCTGTGGCTTGTTATACAGCAGCAGCAGAGACCATGCGGAGCGCACAAGCCATGTGGAATCTGGGCTGGATGCATGAGAATGGCATCGGTATTGATCAAGACTTCCATCTTGCCAAAAGACACTATGATCTGGCCTTGGAGACAAATCCACGAGAGGCGTACCTGCCAGTCATCTTGGCATTGTACAAGCTCAGGATTCGGAGCTGGTGGAACACCTTCACAAATGGCAATATCAAGTCTATCCAAGAGGAGCCTGGTAAGGGCATCACCCCTGAAAACTTTCGACCGTCTCGATACTAACATGGCCGCAGTCGTCAAGAAACAGTGGACGCTTTCGGAGTGGCTCAACGCATTCCTCGAAGCCGAACTTGCTGGCTGGGATGAATACGAGCCTGACGACTACGACGACACGCATACCGCCGGCGACGACTATTACGGTGACGGCTACCACGGCGACGATATCGATTCGGACATCCTCGAGTCTCTCATTATCCTGGCTCTGAGCGGCGCTTTGGCCTTCTTACTGTACTACAGGACACAGAGGCAGAGAAGACAAGAAGAAGAGAGAAGACGGCAACAAGAACAGCAGCAACAGCTGAATCAGGGTTTACCGGTACAGCAGCAGCAAGCCCAGGGACAACCGCCGCAGGATAGGGGACTGTTCCCAAATCCAAACGATCCTGAATTCATGGATTGGGTAGCAGGTGGCGTCGGGCATTGAAGTTTTGTTATGAGATGGCGTTAGGAAGCCGATGAGCAATGATAGAGCCAGAACAAAGAAAGCAATGCCAGTTCGTCAATGTACGTAGCCCTTCACTGTACAAATATTTACTTGACCTGCAAGTAAGAACCCTTCAATGTGTTTGAGTGAATGAAAATCTCTATGCCGACTCGCGCGTACAAGTAGAATGGGCTGTGGGAGTTATCAGTCTGCCTGGACTCAGTATGCCAACTCCCACTGCGGATTCTACTCCTACATCATGGAGATGCCCCAAGATTACATCACATCACAGATCAATTCTATTAAAGACGCGCTTCGGCGTAAGAGCAAGAATAAATTTCCGTGCCCAGATACCCTCGACGATCTTCGCGCACTCATCGAGGCCCAAGATCCCCAACCGGCATGCAACTGTGATCAGTGCGATTCGCATTCCTACAAGTCCCACTGGAACTGCAAGATACACCCACACGACCACCCCAAACTCAAACTAGATAGCTCCAAGAATGAGTTCGGAAATCAGTGCTACAAACCATTGAGAATGAACGTAGCGCTCCGGAGTGAAGCAATGGAACTGACTAGAACAGCGGTAAAATACTTTGACCGCGCACTGGAATCTCTTAACAATACACAGCTCGCCGCCTTAACAAATCTCCGAACATGGATCCGAGAGCACATGTCACTATTCTTCCCCAGCATACCCTCTACATCACCTCCCAGCCTCGGAGCACTTTTCCCCGAATCTTCAGTGCGCGAGCTGTGGACACAAATCAACGTTCTGTTCTTTGGTTCTGATATTTCACATCGCTTCTCCCGCTTTCGCTGGGCTGCTGCCCCCCTTCACCCCAAATATGAAGGTGCAATAGGCCTAGCATATTGGCGCTGTTATCGCTACAATATCGCTATGGTACCGTCTCTAGACTGCCTCTTCATGCCCAGTGTGTTCATGCACGAAATTTGTCACGTGTTCTTCGAACACCATGCTTGCTGGATGTGTGCAATTGCAGCATTGAATCTCAACGCAGTGGCCCACGGGCGTGCGTGGCAAGTCCTCGCATCGGCTGTAGAACGAAAGTTCACAAAATTCACAGGGCTGCCGATGAAGATTGTTCGTTTCAACTCTCTACGGGTGCACTGGGACAAGTGCTGGCCGTTGCCTAGTATGCATGATTTGGTAGATTGGCAACTGGACAGGGAAATATTGATGCGGGCTTTTGAGAGGGATCTAAACGTGGCAATTTGGTCGTATGTGGAACAAGGCGGAAAGGTTGGAGAGTTTCCGCTAAGAGGGTTTAGCGAATATTGGTGGGTGGACACGCAGCAGGCGGAACAGATCGCGAAGGAAGGGAAGTTGGGAGGTGGCATATATTTGTATGGAAGGAACATGTTGGTGTGTTATGGCAACGTGAATAGTCGGGGTATGGAGGTCGAGCAAGAGGGGGTCTGGCGAAGGTGGGAAAGACAAAGAGGATGTGAGAGAATTGTAAATTTGAGGCTATTTTTATTTTCATGAAATGAACAACGTTGGATCGTTCAGTTAGAACGCTCAACGCTAATGCGAAGGAGCACTGAAATTCCTGTCATGTCATCCCAGAGGCATTCCCGCACTATTCCTTCTTCCACCGCATTACAATAAACCATCATATACGCAGCTCATACATAACGACAACGACAACGGGCTACGAGACGAGAATCTCTCTTAGAGCTCTTGCTCGTCTTGGATGGCCTTGCTTCTAGTTGATACTAAGCCGCCATAATCGCTCCAAGAAAGACCGTTGTCTCCAATCGCTGCGTCATAGGCAAGTTGTCGATTTGTCCTCCGTTGCCTTTTGTGGAAGGCATATGCCGGTGCATCTATCCTGGAGGGAGGGTTGGAAGCCGCGGTCTTTTGTTCGGTTGCCGAAGGGAAATAGATAGTCTGATCTTCTGGACCTTGAGCAGCCACTTGACGACGAAGACTGCGCTCCAAAGGTGTTTCTGGTGTATGTATAATCTTCGAGACCTGGACGCTTGCTACGTTAGTTGGCGGACCTGAAGCGGAATCATTCGAGGCATGGGGTGTAATAGGCCCCTCATCATCCCACTGGGTTATGATGGGGCCTACCGTTTTGTCTTCAGTCATCTGAGTATCGGTTGGGCTCTCTTCTCTGCTTCGCTTTTGTCGGCCTTCGAAAGCCACTCTGGTTTCAAACATCTCCGTCATTACGGCGTCATGGCGGAAGATATTACCCGAGCACAGATCACCGAATAGGTTTCGCATGCTGAGGTCGGGTGTCCAGTGGATATCGTCGACGGTGCATGGAAAGACATCCCTGGGACCGAGAGCCCTGACAAAACTGCGAAGCTCAGAGTATGAAGAATGGCGACTGTACGGAAATCGAATTGTCCTGTTAGATGGTAATTCGATTTCAGAGCCTTTCGAAGCATTGGACGACAGTACAGAGACGAGAGTCGTCAGAGACACGTTGTCTTGCGTGTCTTGAACTTTCTTTTGCAGCTGCATACCAAGGTCGAGCTTGCCATTTGTGAGAAGAGTCTGGTGGAGTAGTGCGAGTGCCTTTGAAAGCAACTGTTCGTCGGTTATAGACGCAGCACAGAGCTCCATCAATTTCCGGACGTCGCCCTTGCCACTCCCGCGCCTAGTTCAGCGATTTCTACCCCATTGGCGCGCGTGACTATCGGAATAATGTGTACAATCTTCGCGTTCCTGTCTCGGTCCAAAACTGAACAGCCTATACCACGCTCGCAGCTGTGGATGCGAACATCTTCCTGGGATGTCAGACAACCCGGCTGAATGTGATTGCCATTTTTGAAGCCGCATAAAGCAGGTGCCTCGCGGATCTCCAGTCCAGATTCTTGGAGCAACTTGTTACTTGCTGGGACGTCGAGCCCCGCTTCTCGCAGTTGTCGCTTATCCAACGTGGACAAAGAACCGTATATGCGCGCTCGATATTCGTCAAGATGGATGCGAGAGTGCAGAAATGCGGAAAGCGCTATCCAGACGTTCTCGTAGCCAAAAGTCCAAGAATGGAAGTGGAAGATCGTATCATCTGGATACTCAGTCACTTTGCCGAGCAGCTCTTGTAGGCCTTGTGCTTTACTCGGGAATTGACGATAAGGCTCCTTCTTCGTAGCGAAAGTTGTGTCCAGATACATGCAATCTAAATTTCGATTTCCGAGTGAATATGGTAAAAGTACTGGGTTCTGGACTATTGAGTTAACCCACCATTCCTCCGCACGGAAGTCACCGGTATAGAGTATTGCTTTGCCATTGCCCTCGATCAGGAACATGACCGCGCCAACGCAGTGGTTCGCGTCAACCAGAGTGACCCTGATGCTGTTTCCCGGTGCTAATTCAATCACGGTTGGTGTGTCAAGAGGAATCGCTTTAGCCAACCTGCGCATGCTTCTGTCGTAAGTGACATTGCGACTCTCAAGGATGCCTTTAGAGAAGTTGACGCGATAATGGTACTTTTCTAGTCGCAAAAGTATCTACAAAGCATGTCAGTTTCATAGTGAAGTCAATTAGAGCGTAATGAGTTTAGTAGTCACCTCCTTAGTCGCAGCTGAACAGTACACGAACGGAGCGCGTAACGACTCGAGGCCGGCCAAATGATCAGAGTGTACATGACTCAAGAAGCACGCCAGAGGCGCCTTGTGCTCGGGTTGTTGACGGAAATAATCTATTCGGATCTGGTGAAATTCTGCACGAGCCGTTAGTCAAGGTGTCGACTGCGAGGGGTGGCGGCATGGTGCTTACCTGCTACAATGCCTTTGAAAGTAGACATGGACGCAGATTGTAGTGGCTTAAGTGATACATTTCTAAAGCTGCAGTCAAGTCAAATCTCCAGATGATCACATAGGCAATAATATGTTGGGATGAGGGGCTACTCGCGAACACTAAAGTGAAGGAGAAACGCGTCGAACTTAGCGCGATTTGGACTCAGGCAACCGCGGTTCGCCCCCCACGATGACGGTTACTTCTGCAAAGTCCCTCATCGCTGCCAGCTACCTCGATCTTTGGTTAAAGGGCAGAAATGATGGATACCGGTTGTGCATAATAGCGGGCTATTTGGACAGAATTCAAGGGTTTATTGCTCTACTACAACTAGTATTCCATACCTAGATGCCTCTGTATGGTATGTAGCTTCAGTACACACCCGTCTACACCACGAAGACGTCGCTAACTTTCACAACTTGCCCCGTAGCCATCGACTTGTTTCCACAGATACCTGTGAGAATCGAAAGCGCACCATCGATGTGGCTCGCAGCTCTCATATCCTGATCGATCTCTGCACCTTGCTCACCAAACAAGTCTGCTAGCAGGACTTCATCACCACCGCCATGCGCACCGACAGAATCGGGGATTTCTATGTCCTCGGGCTTCTCAAATAGCTTTCTGAGTGTGATCGATCGCTTTTCGAGCGATCCCTCAAGCGATTGGTCTCCCCCACTATTCACATAGCTGTTCTCGACGACCTCCATTTCCACACGGCCGCCGGTACCGTTGAACGATACACGGAAACCTTCCCAGGGTGCGTAGGCGGTCAAAGAATAGGTGAGTACCGCGCCATTCTCATACTTTACTAGGAGGTTCATTGTATCTTCTATACTTATGCCGTCGCCGAAGACGCTTTGGTCGCGATAGTATGCGTCTTCATGCTCCGCATCGAGGTACATCTTCTTCAACTTCTCATTTTGGTCCATGTGCAGGGCGAATGGATCTTTCTTTGCTACCTCACTACCATGGGCTCGTGTATAGAATTCCTGTACACCTCTCTTCTCAGCGTTCTCTCGTCCGTAGAAGTTCAGGTTTCCCTGTGCGTAAACGGTTTCCGGACGCGATGATAACCAGAAGTTGACGAGGTCGAAATGATGTGTTGATTTGTGGACAAGCAGACCTCCGCTGTTACGCTTATCACGGTGCCAGCGACGGAAATAGTCTGCACCGTGTGACGTGTTGAGCATCCATTCGAAATGTATGCTAGTCACTCTTCCGATCGCTCCAGACCGAAGGAGTTCCCAGACCTTGGTGTTGTGCGGTGCGTAACGGTAGTTGAACGTAACGCGCACTTTCTTGCCCGTTCGCTCGACAGCGTCGAATATCTCGCGGCATCGCGGTGCGTCAATAGTCATGGGTTTCTCTGTTACAACATTGCAACCTAGTTCCAGTGCGCGGACGATGTAGATGTTGTGTGTACGATCGATTGTTGTTACGATGACCTCATCTGGTTTCGTTTCCCGGATCATTCGCTCGAAATCCGACGCTTTGAAAGTGGGAACCTTGGCATGGCCAAGAGACTCCAACTGCGAGTTCGCAAAGTCCAGTCGTGTTTGATTGGTATCGCATAGCGCTACGACAACGGATGTCTCTTTGTAGGTCGTCGCTATTGCGGTGTAGAAAAAAGACGAACGACCGCCTGTACCAATCAGAGCATATTTCTTTTGCTTGTTCTCCCCCGCCATATTTTGCTAACGAGAAATACGAGAATAAACGTTCAACCAAGCGTGCGGCAGCCCAAGACTTTATTCTGCAGCCAGTTCTTAACTCCTTAGGAAACATCCCACGATGATGCATCGGTATATCACTACCCCGGCTAGGCCCTCGATGTTCGGCACAGTCCACCCCGAATGCTGCACCACGCCATGTTAAAATGTCGATCCTGCCTTCTACCGCCATTATAGCCGGTCAGCGAACCAATGTTTCGAGGAGAGGCCCCACAGGCTCCACCCCCATGGGGAAAGTGAAGTAGGGACGACCATGGCGAGGAATGGAGTTTACCGCGTGAGCTCTGCGGGGAAGCTCACTCCTTGCCTAAAAGCTTATGTCGATATGCTACTCGTGCGGATCGAGAGCGGATGAGAGGGTTTGATACGTTGGACAACGTAGCTATGCGGGGCTTTCAACGCAAGCAACAAGCAGCAAGTACGCATGGCCACGAAGGTGTTCCATACCCGACACCAAGATGCGATCAAGATTCGTCGACCCGACCAGTCGGTCTTTTTTATCCGAGCCAGAGCTTTCGATTGATAAATAGATGAGTCGATCACTTAGTAGGTCATTGCGAAAAACACTTACCCGTCTTATAGTCATCGCTCAGTGGCATCATGGCGACAACCCATACTGAAGCCCCGAAAGAGGACACCATCACTCATGTCGAGCACTCTGCGCCTCCGCATACACGTCATGTCGAGAAAGCCGATGCTGCGGCCAAGTTTCTAGCCAACGTCCATGTCAACGATGCATCGTTCTCTTACGAAGAAGAGCGCGCACTCCTCAAGCGCGTGGACTATCGAGTTCTCCCCCTTCTGCTAGGAGCCTACTTCTTCCAGCAACTCGACAAGTCCTCCTTATCCTACGTCTCCATCTTCGGTCTGCAGAAAGACGCAGGCCTAGTAGGACGTCAATACTCATGGCTTGGTTCTATCCTTTATCTCGCCCAGTTAGTCATGCAACCGCTCGCCGCATTTATTCTCGTCAAACTACCCACTGGAAAGGTCATTGGAACAGCTATCTTCCTCTGGGGTAGCAGCCTGGCTATCATGTCCGCTTGTACTGATTTCAAAAGCCTCCTCGGTATGCGATTCGTATTGGGTTCCTTCGAAGCTATGATAGCTCCTGCGTGTGTCGCGACTACGACGATGTGGTGGCGCCGTTCTGAACAAACTCTTCGAACGGGTTATTGGAATGCTATGAACGGCGTTACATTCGTCGTTGGGTCGCTTTTCACCTACGGACTTGGACACATTGACAGCGACTCGCTGTACAAGTACCAGGTCATCTTCATGTTCTGCGGTCTCTTGACTGTAGCGTATGCTTTTGTCGTCCTCGTCTTGATGCCGGATAGCCCGATGAAAGCGAAGTACTTGACCGAGCGAGAACGGTTCATTGCGGTCGAGCGGTTACGGGCTAACCAAATGGGTATCCAGTCTGGAGAATGGAAGTGGGATCAGGTCTGGGAGACGTTGATTGACTTTAAAACTTGGTGTTGGTTCATTGCCATTATCGCTATCTCGTGAGTATACAATCACCATATCTCTGGAGCCTGTTGCTAATGTTGTTCTTACAGCATAGCGAGCGGCGGCATATCCACCTTTGGCAACCTCATCATCCGCGACTTTGGTTATACCAACTTCCAATCCATTCTTTTTAACATCCCTTTCGGTGTGATCCAGATCGTCTGCATCCTGGGCTCCTCTTGGGGAGCAACACGCTGGAGTCGCAAAGGTCTCGTCATTGCTCTTGTCGCTATCCTTCCCATTGTCGGCACGATCATGATGTTGACTGTGCCTCGTCAGCATAAAGGCGTCTTGCTCTTCGGATACTACCTCGTATCATGTCTCGCCGCCATCACACCTTTAATATACACTTGGCATGTGCAGAACACTGCTGGCGACACGAAGAAGAAGTGTACCTCGGCTATGGTGTTCATCGGCATGTGTACAGGTAACGTCATCGGTCCGCTCTTGTACTCTGTTGACGACGCACCTCTATATCGGCCCGGTCTTATCTCCAACCTGGTAATGTTTGCGCTGGTCGCTATTGTCGCACTTCTCATTCCCATGTACTTGGCACTGTTGAACAAGAGGCACGCGAAGCGGAGGGAGGAATTAGGCAAGAGCGCAGTCAGGATTGACGAAAGTATGTTAAAGAAGAAGGAGATGACACAAAAGGGGGTAGAGATGGAGGCACAAGATCAGAGACAGGAGCAGGACAACGGTTTCTCTGATTTGACAGATATGAAGAATGAAGACTTCATCTACGTATACTAGAGACTGGGAATCGGAGGGAGATACAAGTTGCATTGTCGCCATTTGACAGCAGATGCTAGTTAGAAGCATGAATTCTTCTTAACAATACACCTGTGGCTGCCGGAGTGAGAATAGTTGCAGAGATCAAGCGCAGGAACGCGCGACGAGACGATACGCACCTGGATCAATCACGTGGTATGTCACGGCAATTCACGGCATTGGGCGTACCTAAGTAAGAAAGATTGGAATCTGCCCTGCCCCGTGCGCAACGCCGAGAAACTGGCCGACGTTGCACCTACTCCTGTCTGATCTGTCGTCTAATACCCCAGCTGAACCATCTAACATACACGAACAGACCTCGATATGGCAAGTAAAAGCGCACCTTGAGGGCTAGGGCTGTGCAACAACATCTTCGCTGTATGGCTTGGCGAGAACCAACCATCTTGTAATGTGGAACCCCTGAATTGTACAATGAGCTGGCATCAGCTGGTTATTGCTGCTTCACGCATGAGAGAAATCTAGTTTACATTACTAACAATGGGTCCTACCGCCCTTCGAAGTCCCCACGAATGTGCTCATCTGGCGAATACGGAGGCCGCGTCAGAACTCGCCGGCCAACCAACCCGCTTTGAACACGGCTTCACGCGTCGCGCGTCGACTGCGGATAATGCCATTTTCGCAGAGCGTAGAAAGCAGAGTATATCGAACTATTGGAGGCAAGCTACCTGTGGTAGATAGCCGCTTAAGCTGAGCGATGTTGGTTATACCTAGAATAAACGCTGATGCTCCAGCTTCGATCAGGAACGAACAGAGACACCGGCAACTCCGCTCGCGGATCCACAACACGCACGCGAGGCTGGCACACGCGAGACCTATGTAGCAATGGTTCCCTTTTGACTCCTAGATCTTCAGGTTCTGAAACAACTGTGGCGCAGTAAAACATATCCTTTGCCCTAAGCCGTTCCTCGTACAGCATCCTCCTGGAAATGTTGTCAAGAAGATTTCCGATCCATCAAGCCGACGTTCATACTATACCGAACTGCCGCCATTACTATTGCAAGCCACCCCATGGTTCGAAACAAGCTTTCGCCAAATCAGATGAAGCCGCGTCAAGGAACAAGACAAGCGCTTCTTTATTAATAGTTGCGAGACCCCGGATTGGACCCAGTATCGTATAGTTTCTATATCCAGAAGTCTTATCTCGCTTCGCTACTAGCTGCAGCAAAGCCGCTGGCAGAATCTAAGGTGAACCCGCAGGCTTGTGTACACTGTCGGCTGTTACCGATCGGTCGCAGATGCCGCGATGAGATTAGAAACAAAGAGCGTTTCTGGAGTATACGCGTTATTTGTACCTAACAGTAGACCATGCTGCCTAGAGAGAAGGAAACGCGAGATACACTTAGAAAATCACTGAATACGGGCCAAACCCTAGTTGACGGCACCTCGGCACAAAAGCTCTATCCGTGCCGTTACTACAGTAGCAACCTTTCCGCTCAGAAGACGCTAGCTCAGTACCTGCAGTCGTAGGCGGGTTAGGCGACCATACGGATCTAAGTAGCATAGCCACAGTGTTCGAGCTTCGCGCTGCGTTTCACAACATCACTCTCCATATCCCAAATGCTTGAAGTCATGTATGGAACCATACTCGGGGTTTGATAAGCTTGACCATGTTTGTCTTTCGGTCCGAGCTGGCAGGTACCGTCAAGCTGCTCATACCTTGTTCTTCTAGCAAGTGTTGAAGCAACCCAATCCCTCATGGTCTCGCGATGCGTGGAGAAGAGATGATGGATGTCGGCATTTTCATGAAATTTAAACTGGAACCTGATTCGAGGAGTTTGCATTCGACGCAAAGTCATGGCAGTATGTCGCTTCTCTTGCTGTTGAAGCACGGCAGCAATTTTTGCACTAGTCTTAACCACCTGTGACCGTCGGATGATCACTACACCGCACTACGGGTCGACTCCCGGTCGAGGATGTGCACCGTTGGACATGCTACCCACGGTTCTTCTCCTGAAACTCGTATCCCAGCATCACCACAACAGCTTACGAAGGCCTTGTCATTCGTAGGGTGGAAATGTCAAGGTGTGTCAATGTTATAGTAGCATATACGAAGCTAGCGTTAGGGGCGGTGTACCCGACACGATTGCATGGATGTGAGAAAGGGGCATACAGTTGATGCAAGGCATGAAAGTCTTCTCTTCCCACATGCAAGAACAGTGTGTCCCACTCCCTACTCACCAAAGCTAGCATCAACACAGCAGTTCAAAGATGTTCGTCCGCCAATTGGTCATTCGGATTATCGCGGCCGCGGTATTGCTCAAGATACTAAGTGTCATCTGGCACCAGTACATCTTTCAGTCCTTTCTCGGGCACCAGCAAATCACATTCGATGACTTCCCCACCGAATACGCCAAGAGATTGAACGAGTCGCGGGCAAACAATCAACAACCTCAGGAGTCCGACTACTCCTCCACATATAACGGAACCAGGATCCCACGCACCATACACTACATATGGTTCGAGAGAATCTACCCAGGTCATGAAGGTCCTTCTGGAGGCCCGTCTATCGGATTCGGATCACCGCAACTATGTCGAGAGCACAACCCGAGTTACGAGATTCGCATGTGGAATGCAACGAGCGCCCGCGAGTTTCTCTCCAACGAGTACGCCTGGTTCTTACCGACATACGACAACTACAAGTACCCTATCCAGAAGGTTGACGCCTTGAAGTACTTCGCACTATACCATTTCGGTGGCGTATATATGGACCTAGACGTCGCGTGTCGACGCTCACTAGATCCTTTGCTGGACTTCCCGGCCTGGTTCCCAGAGGCATCGCCGTTGGGCGTCAACAATGACCTGATGGCATCGGCGGCAAAGCATCCGATCGTGAAGAAGATGACAGAGGGTCTTGTGACCCACAATTGGAACCTACTCTTCCCGTACCTTACAATCTTTTGGACAACGGGACCACAGTTCACAAGTACAATCTTACAAGAGTGGTTCGAAGAATGTCCTCATGGGAAGTGCAAGGAAGGTGAGGCCAGGAATGACCTTGGTAAGTTAGCGACCTTTGCACGGTAAAGAGAGGTGACCTGGTTTGGCTAACTTGTTCCGTGTAGACCCCAACTCCTTCGTCGTTCTACCTCGAATCTTCTACTCGGAAGAATACACCTTCTTCGGCCATAAACCTGGAGGATCATGGCATGGCGGGGATGTCGCTGTGGTGTTGTGGTTCGCAGAGCGGCCATGGGCGATTGCAAGTGTTGCTACAGCCTTTGCTGGAACAATCTTTGGTATCGCTCGATTGGGGAGTAGAAGGGCCCGACAAAGAGGGAAGATCTATAGTCATTTGGTTTAGAGCAAACAAGATCCCGCAAACAGTACCTGTTGTGTTAGTACCACATCTTTGTATGAATGCTTATGAAAAGCATGTCTGTTAGGATGTGGTTTATGATATACAACGGCAGTTATGGCAGTCGGAAGCCTTGTCGGGCCCTGTTCCGAAGTTCTCTGGCAACTTGAAGTATGTGTGGCCCAGGTCGATCGCACTTTATATGTGTGGATTCGTCCGGTGCCACCGGTTCAATGACGTGTGGTCTTGGGCCCGACGCATCATCCTTGCAACTGTATCTCGAATACATTCAATACAGGAAAGTTTACGCAGACTGAATCATGCCGAAGCCCCACCGGCGCTGCTTGTAGAATCGGAGCCCACCGGATGAGTATCGTTCCGTATCCGACGATTCAATGCTAAGATCTAGGGCGGGATCAGGGATACCTTCTCCGCTCGCCAAGAACTTCTATGTTGACCTCGGAACATACCTAGATGATACAATCCCTAGGTCAGAGACTCTGTTGTTGCTATCTCGCCTCATGGATGAAGTTTGTCGAAACTACAGTCTTCTAAGGTCGGATCACAGAAACAATGCACGCGTGCTTAGGGAATACATCTGTATTGATATCGTCGTCCTGAGTTATCCCAGCTCTGACCGCGTTATGTTTCCTTTCAGATCTCAGCAGCAACACTCACTTTACTCTAATTATCCAGCCACGTCAAGATATCAGGGCCTACTCTAGGGCAATGATCCTGTGCAATAAAATGTAGGACATAGACTGGAAGAATCTGTTACAGATGGAATCAATTGAATCGCAAGGAACGTCACTGAAGGAAGCCTTTTGATTGCTGCAGTTGAAGGAAGCCTTTTGATTGCTGCAGTTGAAGGAAGCCTTTTGATTGCTGCAGTTGTAGCCTTGTGAGCATCTAGGGTTGTGTGATGGAGTCGAGAACGTTATTTTAGCATGAACACGTCCTACAACACGCTATAGTACTGTTTCACAACCGAAGAACGTTTGATAGAACTCCATGTTCAACTAGATCTAAGCATAATGAAGGATGACCAGAAGTATCCGTACACATCGGAAACTCGGGTAGGCCATGTCTCTGAGATAGTGCGAGTTCCTTACTTCGTCAATGGGACTGCTCTGCATGACTCCAAATGCGGAGGCTCTTGTACGAACTATACAGATCGGGTGATGCTTACTTTAGCTTTAGTATATTGTGTGTCTCCCCCTTGGTCGCCGAAGAGGTAGCTACTCATTGACATGTAGACCGGCGCTGACAGCAACCAATGCCAACTTCTCCACCAAAGCCTCTATCGGACGTCTTCATGGCAGCTCTTTAATTTGGAATCAGTACGAACTAGGCTCCACGGTTATGGAAGGGTTGCCGATATAGCGTTCTCCACAGTTCGTGTCAGCACTATGTGGTAGCACTTTGTGTAAGCTATTAGTCAAGATAAGAAAGAAAGGTTGCGGTATCGGCTTACCGGGAAATCCAGCCACGGAACCACACACATGCGGATAAGTATGACAGGAGATCAAAGGTTGCCATACTATACTGGGAGCCGTATTGTCTTGGTTGATCGATTGGTATTTTCGCCTTTTTGGGCATATAACTATATGCACTTTATCCCTGTCTTTATCCGCAGCGCATACCCGCAGTACTCCCATTAAACGTGAAACTATATGTGTATATCGATCATCTGCCACCTAGAAAGGTGTGCTCCCAATGCTAAGAATGACAAAGTTAGCTCGATCTTGGAGACCCAATACCGAGAAGTTGCTATTACAGAAAGGATACCGACGAAGATAGCATGAAGATGGTAATACAGGAACCGCCAACGCCCGCTAACTCAAACAGAATGATGATGACCGAAAAGGGAGATGATGCTATTATGATGCATGAAGGATGTTATGCCGATTCTCCATTGGCGAAGACAGACCTACTGTTCGAGCCTATTACCGATCAGTGTGCCGAAGCTGTTGCCTGCCGGTCGTGGCTCCTTGCCAGCTCCGGCGTAGAACTCGCAACGAAACTTGAGGCACTCAGTTCCGCGGGCATCGTGGTATACCTGTACGATATCGCCAGTATGTAGATGTCCGAAAAGAGCACGACCCTTATCATCCTTCTGCTTCAGGTGTTTGCCATTGATCGAGATACCGTGTGTTGCGCAAGTCCAGATACCAACGTTCAGGTTCTCCAAGGTGGTCCAATCTTTGCCCTGTTGCGATAGTTCCTCTACAGTCTCTTGTGCTTGACCACCAGGCGAATAGAAGAACACAATGAAAGCCGTTTTGGGAACGCGTGTATCACCTCTGTGCTCGTATACGATCGTATTGTTGCCCAAGCGGCCCCAGGAAGTTTTGCTCTGATCAATGTTGAGAACAAGGTTGGGCGCAAATGAATCGGGAGTTGCGATGAGCTTACCCAGCCGCCGTGGCGGTGGACGGATGTCGATTTCCACAGGAACTGAAGGAATTGCTACCGCTGAAGATGGTGCTGCCGCAATGCTCGATGTTGTTGATAGCGCACTTGCCTCCGATGCTGCTGTCGTGTCGGGATATGCGGATGTATTACTCGTAGCATCGCGACTGTTGGACACAAAGTCGAACCCGCTTACTCTAGAAGCATACTCCAGATTATGCGTAGTCGGGTCCTTCGGATCGTAGTAATAGGAAGCAGTCAAAGGGAGATTAATCTGCCGGTTCATTCCGGAAGGTCGTGCTCTCGGAGTAGGCTCGCTGACTTGACTAAAGTCCTTGGACGACTGATCCAGGGAGCTGTGTTGAACGACTTCCGGCGTCTTGGGCGTCGCTGGCATCACCGGACTCTGCGTCCTAGATACTGGTGAATACGGCGAGGTCATATTGAGATCTCGTACCAAAGACTCAGCACCAAGGAGGCTAGGCGAAGAGAAGCCGCGCTCTAGCTGCGCAGGCGCAGTAAAAGGACCCTGGAACTCCGCCTCACCGGCAGTGTGACTAGTGTTGCCTGCTCCATCGTTCTGAACCAGGCGAACAGATCCATCCTGCGAAAGCGCATCGTTGGCATGAGCGCTCAAGACTCCCGAGCTCTGCAAAGCAGACTGTCCAATCTCACCGAACAAACGAGGCTGCCTGGGTGTTGGAATGAGTTGGAAGCTCTCGTCATTCACGAGATGTGAGGAAGTAAACGAAGGCTCGATGCTGGAGTCCTCGTGGTCTCGCGTCTGATTGCGAGGGTACAAAGGATCGGCACGAACTCGTTTCGGTTGACGCTCTGTGACAAAAGCCATGAGCTCGTCATCAGATAGGATGTCGCCTTCTTCGTCCGACTCGGGGATCTCCTCCTCCTGGATACTGAGCTGCGATAGTTGCTGCTCTGCTTCTTCAGGCTCCTCTTCTTCCGCAATGGACTGAAGAGTCGGGTCAGCGAGAAACTGTGCGCCGTCCTTGAGCCAAGGGTGGTTAAGACAGTCGCGATCGGTGGGACGGGCTGCAGGGTCTGTCTGTAGCATGCGCGTCAGAAGATCGATGCAAGCGGCGGACACACCTGCCTTGTGCAGCGGTGTCGGGTCGAGAGGAGTGCGCATGATATTGTTGAACATAGCTTCGCCGGTAGCATCTGCGATACCCTTGAACGGAGGCTCGCCGCATAGAGCGTACCAGAGCACACCACCAAAGGACCATATATCCACAGAAGAGCTATACGAGTGGTATGTTTTGGCGCCGCGCCGGCGCTTGGTGCCTTTCGATTGGCCGTTGAAATCAGGAAATACTTCTGGAGCGCAGTACAACAGAGTCCCGCAGAAGGTTTTGAGGAAGGTCTCCTCGTGTTTGACAACTTTGGAGAGTCCGAAATCTGATAGCTTGACTGTGAAAGGGTCCAGATCGGAGATCAGGATGTTGTCAGGCTTGATATCGCGATGAGTGATTTTCGCGCGGTGAAGATAACTGAGTGCGCTCAGGATTTGCTGGGCCATCAACCTCGCAACATGCTCCTTCATGGATCCATACTGGTTGAGGTAGCCTTGTAGATCGCCTTGCCGTACGAACTCCATGATGATGTAAAGATAATCACCCTGGTCGTGGTATTCAACGAACTCGACGATGTTCGGGTGCCGTAGATCTTGCATAATCTTCATCTCATTGTCGATCTTCTTGTCTAGCATACCATTCTTCATGAACCGGCGCTTTTCCAACTCTTTGGCAGCGAGAAGCTTTCCAGTCATCTTTTCAGCAAGTTGGTAAACGGTCGCAAAGGCGCCTTTACCAATCTGACCTGAGAAGAGTTAGCAAGCATCAATTATGTCATGAGGGAATACATACCGACAATGTTATAGGTCTCACCACCATCCCACTTCATCGATGGTCCGCCATACTGTTTAGTGATTCGCTGAACGGCCTTGCCCTGTGCGTCCCCAAAGTCTGGTTGGCACTCCGTGATGAAGTTGCGCAGGTTTTCGCGGAAGCGGTCCATGTAGTTGACGCGAGAAGGTACACGCACGATAAATTTGATCATCTCTGCATCGTTGGAGTTTTGGATACAGATGATTGATCCCGAGCTGAGCATCCGCATCTTGCTGAAGCGTGGGTCCTTGCACTTCAGAAGCGAATCGTCAACTATGGTGCCGTTAGTCGACATGTCATCGAGCATGAGAAGACCATCCGCGTTGAGATATATGCGGAAGTGCTGGTTGCTTATCCTCTTGCCGGAGTCCTGACCGAAGATGACATCAGCGCTCTGGTGGTTGCGTCCGAATATGAATCCGAGCGGCTTAAACTTCAGCCTCTTCGCAGACGACATGCGTAGGGCTAGGTCTGCGCCAGCGCGCGAACTGCCACCTTGCCGTCCTTCGGGGGCGTTGATGATGAAAGTCTCCTGCTCCTCAACATCGGTGATTGAACTACTCATGGAATCGAGTGAGTTGCGGAAGAGCACATGCTCAGGTCGGGTTTGCGCTGTCTGTTCGACGATCCGAATAGCTGTGGGAGTGGCTGGGTGGAGGATGACTAGAACGTCGGCAATATCACCATCGTTAAGACCAGAATTGTTCCTGCCTAATCGCCGCGGATCCAGGACTTGTTGCGTAGCAGGCTGTGTCTGCTGAGACGGTTCAGCGTCCATGTTGATTGTCAGGCGGATACTTCAGAGCGTATGGGTGAGGTCTCGTTGAAAGTGGTCTGAGACCAGGCGAGAGGCGCGGCCGTGAAAGCTATGGAGGCGACAGAAGTTGTCGAGCGGGTGGTTGAAGGGCGGGTTCTAGGGTTTTATACAAGATAGGCAGCCGATTGCGGGGGTTTGTGATATGTGTCGAGGTGGGTTTAGTGCGAGCTGGTGGTAGTTGCGCTGATAGTAGAGTGAGTGATCACTTGGGCAACGTAGGCACGATTAGGACAGTGCGCTCAATGAATGAGTTGCGCAGTTCGTCGTGTGAAGTGAATTCTGGACGAAGACACAAGTAGAACCGACACCAAAACTCTGCTACGTGCGCCAACCTAATGGGACGTATCAATATCTCTTCGATACCGCAGGCAGCCGAGAGTCGGGAATGCACGCTTCTTTGTAGTACGACCGTCCTCCACCGAGTCTTTATTAATCACTCTGAACAGAACTTCACTTAAACCAGGGTTGATCAGGGACCCTTTTAAGCCTATGTAGCTCCTTGACTTTCTTTTTCTAGGCCTCCGTCTCTATGCCGATCAACTTATGTAGAATGGAATGGAGGCAAATCGGCTTCGATCGAATGACAACGCGTGTATAATACAGCGACGCAGTCGCGGAGATTGCGAGATGTATACGTAGACAAAGGGAGGCAGACGTTTGCCTTGACGGAGTGCGCGTACGGGTATGGAAGAGAGGACGATGCGAAGGGTTGCCCTAGGAACAGGCTCTACGGCAATATGTCAGCGCGAACACGTCGGCATCCATCTCAGCTATGCGATTGCAATTGAGACGAAGACACACCTTGCTAGCAGAACCAAGCAGACACCTAACACGAACGTCGAAAGTGAATGGAAGCAGACTCGAGGTGTCGCGAGTTGTGAGACTTTGGGGCGGCCCGCGCGCACCCCGCTATTGGCTGGGCGCCTCCAAAAGTGGGGCACCTCCTACTTCCTGCATGTAAGGCAGCAAGATCACGTTTCTTCGCGCAAATTTCGCGTCGTCAGTAACGTCATGCTTGGGACTAACCCTTACTAAGTGGAGCCACGATCTAACAGGGCATAGTGGCTATCTTTCATCGTCGCGACAGGGTGAAAGAGAAGCTTTACCGTAACGTTGTTTGTGAACGCAATTCCAGATGCTTCCTTTTACCTAATCGCGACAAATTTCCATACTCCTACGTAGCGTCAGCGTCAGCGTCACACATACAGCTACAGTAAACAACGATCTATCACGGTACAGGGCCCATATGCTTACAGAATCTTCACATTGACAGTATCAATCCAATGCGAAGACTTCAGCACTGTTGAATATATTATACAAGCGTTATGTCCATCCACTCACACGATGCAAGACGTTCTGCGTCCCCGTCCATCCACTCCTGCACATAGCAGTCGCCGATAATCTTATATTTCGGTCCTGAGGTCGTTTTGTTGGTATCCTCATGCCGACGTAAGACAAATGGTGTCTTCCCACCGCTCAAAAGGAAAACCTCGTCACCAACAGCCGTTCCTGCAGGCCCTAATCCAATAGAATTGCCGACGATGATCAAGCGCCGTAAGAGCGTCGCTATATTGATCGAATTATCAACATCCGGGATAAGATGCCTCACGTCACAATGTATATCGATTTCTGGACCATAATGATCTCTGAGCAGTTGTCGAACTATAATGAACAGTTCTTGCCATAGCTTCTCCCTATCAAACTTCCCGTAGGCGAAAAGGAAGCCCTCAGGGTTGTAAACTCGCTTGATGAAACTTGTGTCAAGTTTATGGCCATACTGATTAACGCGATCGATCGTTTTATTGGCATACCGTATGAGGCCGTCAGCCGCTTCTCGTATCTCTAAAGTACAGCTTTGGAGACCATAACGAAGCACATGGTCGCGGCCACCCAGTGTATCGGAACTGTGTGAGAGAGGGTCCTTTGGCCATAATAACATGTAGTATTCCCAGAGCTTGGTCCATACACGTGATTCATTTGAGACAGCTTCGTCACCTGGTCCGCTAAATGGCGACAACCTCGAGTGTCTTTCCCAAGCTTCGAAAGTACTTGCATCGTAAGCTCGCACTCTGCGTGTGCCGCCATCGAGTCTTCCAGGGAGGGTGATATGTATTACACCCGCACATAGACACATCAAAAACTTCTCCCGCAGTGAATCCATTGGAACCCCCTCTTTTTCTGCCTCTACCGTTGGGGTACTGTGCGACCATAGAAACCATCACCGACCAAGCGTCTCTCGGCTGTAAAATGCACTGTCACCTAACATAACTTCACCCAGCGCATCCACAGTCTCGAGTTTTGTAGCTCGTAGTCTCAACATCGAACCGTTTACCGGCCTGACCACAGTTGTAGGAGTAGCCTCCTCTAAGCTGGCATCGTATAGACGAATGGCTTCTGCACGTGCAGTATATGTATACCCTCCTGGCGCTCCCCAATCTGGAACCCACGAAGGCAGATCGTTCCTGAATTTTCGCTCGAGCTCTGTACTAAACATCGAGAGGGATGCTGTGGTATAAATCGATTCTGGTGCCGCTTGACAAAAAACTTCTGTTTCTGCCAGAGAATAATCTGGTATCAGCGGTTCTCTGTCGCGCGGAGTTTGAACCATGCTGAGTAGTGCGTACACTTTGTCTCTAGAATCAGATGCTTTCCGATCCCGAAACTGTCTTAATAAACTCAACAAGTCTAGTGGATGTTGCCTCATACGGAGGTCTTCAATAATTTTTATCTTCTTGCAGCTGTCAGTGACAACTTTCTCCTGGTCTGGCGGCAAAGTCTTGATAACCCACTTGCAACATCCAGAGCTGTGCCTAAGGTATGACTTTGCGGCATTGGCAAACATATCCCAAGATGCAGAAATTGTACCGTAAGTGATCGTGACACGAAGAGGAGCTGTAACCTCTTGTATCACCCATATTCGAGTCCACCAGGGCGTGAAAGGAGCGTGCATGAATTTTCTCAACGCTTCGAACAGCTGCGATCGAAGCTGGGATTTTTCGTATTCCAGACCTGTCTTTGGTACATTTGGGCCACTCTCAGAGGCTGATTTCCCGTCGAGATGGCCTGCCCAATCCAGTTCGTGGAAGAACGAGAAGACATCGTATACGCCTGGTTTGTGACTCAATTTGTTCTTACAACCTTGGTGAGAAATTCCGCCGTAGAAATCGGAGACTGGAGGCGGTTCAGTCGAAGACGGAATAGAACCGTCTAGATTATCTCCAAGGTATACAATGCATTCCTGACAACTCTTATAAATGCGACCCATCAGTTGAACCTTATGGTTCCTTTCTTCGCCATCTTTCTGGTTGATACATCTAGTTGCAACAAGATTAGAACGCGACGTGGAATACGTGCAAGTCTACAGTACGTACAGCGCATCGATCCAAAGCACTAACTCGTGCTTGTACTTCTCCCGTAGATGTCTCAGTGCACTCCGTAGGTTCACCGTTACTGGATAGATTTGGCCGTTGAGTCGAATTGGCCGGGTGACCCGCGGTGAGCCCCATACGTAAGATAGTGCTTGGTAACGAGCGACCTCGATATCGACATATGTCAACTCGCAGATGATCGGGTCGGTCCATCTGCCAGGCGGTAGCTTCACAACTCTGATCTGGTTGTGTCGAAGTGGACCCCCAGGATACGCTGCTTCAATAGGCTCTCGTCGCGCACTGTTTGGAGAGAGAAACATGTCTTCTTCAGCTCGAGCTCAAGTCGCTATCTGTAGGTAGAGAATCGTAGGCTGAAGCATGGTCATCTAAGTTTCCCACGCGCGGGACTGAAGGGCAGGGCAGCGAACTAACCGGTCGGAAGACACAGCCACAGCTGCGCGTACTGCCCCGCGTCATGTTAGAGACGACTCAGGCCTCCAACCAGTAGACATTCCATTTAATTCAAGGTCGAATGTGTGACAAGCATAGATAGAATGGGCCTACATGTGACATCATCGCGAACTTGACACATACTACAGGCTGTAGGTACCAATCGATATGATCGCATCTTGTAACACAAGACATAAATTCAGTGCAGAAAGTAGGGGATTTTGATGAAAGAAGACAACGTGGTCGTGGTAGTCGTATTGTGAAATCAAACGTCCAAGTTTTGATTTAACCGGTTCTCGTAGTTCGTTGCAATACCTGCAATACGGACTCAACAAGTAGGTTTCAGGACTATATACTACACGCAATGCTGAAAGTATATTTTCGCGCGTCCTGCGCATATCCTCTCACATCGTGGAAGCGCGTGTCCCTCATTAATCTTGCCGAATACGGTTTAGCTTCGCGGAAGTGACATCTGGCTCCAACCAGGATTACAAGAACTCCGCAATCAGCTCCACGTCGCATGCCACCAATTCACTCCGCAAATCGTAGCGCCCCTTGACGAAAATGAGGGGATTATGGGCACTTCCGGCGGTGCTGCGCATAGCACTGGCAAACCAGCACGCATTCAGCGTCTTTGACGATTTGCTCGCTTTCCCACAGGTACGATGCGCTGCACACGCGAATAGCATCATCACTCGCTGACAGAACGCTCAGTATGAGGTTTTATGGCCGGACACTTTCGTCACCGAGAACGATGCGACGTTTCTTCTCTCACACAGATCACCCAGCTCGAGCTCTGCAACACCGGGTTCGCAAGAGACGCAGGAACTCTCGAAGCGCGATAAGCCGGCAGCGAACACACCGTCCGTAGACGATACGCTCGAGCAAACATACGAAGCAGTAGTGCTGCATGGCCAGCGGTACCTTTGCAGCATACCCGTAATACCTGAAGAGATACCACAGAATGACACCACATCGGCTGAGGAAGCCAAAGCCGAGGAGGAGAAGGAGCTCATACGGGCAGCAGACCGTGGATGGGAGTTGCTCGAAGGCATGAAGGGTAACTGCATATACTATGTGAGCGGGTGGTGGAGTTATAGCTTCTGCTACAAGGATGAAGTCAAACAGTTCCACCAGTTGCCACAGAGTCGAGGAGTCCCCCACTACCCACCTGTAGAGGATACGAGCGTACACAGCTTTGTACTGGGGAAATACCCGAAAGAGGAGAAGAGCAAGAAAACGGGCACGCAGAAAACGCTTGGGAATGAACAGGGCAGCAAGGAGGCTTTTGATGATGAGGGTGACATAAGCGATGAGGAAGAGAAGGGTCTGGAGATCTCAAGACTAGAGACCAAGGGGTCGAACAGATACATGGTCCAGCGGCTATCCGACGGTACCGAATGCGACTTGACAGGCAAACCGCGCAAGATAGACGTACAGGTATGCATTTGCACGCTCATCGTCCTATACTGCACGATGCTGACATATCTACCAGTTCCACTGCAACCCGCAGTCTGCCGACAGAATTGCTATGATTAAGGAAACAAGCACCTGCTCCTACCTCATGATCGTCGATACGCCCCGCCTCTGCCACGATATTGCCTTCACCCCACCGCAAGAGAACCTTGCGCATCCCATAACCTGTGAGCCCGTTATCCCCGAGTCTGAAGTCGACGCATGGACGCAGGCACAAGTGTCGGCCAAGATGGCCGCAGCTGAACGTCTCATCGCTGCGCACAATACAGCCGACGATGCAAACACGAACCCGCTTCGCGATCTCGCCGACGGCCTCGAGGGCTCTACAAAGCGCATCATCATCGGTGGCATCGAAGTCGGCGCGAAGATGTTTGTTGGAAGCGAAGGCAAGGTGATCGAGAAGTCAGTTGTTGTCGGAGGAGGCAAGGAAACATTCATCGGCACTGTAGCGAGCAGCGATGGTAAGCAGATGTCCAAGGAAGAGATGAAGAAGCTCAACATTGCCGACCCCAAGGATGTCGAGACTTTGAAAGGCAATCTGAAGAAGCTGGCTGGCAAGAAAGGGTGGAAATTGGATCTCGTAGATACACCAAGAGGCAGGGAGTTTAGAGGCATCATCGATACCGAAGATCAGGATACTGAGAAAACGAAGAAGACGACGAAGAACAAGGATAATGATAGTGCAGGAATGGGTAAAGAAAAGGAGCACGATGTTGAGCAAGACGACGAAGAAGAGATGCAGGAGGGAAGCGAGGAGGTATACAAGGACGAGCTGTGAGTTCTTCTAGGACAGTAATGACCCTTGGTCACTATACTTATGTTCACGGCTTATACTGAGTACCACGAAGACGAGAGTTTATAACGATCAATTGTGCAGCCTTTTTTGCCTTTTTGATTCTGATGGGTGATTTTACATGAACCTCTAAGAACAGCCAGACGTGTACTCTCACTTTGCTCGACAACGAAAACCCGATGCCATCATGCTAGTGAAGCCAACAAGTGCTGCAATTCTCCGAACACCACTTTGGTGTCCAGTGTCCACAAGGCACGTTCAGAAGGGGATTGGAACCCACTCCTCGCGTTTCGGGCAACCCCTAGCCCGCTCATGTCCTTCTCCGGCACAAGCCCGGTTCATGTAGTTGGCCGTGATCATACCTTGTTCGAGACTTGCGCCCTCACGAATGGGAACGCTTCCGCATCCTAAGAATCGTCAGCTTCAAGTTATCAGCATCGAAAAGACAAGTCTGACTTACGTCCGCACGTATGGTCTCTGAGTCGCTGAACTATTTTTTTGACATCCTTTGCGTTGATCGACATATGAAGGTTTCGGGCGAAGATACACATGCCCTGGAAGTATAGATGATTGCACACTTGGCACGCAATCTTCTCGTCATTGTTGAATGTGACTTCATCGGCTAGGAATGGTAGTTTCAGTGAGAGCACTCATGATAAGGGGACGACGGAAAGAGTGTTACATGTACTTACGAACCTTGTGAAGAGTCTCAAGGATTTGGTCAAGACTCGCCCTGCAATATTTGCACTGCGAGCTACCTCTACAGTTGGCGCCATCTCCTCCGAGGGTATGGATGTCAGTGGAGTTTCCGGAAGCGGGGAAGGTCTCATATGGAATGTCCGCGTCGACAGTCTGGTCAGGTATAACTCGCGGAACGTCTTGGCTGCGGTTGATGTCTAGAAGCTCGTCGACATTGGCGGAGTCTTGGTCACGAGCAGTGATGCTGTGGGCTGAGTCGAGACCTAAAGATGGTTAGCTCAAGGTGTTTGCATGTGCTGTAGTTGAGAGCATACCACGAGCTACAAGTGGCTGCAGATCATTGCGGACCGTGGCTAGAGCGAAGACAGCCGTCGCCCAAACAAGGATGATAGCGAGAATGTTTGGAACGGTAGTCTTCATTTTCACCGTTGCTCAAGATTGATGCAGTTCGAGGGACAGTCGAGATCGAGTCGAATAGATTCAGTCAAGGTGTAGAGAAGTAGAGAATCGGAGAGGGAGAGAATTCTAGAAATAAATATTCCGATGATAGCACGGTCAAGGCACCCATATCTACGGTCCAGTAAACGCTCGTGGGAGAGCTCGGATAGTGGTAGCGGTAGGGAATCGGGCCACGATCTCTGCAGAAAATGGACATTCACCATATGGACTGTAGTATTAGGAATTGAGGTCAGTGCTCCCAACTCCCATGTAGCATACGTGAGTTTAACCATGCGCTTTAACAGCTGTTAAGAATGTCTTCCCAACGATTTCAATATAAAACGTCACATAGAAGAAAAGCCCACACGACTCGAGAATCTTGGCAACTACTCATCGAGTCACATATCTGTATAGGAGGAAACTATCGTTCTTCCTTCCTCGAGCAATCAATTTCTCTATTTTATACGCTAAGCCCAGGTTAAGCTCGCTCAACATTTGCATATCGCGCGATCGAGCCTGAAATACATGACTTTGGCAGGAAAGACCCTGAATGTGGGAGACAACTAGGAAGCGCGACGAAATACAACGAACCCCTCGAAAGTGAGCTTCTACTGGTTCGTGTAAGGCAAGAAGGATATATAAGCAGAGTGATGTATTCCTCCCAATGCATGGTTTCTGGACTTGCTTACTTCTGTCGGGAAGTGGACGTTACGGCCTTGATCCTTAGACTTTGATCAAGTTGGCTGCAAGAGAGATTGAGACCACAGATCGCACATCGTGAACTAGACATCTATCTCCAACGTAGAGACACAAAGAAGACGCCTCTATTCTCTAGCTAGCATGAATTAGAATCATTAGTAGAGAGACGCAAGAAGCGTGCGGTAGAGTGAAGCATATAGAAAGCAAGCTCGTCCGCCCCTTCTCTCCTCCCCTGTGACATCATTTCATTGAGACTAGCCCCAACACGCTCGACCCCACCTCTACAGAGCCTCAGTTCCCCTCTCTCTTCCCCAATCTAATCTTATCTCCCCAACCTCCACAGAATCACTTTCGAAGGATCCACCATCGCGCACTCCGAGCCTAGGCTTTGGTTCTTGGGTTCGCACGCGTGGATCATCCCAACTAGTGTGCATGAAGGAATGACCCATGGGCGGTATTCCAGAGCATCCTTCCGGGACTTCATAGCGAACTAATCGAATGCACGTATCGTCAAGACAATGCGTTGGCGTCATAACGTACCAAGAGCTACGGACGACAGGAATCTCATTAGTGAGTAATGCGCGCGCAGAAAGCCGCATCGTGAGGCAGAAAGTTGCCCTCTCTACACCGGACACCCGTCCATCGCACAACCTAGCGCAACGTAAATCTTGGATTTACAACGCATACCTGCATTTGCAATCCTCCATCCTTGAGTGCATTCATCATGGAACGTCAGATGAGCCAGATAACCGATTCGCGGTAAGCGAGCATGGTGCTTCGAGACGAGAAGCGGGGGGCGCAGCATGAAGGACCTCAACAGACCTCGTATCTGCATGCATCTAGAAGGGAACGTACAAGTCTCAGCCTCACTTTTTGCTGCCCCAGGCAGAAGACAAGAAAAAGGCGGAAATTTAGGTTTGACACGTCAATGTCTTTTGCCTACTTTTTGCCTTGTTTCTTCTTCGACTCTCGTGATGGAGTTGGAATGTCCTCTTTCCCAATAGATGCAAGGACGTAACAAGGACGTAACACTTACAGTTGCAAAGTGCAGCCAGCAGCCAAAACACCCTCTCATCAGCCTGTGCAATCAGCGCCCGTTCCAAACAAAAATCGAAACCGATGTCGAGACCGATGGCCTCCGCCATCGCCTGTGATGTAGAATTTCCATTATGCTGTACAACCTCGACGGCCTCCTTCACAGCCCCGACTTACCGATCACCCCCCCTGTCCACTCTCCCGTTCTTCCTACCAACCCACCAGTCACCCACCCCCACATGAGGAAACAAAGTGCTCGCTGCATGGCCATACACACGTCCGGTGAACAAGCGATGTTCACCATGAGGCCAGCAAATTACATTTTGCGCTTAATTTCCGATTAGGTAAACGTTGATAACACTGTTCCTGCCTATGGCTATGTTGTAGATTTTTTGTTTCGGAGTGCAGGGGGTGCAGAATTGGTGTTATGGGTGCGCGTTGCGGTCTAGATATGTTTATTAGGTGTGGGGGCTGTGGTTATGTGGAGAGGAGAGGAGAATGAGGTTGTGGCTGGGGGCTGTTTGGACGGTGTAGTGATTTTTGGGTGTAAGATGAGGATTGGATGGGATTGAGGCGGAGAGGTATTGTCTGGATATCGGGATAGCTAGATCCTGCAGTGATGAGGAGTGAACAGGTCAACATTTGAATAACGAGCGCGCTTTTGTTATTCTACTACGGAAATCGTGACCGGCCGTAAAGCATTGCTATGTGTATAACCTATCCCCAAACGCCCAAACGGGTATCAAAACTATAGTGACAGTCGTAAAGTGTCGTGATCTTAAAATCCAAAATCTAGTCCTCGTTATGCATATGTCCCAAACTCCCTTTAAACGGCTCGCAGCTGATCAGTCCTCTTCGGAGTCCGCATCACTGTCTGCTGCTGCACTTCTGCGCGGCTTGCCGTCACCAATCTTCCATACTGCACCATCTCTTACAACAAGGCCTTCTTCCATGAGGTAACGCTCAAGCCTGTCGTCAACATTCCATGTAGCTGGGTCGAGCATCTCCAAGCGGCCACCGTCCTTTTCAAGATGGCGTCCAACGTGCTCCATGCGTTCCTCCCAAGATGTAGCACCAGCAAATGTTCGCTCGCAGAACAGACAAGTCGAGTGCTGCGGTGGGTCTCGTAATCGTAGGTTGCAGCGAGCCTGATGTTTGGGAAGGCTCTCTTCGGAGACGGGGTAGTCTTTCTGAGTACGGCAAGACTTGTCCTTCGGAGCAGCGTGCATACGGCGAAGATGTTGTGTGAAAAGGTCTTTACGGTTGAATTCGTTGTAGTACAGGGTGCGTGCATCGTTGGAATCGGCTGATGGCGGACATAAATCACAGCGCCAGTAGCCGAGCTTGATATGTTGGGTGCTGACGTGCCTCTTCCACTCGTTCTTAGAAGAGAAGTTAGACGAGCAACCATACCCAGCGAGCGGACAGGGAAATGCGCGGCGATCCTCGGCCTGAAAGCTTGGTTCAGTGCTAGTCTTTGAAGTCTTAGAGGCCCGACGACAGCTCCTCTCCGACTTGATAGATTCTGTAGGACTTGGGACGAGAGAGTCTTTGCGGATGGGTTTACGTCGCTTCAGTGTTCGACCTGTGCTACTGTTGGATGTAGTAGACCGTCTGCGCTTACGGCTGGAAGACGGGCTGTAGTCGGAGTCGGACGCGGGCTCCTCAGGAAAGTCGACGGGCTCCACTGATTGTGCATCTCGTACAGAGTGTCCGATTCCGGAGTCTGCGTACGTCCTGTAATCCGGAGTAGCCTCTTCCTTGACGGCAGCATGCTGGTGGTCGCAGGTAGTCTCTTGTTTCATAGTACTGTCCTCAACATCTTCTACCACTGTCTCAGGGAGTGCAGGGTCATACTCAAGCTCACGAAGACTGATGTTGCTGCGCTCTACAACATGAGACTCGCATGGGTATGCACCTCCTTGAAGATATTCGACTGATGGGTATGACAGTGATAGTTGAGAGTATTCCATCGGGCTTCCGTATTGGTTGCTGTGACACATGTGTGGTGACCTGAGCTCGTCTTGGGTGTTTTGACTAGTGTTTCCAGAGGAAGTACGATCCGGTGACGCATTGCGAAAGAAATCTGCCGGAGGCCACTGTTGCTTATAGGGCTTCTCGTATCGGCCGTCCAGGAAAGGTATCTTTGCGTAAAGCATGCCTGGCGTGAGCGGATTTTGATCGACCATGAACCGCTGCATGGGTTGCATGCTGATAACACCGTTTTCATAGTCATCCAAATAGGTGTTGTCTTCCGTATGGAAATGGACTATACGCTCCTTGCAGGGTATATAGTTCATGTGCTCTGTTGCCCAGATGGGATAGCGGGAGTCGTCCATAGCCTCTATCTGCGGCAAGTCTCTGAATTGGTGACCGTCCATGGCTGATGTTGGATCGTTAAACAGAGTGGCAGAGGTAACGATAGGAACTATGCGTCGTGTGGCGCCTGAAAGACGGGGAAGGCGGGAGATGCGAGTTAAAATGTGATCAAGATATCTCCTGGTAGTAGTGCCGGACAGGAGCAGTCCTAATACTCGGACTAGACGTGAAAAACGAGGCAAAAGAGGCGGAGTGCCAATTGATAAATGTGTTAGGTGAAGGCAACAAACTAGGAGACCTAGTGTCAGGTTGTACTGCCGTGACCTTTAGTGCAGTCTATCCGTCCCCCCGACGGTCATACTCTCCTCTGTTTTATGCTGAGTAGGCCGCGCAGAGCCTCATCCTCAGCCACCAATGAGGGGCCTTGTCCCTTGGCATGTACTCCCCTGTTCACCGGTGGGCCAGCTGTCGCATCTGTCCAGCCACCACTGAACTGTACGTGGACATTTAGCACCTACCACCAAAATGGATGGGGTCAGCCCCAGGACAAAGCCTCTAATCAAAAGCAATTACGCTAGTGATGAACGGATCGCTACCGTATCGCGATACAGCCAAGTCTACATTTGTGCCTGAGCTGCTTCCGCGGAATGCACGTTCGTTAAATCGTCAGGAGGACGATGGGGGGGCCATGTGAAAGTTACGAATGCTAATCGCCGGCCCACCAGTTTGGCCGTTGGGGGCCGAAACAAGCAAGGAGATTGAACGACGGACGTAGGACCCTAAGAAACGAATCACTTACCGTCAAATACCGTCGTCTCTGCTCGGAAGCCGCACGTACAGATCAGTCGTTAGTCGCTGCCGCGTTACCGCACCTGCATTAGGGACATGATTGTCCCGACAGCTGCCGCGCAGAACGAACGCTGATGAGAAGCCCAGGTCCCGATCAAGAGAAGCCGTCGTCGGTCAGAGGGTGGACGAGTAAAGACTTTCATTGGGAGTCGGTGCATAGTGGCTCGCCGACTGGGGCGCATTTGGCCCAGCGAGACTCGATTTAGGCATCAAGATAGGGCGAAGCATGGCTTTCCTTGTCAATGCAACCGTCGTACATTACTGGGAGGCAGTGGCAGAGCACTAATGACGATGCTATCAGTTCATGAATGGTAGAGAAGATAGCGAAGATACGCCTGGGCTGTTTCGACAGCTGTATGCACCCTTCACTCCATCGTCGCCTCGCGGCTAAGGCAACAGACTAACTTCGCAACGGACGCTGGTTGGTAAGAGCTTCGAATGTCTTGGGCTCCCGGGGCGCATTTGGGGGCGGTGCGTCCCGTGTCTTTGGAGACTGACGAGTGGCGGGCGGGGAACTGTGGATTTGGAGGACTCGGAGCTTGTGCGCCGTCTCAAGTCGAGAACAACCCACTCGGATGGCATTGCGCTGCCCCCTGCGTCGGCGCGTCGGCGCGTGGGTGAAATGGACGCGATTATCTTCACAGAATACATTCGCTGTCATCTGTCAAAACATTATCCGGCGGCTCTGCCCAGAGGTGAGAAGATGATTGAGGGCATGGAAATAGCGACACACAGGAAATGCGCTACCTTTGAATGCTTGGCATTAAGTCCCCGCAGATGGCGTCAAGCCACAGCTACCACTGCCACGAAAACCGTACGACTGGAACATGATGACAGTCATAGAAATTAGCTATCTCGCGCCGGTTGTCTGAATCTGGGGTCTTTGCGCAATGGGAGCGCGGGATGATAGCTTTCTGGGCCCCTTCTAGGTATGTATAAACGCCATGGCGGTGCCATGGCCAGCAACTGATGCCCTGTGCCGACATCACGCTCCAAGTTTGGCAACAAGGCGGTCTTCAATGCCCTCCAGTATCCATCGATGCTCTAGTACCTCCAGATTCTCGGCTTCACTAAGAAACAGCTTATCCGGATCCTGCTCAGGACCCATCACGCCACCCGCGCCTGGGTTGGCCATAGCCATTTGTTGAGTGACTTGGTTTGCAGCTTAAAATAACATGGTTAGCTTGACCCAAGTAGGCAAATGACAACAAAAACGTACCATTGTTGCTGCCAAGGATGAAGTTGTAGACGGGCTGGAGACCGAACAATGTCAGGAAATACCAGGACAAACTGGACACCCATCTAACGTCCAAGTCACGCGTCCCTACCCCAGATTGCAGCATTGACTTGAACTGTGGCGTCAATGGGAACGGTAGTTTCACTGCGTTTGTCGGTTAGCCACATCTAATATTTGCTTTTACAGCTCGGGAGCAGCCGAATCTCAAAGTATGCCGACGAAGCGTGCCGCCGGGTCGCAAGAATGATGCCGGCGCAGACGACAATAATCGAGCCGCTCGCTTCGCCCTAGCAAGTAGCGCATACATGAAGGAGCTGCTCCAGTAGAGCCAGGCAAAGCGAGAGGCCACGCAACATCCAGATATCTGATCAACAAACGCCGGGATATCCGCAGAAGCTGAGCGCTAAACGAAGGCTGTTCCTGCCCTCTTGATCTCTTCGGGAAACGACTGCGAGCCGCTTTCCTTTGAACCGCCATGGATACTCATAAAGAAGATAGACTTACTAATAACGAACCCCGAGAAGAAGGCGTTGATCCACCCCATGATCAACGTCTGTGGGATCATCATAGTCATCTGCCCCTTCATCATGCCCATCATACCCTCCATAGCCGCCGGATCACTCATAGGATTCGGTCTCGGTTTCCCCCTCAGCTCGGGCTCGGCTAGAAACTTTCCCTCCTGGTACGCCTGCACCATGTAGGCTTTGCGGGTAGCAAAGGATGTGGGAGAGAGAACCTGGGCATTGGTACGTAGGTTGACACCACGTACAAGGGAGCGCTGTTGTCGGATCTTGGCCAGGTCGTGTTTCTTCGGGGTCGACTGAAGGAGCGTCATAGCGTAGTGGCGGAGGATGCCTGTCAAGACCTAGACTTTTTCTTAGCTTGCTGTAGACATGGAGGCGTTGAATGATGCGTACCATGACCACTGTAATGGGGAGTAGAATCCACCAACTGTAGAATTATCAGCCTTCTTCTTCTCGCCTGCCAACAAACACCAGACGTACAATAAGGCGGGATCCCGATGGATCGTCTGAACTACGGGCTGTCCCATTGTGCCGGTAGTAGACATGGATGCGGAGAAGGAGTGAAAGGGTGAAGGTCGGTGGTTGTTGGTTGCTTGACGATGATAGCTCGCCGCTGAGGCTCCGGCGGGATGTTGCGACCAGGGTCCGCGCTTTGCGCTTATGGAAAGGTGTCCATCCACGCAACTACATCACCAACTGCGCGACGAGCTTCTGGCTTCACTACTAACTCTGGTTTCTGTGCAGCTCTAGCCAAGGCATACCCACGAATTCAACATGTCTGCAACACAGAAAATCGCAGTCCACTCCCTCTCCGGTATGCATTCAATTCCCCGTCATTCCGCCCATTCAAGCAGCGCGTCTGTCGAACATGCGACTAACATGCATGCTCAGACCTCAAGAACACGACGGATGACGCTCTCCCCAACTACCTCAACAGCCTCAAGTTCAAGCAACTCCACACTCAAACCGATGTACGGTTAGTCCTCGGCTATACAGCCGTCACCATCGCCGGCGCACTCTTCTACTACGACTGGAAATTCGGCTGGGAAGCCAGCAAGCCATACACTCTACCCGCTGTCGTCGCATATTTCCTGTTAAACGGAGCGTTCAGTTATTGGCTATGGTTCGTAGAGAGAGGTGTTGTGTATGAGGGGGAGGGCAAGACGGGAAAGGTATGTTATATGCTCCATTCACCTAGGACTACCCTACATGACATTGCGTAGAGTATACTGACAACAACATCAAGGTGAAGATATCTTCCTCCACAAAGAAGCACATCCCAATTTACGAATGCGACGTCGTCTTCACACCCGCACCCTACGCTTCGAATCCCAAACAAACGATCCACATCCGCGCGGCCATGACCCGGTGGTTCACCTCGGATGGGTACTTTGTCGCGAAACCCTTCCAGCAATGGCTCGCTTCTGAGGTCCCTGTTATTGGCGCTGCGGACCCTAGCAATGTGGTTGAGGAGATTGGCCGGGGAAGTGCGGGCATGGACCAGACAATGAACCTGAACAGCTCGAATGCGGTGGATATCTTGCAACAGCTCAAGGCGAGTGGTGCCAAGTTTGCGAGCGGGGATGCGCAGAGGAGGAGATAGATCATAACGGGGGTGGGCAAGGGGCTTAGGATGGAATGAGACTGGGGCGTTCAGGTGTCTACGGTTTGACGCTGACCATTTTGCACTCGTGGAACAGCAAAAGCATCACAATGGCTCAGTGGGTATTCAAAAGGCTTTCACTTGATATGAAAGCTATTTCCGCCAAGTAGGAATACTATGCAATGGCTAAGCTATACTAAACGCCAACAAATGCCGATAAAACGACGTCTTCATCATCTCCCCTATACCCAATGTGGTTTTACTACAAACCCCCGTTTATGCCATCTCTTGCTCGAGCATAGGCAATACCTCCAGCTCCCTGTGGATGATCCGCTCAAACTCCTCCCTGTCTATGCCCGACGCTCTCGCCAAGCGGAACAGACTCTTGATATCCGTGCTGATGTGTTGTTTGATTGCGAGCTCTGCTTGACTGTAGTTCTCGGCCTTTCGCTCCAGTCTCTCGACCGAGTTGGTCGATGCGGAGGAAGCAGGCCGCGGATGGTTGAGCGCTTCCGCAGTGGCACTCCGGTCTTGCTCGATTGACTCAAGGTGCACCGCGCTATCATTGCCATGAACACCGCCACCGTTCATCAGACCATTTGTGTATGCTGGTGGCATGGACGAGTCGTAGCCATTTGGCCCCAGATTCGAGGCTTCGAGAGGTTCGGTCTGTGGTTCGCGGGTATAGCTGAGAGCGTTGCCATTGAGTGTCGACTTGCCAGCTGCGGGGTTCTCTTCGTCTGGATCATGTGCGTCGAGAGCTGGCTGCACCTCGGAGGCATAGCGCTCAAAGTACTCGAGTTCCGACTGTGTTGGTCCGATTTGTGTTCGGCTACTGGTTCTTGGGGCAGGGGATCGCCTAGGCTGTGGTGTTCGGCCAGGTGTCTGATCATACGCAGCCCAATATGAACCGTCGTCCTCTTCTTCTACTGCTTCCTCTGTAGCAGGTTCATGTTGAACTACCGCTGGCTGGGCTGTGACGCCGTTGCTCTTGACTGAGATAGACTTTCGCCTGAAGCCAGCCTCGTCTGCAGCGGGAACGTTTTCGAACCACTCGGTACCATCTTCAGCGTCTTCCGTTCCTCTCAGCTCAGCCAACAGCCAGCGGTTTCCTCCTTCGCCGCCAGTGCACCAGAGGTATGTTGGTATAATTCCATACTCGCCCAGCACCAACTTCGTGTGTAGCGTCTCGGGGTCTGATCGTCGGTACAGTATCTGGTCTGGTTCCTCCACTTCAATCTCCCCAGAAGCTGGGTGGGGTTCAACGTTGATCTTTTCGACGATTTGTGGTAGTCGTGAGGCGACCTCTCGGTCCCAGCACAACAGCGACAACCACTCGTTGGAGGACAGAAGTTGTACACGTTGACGGAGGATAGGCGATAGGAGGGGGAGAAGACCCGGAGGGACCTCTTTGGAGGCGTTCGCTGTCGACAGACAGGCGAGCAGTGGTGGGAGGAGCTCCCTAGAGTCAGGCCGTGGAATGACTTGGTTGAGCCCAGGCATGGCTGCAGTGTGGGGAAGGTTGGTTTGCAGTATAGTGTGGAAGGCTGAGCGCAGTGTTGGTTTTCAGTTAAGAATACAATGAGTGTTCAGGGCCTTTTGGACAGAATCGCAGAGTCGGCTAGTCTCGAGAAGACGGTGTAATAGATAGGCCTAGGACGTTTCGTCGGCTTTGTGCTTTTCTCGTGCTTTTCTCGTCTTACAAGAGCCTGTGCTTTGTAGGCGTATGTAGCGGAGCACGTAGTGTTGGGTATTGTGCAACTCCCAATGCTCCGTAGTGTTGTTTGTGCTGCTTGTGTGGTGCTGGATCAGTCTGGTGATGCTGTCACATGCGAATGCGACCAGTGGCGCGCACAAATTCGCAGACGCTGAAGCGGGGAAGGTAGGAAGCGATAACTGGTAGGTAGATTGAAATGGAAAAGGAAGAGGAGGAGAAGCACTCTGAAGCACTTCTTGTTCCATTTTCGCGAACAGCGGTACTGCAGAAACAGTGGATGCTTAGCTGTTGTTAGTCTCCGCTCCACCGAAGGGTGACTGCCGTTCCAAGACGCGCACCGGTTACGATTGCCCGCACGGCTAGATCGTGACATGGAAATGGTTAGCCTCATCTAGAGCCTCATCAATCAGACACGCTCTATAGCTAACTCAACGACGCGCCCAAAGCTGGGGGACTTGGGTCGGAAAAATATCCAAGCCTCGCGTGAGATTATCCCGCCGGTTGCAGAGCACTTTCATACCGTGCCGAAGTCATCACTTCTCACCAAGACATCTGGCAGGACATGCATGTATCCACCAGGCGTGGTACATGTATTCTGCCATAGTCCGTTCAACCTCACAATGGCATCCAACGGGTGTAGAAGACCTGCAGTGACGTCAACTTATGCGATCGCCAGCCCTGGATCGGCGCAACACCTGCACAAGACCCTTCATGACGGGTACCTTACATATTCTGGTAGCAGTAGTCGAGAGCTGAGATACCAACATCTTGGTTCGCATCTCCCACATGCGGCTTCATCGCATCGGACATTTGGTGCTCAATTCCATCGCATTGTGAACAGTCCCACTGACGGTGAGTACTCAAGGCTCGCCTGGCATATCCAACACCAGCGGCACGTTTCATGCCCACTGGAATCAGACCATCACTGTCGCTTGTGGCTCCAGCGTTCATCACAGAATGCGGCACTCGCAGCTATATATCACAACCTATGGGCGCAGCGCATCATACCTTACCTCTCATTGAAACGAAGCGATCCTGCTATTTCCGTCATACTACTCGCCCGCAGCGATGTGACCGCATACCTTTTCAAATTTAGCCTAGATCAAGATAGTATGCGCTGAAGAAAGCAGGTCGTTGTGCTCCTTCGCCATATTTCCGCGAGCCCCACAACCGTCCGGGAGACTATCCGGCTTCGCTCTATGAAACTGGGGCCAGCCACTATCTTATCCGCTTGCGACGTGGCTAGAAAAGCTTCATCCCTAGACGTGGCTGATCATGCAAGGCAGTCCATGTTATGTCGTCACATCGCGACGTTCGCAGAGGGGCAAAAAAAAACAGCTGCATAAGGTGACCTGTGATTTCCATGACGAGAGCTTGATCACTAGCATGCTGCCATCTAACTGGCATGCACGGCAGATGAAGAGCAATTGCAGGCTTGGCTTACCTTTATATAGCATCAGCATTCGGCTGCTAAACTGCTAAGCGCCAGCCTACGCAGGCGCACAACAAAGGCTGGGAACATGTTTCGAACATTGAGCGCGTTTTGATCTAACAGGCCCGATCGGACTAGATGACAGGAGTTACTACATGCATCGTAAACAGCAGATCGAGTTCACCATGAGGATATGACCTCGAAGCATAGCCACCCGCTCGCCCCATGTTCAGCCCCCTGCTCCCGCTTCTGTATAGTAACTGAGGCTGTGCCGTTTGTATCAAGCCTGCCAAGAGCGTGTCACACATCTGCAAATCTGCCTCGAGACGCCAGTCAAGCTCACAGCTGCCGTCGCGCCGTCGCGCTTGTTTTCAGTCGATCTGCTCTTTCTTACAACCTCTCGGACATCCGAGCAGCCTGCGCCCACATTGTTTCGAGAACGCGAACAGCATCCGCTTGGCGTGCATCCATCTACCCCGGCCTTACCATTCTGGAGATCTTGGAGGTAATCAGCCTTGACCGGTGCCTCGACTTTCGCTCGTTGCTGCGGCTGGCTCCACCGTCGACACGGAATTCCACGCTGTTTCTACCAACCAACAGAGAACCTCACGCTGTTTTTCTGTTGCTCGCGCGCCGTCTCCCGATTTCGCTCGCGACCCACCCTGAAGCTGTCAACATTGTAGAGTGCCGGCACTGCCTCTAGCCTCAACGGCTCCAAACTTCCGTCCTGTGCGAGGCAGATCGCCATCCAACTTCAAGCTACAGCGGCCTGTCCTCTTTCGCTTTCAGCCGCACTGCGATATTTCTCTCTTTCGTTTCGCCTCTCCACCAGTCTTTCTGCCTGTCTCGACGCGCTGCGGCACTTTCCCCCCGCTTCTGGCTTTCTGACTTTCGCATAATCAACCTCAGTAACCTTCGGGCAGCACTATGCCGCCCTAAGCAGTGTGGGCCACAGTCACGTTACCAATCCACACCAGCTGCTCGTCGCAACCATCTATCAATCGTTGCGATCTGATCTGCCGTCGACTCAGCCACCAGGCCGTTCGGTATAATCAAAATAACCATGCAAGCAGTTGACACGCATACACAGCCTTACCAGGACCCTCGGCGTCAGCCACGCCACCATCACGATGTGCAGGCTAGCGGCTATCAACTTGCGCCTACTACCGGCAACTTCCTAATGCCAGATGCGCAAGGCACATTTACGTACTCTGCAGAACCGGCATCCATGGTCTACGATGGGTCCATGGTATCGCATCCCTCGTCCAGCACCCCTGGGCAAGAATCCATCTTCACTCCAAACGTCGGATCCTCTCTTGACTCTTCATTGAATCCGGATATGTCATATCCCCCACCGAATGCCTACAACCAATCTCAAAACTACGGTTTTTCCCCAGGATCCTACTACGGAAACGGCCAGAATATCTCACCCTCACATTCGATCGATCACATCAGTCCGGAAGCTGGCTACATGAGCGATCCCAATTATCAAGACCCTAGCACTTACGCCACTCCAAACTTCAACGGACACGTTCTCGACGAATTCTCCGGCCTAACCTTTGCCGACAACAGTTCAACCAACAATTTCCCGGCGTTCCAGGAGCATGTGGATATGTCAGCCCTGACCTCGGGGTCGCTTAACACATACAACGCCCAGCCGAGCGTTGCCCTCAGTAATACTTCACTAAACCCACACCATCAACTGCTATCGCCTAGTGCAACGAACAATTCTAGTCCTGCGCTTGGCGATGAGAGCTCAGCGTTCCCCTCCATGCAGTACAATGGAAACATGTCGACGCCGCCAAACAACGGCACTCATCTACCTCAAGCAACACCCATCACGCAAACGCATAGCCCAGCCTTGACGAACAGCTCCGGAGACGTCTCGATGGTAAACCCTCGGCCGCTTACGCGACATCTGACGAGCCCCATTGTGCGTGTGGAGCATTACAGTAGAGAAGATTCACCTTCGCGTTCCGACAATAGCATGCCTGCCAGTAGACACAGCTTTAGCAGTCGTCGATCTGCCAACCACTTATCACCCTATGCCCACAATGATACATCCGACGAAGAAGGAGATTCGCAGGAACACGTTCATGTGCGATCAGCAGTTCGTGGACCCGAACGCAACGATGATGGTTCTTGGTTGACGACAGGAGAGTCCGGGCAGAACGGTCTCAATCCTGATGATCGACGTCGCATGGGCGACGCGTGGGTTCCCAGCATAGAGGAGATTGCTGAACAACGGTCGAAAAACGAGAAGAAGCTTGAGGTACAAGAGTGGCTCACCAAGAGTGAAGTTGGAAGCGAAGCAGGTGACGTGGGGCCTTCGAATAATCTGCTTAAACCCATCACGGGTAGACGCCGAGCAAAGAGTCACAACGATGTTCAGCGCCGGGCTCTCCCAAACAGCTTTGGTCTGGGTGTGCGTACCGATTTCGATCGTATAGACGATTCGAGTATACCTGGGCCTGGCGTGTACATCGACGAGCGAAGCGATTACGGCGACTACGACTACGAAGACGATGAATCGGCAGAACCCGAATCCCCACCCGCTGCGATCGACATCAATGCAAGTCACGTCGAAAACTCGTATTTCCCTCTCACGCAAGAATCTATGTCAAAGGATGGTGCTGTTGTCAAGCCGTGGGTAGATGGACCGTCGCAGCCACATCCATCAAACACTTCGGCTCGATACCAGCCACCTACGTCAAATGCCGCAATGATGCGCTTTTTGGTGCGATCGAAGGATGTCGAACAAGCTTCGCTTGCAGCCACCGTTGGTTCACGTCGTCTCAGCGAGTCTGACATTGGCAGCATCCGTGCTGCTCCAGGTGTCATCAAGGTTATTGAACCTGAACCGAGGAAGAGCAAAGACCGACAACGTCGTCCCAGCTTCCTAGAGAATATCCTGCCCAAGCGTACACCAAGTAATCTGCTCAAACGTAAGGGCAGTATACCCGTACAACAGTCGGATGCATCCTCGGACAAATCCAAAGAGCCTATCTTTGAAAAGCCAAAGCGCATAGGTAGTTGGGGTCGCCCAAAATCACCTCGAGTTGATACCAACCTGAGCAGTCATAGCAAAGAAGCAGAACCACGTAGTTCTATGGGCCTATCTGCGGCTGCGGGGCCATGGTATAAAGGCCCCAGAAATGTCATCAAACGTAGCCGGAGCAGGAGTGACATCGGCCGATCGCCAGGGCTGGCTGAGCTGATGACGCAGCATGGAGGTCCACCTATGCCTATGTTAGCCTCACCACTTGCAGACACAGAGGCGACGAAGCCATCCGCACAGCCAAGCCCCGCGGGAGATGACGACGATGAAGATCAGGATCCTGTGAGTATGGATCTTACAGTGCGCACGGATCCCATTATTCCAACGTATGACGGCTTCCGATCCCATGCCAGACAACTCAACCCACGTCTGGGTGACTTTATGGTTGAGCGCATCACCCAAGAGCAGATGCGCAGATACAAAAGACTATTGGAATTCAAAGTCAAGCATATCAACGCCGTGCAACACAAGAACTGTGCCTCCAAACATTTCTGCACCGACCTCGGTGGTGAAGCAAAGCAGCTTCCTCCAAAAGCAGGAGCTAAGGATGTCGATACTCCATTCATCGGTTTCCAGGTTACTCTACCCGGATCCGACGACGACGACGGCGAGCCTCCACTAGAGGGCAATGTTGCTCCTGCTGCATTTCCATCAGGTGTACCACTGCCTCCCGTCAAACGCCTACCAGCTGAGTTTGAATGTCCCCTGTGCTTCAAGGTCAAGAAATTTTACAAGCCGTCCGACTGGACCAAACATGTACATGAAGACGTACAACCTTTTACATGCACCTTTCCTAATTGCGGTGAGCCCAAATCATTCAAACGCAAGGCAGACTGGGTCCGACACGAGAACGAGCGACATCGTCAGCTAGAGAACTGGACGTGCCAGATCGCTGATTGCAACCACACATGCTATCGCAAAGACAATTTCGTGCAGCATCTTGTCCGCGAGCATAAGATTGCTGAGCCACGTCAACGTACCCGAGCTGTTAATAAAGATGCCCCAGCTACTGGCGACCAAGGTGAGATGCGCGATGTTTGTTGTTTTACAACCCGCTAACGAAAGACAGACGACATTTGGGCCATTGTTGAACGATGCCGTCGCGACACCACTAAACAACCAAAGGACGAGCCATGCCGGTTCTGTGGTAATATTTGCAACAGCTGGAAGAAACTGACAGTCCACTTGGCAAAACATATGGAGCAGATCAGCATGCCTATTCTCACACTGGTGGACCAGAAACAACTCAACGCAGACAGTATCATCAGCCCGGTAGTCGAGCTGCCCGAAAGCCGCAAGCTATCCATGACTCCAAGCCGCTCGCCAATCGATAACCCGTCACGATACAACCCCACTGCAACTTATGCACCTGGTATCGACCCTCACAGTCTCTACCCTCAGGAACCGAAGCCTCAGACAGAATCCGCAGGGATGCAAACCTACCCACCACCGCAAATGGCACCGCCACCGGCTCAGCCCAACGGTTATGCAGATTACGCGGCAAACAATGTCGCATACCATACGAACCAGACCTACCCCGGCCTCCAGGTCCCTCGGAAGCCACTCGGGGGTTACGCGAATGGGCTCCAGATCCCAAATCAGCCATACCGAAATGGAAACATGCAAAACGGGGTGCAGCAATATGGCATGAATCCCGTTGGCACCGTTCAGCAGCAGCAGTCAATGTATACAGACTCTCCGGTCGACACCACGATTACACCCTTTCCTTCCTACTACACCCAAGAGCCACAGGGCTTGACGACTGAGATGCCTAACATGGGATATGACACCAACAACACTATGCATTATCAGCAGGGAAGCACCTACCCTGCCATGTCATACTTGACGGCGCAACACAACTATCAATACCAACATCAGCAATAAGAGGGAATGAGCGAGGGATGAAGTTTCGATAACACGAGCACGACGCAGATGCACGTTGTAATGTTTGTTTTGGTTTCTTTTACTGTCGTACGATATCCACTCTTGCGCAATGGAAGATGATTTCATGGTTATGAGGCGCATTGGTTTAGACGTGTTAAGATACCTACTGTCGCTTACAGAATGGGTCGGCTACATTATCAGCATTTTATGGTGCAATAGGCATGCATGATATGATAGACATCGGCGCATCACTTGCACGATACCATGTCTCCTATACCTTTCGTTCTATACGATGTGATGTATTTTGTGGAGCACAGCTCTAAACGGAAGCTGTGATCCACTTTCCATATCTCAACCCTCCTCTCCGAAAGGACATCGTTGCGAAATGTTCATCATCAGCAACAGTAAAACCCCCTTCCTGAGGCATATTTGCACCTGTTTTCAAAACCCAGGCCTCCGCGCCCAGTCACACACATCAGCATGGCGTGCTAGATCGATCGCGCCGTCGGGGAGCAACCCGGTGTTGAGCGGTGATTGGCTGCCTACATCCCCGACGCATGGAGGACCTTCTCAACACAGCCACCCGCAACATGAGGTCCTTTACCTGCAATTCGATGAACGGCTCGCTAGGTGCATGCACAGCACGAGTGAGCTTCCAGAAACATAAAGAGGGCAAAAAGGGCAACGGTTGCCTTCTTAGTACCGCCCCGGTGAGAGGAGGCCTGGGAGGCCGCCCACATGCGCAGTAACCCTCACCATCGCGATCACACGCATAGAGCTGCGATAACCACAGCGTGTCGAAAGCAACCGTGACGACATACAACTGACCTCTATTCCGCTCATCTCGAATCGAAGTTCCCGGATGCATCCCGTTCAGTGCATGCGCAAGCGATGAAGTGACGACGTCTTGGTGGTGGAGCCATCCCTCATCCTCACACCGGCAGGCAACGAATGCCCGTGCGCAGGGACACGAAACGGAGGACCTCACACACATACCTGTTACACGCACCTATCTGGCCTGTCATTCTTAGCGGATTGGGGCGGTGTGCTGCAGCTGGCATCTACTAATGAATACCTGCGCGCCTTTTTTTCTGAGACGGTTTGCCAACTGCGACAGGCGTAAGGCTACCATACTGCACGAGGCTGAAAGTTGAATTCAGAGGTATGTATTGCTATTGCCTTTTAGATGGTTCCTTGCAGCTTTTTTTGTCGATGCTAATGGGGTTCTGTACTACAACGATGCCTTCTTTTCGAATTTGAAAGGCGGTCGATGAGAGTGTGGACGACATGTTGATGCCTTGGGCAGCCCCGAAAGATGCTGATCCGTGACAGCGAACATGTCACACCACAACCCAAACGGGGGCTATCGACGACCCTACATCAACCTTTCTGAGAGTAGATATCAGTGCAATAGTCAAATACCTTACTTGCATATCGAAACTGTGCCGGCGGAGCCATGGCAATCCTCTCGACGACCACGGAGTGCACAGGATGGACGCAGCCGGAGGCCCAGCTCACCAGCGTCCGTAAATACTGCAGGAAATATACCGCACCTAAGAGGTCTCAATCGCATGAACTATCCACAGAACCTCTCTCCTGTAGATAGTGGCATTGGATTCGATATGCCCAGGGACCCATCTTTGCTTGATCCACATTATGTTCCCCCTTACTACGACGCAAGTCCGAGCCGGGCGCCTGAACCAGCATGGAGTCCATTCAACCTGAGAAACCCTCAGGCTGGTGGTTCTCACGGTCCGTTACGTCAACCGAATATGGATTTTCGGTTTACAGGTGGTCCGAGATCAGATGTTGATAGCCAGGCTTTGCTGTCTGACGAGGGTTACTTCTCACGTAACACCCAATCTGTCATGAGCAATGAACCCGCCCATGTCAACCAAGAACTACCAGCAAACTTCATGTCTAATATCAACAACATGCGCGTCGAATCCGTCGCTAGCGAAGCTCCCACGATGTCCCGGATGCCTTCAGATCAACGGTCATTCGTCAGCAGTCGTAGTGGAAAGTCAAGAAAAGAACATACATGCCCACAGTGCCAAGAGGTACTCAAGTGTAACTCAGAGTTCAAGTTCGTATGCGGCATCATCACAAGATGACCAAGTGCTGATTCATGGTGGCAGGAAACATATGCGCAAACATGAAAAACCCTTCAAGTGCGAAGAACCAGGCTGCAAGCGAACAGAGGGATTTACAACAACAAACGATCTCGAAAGACATCAGAGGAGCCTTCATCGGAAGGGTATTGACAAGAAATCTTACAGATGTGCGATAGAAAACTGCAAAAATAGAGAAAAGACGTGGCCGCGTCTAGACAACTTCAAGCAGCATGTAGAGAGGATGCACAAAGACGCAGACGTACAAGATGTGATACAAAGGTACATCCGTCCGCTTCACGTTTGAAAAACGAGCTAAGCTGACATTGACAGATCAATATGTCACCCCAAGAACGCCGAATCGCCCATGGAAGAGGAAACTAGCGGTACATCAATGGACATCAACCTTGCAGTAGCTGGGATGGAAACCCATTTCTCGACGAGCCCGACTGTGGATATGTTACCCTTGTTGGAATTCCAAACGCCACAGGGTGTCAGGCATTCATTCTCGGCTGGACAGGAGTCCAATTCTGTAGGAAATGTAAGCTCACTGTCTCGGCTGTCTAGGGGTGGACCTACCTTCGCACCTAATCGTACTCGTATTGAGAAGTTGCCGAAGATGACTCGCCCTCGACATCATGCACCTGGACTGTCAGCGCAACAAATACAGGCTCCTCTACTTACTACCAAGACGGCTTCTGGTACATCTGGAAGGAGTAGCATCAAGGCCCAGCAGTCTTTCCTCGACTCTGCTCTGTCTAACGCCCCGCAGACCAAGGCTGAGCAACAAAAAGAGCTTAAAAGGAAGTCTGAGCGGGAGTCACACTCACCGGGCCCTGAGGATCTCGAAAGCCTCATGTTGGAAATGATACAAAAAGCGAAAGACCAGGTCAAACGCGAAGACAAGTCTGCAGAACAATCACGGCCGGAGAAGAATGCTGTGTTGATGGATATGGTAACGGAACTCTTCAACAAAGGTCCAGGATCCTCTCATACAGGGCAGCGTCGCTCCACTAAAAACTCTTCTCATAATGACAAGAAATGTCCACAGCCGAATTGCAAATTCGCTGTCGCTCGTGTATGCGATCTGCGCAAACACATGAAGCGACATTACCGGCCTTATGGCTGCACATATCCCAAGTGCCACAAGCGGTTTGGTGCAAAGTCAGACTGGAAGCGTCACGAGAACAGCCAACACTTCCAGCAGGAAGCCTTCCGCTGCGGTCAAGCACTACAGACAGGCGAGATTTGCGGTGTACACCTTCATCGAGAAGGAGCATTTAGAAGCCACTTGGAGATACAGCATAAGCTCCCGCATGAGGTAGTCCAGGCACGTGTAGAGGACAGCAGGATCGGCAAGAACTGCCAAGGTTCGTTCTGGTGTGGCTTGTGTAAAGCCGTAAAGCAGCTCGAAGAACGGCGCAATGCAGCGTGGGACGAGCGATTCGATCATATCGCGCGTCACTTTGAGAGGGACAAGAGAAGTATCGATGAGTGGATCTGCGCTGAGGAGAACCGGCCGAAGAAAGACTTGCTGGAAGAGAAGAGGAAACATGAATTTTTCGATGATGAGGACGAGAGGGAGAAGGCCGGAGACGTAGATGCTACTGGAGAGGATGATGATGTTCTGCAGCCACAACCGCCACCTCCACACAACATGCCTGGTATGTCGATGCCAAACCATGCAGCATGTCCGCCTCCGCCACCGGCAGACTTTGGGCAGCCAGGAAAAAGGAAGCGATCGGCTGAAGACGACGCATTTGCTCCGCGCCCCCCAAAACGCAAGCAGACTACGTTCATATTGAACCGCTACTGTGTAAGTTGGTCACCCCTGTAGCAGAGTATGGCTCGACTAACGATCGCAGTGCTCGTGTAAGAATCCGTGTGGTGCCGTAGATGTTGCGTGTATTACTTGCCCGCATGAGTTGTGCGACAACTGTGGATTCCAAGAGGAAGAGGCTTTTATGATGGATTTCTTCCCGTGAGGCACAGAGGATCTCATGGCGCTTGGGTGACCAAGATTTGTATATCTTTTAAATGTTCCGCTACGTTCATGTTGCGACATCAGAAGTTCAAGGCAGAAGTTCTTAAAGCTTTATATTCGCACGAGTGCAGTGAATGAGTAGAGGGGCAGCCAGATGTGACAATGCTCAACTGTGATGGTAATGACGTTGCAGGGATGGGTGAAAGCATGTCGGCGAAACCAAATGCCGAGGCGTGGAGTTGGAAACGTGTGCTCATGAACCATAGCTCTCGAGAAGTTCCGTGACGCGGCCTTGCGACCAACAACCTCACCTTCTTTTATCTTCTCCTGCAAACATGGCTGCCGCCGTAGATGACGGGCAGCTTCTCAAGCAGGCGACTGGCCGCAATACTCGAGGCTTGCTTCGAGTGATTATCCTAGTCCTCATCGCTGCCGCTGCTGTAAGCAGCCGTCTGTTCTCCGTAATCCGCTTTGAGAGCATCATCCACGAGTGTCAGTACCACAATTGGGGAATAATAGAGCAATTGACTGACTATGTGTCACAGTCGATCCGTGGTTCAACTTCCGAGCGACGAAATACCTGGTACAGAATGGCTTCTATAGCTTTTGGGACTGGTTCGATGACCGTACGCACCTCCGCCGCATACCCCCTCAGTACCTTGGAGACACAATTGACTGACATGGGATACAGGAACATGGCATCCTCTTGGACGAGTCACTGGTGGTACGCTCTACCCCGGATTGATGGTCACCAGCGGTGTCATCTACCACCTCCTCCGCGCCCTCGCTCTCCCCGTCGACATTCGAAACATCTGTGTCCTCCTTGCCCCCGCCTTCTCAGGTCTGACCGCGCTCGCGACCTATCTCCTGACCTCCGAGATGGTCCCTTCGCCCTCCGCCGGTCTGCTCGCTGCAGCCTTCATGGGCATCACACCCGGTTACATCTCGCGATCTGTCGCAGGTAGTTACGATAACGAGGCCATCGCCATCTTCCTGCTAGTCTTCACCTTCTATCTGTGGATCAAGGCAGTCAAGAACGGATCCATGTTCTGGGGTGCAATGAGTGCGCTATTCTACGGATACATGGTGTCAGCGTGGGGTGGATACGTCTTCATCACCAACTTGCTGCCTCTGCACGTTTTCGTCCTAATCTGCATGGGACGGTACAGTCCGAGATTGTATGTCAGCTACACTTCGTGGTATGCGCTTGGTACGCTTGCGAGTATGCAGATTCCTTTCGTCGGTTTCTTGCCTATCCGCAGTAGCGAGCACATGTCCGCGCTCGGTGTCTTTGGCCTCCTCCAGCTGGTTGCCTTTGTCGACTGGGTTCGCGCACAGCTTCCTGGCAAGCAGTTCCAGACGCTGCTCCGCGCTCTTGTCCTAGGTGTCTTCGTCATCGGAGTTGGAGGACTGGTGCTTCTGACCGTCTCCGGAGTCATCGCGCCCTGGACTGGCCGTTTCTACTCGCTCTGGGACACCGGATATGCCAAGATCCACATTCCCATCATTGCCTCCGTCTCCGAACATCAGCCTACCGCATGGCCTGCCTTCTTCTTCGATCTCAACTTCATGATCTGGCTCTTCCCCGCTGGTGTCTACCTGTGCTTCCAGACTTTGACCGACGAGCAGGTCTTCATCGTCATCTACGCTGTACTTGCTAGTTACTTCGCTGGTGTCATGGTTCGTCTCATGCTTACTCTGACTCCCATTGTCTGCGTTGCATCGGCAATTGCTTTCTCAAAGATCCTCGATACCTACCTGGACGTCAAGTCCCCCAAGCCTGTTACCGAGAACGGCAGCACTGATGCCGTGTCAGTTGCCGCCGCGGCAGTGATTCCCGAAGGCCTCCGATCTACGCGTAACCCGCTCGTTGGAATCTACTCGTACGCCTCCAAGCTTACCGTTGCCGGAGCCTCGGCCATCTACCTCATGCTCTTCGTACTTCACTGCACATGGGTCACTTCCAACGCCTACTCTTCGCCCTCGGTCGTGCTCGCCTCCAGACTTCCTGACGGCAGCCAGCACATCATCGACGACTACCGTGAGGCATACTACTGGCTCAGGCAGAACACCCCCCAGAACGCTAAGATCATGTCTTGGTGGGACTACGGTTACCAGATTGGTGGTATGGCCGACCGCCCTACCCTCGTCGACAACAACACCTGGAACAACACGCACATTGCCACTGTTGGTAAGGCTATGAGCTCCAGGGAAGAGGTCAGCTACCCCATCATGCGTCAGCACGAGGTCGACTACGTTTTGGTGGTCTTTGGTGGTCTTCTAGGCTACTCTGGAGATGATATTAACAAGTTCCTCTGGATGGTCAGGATTGCAGAGGGTATCTGGCCTGATGAGGTCAAGGAGCGCAACTTCTTCACCGCACGAGGCGAGTATCGTGTTGACGGGGAGGCCACCGAGACCATGAAGAACAGCTTGATGTAAGTGATTTAGTCCCTGCCAGTCCTAGCAGATGCTAACAATGTTACCAGGTACAAGATGTCGTACTACAACTACAACGCACTGTTCCCGGCTGGACAGGCCCAAGACCGTGTTCGTAACGCTCGTCTCCCCGCACAGGGCCCCGAGCTCAGCACCATTGAGGAGGCCTTTACTAGCGAGAACTGGATCATCAGGATCTACAAGGTCAAGGATCTTGACAATTTTGGCCGCGACCACCAAAGCGCCGTGTCGTTCGACAAGGGCCACAAGAAGAAGAGGTCCACCAAGAGGAAGGGACCTAGGGTCTTGAGAGTGGAGTAGATGTCATGGACATATGATGATCTTGCTAGTGATTTGTAGCATTTGTACAAAATAAGGCCACATTGGCATTGTTCGCAGGCGGGCGTCTGGGAAGAAATAAAAGAATATTAGCTCCCATTGTAGGTATCTATGAGGTGAAGTGCGGTGAGAACGCATAGATGTCGCGGCCAGCGACATGGCTCTAGTACCATGATTGGGGGTGATAGGTGTGTATAGCGGTCACACAATCTTGCTTGACCATATCCTCTTTCACTTCGACTTCTTATTCACTGCTTACGGTGACATGTTTTCTCACGTCGTCGTTTGTCCGTCTTTTGTTTATCATACCTTTCTTCTTGTCGCGATTTCCTCTTGACACCTTCTTGCACCTTCCTAGTCGCCCACGTGGCTCTCACGATCAGGGACGCTCGTCGGTCTTCCTCCACACATCGAGTCGCACGTCCGCACCTACCACAACCACACAATGGCGAACGAAGAGCAGAGAAGGGCTTTTGAGTCGTACATGGGCCGCAATGCGGGCAGCGGCAGTGGCAGTAGCGGACAAGGCCAAAGTCAAGCTCAGCCAATCTCTCAGTACCCGGGTTCCTTCGCCCAGCCAGGCAACTCATATCTTTTCAACGTGTGAGTGCGCCGTTGTCGCCTAAGGCTAAAGGTTGGCTAATAATGACATGCAGAAGTACTTGAGGTTGGACTATCTCGTCGACTCTCACTCTTAACGCGCCAATTGATAGGCCTAGCTTACACAATTTGTAGCAATTCCAAGGACTCGGGGTCCCCCCCGCAGCGCCAACACCTCCACCGGCAGCTTCCTCTTCGGTCGCTTCGTTTCCAGGGTACCAAGGAGGCTACCCCCAGGCTGGATACGGTCAAGGCACATACGGTCAAAGCGGGTTTCCACAGTGCCCACCGCCGCTCCTAGATCTACAGGCTCAGCAACAGGCTCAGCAGCAGGTGCCAACAGCTGTACCACAAGGATATGCCCAGGCACCAAGAAACTATAACACTCAACCACCGCCTCCGCCAGGATACAGCACCGACTGGCAGTATAACAATCCGGGGTCTGAGATGAATCACCGGCGAACGGGTCCTCTTACAAGCGCCATGGTGCCATCATCACGAGTCACTCAGCAGGGAACTATGGAGTCAAGATCACGGCAGACTAGCGAACAATACCACTACCAACAACACAGGAAGTCACAGACAACCGCAGCACCATCACCGCAGGTTGAGGAAATGGCTGTGCCAGTTATGCTCTGTCACACCTGTAGTCACTGTGGTCAAATGCGCTCCACAGGCTTTCATCGCAATAACCCTGTCCTTCCTGGCAAGCCTATGGTCCCTTCACTTTGCCGACGATGCAAAAAGAAGCTTAAGAGCTCACATCACTCGAGCAGCAGATATACACGTATCCGAAAGTGTACGGCTGATGTACCATGCGATTGGCCTGGAGAGTGTATACATATCGACATCGACCGTGACGATCGTAGTGGTCGGAGACAGAGTAGAGAGGAGATACACGTTACACGATACTCTCCTAGTCGCCCACGTGTAATCAGACGGGAGTCTAGTCAAGCACGCCTGGGCCTACGGGTACTCCAGCAACCACAGGAGGGGTCTAGAACCGAGCAGAAGATCCAGACTTCTTCATTGAGTCCTCGTCGTTCTTCCTGGTATGCTGGAGAATCCTGGCCCCCGCCTGACATTGTTCGCACAAGAAAAACGCGGTCGGATGAAGTGTACTCTGCACCGCCTGCGCCGCTACTCAGCCATACCTCAGCATCTGATGAGGTATGGCCTCCACCAGATATTGTCCGTACTCATTCCTACAGGAAGGCTGAAAGGAGTCCACCGCGCCACGCGAGTTCCAGGATCGTTGAGCTCAGTCCATCCCCGCCTCCTCGGACCAGATCTACAAGAACCGTCTATCGGAGTGAGTCGCAAGAACGTCGACCTAGGGGGCAGACTAGATCTCCCGCCCGTGTCAGCTTCCGTGCTGAGAGGCAAAGTGAGGAAGCGGGGGCTCGCCTCATCTCGCATCCAAGGCCGTACCGGCCGATTATTCCAGAGCAGCGTGGTTTCGTCAGAGCATCAGATGAAACTTCGAGTAATGCTGACTCTGTGCCGCGTCCCCGTCTAGAGTCGCCTAGTCGAAGCATCCCGGGACCTATAGGCACCGATCCCGAGACCCCTTACCGGCGGAAGGAAACAATACGCGAAAGCCAACGGAGCATGCATGTCGAAGTGGGAGGGCCACGGGTCCACTTCGGTGGTGGACGGAGACAGGAAGAGCTGGTACCTGAGCCTAGAGGTAGGCCAAGGTACGCAGATGAGCGAACGGCAAGCGGCGACGACTACACGCACTACCGAGGGTACTCTCGGCATCGAGTTGTAGACAAACCTCTGCCTGAGCCACTAACTCAAGACTTCGAGAGGATCCGTATCCGCCACTCATCGCCATCTCCACGAAAGGAGTACGAAGAAGAGATCCGCATCGACCGACAGCGCCGTCTTTCGCCCTCGCCTCCGCCTTCGAGACGTTTTGAGGAGATTCGTGTCCGGCATACGTCCCCACTAGGCGCTGGCCGCACACCCTGTCCACCGCCCTCTCCTCCGTCACCCGAACGGCCACCACAGCCACTGTATCGTCACATCTCCCGCACACGAGCCCTCGAACGTACCCGGTCTGTAACCGCACCGCCCAGTCGCCGAAGGCAAGAAGAAGATCACAACGATTCAGAAAGCGCGCACTCGGGCGAGATCACTGAAGTTAGAAGTTGGAAGGGTATCGATGAAAATGGGCAGCCTACTACATTCGTGGGAGAGAGGAGAACTGTGAGAATGATTGACCAAGGAAGCGACAGGGCTGGGCTTGCGAGGGAATATCGAGATATGGGTAGAGGTAGGAGATTAGACGCGAGAGAAAAGACGACCAGTCGTAGTTGGAAGGATGTGTAGGTTGTTGGTGGTGAGTATGGAGTGACGATGGAGGTATGTACAAACTTTGCGCTTAGGAGTTTTGTGGCTGCCGTGCAACTAGGCAGTGACCTGCGATTGGCTTTCAACGATTACTGGAAGATAGCTACCTATGACACGACCTTGAATTTCTCTTTTAATGCCAACTTTCCAGGAAGAAACAAAACAGGTCAAGCGAGCTTAGATCTTGGTGACTGTCTGCTATGACACTTTGAGGAACGACGCGTGCACAGGCCTGTACGGCACATATATAAACTCCCATGTCTTAGCTTTCTCGGTTTCCTACATCATTCTCCATGTCCAAAAAAAAATAAACCCCTCGAAAAGAAGACGTGACATTTTCATGGGTCTTCTCTTGTTCTGGAGCTGAATTACCCCCCGAAAAGAGCTAGTGTATGGATCCAATCATTCCTCTACTTGCACCTATATCTCGATAAATCAAGATTCAAGCGTGCGCCTGTTCTCGAACTAAAAGCCCAAAACGATATGCCATGAGACTGTGCTTTGGGAATCTTCAGATGAGAAACAGTACACTTGCCTATTTGCAGAGCGAGTGGTGTTTGCACGTCTATGGATCATCGGCATCTTGCTCGTTCTCTCCTCACATTCATTTTCGTTTTTCCTATCGAAATCTAAACGGAAGCTAGTAACATTTCCAAAAGCCTACTACAATTGGGTGATGTTGTCGGCTTTGCTTTGGATCAAAAGTCAGTCAAGCGCATGTTTTCCCTTCGAAAAAGACCAATGCCACATCAGATGGGTCGAGGGTGGTCTGGTACGAGCCAATACTATGGTGTCCGCTGATATGTGGTGTCTTTGAACTCTTCATGATAAGCTACGTACGTTTCGCTTGTGATCAACGAGTATAACAGCTTGACTGTCGATTCGGGCCTCTTCAGTTGATGCTGTTTCCACTTGCGGGTTCTACGCTGATTCCAAAACCTGACTCTGCAACGAGCAAAGTTCGACAATCGTGCTCACGCTTCCCACTTCCTGCCGGCTAGCTTGTAGGCGCTCTTTCACGAATGCCTCGGTAGCCGCCTCTGCTTCTCTGGCCGTCTTTCCCCATGCCGCTACGTCCTTGGAGCCAGCGGGCAAGAGATGGCTTTCACCAGAGAGTCGGAGAAGCGCTTCTTCGATATCTTGGTCTGCGGATGCAATCTGGTTTTGGAGGTGTACAGACTGCTGGAGCAAAGATCGCTCATTGTTGGCTATCTGAAGGAGATGTGGAAGGTAAGGTAGGAGCTTAGTAACCGGTCGAGTAGGCTTCGTTGTCGTAGTTTTGCTCTCTTCAGAGGGAGTGGTTTGACCGCCATTTCGATCGTTAGCCCGAACATCCAGTGGTTGCTGGAGGCTTGCGTGAGCTTCGAGCAGGCTTGCACGAGCTTCGATGTACTTGTTGTACGACTCTCGGATTTGCGTTTCTGCTGACGCAAGGTCGACAGGTACTGCGACGTTCACTGGGCGCTTGACGGGCGAAGCGTCCTCGAGGAAGACGCTATCTTCTTCCATCTTGGCCAGCTCTCCTTGCACCCAGTCAACAAGCTCGTCTCTTGCTCGCTCGAGCGCATGAACTTGCACCTGTAAGCTTGGCTCACCCTGGAGCTCATCCTGGGCTTTCTTCCTCGCGGCCTGGGCGCGCTCCATAGCTGTTCGCGCTTCGAGGACTTCCTGATTTAGCTTGAAGACCCATGTCTGGTCGTCTTCGGCTTGTGATAGCTGCTCTAGCCTCTCGGCAGGTAAATCCGGTTGCTCGCCGATGGCACTTTTGATGGAAGCTCTCGGATCAGCTGCAGCAGTCGAAGGCTTTGCGGTGAGGAGCTTATCTAGTGACTCTTGGACGACTTGAAGTTCTGCATAGCGACGGCGCTGCCGTACCAAAGCGACGTAGCCTCGTGTAGCCTCGTCATCGTATTCTGATTCTGGCTGTGTCGGGTTCTCGTCTACGTAACGGTTGCGTAGATCTTCTAATGAAGCCTGAAGTTCCCGGTGTCTTGCTTGCGCTTGGGACCTAGCCCGCAGAGCTTGTAGATATTCTAGACGAGCATCCTTCAGGCCTGGAGGGTTGGTATTGGCGGCGGAAAGGTTCTGCGGACACTCATGATTCAGATGCTGGTTCTGAGTTGCTGCGTTAACAGGCCTCAGGCTTGACGTAAGATACTTGGAAAGCGTTCGTCGGATCCTTAGTGTGTCTTCTCGAGTGTTTATATATGACGACAGTGCGCGGTCGACTTCGGGTATTGGGCATGGCGTTGGGGCTGGCATGATGGGAAGTTGTTTACACCCCGCAACTGGAGGCGGGACTAGTGACAAAAGACTACCCGGAACTGTGCGAAACTCTCTTGGGAAATGACTAAATATAGTAGTGATCGCATTGATTGATGTCACTGAGAGTTGCTTTTGAACGCGCGCTAGGGTACAGCTGACAACATGCCCAGGTGTCAACGGGAGACGGCATTCGGTAGCTGTGGAGCTAGGACAGAACGAATCTAGAGCTTTTCACTAGCGCAGATCACGAAAACACGTGCTTGTACGCTTGGCATATGCATAAACTCAGACACCATGTGAGCGTTCATCTGCATGAGGAAGAGTCGAGACGGTGTCTCTCGCGGTGTAACAATTGTCGATCTGAATTTCCAATGCGCTTTGGCTGAAAATACTGCCGAACATGTGCCCTTGACAGAAAGACGGCAGCAGGACGATGGATTTCAGGAAACCATACAACTCCAGCGCGCTCATATGTTAAGCTTCTACCATGGCTAGTGTTCCGACTATGGCGCCTGGCCAAAAGGAGGACGGGAGTGAGGGGGAACTGAATTTGTTCTTTTGTTTCAAAGATACGCCGAAGTACTACCAGTGGGGGTTTGCAGGAAATTACGCACGTCTCTCACGCGTCTCTCTGCGAACAAAAAGCAGTTACGCGATAAGACGAGGACTATTGACGTGAGCATAAGAACAAGGTGGCGCGTACGAGACTGCCGCTGCATCAACACAAATTGTATAATATTCTCGCGTTACACTGAGATATTGACGTGTGACAAAAAGGGTTGCAGGCGAGAATTGAGTGAGCAACAAACAGGGCAGTGGAAGCCATGGGATAACTGATTCCTTGGACCACCAGCGGCCACTAGATAGGACACGGCATACCCACATCTCGAGGATGAGTTCAGCTGGTGCAGTGCTTCTTCCCAGCCGCAGACATGGCATTAGATTTACAGTGGAGTCAGGTTCATGCGTACGAGACAGCGGCCCTGGAGTTCGGGAGCTAGTCGGATCAGCAGCGGGCGCATTACGCAGGGTCTGTCCCACACGGCGTTGTATGGTGTTGCTTTGCGGTGTTTGTCGCTGGGATAGGGCTGCTGGTGATGAAGCAGCGCGGGCAGGGCGACTTGTCGCGATATGAGGCGGTGTCAACGATGACATGGTCCAATGCGCGGTGGATGACGCGAACAGGGACAACACATCACTTCAGCCCCACCAATGGCACACGAGAAGCAGCCGTTGCCCGCGTAGATTTTCGAGTACCAGGCCCCAATGTGTTGGCGACTAAAGCAAAGATACGAAACAGAGGCACTTTGTCCTGCAGGTGCCACAGACAAGAGCCACGACTAGCTGCAAAGGGAGGGCTTGGCGGCGGACAGGGATGGGCGATTGACCGACGTCGATTGGAACTTATTTCGCTTGAACCCTAAGGAGCCCTGCCTGAGGGCAACTGCCTCGTCTTTCTCCTTTCCCGCCAGCAGCAATTCGCCCTCTCGGCCGCCGGAGCGCTGGAACTTCTTTGCAGTGACTTGTTACAACTACTAACATCACAAGTACATTCGCAGCAAAAGCAATTGAATAGCACCAGTCCCTGCGTCGCGCTACAACCGCGTCGCGCATCCACCTCAGAGCGCAACTGCGTCACTCCGTATACGTGGTAGCGATTACACACGGGACGCCCGCTAGGCACCCCGCCATACCTTCAACATGCCTTTCTTCAAGAATGTCTTCCACTCCAAGGACAAGCAAAAGGGCGCCAAGACTGCCCCCGAGCCCGTCGCACCGCCAAAACCTCGCTGGGAGGAGTCATGGACGCGCAAAGACGTCGCTCCAGACGAGATCCAAGAGCTCATCCACGTCTGCACACAAGAAATGAAAACGAGGGGTACGTGGGAGTCGTCAGTCGGTACTGGTACACTCATTGCTAACTCCCAATAGCCCTAGACATGCCCTTCATGCTTCTCCCGTTCCGCCCCACCTCCGACACGAGTGCCTCGCGCAACTTCATACGCAACTTCTTCAAAGCCGACTACGAGGGCACACGGCAATACTCAGGCGAGGGATTGGCACAGGAACTGCGTCTCACTGAGCCATTGGTAGGCCCATCTACCTAGAACCCCACACCAAGCAATGCGCTGACGTAGACAGACGCTCTGCAGTATCATAAAATGGTGCTGGAGCAGATTACCCGGCGGCGTTGTCACCTGGGACGCGTATGAGCTCTTCCGAATCGGCGAGTCTGGTAAGGCGACTGCAAAGACCAGTCCCGACAACAGCTGATGTTGTGTACAGATTCAAACTTCGCGCGCCACGCATTCGATACCTTCATACCAATTAGCGTCGACTCCGAAGCTCGCAAGCGCATTATATTTGACTTCTTCGATCTGTTATCCTCTGTCGCGGCAAGAGGCAAGAGCAACGGTATGGGTGGCAGGAAGCTCTCTCGTTTAGCGGGATGGTGGGCATTTGAGTTTGTCGAAGACGGCAAGGGCTTCGATGGCGGCTATCGTACATGGGAGAAGTAAGCATGCCCTTCCATTGGATGTGAAACACATATTGACTAAATCCTAGGGCCGCAGATGCTGCCAGTCATCTCTTCTTCGCCTACCTGCGATCGCTGTCTCCAGACATGAACGTAGTTGGTGGTATCTCAGCTCTGCCCCGATCCCTCCAAGCGTTACTGTCCCAGACCGAATATCCCCCGCAAACCCCGACACTCATGCAAACGCGCACAACCAAGGTGGTCATGATTGTGGATTCCGTTTCACCCACACCATTCGCGTTACTGCGTCGCGCAAAGAACTTTGAATACCGAGACGACGACAGAGCGCTGCAGCAGTTCTCCGCATACGAAGACACCGTGAAGGCTCTGACTGATGAGTGCCAGAGAGTACTCAAATGCATTGCAACTGCCAACCAGTCGACAGTGTCGACAGACCCAACAACACCAGACCCGTCATGGTCTCGCTTCGAAGACTTTGGATTTTCGGGGATTATGGACAGTTCCAGCAGTACAAACGGTACCTCAATGGGTGGTAGCCCACGGGAATTCTCCAGTCTTCGGTCAGGGCCTCACTCCAACAACACCGACTTGGGTCGCCCTACCACTCCTTCGTGGGCGGACTTTCTGTCCTCGGGCTTCGCTGACGAGAACAACCAATCTCCCCCAACTACCCTGTTGATGCCAAACCAGAAACTCCCACCTCTAGGAGAGAACCGTGTACACAGCTCTCAGTCGCATGTACGAAACGGTCTCAACGAAGATGACCTTGAGCCCGGCGAGCTGGCAAGCATAACCAAGTTCGAACTCGACGAGACCTTCTGGTGGGTATGGATGATCAGTTTGGCTTCCGAAGAGACTACCGACCGCAAAGCCGCTTTCGGAAGATGTACATTGATTGAGACTCGCATCCAAGGTGCAAAGTGGCTGGTCATGGAAGAGCAGGTCAAGGGCGCATCTCCTGGGCCTGAGGAAGGCGCTTACATCGCAGAGAAGAAGTCCAAGTTTAGCTTCACAAAGCGTGGGCGACTTGGCCGCCGGAAATCGACAGGCAAGAAGCCAACCCCGAAAGAACCATACAACCGGACAACTACCAACACGCCGATGAGCAAGACCAGTATTGGTCCAGACCAGCATGCGAGAATTCAGGCTGCGGCCGCAAAACTAGCCAAGAACGAGCGGGACGAGAAGGACGCAAAGGAATTCGCGCAACGCCGAGGACGTAACGACGATACCACATCAGTCAAAACAAACAGCGTGCTTACATTACAACCGCATCTGGTGAACGAGGCCGGTCCGGCCATGCAGTGGGATAAGAAGTTTGGCGAAGCAGCACTCGACAAGGACGCACTCCGCGCCCAGTACTTGGGAGATGTCAGGGCCGGCAGAGGCTCAAAGAGCAATCTCATAACATCTGCCAATGGTCGCTCGTCGCCGCTGCCTCCCGAGGTGTCAAACCGAGATCTTCCTGCGCTACCAAAGTCCGAGAGAGGCGAGTCACGCTCACCAGCTCGCATTGACACCAAGCCGACGGAAGCTTCTGTGACTCCAGTACCGTGGCCAAATGACTCACCCACTCAGACCCCGCTTCCTCAGCAGCAGTCGTTCCCTGTTCCAGTTACACAAGAACAGCCCACGCTAATAGAGGAGACGCCCTTCGCAACGCCGCTGCCCATCCCGGATGAGAAGTCTGTCCAGTCAGGTACGACTCCGAACCAGCATCCTGCGTTGAGAAAGGCAGTACCAGAACGCAAGCCAGTTATGGCTCCTCAGCCCCAAACCCGCGTCAGTGAGGATCATGGTGCCGCACCTGGGAAGAAGGTCTCACCGAACAAGCTGAAGAAGAAGGAAGGTGGCGGTTTCAGGAAGCTATTTGGAAGGAAGAAAACGGAGACGCCTTCAGCGGTAGCTGCAACAGCACCTGCAGACGATTCGTACTTCCAAGCATCCGATGCCCTCCGCAGTACCTCCCGACTTGATGACCACCAATCCAACGTACGTGAGCCATCGCCGACCTACACTGATGATCAACCTGAGCCTGTGCAGGCACCGTCACCAAAGTATGAGCCTAGTCCCGCTGCTTCATCCGGTTTCGCCGAGCCTAGTCAAGCTGGCGGTCCTGTTGCTGGCGGTCCAGCAACGCAACAAGAGATCGATCAGGCCTTCTCACGATTCGACCAAGGCCCTATGGAAGACATGCCTGCTTTCGCCCCTGCCGACGATGAGAGCGAGGACGATGCCGCTGCTGCCCCGACTGTGCCTCGTCGACAGCTGCAACAGACGAACCCTGGAACCCCAACCCAGCGTGCCCCAGAGTATGCGGATGATATCTCCGAGGAATCTGTCGAGTTCACAAAGCAACAATCGCCGTCTCAGGATCGATGGGCGCAAATTAGGAAGAATGCTGCCGAACGCGCAGCGAGGCTTAGTGAGGAACAGGTTCGACGGAGCCGAAGTCAGAGCCAGAGTCAGCGTACTGATGAAGGCGAGACGAGTGGCGAGGAGACTATTGAAAGCCGCGTGGCCCGCATCAAGGCGCGTGTTGCCGAACTTACTGGCAACGTTGATGGCCAGCCGGCTGCAGCTGGACCTAGCGGAAGACAGTGGTAGAATGTGCCTTGGTAAGGCTCGCATTGCCTTATTGCTCAGTATTTTGCTAACACTGGTCAGATTCTTTTTAGCATCAAATACCCCGTCTGTTTTCCAAGCGTACAAAGAGCTCGATACCCTCTCCGATTTCGACTTTCTGGTTTTTCCCTTCCACGACAATCGGCATAACTTGTGCTTTCTACACTTAATACCCGTCAGCGCCATACACTTATGCCTGACATCGGCTTGCTTTTCGTTCAATCTGTATCTGCTTTCGATTTGTTTTTTCGTTTTGTTGAGATACCTCGGGAGGAATGTACATTGTTGTCTAGGTACACATCTTTGCGGATATGCACAGTTACGTGGTCACGCATGTTCGATGACCAATAATATATACTGCGACGGAGACGACGTAGTGTGTTATATGTTAGAGAAACAGGTGCGAACTTTCGAATGTTTAATAAAGACGTTTTGCGTGTGTAGTTGCCTCCATGTGCTCTAGCTTGCGGTGCTGTTTGGGACATGGCTCGTCACTGTCGCTTTGAACATGTCATCTTGTTAGCATTCGAAATATGTGTCGAACAGGATGGTGTACCAGTAGGCTTATCCAGCACCTTCTGAAGAAATTGAATTTTCCAAACCGTACTGTCATCCCCCAAAGTTGTAGAAATGATTGGAAACACGTCGATGAGTCCGAGTCGGTGACTAAAGCCAAAACTGATTTTCCATGTCTCTGCGCCAGCTGTACCAGATTGATTCGAGACTAATAAAGGCTTCACGTGCAACTTCATGTGGCGGTGGGCTACCACATATTCGGCACATGCTCTAAATCTTTTTCCCCAAACTTCTGGCTACATGTTCTCTCCTACCACGTAGCGAAGCGCAATGGCATGGTGGAGTAACAGCCACTCAACCAGATAATGCACCGCTGAGGATACGCGTTATGAGAAGACGTTTGAATAAACTCGGAACACCTAACGCGTCCAGTTCTATTCTGGACATCTGGTCCATCGCCGCTCTCCTGAGAAGTGTGCCTTGACGATCTTTCGTAGGCGCCGACGACGTGCAGTGATCGATAGTGAAGATCCAGATGGGTCGTCTCTGTCATCATGGAGTCCGTATAGACTTACTTCATCCTGGGGTACTGCCCAAGAATAACGTCCGGGCAGGGTACCTGCATCTACCACGCGTTCTTCAGCGAGGCACAGGTTTCGGATTGGGGCCACAGGCCATGGCGGTTGGAGAGTTGAGAAGCATGAGGGCCAGCGTGCGGCCTAAAATAACACGAGATCTGTGTACCTGCATCGACCAGGTCTCCGGGAGAGTAGATACGAGGTATTGGTAAGGAGCAAAGAGATGGTTGCCGGGTGGTGTGCGTGTGAGACTAAGAATAACAACCGAGAGTGTACCTGCATCTGATAAAGAGTTAGATGCGGCGGGCCGCTTATTTTCCGGTCAATGTCACGTTTCTTTCATCGAGTGACGCGTTGCTGAGTGATGCGGGTATCTGATGCTTCAATTAGAATATTGGAGGTTGGTGGAGGAGGGATACAACCGCTGGCTCGGTGCGGCACATTCGCTTCAGCAGGTGAAATCTACAATCACACACACTAGTAGCATGTTGGTCGTGAAGTGTACGCATGCGGAATCACAAGCTAATGTGAAGTGTGGAGAACATATGGAGTCGGCGGCTAGGCGGGTGAGATTATGTCAACGGGAAGAGACAACCATGCAAATGGAAATGATAGACGAACAGCAGCTTAGCAACGTGTAACGTCTGGATGTCTGGTCGTGTATGTGTCGAGGTAAGCTGTATCAGTCAGTCAATCAGGTGCAGTAGCAGGTGCGCCATGCCCGCTGTGGGCGTGGGTTTGCGGCATGGCTTTCTAAAAATATCGCGTTTCGGACATGGGAGGCAGTCGCGCTAGGAACCGTGTGCTGCGAGTTTTATTCCAACTTCAACCTTGGGACATGGAAGTAGATACTGGAAACAACCTGTTTGGACGTTGTCCGATCGTCTGCCGCCGACATGACTGCATACAGACAGATGGGTACTGTGAAGATCGAGTTGACTTGGATGCCGTGCCGCATCCGGTGGGGAAGCGGGGCGCCCTCGACGGCTGTCTCTGATGAATGACTGTCATTGCGGATAGCGAGGGACTCGGTGGCAGGCCGCAGCTTCACACAGGGACTGCCTTCATAGTAAAAGAAGCTAAGGTTTGAGAGAGATGATTGACCGAATGCTCCGCCATGTGTCGCTAGCAAAACATGGCTCGCTAAGTGCAATGCCGCACAGGGAGCACCGAATGCCTCCGCCCTGCGCCTATCCCACTTTGCCTAACGTCTCCCAGCCTTCCGCCTTCAGTTGACCTCAGGGTCATTACTTTGGTCATCATCTCTGCAAGCGCCGACATGTGTTCCCGATAGATATGGCACGCAAGAATAGCGACCCCCGTCTGATCGCTGCAGAGCCGGTAAGATGGGTTTGCTAATCTGAGAGTACTTTCTGCAGTCAACAGGGACTGCCGTGAAGAGATTCAAGGTAGCGTGATGCCGGTAAAATGGCTGGCGGTCTCATTCTCATACTGTACCGCATCAAGGGTCTGCTCTGCCTGTGTGAGGCCTCCTGGACCCCAGGTCTGATATGTCCTTAAAATAACTCAGCTGGGCGTTGTCAGTGGAGTAAACAGCCCAAGTCGAGTTAGACAAGTCTCCGATGATTGACAGACAGATTGCACACCCAATTGCAAGGGGACAGCGGACGTGGCACCACGTTCCAAACCCAGCAAATAACCTGTAACCGGGCATATTAGCGATCGGATGGCCTGGGCTCTGCAGACGCCAGATTTCTAAATATAGGGGCGCCCACCCACTCCATCATCGTTTCCTCTGCACATCACGTTCAGAGCCTCAGAGAAACTGTGAGTGCAGCAACCGACCTTTGTGTCGCGCATCACAGCCATATAGCCCTGGAGTCGCGAAAAAGAATTGTTCATCAACCGCGCCGACTTTCGCCGCCCGCTCCCTACTGCTGGCCGCGCTGAAACGCTCCACGTCTTCGTGATCACGCCTCTGCCGCGCAAGCTAATACCATCTTCTTCCTGTTCCTCGAGGCATCACCGTCGCTCCATGCGCTTTGACGTCTAGTATCGTCATTCACCATGGGTCGCAGAAAGATCGAGATCAAGGCCATCAAGGACGACCGGAACCGCTCCGTGTAAGTCAGCAGCCCCAGCGACATTGCGATCAGCCATTAACGCGCCATAGAACTTTCCTCAAGCGCAAAGGCGGTCTCTTCAAGAAGGCGCATGAGCTCTCTGTGCTCTGCTCAGTAGACGTTGCAGTCATCATCTTTGGCCACAACAAGAAGCTCTATGAATTCTCTTCCGGCGACATCAACGAGACCATTGGCCGGTACCAATACGTATGCATCCCCTGCTACCCTGGATAGAGAGTTGTGCTAAAGTACATGACACTGACAGATCACGCAGTATGGCGGCGCACACGAGCACAAGGGTCCAGAGGACTTTATGGGCAAGAAAGATGGCGAAGACGACGACGATGAGGATGAAGAGGGCGCCCTCCCCCGAGACTCTCACACGCCGCCCGAGCACCCCATGATGCCCCATCACATGCAGCATCCGCAGTTCCAGCACATGAGACAAGGAGCGCCATCAATGTCTCCGCCTATCGGCAACGGCGTTCCCTTCCAACAGCGAGGTCCCTCTCCGCAGCCTCCCCACCACCTGTCGCGACCCAACTCGAGAGTAGGCCACATCCGCAGACCGAGTTCGAACCTCGCGCCGCCCCAGCCATACCCTTCGCAAGCTCCTCCGCCGCCCAACAGCTATGCCTACATGCCGAACCCGCCCTTTTACAACCCCCAAGCTGCCCAGCAGATGGCCCCTAAGCCTCAGCCTACACCGCCCGCCACCCAGTACCAGTTCACACATCCCATGCCTACGCATCCCCAAGTCCAGTATATGCAACAAGAGCAGCAACGCCGACAGTCAATGCCGCCTACTTTCCAGCAGCAACAACAACAGCAACACCATCTTCAGCAGCAGCAGCAACAGCAGCAACAGCAACAGCAACAGCAACACCAGCATCAACAAGAACAGCAGGCACAGGCACAGGCACAAGCGCAACAACAGGCACAGCAACAGGTACAACAACAACAACAGCAGCAGCAGCAGCAGCAGCAGCAGCAGCAGCAGCAGCAGCAGCAATTGTCCCCACCGCCTCCACTCCCGCAAGTGTCTCAACCGCAACAAGACCTCCCACAACAGCCCACGATTACCGTTCCATCTCCACCGCAACAGAACGATTTCCAGAGCCCCCCTCTTCCCCAGCCGAAGCCACTACACGCATCTGCTAGGCATAGCATCTTCACGCCAATCGACGACAGCCAGTCCATGCTCGCAGCGCATTGGGGTAGCAGTAGCAATTCAAACCTGTCTCGCAGTGAAGCCCCATACATCAAGCAGGAGAACCGCGCGCAGTCTATTGATGTGGCCGCCATGTCACGATTGCAGCCAAATGGGGAGCCAAAACCTCAAGCACAGCCTCCACAGCTACCTGTTCAGCAACCACCGCAGCGAACGCAGTCTACGTCCTCAATGCCCACCATCCCCCCTCCGTCACGAACAAACAGTCTGCGCATGGGAGGTGAAAGCAAGCCGAGATTGAGGGTGCAGATCCCGAGTGAACACTCAGATGCTGGAAGCGCCACGGCCGACTCGTCTCCAAAGGACTCTGGCACAACTGGCGCGACTCCCGGACGAAGCACCGATGCATCGCACTCGTCTGGCGTAGTCCTGCCTCCTCCGTCACCCAGTGCGAACTCGCTGCTTAGTGCAGGTGCAACTGGCCCGCCCAACCCCTTCGCTCGTCCTCCGCCCCCATCGAATAGCAATTCGTACGGTAGCCGCAATGACATGGAAACCCCAATCTCTGCACTTCCCAGTCGCTTTGTTGAGAATGGCCTCCTTCCCTCGCCCTCCAGCTTTTACCCCGAGTGGGGTTTTGGTCGCGACTCCAACATGCTGCCGAGCCCTTTGACTTTCCAGACTCCCGTAGCCCCGAATGGACCCAGTTTCGCCCGCGATGATTCAGCAGAGCGTAAGCGCAAGACGTCCGACCAGGGTTCGGATGACGGCAACCAAAAGCGGGTCAAGACCTGAGCAGCGTAGCGGAGTTTGAAAAGTCGTTTGAAGCGACAGTCTTTCTTGCATGGCTTATTTCCGCGGCTATGCTGTATTTGTACCTCATACTTTCTGCTTCTATTCCGGTCTTTACTTCCCGAGGACCAACTAGCGATGCTCGATGCATACTATACTTTTGCTATTTTGTTTCAAGGCTTTGTAGATTCGGGTGCAGAGGCGTTGGATACCCACGATGATAGTCGTTGTTGTCATCTACTATTTTGTCTCTTTTCACAATTTGACGGTTGCACCTGGACCTTCTTGGGCATACCGGTTATGGCATAACGAATGATCAGAGTCAGGATATGTACTTTTCTGTAAATAATACCAATGAAGAGCTTGGCTCAGTCCACATAAACAAACAAAGGTATCCTACTGCGCAAGCTGTACGTGACTCGGCACTGCAGTGAGTAAATGACCTGCAAACCCCACAGCAACTGGCCGAAGGTTCGGAAATCGGAACATTGGGTAAGAATGCTACGACCGAATTTTGCGTGTGCTATATACTGATTTGCCCGTATTCGTATCGTGGTAGACATTCCCTACCATGTTGACAGCACGAGCACTACTGCGTCATAGAGCCAAGCCAGCTGCCCCGCTGCGCATACGCCTTAACCAAGGGCTTCGCCGTTGGTGTCAGCCGCAACCGGGCTGTGAAGGGCGAAGTTGGGCTTTGATCGCTGGAGCCGCATCTTACTCGGCTGATTGTGAAGTCTTTGTACTATAAGCTACTAGCATAGCATCTCCCTGTGTTCCCGAGCCACTTGCGCGCCTGACAATTGTCTTTGCCCGCCGAGAAGCTGAAGCTTGGTGTCACATTCATATATCAGCCCCGAGACCTTGCGACGTCTTGCTTTCCACCTCACAAACACACGACAATTTGATCCCATCATGGCGTACAACAAAGGATTCAACCCGGACAGGCTGCCTATGCATGCCGAGCCTGATCAGGTATGCTTCTTGGATGCTTGACGCGCAAGCAAGACTGACGTAGACCAGGCTGCTGCGATGATGTCGCAAAACGCACCCGCAGCCTCACGCCCTCCGCGCACAAGCTCAGCGCGCCCGGACTACAACAAACCTCCCCCGCCCGTTCCCAGTGGCCAAAGATACGATACTCGTCCAGATGAGCGCTACGGCGGCAGTGGTGGTGGACGCGGCGCAGGAGGTGGTGGATACGACAGCAGACCCCCACCAGGCGCATACAGCGACCCGCGATACGACAGCCGGTACGACTCGAGACAGGACAGCAGAATGGCAGTCGGATCGCCTCCACCGGCCAACTATGGCCATGGACCACCGCCACAGGGATATCATGGAAGGCCGCAGTTGGCACAGCAGTCGAGGCCGCCGCCTACACCTGCGCCGCCAAGGGATGCGAATGACCGTGAAGCACTCTGGAGATTGTTCGGCGCGGTCGACAAAGACAGTATGTAATAGCGAGGAATCTAGAGATATGCAATGCTAACGCATGCGACAGAGAGTGGTGAACTCACAGAAGCTGAGCTGCGGACTGCGCTGGTCAACGGTGACTGGACACCTTTCGACCCACACACCGTCCGTATGATGATTCGAATGTTCGACACCAACAGATCTGGCTCTGTCAACTTTGACGAATTTTGGTACTTGCTCTTGCTCTTCCCCTACCAGAATTCAAGCTAACACACGTCTTCCAGCGGGCTATGGGGATTCCTCTCTGCCTGGCGCAGCCTCTTCGACCGCTTCGATCAGGATCACAGCGGTAGCATATCCTACGCTGAGTTCAACGAAGCCCTCGTCGCCTTCGGGTACCGCCTTTCCCAGCAATTCGTCACCCTTCTGTACCGCACGTACGACCGTGATGGACGCAATGCACTGAGCTTCGACCTATTCGTGCAAGCGTGCATTAGTTTGAAGAGGATGACAGATGTGTTCAAGAAGTACGACGAGGACCGCGATGGGTATATTACGCTGAGCTTGTAAGTGAATTACGAATGAGGGATTTTAAAGTGTCTTTGGAACCATGCTAACTGATATGCGCAGCGAGGAGTTTCTCACAGGTGCGCAAGCTTTATTCCTCTTCAACTCGATTTCGGCCTCCACTGATACCGGACTGTACTAGAAATCATCCGTCAGCGATGAGCAGTAAGAACACTAGCATACGTTTTGCTCAATCTTTAACCTTTGGATACGTTGCCAACTTGGATGCTGCTCAATGTCAGCGACCCATCGCAAAGGCGAACATGATGTCTCCATGGCCTCAGGTTCCAAGTGACCTAGTGCGATGGTGCACGATAGGATGCCTGACTTTGTGTCCAAACGAGCGAGAAACATATGTGGTGATGGTCGGAAACCAGGCACACTTGATGAAGGTAACGAATCTAGATACCCGTTTAATACAAACGAAAACTTTCATACAACGACAACAACTACTACTACGGTTCTCTCCTTTCCCTCCTATTCAAGCGCTTTGCATATCAGCTGGCGCACTACCAACACCTAAACCTATCTCTCCACCCCCTCCTTCCGCCTCCACTGCCACCACGACTGCCATGGTAATAGTCATCGTCATCGGGCTCGGCGTTGTACCTCTTGACCTGCCTTCCCGAACCAGCATGCGTATACGTGTATTCTCGTACGCCCCGACTATCGTGGTAGCCGTTGTAGTCGAATGCGGGTCCGTAGTGGTATCTTCAACCGTACAATTAGGAACAATAGTAAGAAAGGGTTAGACCCAAAATGGCGAATAAAGGAGGGAGAGTGTGAGCGTGTGTGTGTGTGTGTGTGGCTTACGCAGCTCTATCATATCGGTAACTGTCTGGACTTCCCAGTGTACCGCGGACACTATGGCCGCGATGTGGTTGGATGGAGTACCATGACATGATGCGTGGTCGTCGTTTGCGATAGTTTTTCCTAAGAGCGAGAAAGAAGTAGTATTAATTTAGTACCTATTAAGAAGTTAGATTATGGTAGATGAGTTTATGGGAGAAGAACAGAAAGGGTTACAACAAGTGACATGCCTATATACTGCGACGATGGGGGTGTGAATGTGAGGATGACGATGTGTACTTGAGCTGGCATGGTTGGATGTCGAGTACATGCTGGAAATTTCATGGTGGGTAGATGGAGGTGTGTCTGGATGTTGATGGTGACGATCCTGCAGTTGACGATAGACAGCGGAGAGCACATGTTCTGGACGTCGCTGTGCACTTCACTGCAACTCCTTGTCATAGCTAACCGACGGCGGATACAAGTGTTTCTTACATAACTCATACGGCGACAAAAGAAGATGGCGCAGTAGCGGGCGCTTTCCAGGTGCCACTGCTATCCACGCCTTTTGACTAATTGGCTAATCAGGAAAGTAGTCATTTCTACTCGGCGTAAAACAAAGGTGGGTGAGTAGGAGTGAAACCGTAATCCACAGTTTTTCCAAAAATTACTCAATTGGGAAGGGGTTTGAAGTGAGATGAGATGAGATGAGATGAAATGAGATGAGATGAGATGAAATGCAGAAGTATGAAAATCCAATGTCCTTCATTGAGTATATTGTTGATTTAAACTAGGGTATACAATCTTCTTCGTCGTTAAATCCTTATGAAACACATTCTAGTATCTGGGGGTATATGACAAACTTCAAGGAAAGACGTGAACTCGTTCGTGAGGTCGTGAAAAAGACACCGCTGTACTCCAAATATCCCTCTATCCCAACATGACCAATTTGATCGGTTCAGGAGCCCATTATGCAATCTTCAACTTCCAACTTCTTCTCCTCTACACCTTGTAGGGCTTGCGAGCACGGCGTGATTCACGTTCTTTGCCACCAATGCAGAAGCTCGCGATCCAGCCAAGGAGAGCGATGAGCATGAGCGCAGTAGCAGCCCAGGTCAGAGCAAGGAACTTGCCACCCCAGTTGGCTTGAAGACCGATGTCGCCGCCTTTGTCGTTGATGATGTCGGTGGCTTTGACCATTACAGCCGTGACAAGCGCACTTGCCAGGCCGATGGCCAGGAATGCAAGTGTGGCAAGAAGGAAGTTGATACACGGAGTGAGTCTTCCATTTCCAATGAAGATTCCAAGAATGCTAGTGACGAGAGTGATGAAGATGAGGCAAATCGCAATGACGTAAAGAACGAACATAGCTGCCATGAGTGCGTTGAGTGTGTCTATTCCACTCTGAATGTCGTCTGGCCATTGGAGGTCTTGCAGGGTAATGTCCACACCCGTCCTGTTGAGCGCGTCTTGGATGATGGCTGTAGGGTCAAACTTGTAGGTAGCCCTGCTCTTTGCGCACTCGGTGACATTCTTGCTAATATCGTCCTGACTCAGCGTTGCATTTGCCACCTCTCCAGGCTCATATTGTCCTTGGCAGTAGTTGAGCATGTGTGCCGAGTACCAGTCTTCGACGCCTATGCGCTCGCGGAGCTCGTCAATCTGCTCGTTGATTTCGTTTGTGACGCTGTCAGTTATGGAATCGGGGATGAGGTTTATGATCGACGAAAGTGTAGAGTCGGAGTCTGACGATGCCGAGGAGATGAGCGTTTGCCCAACGGCGGAAGTATTGAGTGTGAGGAGAGAGTAGTCTTCCATGAAGCCTTTCTTATGGCCAGCGAACAGGCAGAGGAACGAGAGAATTAGGGCAGCGGTACAGCATAGCACCGGTAGTACGGCGATAAAACGCATAGTCGCAGTATTGTTGGCTTTGCGATTGTGGTGTAGGTGTGTAGATGGTTGCGGACCTTCTTGATGCTACCAGTGAATGGCGGTATATTCAAAGAGCCACGAGAGGCTGAAACGCAGACAAAAGACAAAAAGCGATGGCTGGTGAGTGTGTCAAAGGCGAGTCAACCACTTATACGTGACGTGCAAATACAAGGTTGGAATGCGACGACCGTGTGAAAGACCCGCACGTCACTAACTAGGGCCCAGCCATGGCAACAAGCGAAGAGCAAACCTGACCAACGGGGCCTCAGCCTCAAGATCAACGTCTTGGAGATACGAATCAGGGCCTATTGAGCACACTGACCACAATGTTGACGTGTTGCTGGGCGTATGTTGTTCAGACCCTGGAACTATGACGCAGCGCAGCGCTAAGCGAAGCAACTGTGCAGGGGTGAAGCAGGTACGACTGGAACATAACAATGCCTAATTTTTTTTTTGGTTGGGTGATAACGGAAGACTTTGCAAAAGAAAAGGTGTCACAGAGTTTCATCGTGTACTGCATCGGTGTGGGCAAGATCGCAGCGCTTGCAGATGTGTCAGCCACGTGAATGTGGGGTGCACAGCCGCAATGTGCGCGTGCGAGTACGAATCGATGAAAGACTACGGGTGACACAAATAGAAACTGGATTCAACAAGCCCACATTTACGTGAGCAAACGCACCATAGTAGACCCAAGACTTGAAGGTCGAGTTTGTTTGTATTCGGGTCTATTGTTATGTTCCCGTCCTCTATTTGTGAGGCATCGTCTATCATGATGACCGTAAGTGCATTACTTTCGTAAGTGGAGCAGCCTGTGCTCTCAGACTTTTGAGTGGAATCGTTATAAGCGGTTGTAGTAGTGTTGCGCGTTGCGCTTTGGTGTTGAGGAGTCGAAGTCGCTTGGCTCGGTGCTACCCGGCCTCATGACGGCGTCTTCTTGGAGTTCTTTGTAGGCTGGGCTGTTGATGATGGACCGGCGCTGATGCCATCCGTGAATGGAGAGTATGGCGCCGTCACTGAGTGTGGGGGTGCTCGCTGCCCGGACTTTGTGCGTGGAGGCTCAGCAGATCCTGGCCACTTCTTCTGCTCTTCATGGATCTTGTCCAGGGGTTCTCCAACTATGTGGTATTTTTCCCAATTGATCGGCGGGCATCGCACAATGTTCTGCGGCTGTGGTATCGCGGGGAACTTGGGTGGGTCTGGCTTCGCCCCCATATGCGTCGAGTCTTTGCGCGTATCTGCGCTATTCGCGTCTAGGTCATTACTAGTTGATGAGTCGGCCAGACCTGATAGCGTTGGTGTGAGAATGTCCTGGTATGACTGGGAGGCCTGCGCTCTTTGTTCCTGCAGCGACTTGACGAAGGCTTGCGGATCAGACACAGCGGCTGCCTTGAGCTCTTCGAGCGCTTTCAGGTCGCGCTTGCTCTTTTCGCGCTGCAGCTGCAGGAGCGAGATGGCGGATCGCAGTGCAATAGCATCTGGGTTCTCGCTCTCGGATATGGCGACAGAGGGCGGCTGTGGCCTGAAAGTGGCAGTAGGTGGAGGGGCAGGGCGGGGTCGGGCTTCGGTGCGCTCCACAGGAGCTAACTGGGCAGCTGAAGCCGTGGGCGTGAGAGGCGATACAGGCGGTCGGTCAGGAGTAGGCGACTTGGAGCGGTTGCCAGAGTGTTCCGAGGCCGTCGAGGCGTCGCTGGAGGAAACTGGGCGTGGAGTCGTGTCGACCAGGAGCGCTGGCATGGCGGCGTAGGGGAAGACGTCTCCAGGCGCAAAGCCGGAGAGTCGTGGCAGGATACCGATCGGCGACCACTCTGCAGTGAGAGTAAGGTCAGACCACGCAGAGGCCTAGGAGCTTCTGTGGTAAATCTCCGGCGGTGGTTCGCCGCGAGGTGGCGGCGGTTAGGCGCTGTCTAGACCTGTGCCGGGGCCGTCCATGCCAGATGCGATTTGCGATGGGAATTTGTGTCGTACAAGATTGCGCGCGGGAACGCCCACGCACTTATCGACACGTCGCTATTTGGTTGGGAAGAGTGTGCGGAGCCGGCTGCGGGCGAGATTTTCTTTGGCTGCGAGTCGGCTGTACGGAGAGCTCGGAAAGAGTCGATCTCGTCTAATAGACATGTCTGTAACCAAGCCAGATATCCAACACCAACCAGCAGCAGCCCATGTTAGACAGTCGGCCGACCACAACTCGATGGATCGATACGAGCGATACGATACTAGGCTTCTGGCATGGCTCTGCGTAGTATCACATCATGATACTAGTCACATACGTCTCGCCATATCACTCCTGCCATGGTCGGGAAGGAGTACCCGAACATGGTAATTCGCGCTTCAGGATAGTTAGCATACAATTACGATGTCCCTTGTAATCTGTCCTCGGAGGTCGCTTACACTGCTCACTGGCCGTGCGAGGCATTCTCAGACGACGACTGCATGATGCGCCGCTTGTTTGCAGCCTCTGCAGAAGACCATGTCATGTCCACTCGATCTACACCTTGGTCGAACAGAATGGCAACACGCTTCAGGGATAGAGGAGAGAAAGCAACCAGCTACAGACGGCACCGGCACGAGGCAACGTCAATGCACTCGTCTGAAGTTGCTGCCGACTCATAACCGATACAACGGCTTTCAAGATCTGGCCTTCAGATTGCCAATTTGCATCTCGCAAAACGCGTCTATCTAGCCCGGCGGCATATTCGCAGATTCACGCAGCCTGTAGCCGAACGCCTGCAAGGGTCAGCGAGAGAGAGCGAAGCCACCCATGAAATCCACCAAACCGCCATCTTCAGCCCGCCAATGGCAGTAGTTTGACAGGCAGTGCCGCGTGTATAGCCATCAGAATCAGTCTCCATGGGTGTAGCGTACCCGTGCAGGGCTGCCGTCCTACACGGTGAGTCGCTCTTGCTTTTTCCTAGCCTTGCGAGCCTTCAGTTGCTCCTTCTACTTGCAGAAACTCCAGCTCAATACACGCACGCCCATTTCCCTCATTACCCGTCCCGTCATCAATCTTTCCCTCTCCACGTCCATTTTATCCTTCCAGATGCCGCTCAAATTCCTCACTTCTCGACCCTCGACTATCGTCCACTACCTTCCACCTGCATGACATGCGCTACGTCTTAGCGACAGCCTGCCAATCAAACGACGATCAAACTGGCACCGACTGCCCGCTAAACCCTAAAGGCCCACGCGACCGAAATCACGTTCGTTAGCCATGGCTCCGAGTGCAGACTTAACAGCACAGTCCCCGCTGGCGCGCATACCCAAGCTGAAGTACAGAAATCCGCTGCCGGCCGACAGCCTTTCGATTGCCTCCGATACTTCCCAAGACAGTGGGCCCCACTCTCCATATAGTCAAGAGCCTCCCGCGACCCCGGATTCGAACGCTCCTTCGAACATCTCCCGCCCTTCCTTCGAAACTACCTCCGTGACGTCATCCAGTCTGGCTTCCATATCCTCCAGCAACTCTTCGTCAAATGGCTCCAAGTCATCGAAGAAGAAGAAAAAGGGCTCTGTGCTCGGCTTTCTTTCTCTAAAAGAGCCGTCTCAAGTTGCCTTGGAGCAGTTCGCCGAACACCAGCGCAAGCAGAACGCCAACTCAGGAACATCCACACCTCAGTCAAAAGCTAGCAGCAACTATGCTGGCCAAAAGCTCCCACCATCTGTCCCCAAGGTCAATTCGAAATGGGACGGTGTTCCTGATTCTGTCAAGCACCGCTACTCGACATCAGGCGGATCAAGCAAAGGCAACAGAACCAGCGTATCCTCCAAGGGCTCCTTTGGCTCGCCTCTCAAACAAGCCCCCTGGAACGAATCGAAGTTTTCTGTAATGACCGATGGTACTCGCAATCCACCCAACTCAGTCGCCTCCATGTCCTTGTCCAACCTTGACATCCGAGACGGGACTTCTGGGCTTGGATCCTCACCATCTACCACTACGCTCCCTGAAATGTCTTACTACTTCCCCGACGGTCCTGCTGCATCGGGCGCGCTACCTCCAAGATCTGAGAGCGCAGGCGCAACGTATGATTCCATTTCACAACTACCAGTTCGGCTGTCAGACTCTACTTCGAGTGATCGCCCGAGCATAGACGGATCAGTAGACTCCAGACCGCATTCTCCAGCCTCTTCAACGACATCAACGGATACGGTCGTCATGGACACTGCAGAGACCATCTTCAGAAAACTCAACGATCGGCCCAGCCAAGGTGCATGGGGGAGCGGTGCACATGCTGTTCAGTCACCTACTCAGGACGATTCTGATGATGTGCCCGATTCACATGACTTCCTCTTCCAACCGCAGCCTGTCATAGAACGCCGACAAAGCGACCCAACCGCTATCTACGAGTCGTCTTTGGCTGCATCGTACATCCCACATTACGCCCCTCAGCGACCAGTTCAAAATTTCAGTCGGCCAATGGCAACCAGGGGCCCACCGCCCGTCCAGCGCTCTGCACACATGCCACACTATAGGAGGACGCCATCAGCCCCAGCGCTACCGACCTTGTACGAAGCCTCACTGGCCAGCACCGATGATCTTCGAGAAGATCGCGACGACGATGATGATTCGTATTCGATCGCGCCTTCTACCATCGCGCCCTCTGAGCTCTCCAAGCATTGGTATGAGTCTCCACGTGAACGCCTGGGTCTGGGCAGGCGCCTTCAGATTAATGACGTCTCACCTTGGGACGAGCAGAGAGAGGCCGCAGGTAAGCCCAAGAAAAGTCGATTGTCGATGTTTGGGAAGGCTGTGTCGAGAGGATAGGCTTTGCGGGCAAAGCTTGCGCATTGGCTGACTCTCAGTGGGTAGCTGCGTGCGATCCCCAGCGAACATCAACCAGTGCCACACTGACACTCGGGTCTTGATTCGCCAACTTGTGTACAAATTTTTGCGATTAGCGATATCCAGCATTTTCTTCGCTTCGGCGACATTCATGTACGGCGGCATTTCTGGACGCCAGTTTCTCCAACATAGATACCCATTTCACGAATCTTACATATCCATTTCCTGATGGCTACGTCAACCTGCATGGCCCTCTAGGTAATGTAGTACTTAATTTCTTTTCATGGGGGAGGGGGTGTTGATCTTCGTTGCGATTACGATCTCATAGGGGTGGTAAAGGAAGTGCGCGAATCGCGCGTCCATTCGAAGCTCGGATATCAAGCACTACCCATGTCACATCATGGGGTGTACTACAATGCAACGTTTTGCGTCCATCACACGCGTCCATCACACGCGTCCATGCAAGCCATGGCCTCACTAAGTGACCCCTTCGGACCCTATATTGCTTCTGCCGTCGTTCTTCGGGCCCACCGCTAGCGCGCATACGTAGTGATCTCCAGGTCCGTCGAAACCTTAACGCCTTGCAGTATCGCGAGGAGCACGCCTTATTGCCTTCACATTTGACAGGCTCAATGTGATTCGCCTAGCGCGCTTTTATTCCGACGTAATTCGCGTGCGATGAAAAAAAAACATCCACTCGGTCGACTCGGTATGTCCGCCGAGCAGGTCAACCCGCATCTGGTATGATAACACGAACCACTCAAACACAGCACATCTAGGCGACGTTTAAATGTCATGTAGCACGCTTAAAACAGGCATCGACTTCCTCGGCTGACCTGCCACGCATGTGAAAAGGCATCCACCTTTCGAAAGCTTCTTCTTATCAGCCTAAGCAAATCACGGTGGCACTAAACCGATTGCCGACATACGCCCGCTAAAATAGCTTTCTCCAGATCATCGTGGAGTATCATGGTACCTCCTTGCGACACTAGCTTGATCGACAGGGCAGATCCGAACATCTCTGGGTCACCCATGACCAAGTGTCATGTTTATTTCCAAAGGTGACAGCGACTGCCACTATGCTGATAAGGTTACGCTTTTGAAAAGGATATCACTGTGTGGATGGGAACCTTATACGTGGTTTCATGATCGAAGTACACGCAAGTTGCGAAGTGTAGGTCACGAGAAGCTACAGCGCGGAGCATGATAACACCGCTAGTCTCATTCCTGGACGTGGCCTTGTTCACCGCCAGTTTTTCGTATTTTGGAAAGAAGGGAGTGTAGAGGAGGAACTTTTATGGGATTAAGGTTTGCTATTGATATACATGACGAACGGCGCGCAGATATCGATTACAAGAGCACAACTGCGCACGAGGTTGCGCAGTGGGGTTTTGATACAACGGCACTACTCTGGAAGGATCTGATCCTATTCGGCTCGGCTGATTTCAATTCGCTTACTGGCTCTTACGGATACCGAGACATGAATTTATGCCTGGCCTTTCTTGGTACGCGTTCTTTGCTGGAGAGTCTGTAACAAGATATTGGAAAGGAGGTCGCGGCGAGATCTTAGACGCTTTAACTGTTTTGGATGGTTTTCATAATCTTGTGACCATGTGTTCGCTCAGTCTAATTTTTGCGTACTTCCCTGGAAGTGTGCTTGTTGAGCAAACAAAGAGTCGCACAGCAGATATTTAGGTATGTGGAAAATATCGTAGGCAAGGACATATCAATGGTTTGGACGTTGCAGTCAGTGGCCCGAACATGTAGCTCTATTGACTGTCTTTTGACCGCCGTAGGTTCGCATGTGGCATGAGGCGTAGGTTTTTCCCACTTGACACCGTTATTGTATCCGAGAACTCAAAATTAATCTACTAGTGATGGATGTGCTGCTCGACGATTTTAAAGAAAGGAGAACGAGCAAAGAACCATGTAATCTTAAAAGGTTATTTTTGAAGTTCAACAGGATGGTGTTGCTAGGGAAAAGTAAGGGAGAAGAAAGAAGGGGCTTCATCTGCCTTCACCTACAGCACGGATACATCTGCGCTGAGTGGAAGTTGATCAGTATGCTGACTGTACCTGGACTGATGGTATAAAGCCTGCCTTTCGCACACTACAATCTTTCCTCACTATACATGTGCCAAGATAGCATCTGAGAGCCATAAAGCCCAGGTTCATGGCCTGCTCGTGGTGTTTTCCAACCACAAATATACTCAGCACATAGCGATGTTGCAACGGTTCTTGGTATCTCGGGTAGGAAAGATAAAGACAGTATGTTATGTTATCTAATATTTGAGCATCTTCTGAACAGAGTCCGCGCCACCTCGTGTTGGCCCAGCACGAAGATTCGCACATTCATGGCTCTCACAACACTTTGGCAACCCCAACATGGTACCACGACCACGCATCCTCACTTTCTCAAGGTAGCGCTCAAAAGTTTGATCGGGAGTTTCATCCTCTGGGTAGCCTGCGTCGCAATCTTCTTTATGAATATATTTCAAGGTTTTCCCTCTGTGTTTGCCTGTCTTCAAGATGTAGTGCGTACATGGATCGCTCCTCGCTCAAGCGCGATACTCCTCGTTGGGCACATTCTCAAGTGTCTCGTTGCAGGTACAATACGTCGGCTAGAGGGTTTGCTTGCGGGTGCCTGCACAAGCGTCCGGCTTCGGTGGGGCTTCGGTCGTGCCTGTAGGACCTATCTATGCACGTCACTGTATCAGCTTTTTCGCACTGCTCAAACTTCAATTCTACAATACCTACTGCCTAGGACGCATGTCAATGAACTGAGGGAATGTGTTTGTCAAGTAGATAGAGATAGTATAGATGAAAGGGGATTAGCTCCACATATGACGGAACCGCAGCGCCTGAGGGGCGCTAGACTCAAGCGAATGCGAAAGTGCTACCGATGCGAAGGCCAGCCACAGCCATGGAGATCGAGAAGTTGGAGGCATACTACGATGTCGACATACAAGAAGACACATAAGTTACAGATTTCTTCGTTTGCAAAATGCTGTTTTGATATCTTTTCTCATAAAGCGAGAAGCTACATGATGTCACATACCAGTATTCTCATACATACTCTAAACGCGCTCATCGGCTGCCTCTGCATTGTAGTCATCGGTCTTACGGCACACGGAATCACATTGAAAGATGAGCTCGAGAGAACCATTCCCTTCAGCGTAAAGGACACTGGCATGTCGTTCCTCTTCTGGCCTGGGTGCGGTGGCCTGGTCGATATGTTGCTTTTCATCTTATTGTGGAATTTAACTCCCTGGGAGCAAGGCTCGGTATGTTCCTCACTTCATAGCGGCATATAAGGGTATGCTGACAATTAACAGACAAAGAAGCAAACGGCATATCTCAATAGCCTTCTTTTCGTCGTAAGCTTCATCTTCGGTCGCCCACTCATAGTATTCGTCTATGTTTTCGTCGAATGGGGTCGTGCAGTCAAGAGCGGGATTAGTACATCCTCCGGATATGCTACTGTTGAAACCTGGGCTTGCGCACATTCGAACAAGGGTGGAAATAGTCTCGCAGACTCTCTTTGTGAAGAGCTTCAAGCAGCGCGCTATCTCCTCATTTCAGTGCTGGTGTTGGGAGCTGCGATGCTCGTATTAGTGCTTCGGAAGAGACTAGTCTTTACGATGGACCGTTCCGCTGTAGGAGTATGCGCTAGCAGAGTACCAATGTCTGAAGTTTCGCAGGTATGACGGAGGAAGTATTGGAGCTCCATCAATCTGACCCTATTTGACCTGTGCAAACGTAGCATTCGTACCCTAGGTATTGTGATGATTTCCTCACGGTGTTCGCATTTCAAGCTTGGTAGTGGAAGTGTTCAAGTTAAAAGTTCGGATCCGAATGAGATTTGTAGACTCGGTAATCTGTTGCTGGGGACACAGAGGTCGAGTGGCATGGAGGGGCAAGGGAGCTTGCCGGTCCAGGCCTAAATAGGCTAGTCAGTCGCGAAACTCACGTTTTCACGCGAAATAACTACTGATTTGAGACACCATGACGTCGCACGATACGCGTCGTGTAAGATCCTCTAAACTGAACTTGATCATCTTGCCAACAAACAAACAACTATCGTTCGCATCATGTCAACCGAACCGACATCTTCTGTAGCGGCACCAGCATCTTACTACATCTCCAAATCGAATATCTGCGTAAACAGCAAGGGCGAGAGCGTCGGTAATGGTATATTCGCAAATCGAAGGTTCGGCGCGGGCGAGGAAATTGCCAGCTTCAGGCGCCCGCTTGTTGGCTCGTTAGAGACCGAACGACTGCTTGACACCTGCGCGAACTGCTACCTCTGGACAGAGGGCTCATCGACTGGAACAAGATTGTATGTACCCGAAGGAGCGAAAGTAAATAAATGTGCTGCCTGCCAAAGATTTCAATACTGCAGCAAGGTATGTCGAGCTGACGCTTGATGAACAAACGAAACTAAGAAGCATTAGGCATGCCAAAAAGACGCATGGAACCGGGGGCATAAGCATGAGTGCAAGATATTGAAGCCAATGGCTGGTAGACACCTCCCAAAAGCCTTCCTTGCATGCATGGAACTACTCACCAGGCGGAAGCATGGTCTTATCCCTGATGGAGAATGGGAGCTGCTTTGTCGCTTGCCTTCCCACATCGATGACTTCAAGCGCAACGGAACCTATGAGAACATTGAACTCATGGCTATGGGTGCTGGTCAGTTCTCGTTGTCACAAAATCTGTTCGACAAGGACTTTGTTGCCGCAATGTATGGCCGAGTAAGTTGATCACGAACCCTTTCAGGTGCTCTTGCTAAATCGTACAAGGTGATGTCGAACGCTCTAACACTGATCACGCCTACACTGGATCCTCTGGGTATCATGATAGATCCCACGCTCTGTCACATGAATCACTCCTGTGATCCGAACGCATACATTATGATGGATGGACCACATGTGGCCATCCGCACCCTCCGACCCATCAGAAAAGACAAGGAAATATTCATCTCCTACATTGACACCACCAACCCCTACCACAAGCGGCAAGAGGAACTCCAATCCCGATGGTTCTTCACCTGTCGCTGTGCAAAATGCCAGGAGAAGGCCACTCTCCAAGAAGACAACTGGCTAGTACCAGCAAATCCTCAGTTTGTCTTGAGCAAAGACGAAACAGCCGCAATGGCAGAGAGCCAAGAGAAGACTTTCAACCTCTACACCCAGCTTCAAGGAATGGCTGACTCAAAGCTCGTTATCGATGCGTTGCAGGAAACTCTCAAGATATGCTATGAGTCAAGGTTCTGGCCAATATACCGCCAACCGTATGCTGCGGTCCGCGACGATTTGATCGTAAACCTACTTTCCGTAGGGAAATATCAAGAGGCATGGGCACAGTGTGCAAAGCGGTACAAGCACATACTTCCCAAGCTGTATCCAGTTCCTTTCCACCCGGTCCGGGTAGTGCAGACCTGGCAGATGGCAATGCTGGCCGCATACTTAGCCAGCACCGAAGAGGGCGTGGGTGCGCCAGGAGTGAATATGGGTCTCATCGCCATGATGCTGGTAAAGCAGGTATTGGATGTTGCGCACCTAAGCCATGGACCGGCTAATGCGTTCACGAAGAGCGTGAAGGCCAAAGCGGAAGAGATGATAGAGGAGCTCAAAAGAAGTTTAGGCAATCCGAACAGCGAAGTCATGAACAAGGAGCTTGAGATTCAGAGAGATAGGCTGATGGATATGGGCGACTGGGCTAAAGATGGAGAGCAACCGGGGGAGTTAACGACCATACCTCTGGATGAGAAAGCTTTCAGTGTATGATGCGCAATCAGTATCACGAGCTTCTAGCGCTTTTGAAGTTATCAAAACTTGACACTACTCATGGTTTACCAAATGCCTCCCCAAAGCGTTGCAGACGACCACCCTAGAGACTATAACCCCAAATAGGTTACGTTATACTAATGCTACCTGCCCTTGGAATGTGAGGTCTACATCCAGCTCGCAGACAGGTGTGAGCCTGTGCAAGCCTGCCTTCTCTACGTGAAGGTGAGTGGTGATGCACAACAAAGGCCCACAAGTTCTCACCGTCACCGCCGCTCTGCTCAGACAGCAGATCCCCTCACTACGCGAGCATAGCAGCGAGGCGCATGCCCATCTCAGCTCGCCCTCTGGCTTTCTACTTGATCCTCTTGACACCCCACTTCAAGCTCCATCCTGCTACATCACACTTAGCCAGCGCGAGCACCGCTGTGCATCATCACATCTATTCAAGCCACATTACACAATCCCCTCACTACCATACCTTCTACAAATCACCATCATGCCCCCTAAAACTGCTATCCTGGACGGTCAGAAGATGGTCCCAGCCGATTGCGTCTCTGTCCTCCTCATGGCCTTGGGAAGCACCACCATCACCAGGGCGCAGTACGACATAATGTCAGCTCTCGATGGCACACGTACTGCGAGTTCTTTTGAGCATCAGTTCCGCACAATCACGGCCAAGGCGAAGGAGCTGAAAGCCCGTGCCGAAAATGGCGAGACTTTCCAACCCGTGGCACCTGGCAACAAGCGTGGTAAGTATCAACACTCTCTCGACCTCTCACGAGCCCGGCACTAACAGTGTGTAGGTCAGACTACCCCAGCAACCCCCAAGAAGAGGAAGAATGCGTCTTCCGGATCCGACGATGCGACTCCTTCCAAGAAGAAGGCGACCCCCAAGTCACGTGGCAAGCAGAGTCAGACCCCACTTGAGAACAATATGGACGAGACCTTCCCCGAAGACGCTGTGGAGTTCATCAAGAATGAGGCCAAGTGGGAGGAGGATGTATTTGCTTGAAGGTTGCTGGACGTGATGAAACAAAACCCGAATGGTTAAGCGCTTCGAGCTTAAGTTGGAGCAAATGGACAGGAGTTAACCTGTTGCAAATGCGACAAGAGCTTGATGAATCAGAAAAACATGGACAGGACTAAGGATGGACATGGTTCGTGGGGAGAACGGAAATCCAATGACCACCAACTGCCTCTCAATGAAACCTTACGCGACTGATAATATGGCCGAGAGGTTCTCCGTCTGTCAGTTCTAACAGCCGGGTGTAGCGAACAGTGTTGCAGCACATGCTCTCAAACATCTTGCACACGCACATTGATTTTCGGCATAAAGATTCTGAGCCTGCAGCACAGTGGAATCGACGATGCGAAAGATTCCCATTCAGCAACATGCACACATCCCAGGATACTCCCTACATGCCAACGCATATGACCTCATCCACTTACTGCTCTTCTTTTCTAGGTTTCAGTGACTCTCTTGTCTGTCTTGGTCTCAACATTGCCGATGCTGGGCATGCATTTGGCTTTTCTGCAGAGCTGTAAGGATGACATGCTGCAGCTTACCATAAGCAAAGCGCGCATAATGTACGCCAACATAGTATGTTCTATTTCTCCGTGGCGCCCAGCTATACCGAGTGCACATGTGCAATAGCGAGCTGGGATATCCGTCTCTTGAACATTCACCGCTTCACTCAATTCTACCGCGTCTCTACTGCCGAACAATTCGGTCGAGTCGAGCCAGACTGCCCAGTTGATAATCAAATCTCCTTTCAGTGGGACCTGAATCTCGGGCCGTCTGCACACACATCGGCTCTGTGCTAGAAACCGTAAGCTCATCGCCGGTGTCGCACCGACCACCCAGTCTCGCCCCCAAGCTGGCAAAGTTGTCCAGGGACGGTCGCAGATCGCAGTCATGTCGGCGCATATCGATAGGGGGCGATCAGAGCGCTGGTTGGAGTCGCCCGGGCTGAAGATGACGTCGCCCTTCGGCTGTTCAGGTCATGTGCGAAACCGGCGTTCGCATAAGGTGGTGGTGGAGCTGACTTGCTAGGCAAGGGAAAGTAAGATGGCATGTGCTGGGGTGGCCGAACGAGTAGGGGCAGGGGGGCACCATCGGCGCCAATGCAGGTACAGCAACGATAGTTGTGCCTTGCGCCAGCAACATCGTCTCCAGCGTCGAAGAGTTGGAACGACAGTCGGTCGCTATCTTTTTGTACTCCAAATCACCCTCTCGTGTTCAGCGTGGTCATGCGACAGCAGGATGGCAGCGAGGCCCCTGAATTTCCCCGGATTATTGGATGGCTTATTCCTAACCTCCAAGCAGCTAGCATCGTGGCACAGCGGCCGTTGGCGTGCTCCTCATGCGCCGGGATGCATTCGTCGGTGAGTGGCCCAAGGCTAGACGCTCGCTCTGTTCCTAGGCGAGATGCGTCTCGAGGGCTGTGGGTGAAGAGGAAAAGGGGGCTCCTGGTCAAGCGTCTCACTGGGCGAACGGCCGATTGGGCGCATGAGCATTTCCTTCATTAGCCTCAGAGCTAACCATACCACATTCGGTCGGCAATTTTGCATCCTCTGCCGTCGCTTTGGCGTCTCGATCCGGTCCAAGGCACCGTTGGGTGTCAGCGTATTGTTTCTTATACCGCGTCGCCCGCCGTCGTCTTTTCTTCTTCACTCTCACGTCGCACTATCGCTGTACACAGTCACTCGTTCTCTATCCAACTACATATACCCATACAGCTACTACAGTTCTAATACTCTAATCAATCCAACTACCGTCAACATGCGCTTCTTCGAGACCATCCTTTCCGCCGCGGCCTTCGCTGCCGCCGTCGCTGCCCTCGAGATCAACGACTTCCCTGCCGAGGGTGTTGTTGCTGGCCAGACCTACACCATCACCTACTCCCCTGCGGACGACACTCCCACCACCTTCATCCTCCGCCAGGGACAGTCTACCGACCTTGACACTATCGGCACTCTTACCAGTATGTCTTGGATCCCTACGTGACCTGATCCCACAATACTAACCCAGTCACAGCTACCGCTACTGGTGGAACCTTCGAGTGGACCCCCGAGACCTCTCTCCCCAACGAGGACGACTACGCCCTCCAGATCCAGCAGGGAACCACCATCAACTACTCCGCTCAGTTCCCTCTTACTGGTGGCTCTGACGAGGATGACAGCCCTGTCTCCTCTGCCATCTCTTCCGCTACTGCCTCTGCTTCGTCCGCTGCCTCCTCTGCTGCCTCCTCTGCCTCTGCTGCCCTCAGCAGCGCCATTCAGAGCGCCCAGTCGAGCCTGATCACCAGCGCTGCCGCTACCGCCTCTGCTTCCGCTTCCATCAGCCCCTCCGCTGGTGTCAACTCCACTGTTTCCACTGCTACTCTCTCTCGCTCTGCCTCTGGCTCCGCCACTGGCAGCGCCAGCCTTCCTGAGGTCACCGACTCCGGTGCCAACCTCATCGGCAGCCCCATTGCTGCCATGTTCGGTGCCGCTGCTGCCTTCGCTTACTTCGCTTAAGCGCTTTCCTTCACGACCTCATAGTTTAATTGTCCTTTTACGATATATTAGCATTGGAATCTGTGGGAACCTCCTCTACCATCTAGTGTCAATCTATTCACGCGAGCACTGGCGTCCGTGATCTGATGTGTCGGATGGGAACGCTATGCAAAGAGCTTGTATGGACGTAGCAGAAAATGATAATATGGAAGCATTTGCCTCATTCATCTGTCGTCTTCCCAGTGATACGTGTGCTTGCGGTATACCTTAGTCTCATGATTTGCCAGATGTACGTTTGCTTATTCGAGGTCCTTCGCTTTCGATTGATGTGCACTCATTGTGAAACAGGGTCTTCATTCTGCTTTTTTTTTCGAGTGCTTGTTACTTCCGCTGTACCCCCAGAATCTTCCTTCTCGTAGTACAGACGCCACGATCAAACATCCGCGTGGTACCACGTCCGTCATGTCTGTCAGTACCGTGGTACGAAGCTGTCATTGTGCGTCGCATGCGCGCCATTTCGTGCATGTCTATCACGACAACCTGGTTGTCCACAGCATTGGAGTCCATTACCCATTGGCTTGTGCGCAGCATGACGTCTGAATCCCCACATACCTGAAGAATCTGAAACGCGGAGTCGAGGATCGCACACCTGCTGGCTCGCTCGTTGCGCGTTGGAAACTGTGGTTGAGTGCCCTGCAGCGACCCCACAGCGGGACTAGTCTCCACCTCTCCACAGACGCATCAGCAAGCTGCAAGAACCCGCTGCTCGTTGCCACACCGTAACTACACCTCTTCATCTTGTCTCTTCGCTGTCGCCTGCCTCTCTCTAAAGACCCTAGCACTCTACTCTGGCTTCACGGGAAACACAGCCGCAGAGCTCCACACCAGCAGCGGTTGCATCGCCACCACCAACTAGCCGGCCGGCGTACACCGAGTTCTATCACCACTAAGGTAGAAGTACTGCGCAAGTTTACACCGGTATACCAAGCAAGCCACCAGCATACCAACCCAAAAGAGTGTAGACAGGCAACACAGTGTGCTGCCGTGTATTGCGCGTCCAATATTTCGCATCACGCGATCAACGGCTTTCCCTGACCACACAACATCTTGCCACTACTTCCTCGCATTGGCGCTATTCAGTAGCGTTCGGGCCGAGGCTGATATGCAGCCCACTATTGGAGCCTAGAGACGAATGGATGCGCTGTACATTATATTACGAATTGTAAAGGCGCCTATGGCTCGGTCAGCGCTGAAGGATATTTTTAGTTGGCACTGAGAAAGGAAGACTAAATACTGGAGGGATGGTAAATCGGTAGCAGCTGAAACCGAACCCCGACTAGTGCATGGTGAGTTTTCGCTTTCGCTTTGTCTCACGATTTGTGAGATTGTTCTTGCATCAATCATCTCTCTCTCTCTCTTGTTCAGCCCGCAGCTACCCGCAGAGTCCATAGCCCAACGTTGGGCGCCATCATGCAGTATGCCTCTTGTCCACGTAGTCGCTCTCTTCGCTTCCACTAGTTGGTTTTATTGTATTGGCTGGTATTTCTGTATCATGACTAGGCTGTTAACATAATCATCATTATTGATATTTACATTTACATAATATATCGACTTGGGTTCACTCGCATTATAGGATCGTCACTTTAACGACGATGGCGAAGATGCCAAGTTGATGTGAAAGCACTGAGCTCGTCATAAATCGAATACATGCTACGTGTTACCCTTGCCTTTTCACGCACTGCATGCTATCCAGACCTGTACCCAGAAGAACTCAATGACACGCTACACAAAGAGTTAACGCAGTGTGGTAAGATTATTCGTGTCGATTGCTCATGCTTATGCTTGATCAAGTTTGTAGCAGACACTCATGAGCTATAAACAGGCCATATGTGAATCTCAATCTGATCAACCTCAGACAACAACCCTTCTCAACCTATGATCAAATCTTCCAAACGCCAACACTACTCAGTTTCGTTCCCATAGCTCTTCTCACAAGCTGATGTCACTTCATTGATCCAATTAAATAGCCGCAATCAGATTCTCAATATCTTTAGTCTTTCCAAATCTGCTAGTCATCAGCCAAATTTGGCCTTTCCGCAACCTCCTTCTCTCTTGCATCAATCTACATAAACACGACTCCCGCAGCCCCAGCAATCGCTCCAGCCAAACCCATCTTCTTGAAACCCCTCGCCGGCGCCGCAGCACCTGTAGCCTCAGCAGCCGCCGACCCACTGCTCGTCCCCGTAACACTCTGCGTACTAGCACTCGTATCAAAACTTGCACTCCTCGACGCGACAACACTCTGAATCCCACTAATCACCGTAACATCCGACGTCGCTGAATTTAAAGGCACCGGTGATGCTGTATCGACTGCTAGACTCGGCGCTGTGGCATCTGATGTTGGGAACGAGCTTGTCGGGGTGACGACAGCGCTGTTGTCAACACTAAAGGCGTCGCCCCATGTTGGTGTTGAGGAAGCGGGGGGGATGAGATTGTCTGTTGATGATGTTGGTGCTGCAGGGTCCACGGCAAATGGCTCACCCCATGATGACGTTTGTGCGGAGGAAATGCCAAGGAGGGAGAGCAGAGTTGTTTTTCGGAGGGAGGATTTTCGCATTTTGGATCGTGCTGTTAGGTATGTTTGTTTCGTGGCGTTTGAGTCTCTTGTTCTTGGCCCTTGTGATGGCAGTTATTTCAACATGATAATGGAGACTTCCGTCAATACTTTGAAGATGTCAAACAGTCAACGGCGAAATTTCAAGCTTTTGGCATGGCTTCTTTTCACTTGGATGTCGAGGACCCTGCGCCCGTTCCAATACTCCGGATCATCACTATCAACCCGTGCAATTACCTTATTGAGAACGTAGTGCTCACAAGTCTGACGTAGAGGTCCAACGCAAACAGCGATGCGTATCGGATTGACGTGGTGAAACAACTTTCCTACTGGCCTGTGATTGGCTAAGATTCACCGTGGACGATACATGATTGGCTGAAGAGACTTAGTGTTGTTTCGTTTTCGGGTCTCCGCAATGCTGCCGCACGCGAAGAGACTGCCGCACCCCGAGGGTTTGTAAAGCCGAAAAGACGCGTAACATTTTGTGATGTAGTATGCACTCATTTCTATTATAAGAGTGAAATATGCTAAGGTGAGGCTAATGGCTTGCTATGTCGGCCATCAGCAACCGAGACACCAGTTGTCATCGAAGTTTTCCGAGGAGGCATGTGAGTGGACGACTAACAGCTCATCGACTGTCAATTCAATCTTCATTTTTGTAGCTTCGATAGGAAAGATCAGGAACTACCACTTGACCAGATCCTGCACTTGGATAGGCAAGCCAGATTCCATGGACTTATTGGCACCAACGCCGACAAGAACGGCATTACCGCCATCACGAATATACGCAGCCCTCTTGAAGCTGTCTTCACCGTCGCTACCAACGAGCACATCCTTCAACAGAAGAGGGTCGCCTCCGCCATGGCCCCCTTCCCCCTTGATGACATCCACCACATATGGCTTACCCCACAATGGATAGACAACGATATTTGTCTTCTCCACGCCGCCCTGAATGTAGTTGGCTTCAAGCTCCCCAAGCCCCTCGTTCGTGATGGTCTCGCCGCCAGCTGAGTATCCGCCTTCGACGACATTTATCTCGATGCGGCCCTTGCTGCCGTTGAAGACGCAGCGATAACCCTCCCATGGTGCATAAGCATATGTGTTGTATGTCATGACGGCTTTGTTCTTGTACTTGATGACCATGGAGAGATTATCTTCAATGGTGATACCATCAGCAAAGCAGTTGCGGTCACGAATGTAGCCATCCTCGTGCTCAGCTTCCAGGTAAAGCTTCTTTAGCTGGGCGTTTTGGTCGATATGAATGGCAAACGGGTCATCTTTGGCAGCCTCGTTGTTGAGATAGCGCTCGCCGAGGTTTTTCTCTCCACGTCGCTCTGCATTCTCTTTACCGTAAAATCGTAGGCTGCCAACGCAGTAGACATTCTCCGGCTCTGTGTTCAACCAGTAATGCACCAGATCGAAATGGTGAATCGACTTGTGCATCTGAATGCCACCACTGGTATCCTTGTTTCGATGCCACCGACGCATAAAGTCAGACCCATGCGCGCAATCCAGGATCCAATCCATATGCACGGTCGAAACCTCGCCGATGACACCAGAGTCGATAAGTTCGCGCATCTTGGTATGATGAGGTGCATATCGATAGTTGAAGAGGACACGAACTTGTTTGCCTGTCCTCTTCTCGGCATCGATCATAGCCTGTAGCTTCTCCTCATCGATAGTCATTGGCTTTTCGGTAATGGCGTCGCAACCCAGCTCCATGGCACGGATACAGTATACATGGTGGAATTTGTCGATGGTGGTGACGATGACGACGTCAGCCTTTTGCTCCTTGACCATCTTGTCAAAGTCCTCTGCCTTGTACGTCGGGACGCGCTCGCCACCCAGTTCGACCATTCGGTCGTTGGCAGCTTTCATACGCGTCTGGTTCGTATCGCATATTCCCACTACTGCAGCAACCGATTTGAAGTCTTGAATGATGCTTTGGTAGTAAAACGCGGATCTGACGCCCATGCCTACGATGACATAGCGCTTGACTTGAGGAGAAGCCATATTTCTGGGGAACTAGGCGCGTAGTTTAATAGCAGAAGGTATAGGCGATTGGAATGATTAACTGATGCCAGTGAGACTGACGGTACAGCTGCTCTTATACTACATCTCACCGTGCGTCTGCATTAACCAACGCAACCTCATACCCATGTACCGGTACCCGTGAAGCATCAAATCAGAGGCCATCGTAGCAAATACTGCTCGTGTCGAATAATCACTTGTCTCGTTGCGGGCGTTCAGGTGGAGTAGCGAAGCTTGGAGAGTGTAGAGTGATCAGGCCTGCCGACCCAGAAAAAGACTAGTGGTCATTGTCCCCGCATTCTACTCCAATGACAAGAGTGGGGAGGCGGAAACATCCAAATCAGGGTCGGGATCAGAAACAGCGAACAAGATATGGCCAACAACATTCATACAAGTGTTGCGCGTAATGATGGTGGGTCATGTTCTGGTGCGGGGTAGGTAGTGGTTTCTCTTTTCGGGACGGGTAGACAACGACACACCTCGTCGACATCTTGCCTAATGTGGGTTGCTCCCGCCAGTTGTATGCATTGAACTACTTACGATCCGAAGAGGTTACTCGACTATGGAGATCGTATGGCAATCGGGCGAAAAGGCACCGAAGAAACGGACAGCTGCAGCATGCCCAGCTTGTCGCGCACGCAAGAAACGGTGCTACCACCTTGAAGACCACGGGACCAAAAGGAAGGAGCGAGTTTACAGAGCAATGAAGTCAGTCCAAAGACCTCATCCAGAGGTCGACACCCGCGAATCTGACCCAAGTCCCGGTCGTGTGAGCGAATACAATCCTGAATCCGTTCTTGCAGCTCTATCAGAGGATGCCGAACCGGGAACAAGCGATTTGGCACAAATACCTCATCCGGTAACATCGCGGCCTACCCCAAAAGCTATAGCACCTAGTTCATCTGTTGCATACGAAGCACGACGCAGATTGGTATGGTATAAACAACACAAGATCCGCGCGGCGCCGCCGAACTTATCAAAGTCGTATCGAAGGTATCTACAGGAAGAAGGGGCCTTTACTGCTCTACCCAAAACAACGACAGATGGTCTCTTGCCTTTGTACAATTCGACATTAGACGACCTCGCTCCCATTACAGATGGCGCCTCCGTGTTCCGCGACCACAGCAACGGGCAAGCGTCTATACACTTGGTGAAGGCAATGTGTCTCGTGGCCTGCAAGACGAAGCAAGCGGCCCCTTTCCTAAGATTGACAGATTCCGGCCCCCTCCTCGAGCCTCTAGAATTTGCATCAAAGCTACTGGCCGGGCTAGATGCTGCTATCAAAGCAGATTTGGAGCCCGACCGCATCGTCAAGATCCAGATCTTAGCACTGATGCATCTGCATAATGATGGGCTAGCTGGCATAGATCGCGCGTCTAGTTGTCTTTCGCAAGCCATCTGCGAAGCTTGGTCCATGTGTATACATTTGAAGACACCTGGGAATCCCAATGACGAAGAGTGTAAATATCTATGGTGGTCACTTCGAAACTTTGATCGCCTAGGTAAACCCATCATGGCAGCAGGGCCTTTCTTCATCGATGATGCGGATATTGGTGTTGATCGTATAGCACCAAGTAAAGACAGTTATCGCTCTCAAGTCATGGCTGTGAGCCTGAGGCTCGGAGATTTGATGACCACCGCAACCAGGGCTTACAAAGCTGGCTCCACGACCGCGGTGGATGGCTGTTGGGAGTTTCCATCGCTCTCGGAACTCACAGGCGGAAGCAACTTTGATCAGTTCCACATGTCACATCGAGGTAAGACCCTCCTCAACTTTGTCCTTCAATTCGCTCAAGGGAGTAGCATACCTAGAGATATGGTATCATGTTGCTGCCATGCTATCCTGTCGCTATAGTGGGCCAAACACCATACAATACAATCGACGTCTTGCCTCGGCGGACCAAGTGCTCGAAATTGTCTCTCGGGAAGGGTGCGAAGGGCTTCCTCCACTCCCACTAGTACCATACGCGATGTCCATGTCCACAACGGCCATCTACCGCGCATTACATGATGGCGAAAGAGAGATATACAAGGCAGGAGAGGATCTTCATCGATGTTGCGACGCACTAGATGGACTTAGTCAACGATGGACTAGCGTGAGAGGCGTGGGCAAACTTGCAAAGCGACTCTGCAGACTCATAAGCGACGGGACATTGAATGGCTTGCGAGACGTACACGGAAGTAACACTTCAACATCCGACAGTACAAGGGTCTCAACCCTACCTATGTTCGCTAATAATAGTGTGATTACGAATAACCCGGGGTTCTCGTATAGCGATGAGACATTGCAAAGGCAGCTCAATGAGATATGGCCAAGCTTCGATGCATCCTACCCTCAGATGGACTGGGCTTTCCAGGATTACGGCTTCGACATGGAATTCTCCGGTCCGTTCGACGACCTGCCATCTTGATAGTAGAGATAGTAGAGATCGTAGAATGAAGGTGGAAATTACTACAATCTACAGCTTCGGCACCTCGACCTAACTGGGAGGGCAGGAATAAAAATGAGACCCACACACTTTCCACAAACTGCTTGGTTAGGAAGGAGTTGATGGGAGATGAGATAGAAGTCATGCATAGGATGTTAACGTGCATGCGTACCTATGCGAGACTCATAACTTCATTGCTTGTATGTCTTACTCATATCGCCTGACCAACCGGTCTATTACCCAAAAACTCGCCATTCTGCCCACTCCAATTCGCCTGTCCATTCTCTACACTCGGCGATCTATATGCAACATACCCCTGCTGCTGACTCTGCCCTTGTCCCTGTGTATTTGCAGTACTCCCTACATTCCCCAAGTTCAATCCATCTCTCTTCCCAGCGTCAAGTTCACTAGGCGGTGGCATCTCTCTGCCGTCGATTTCCCAGACATTGGCGTTTGTCGGCATCTCGTTACTTTCCGGTATTTTTGAGTCAATATACTGATGGTGTTGGGGTGGCTTTTCCTCGGAGTATCTGGGTGCGGGGGTCGAGCTGTGTAGAGTGTGTCCTGCGGCTGTGGCCCCGACTCCAGCTCCCAATGCTGCTGCGCCTCCGAAAGTTGATGTTGATGCCCATGGTGGTTGACCTCCGGGTGTTATGGGCGATACTGGAGACATCATTGTTGTCGGTTGTGTTGAGGACAAGTCGGTCTGCGTAGGGAGGGTGGTTGTGGTAGGGTACGCGTTTTGTTGTGGAACATGGGCATATGCGCCGTTTGGTGGTGGAGAGTGTTCAGACGACGAAGATGCTGCTGCACTGGCCTCCTTGTCGTTCATGGCTGCGGTTCTAGACTTTTTCTTCCTGTGGCGGAGGAGAAGGAGGATGAAGATGCCAATCAAGGCCAGAGCTGCAACGCCTCCTACTACCACGCCGGCGATTAGGCCCGTTGATGGGCCGGAATTTGAGTCGGAGGACGATGCCGCTGCAGCGGAAGAACTCGATGATGTTGGTACTTGCGATGCAGTACTTGAGGCGTCGTTTCTTGTTGAAGATGCTCCTGTTAATGTTGGTCCAGTACTCGCTGTACTCCTCGCTGTACTGCTTGCATCCCCTGTTGCACTCGTAGCGGTAATTTCAGCCGCAATGCTCGTCGGATTCGCAGGTGTGGGTAAAGCATTTACCACACTACCCGCTACACTCTCAATGATAGCCGTAGGCACCGCAACACCGTTGCTTGAGAGTACTGAGGAAACATCGCCAACGATACTGGATAGAAGATCACCAATTTGTCTATGTTGACGCTGGTGGTTCCGCTGTACTTTTTCTGCGCCAATGCTACCGGCTGCACGGCAATAATCGCTCATGTAACTCTCGGCGCTCCAACGATCTGGCTGCGATGCTGAATTGGACGCATAGTTGTCAAAGCATGAGACGCGCCATAGGTACTGTTCGCACAGGCACGTATAGTCTGGAGTCGGAGTGGTATTGCAGGGAAAGTAGCCCTTGACCGCCGATATGCAGGATGTTATCGCACTAAATTTGTCGATATCAGCAAGTAGTCCAACCCAACAATCAATTCGCAATCGACAAGGTGTAATTACATCTGCTCATGGTTCCCACCCTGACCAGTCGAAATAATGGGCCATCGCAACGCCGGTACAAGTTTGAGTAAGGCACCAAGCATCATCACCTCATCAAGAAGCGTTGTTGACGAAAGAACGGACCCGGTTGGAGGGACAGCACCGTCAACGCTTTAACATACTAGCCAGGCCCTAATTCTATCAGGCTTGTGAGGTGGCGGTAAAAGGACCTGCTATTCGCTAATCCTGCAACGGCAGAAGCGGGGACGACCGATCCATCTATGTAACGTTTTGTTCCGAGCACCCGTCTCGCGATAGGAAACCTGTTGAATGCGATGATGTAGGTGTGGAGGTGCGGCGTGCAAGTGGCGGTGCAAACCAGGGGTTCCTTGAAGTCTAACTGGTGGGGACCAAAAGGTGTTCCCTGATCCAGACTTTAGCCTTGTGCGCTAACGGGCCGCCCTGATGACATCGCAACGTGGAGATGATGAGTTTGGTCATGATCACCGTTTGTGGGACGAGAACGCGACGTGCTAGAATAATTGGCGTGCGCAATTGTGTAACGAGAGTTGCTGCACCGCCACGCCTGGAGTGTTCTGGGACGGGCACTCTGTATGGCATTCCGAACTGTGATACGTGGGGTATGGTAGAAAGTAAACTGCCGACTCCAGAACAATGCTCCGCTGAAAAGAAATGGGTATTGAAGCACTGCCACAACCGTTCTCTAGGCCTTCAGAGCGAACTTGGAGAGGCGTTCGATAGGACCTCACTTCCCGTTGACACCATCTCCGTGGCCCTCCAACCGGTTTACCAGCCTCTTGACGCCACTCCACTCCTCACTACGTGTCTGTACACCTCCAAGGTCATCACCCACTTCGAATACGGTGACGACGCCATCCATGCCACCCACGGCAACCCTGCGTCCCTCGTTCCTCTCCCATGCCAACTTGTTGAGACTACGGTTCATGTAGCCCAGACCGGTCGGCATGTTCGTAAACGCGCCACGCTTGCCGTCACTAGGCTTCACCGATTGAACAGGCACCTCGACGTCGACGTTGATATCCCAAACTTCGAGACTTCCTGCTCCATCCACAAGCGCGAAGACCGAAGGCTTGACGGGCGACCATCGGACATCGTAGACAAGATCTTCGCGTGCAATATCAAGGACAGGTGTGACTTGTTGCGTGGCACCAGGAAGTGTGGGATTGGTAGCGCCTGTGGCAGCTGGTGGACGGACCTTCCAAAGTTTGACGCTCCAGTCAACACTTGATGAGAGGACAAGGTCACCTAGATCAATCTGACCCTTGGCAGGATGGAAGTCGAGGCTCATAACAGGTGCGGCATGGCCGGTGTATTTGACGCGACCATCTACACCTGCCTTCGCGCCGGCTCTGTCATAGCGATGGCAAGGGTAAATAGTGCCCTCTTCTGTGCCGGCGAGGAAATAGGTTGGATCTGACTGAGGGAAGGCAATGCTAGTCACCGCCATATCGTCAGTCTTCGCTGGTGGCGGTGATGTCAGCTCGAGGAACTCCTGGGGTTGTGACAGCATATCGACGGTCCATCCGCACACAACTCCGTCCGTGGAACATGAGATGATGTTGTTTGCGTTCTGGGTTCCAACAATGTCCAGCGAGTAGACCGGATGTGTATGACCGGAGCCAGTGAGTGGCGTCTTCTGCACTGGCGCAGACTTCGCGCGGGTGTCCCAAAGCAACACTTGTCCTGAGTATGCGCCTCCGATGATGAGGTTGGGATGGAACGGGGAGAATTTCGCGGTGAGGATATCAGACTGAGCGTGGAAAATGTACTCAGGTCGATCGTGCATGTGCATATTCCAAACTTGTACAAGACCGTCTGGGTCGTGCGGAGCGGACGGATTCTTTGTGTATGACGCAAGGACGAGTTCTGGGAACTGCAAAGTTTGTCAGTATTATAATCGCGAGACGTCGCCTCAGTTCGTACCTTTGTAGAGAACCCTAGATCCGAGATCATTCTCTTCTTGCTCCATCGCTCATCCCAGAATTGTGCAATTTCCTTGATCCGCCGACCCTTCTTGCCTCCGCTGGAGCCATAACCCTCGTCATCGTCGTCGACGTCTACACCACCAATTGCGTAGTCTGCCAAGATATCATAGTCAAGTTGTTGGTCGAGCGCTCGTTCCAACACTTTGGTACTGCGCTCGACGAAGCCAATGAAGTCTTCCGAGTTCTCCACAGCCGTCAATTCTTCGTTTGTGAGTGTCTTGAAGGGAAAGTTCTCGTCTGAGCCTGGTTGCGGTGCACCCTCCTCAGGTGCTTGTTGGACAGCTTTGAGCTCCTCCTCGATTTCCTTGCGCAACTGCGCTCTAATCTCTTCGTCCCTCTCCTTCTGCCTCCGGCTCAGCCTCTTGCTCTTTGGTGACCGCGTTGGGCTCTCGTTGCGCTCTGTGTCACTTCCCCCAACTCCTCGATCTTTCGACGGGCTCCACTCTATGCTTGCTTGTACACCCTTGCTGTATGTGATGATTTCCTTCTCCTTCTTGACCTCGTTTGTGACGACGCCATCAGTCTCGTAGACTGTTGCCAGCGGGCCCAGGGAGAGAGTCTGCATTTCTCGGTCCACCATGCCGGTAGGCGCTTGGAAGCCGGAGGATCCTTCATTGTCGCTGCTCAGTTGTCCTGCGCTGACTACTGAGGTCGGTCGGGTTGCTCGTCCAGCGCCTGCTGGAGAGCCAGGCTGTGTAGAGCCAGGCCTACTTTCCCCAAGAATGCTGTTGATGAGGTTGGTGACATCGGTCCTGCGGTCGAGGTCTTCGCTGCGTCTTGGTGTTGGTGAAAGGACCTGATATGTCAGTCAGTCACTGGTGAGACGCACTTGAGCAGGCGGCTTACTTCTCCTAGTGGGCTGCCAGTCATGGATTGCCTGCTAGCGGATTCTGCCTTTCTCAGTTCCCTCTGGCGCTTCAATTCGGCCAATTTGGCCTTCTTTGCGAGAATCTCATCGCGCCGTTGCTGCATTGTGGACTCCATGGCGGAGACGTGGAGACGTGGAGTGTGGGATGTTTGGTCGAGTATGTGTCGAACTTGGTCGTGCAAGACGTAGGCGGGTTTATAGATGTGGAAGTTGTATCCTCTCCACCTCAACTATCCCCAGACTATACCAAGTGCAAAGTAACTAGAGGCAGGCGCGTCGGTTGTTGCTCAACGTCGCGCCAAGCTGTGGTTCAGGGACGAGGGCACTAGCTCGCAGCCAGCGATCCCGACCAAATCTTGCGCCAGGTCCAACCTCAACTTTCACAGCTCAACGCCCAACAACCCGCATCCGCCCCGACGCCCTCGTCACGACTCTCCGGATCCCATCCAGCGGTGTAATTTCCATCGCTCATCCGGAATATCTGCCATTGGACATATACGAGCCCGATAACGACTATCGCAAGTCCTCGCACGATCCTCACCATGTCCACTTCCGTCGGTGTCAACGTACGCTATGCCCCTCGAAGCGGTTGCCAAGGTCTCTAACACGGCCTTGTGGGACTTTTGCTAGCTCTAGAGATGGAACAACAAGGCTAATGGTGGTATTTACAGGTCCTCCGATGGTCCGCACTCGGATTCGGCGTCTTCTACGGTGCCTACCACCAGCTCTCATTATCCGCTGCCGATAGGGCAAAGGCCGCACAAAAGGACTGGGAACACAAGGAGGCGTTGATCAGGCAAGCAAAGCAGCAATGGGCACGAGACCACCCCTCAGAACAGCCAAAGTCATCAGGAGGTACGTCAGACCGACGACACATGTCAAAATTCGCAACATGGACATGTGGTTATACCAGTCCAACATATACTGACAGTCCAACAGCCAAGGCAGACCCGAAAGACCCCAACGCCGACCTCAACACCCTCCTCGGCATAACCGACAAATAAGCGCATCGAGAGTGGTCCCGTTTCCTACGTTAGCATGGGCATAATGCGGCCGTTTCCCATCAAGCCGAGAGGCGGCTCGGTGGGGGAGAGCAGTCAACAGTGGTACGACATCTACGAGATACCAATCTCTTGTACTATGTACCTTTTGTACAACATAGACGTCGAGTTGGTCACGTTTTCAATATACATGCTTTAGTTCGATCTCTTCATTTGCCGTCAGTTCGACACGTCAATGTACAAGTCAGCGTGCTCGACTCCAAGCAACTAATTGAATAGTCTCTCTGCCCCACTCATGCAAGACTACCCTAGTACTCAACAAAGCACTGCGAATGCCATACCCGTCATTTTCAGATTTTGACATTTGAGAATCATCCCGGTTTTGAGTAAGGAACGGTGCTTATCTTGGAAGACGATAGTTGTTGCCAATGGTATATTCTATACATGTATCATCTCCACCCCCCCGACCCGCCATGGGCAGGTTCTATGCTACACAGACCATCAAAACGCGCAGAAAGGATGAAAAGCGGAGCCTCAGAAAACGCCCTGCAACCCTTGGAAAACAAGAAGGGCAACAGAAGAGTAGAAATGAAAAGCGTTGAGAAGCGGCCAAGGACAATATTAACATGAGGGCGGCCGCCTCCATACGCTTTGTCAACCTTCGCCCCAGCCCGAACGTCTAACATGACCCTGTAATACCAATCGGATGCGGGGCGAAGGCTGTATAATCGCACATTTTCAAAACCTACAAGGAACCCGTGATGATTCGTTTCATTATCCAAACACCTATCTCTTACAAAACCTCGCCAACAATCTTGGCTGCTTCCTTGTATGTCTTGAGCAGCTTCTCGCACTTCTCACGCTCGGCCTTGATGGTGTCGTCCTCGTACAGGAGCTCTTGGAACAGGTCCTCCTTGTACAACGTTGAGACGAGCCTGTTTTGTACAACATCTTTCGAGTGATTGACGAGGAGATGCATAATGGCCTTGGGGACCTGATCAGCGACTGTTTCCCGGACAATGTTGAAGTATGACGAGATGAGGCGGCGGATGAGCTCGGTTTCGAGGGCTTCGCGTTCGGTGAGTGCAGGTGCTTGCTCGGGGTTTGATGGCTGTCAGATGTTAGCGTATGGTCGTAGTGACATTTGGAAGAAAAACTTACGAAGCCGCCTTCAAAGTTATCTGTTCCCACACTTGGACTTCGGGGAGGGCCGCTCATGGCAGCGCTCAATGGGGCATCGTAGTCATCGGAGTCTGGTGGCATCATTGCCAACACGTGGGCAGGCTGCTTGTTGTCTCCTCTCCGGATGCTCTGCGCAAAGCTTGGCTCACTATTTTGGCTGACGTGTCGGCTACCTGGCCGGTTGTCGAGCGCTGCTTGTGCTGCCTGTTGCGGGTTGGCGTATGCGTTGTTGCTGTCTTTGCTGAAGAAGTAGTTCAGGAAACTGTCGCGTGCAGTACCAGGAGGTGACCGGTTGCGGTTGTTGAGCGCTGCTGTGGTGCTCTGAGAGCCGTTCATCATCCGCCCGACGGCAGGTGACATGCTGCGGCTGGTTTGTGACTGGTGTTTCCGGAGAGGAAGAGCTTTCAGGGTCGCTCCCTCGCCTCCCTCGCCCTCCTCAGAACCTTCTCCATTCTGACCGTTCTGAAGTTCTTTTATCCTCCTCTGTTCTCGCCTCTTCTTCTCGGCCTCCATTGCAATCTTCTTCTCCCGCTGCTCCTTGTCGTTGATTACAGATGACATGGCGGCAGCTGCTCCAAGGAAGTTGGGGTGGTTTGTGTTGATGTATGCCCTTTGGATGTCGATGAGAGAAGCGACGTAACCAGAGCAAGGGCCAAGTTGTTCTCGCAGAAGGTCCGAGACGACTTCAATGAGCTTTCCCTGAAGCCTAGGGTATCTCGTCAATTCGGTAGAGCCACAAGTGTGGCAGATCTTGATAAGTTCCTCGTATACGAGCTCCACACAACGTTGACTGGGTATCTCCAAAAGCTTGATCTGAGGCTTTACAAGGAGGTCGAAAGCCAGTTCAGGCACGAACAGACTGGGCCTTGGACCAGTCGAGTTGCGAATGGCCGTCCGAATGTCCAATACGGAAAGGTTTTGGGTGGGGTCCACTTGCTCAAGCGAGTTACCAAAGACTGAGTTGAAGATGTAGTAGATACGAGCACCACCACACAGCTCCTTGGTGGAGATTTCAGTAGAAGTACCATCGATGGACGAGATGAAAGACGAGGCAAAGCGGGTCATGAGCTGCAGGATAAGCGAGCCTCGGTGCTCCTTTCCAGTGAAAGCTACATCGCCGTAGCTAGCAAGCTCTTGTTGTGTCTGACCCATAAGCGTGTTGAGGCGTGCCTTGATGTCTGGTAACCTATCGCGAATGTGGGCCATGAGGGTCTGGTTGAGGCTTTTGGCGAGCAGCTGAGTACCGCATCGGTTTGCCATATTCCGGTACGCAGGGTGGTGTCGGAAGAAGTCTCGCTCGGCTTGCAGGGCATCGGAAAGCGACTTGTTGCCCTGGATGTCTTGTTGTGACCGGTTGACAATACCAATGAAACCGAGCTTCAGAGGGTATACACGACCAGAGAGAATGTCCATGGCGTTGGTACCGTGATCCATAAGATCCAGCTTTGTAAGGACACCGATGGTCCTCTTGCCCATGGGGTCGACATGGCGGGCCAACTTTAGAGCCTCGGAGTTTACGAGATCGACGTTGGCGGGGGAGACAGCGAGGATGACACTGTTCGGCTTCGCAATGTACTCGGTGATGAGGTTTCGTGTCTGCTTCTCAATATCGGAAGGTTGGTCGCCAATGGGCACCTAAGGGTGTTAGCTCCATGTTGGTGGCAGAAAAAGTTGCCATCACCAACCTTTGTTAAGCCGGGCAAATCAACGAGCGTCAAGCTGAGGACGTGCGGCGAGTAGATCTTCAGGTTGATCGGTTGCCTGTTGATGCCCTTGTTGTTTCCTGCTATCCTCGAGGTCTCGTTCTCGATCTCGCGCTTGACGTCGGCGAAGTCGTAGAACCTCTGGCCGGGAATGTGGAGAAACTCTCCCCATTCTTGCTGGCCAGCTACGCTTGCTGGTGTGTGGGGTACGTGAACTTCATCGTCGTCGTCTTCGTCGCGTTCGCTCGGGAGGTTGATGAGTTGGAGGATGAGCGGCCGGCGTGTGACGATACCGCTGCCACGAGGAAGGAAGTCCTTGCCGACGATATTCTCGAGTACTGATGATTTTCCGGACGATTGTGATCCCACAACGACCTGATCGAGTTAGTGGGATTCTGATTAAATTCGACAGAGCTTTGTAAAATCTGCTCTGCGTTCACCGCATTCTCTTCTCTGGCTGGGGCGCACGTACAATCTGGGGTAAATCTAGGGAATCATTTCCAATCGTGTTAAAGACCAAATCTTGCAGCCTGTTGACAATGTTGAGGAGCTCCTCGCCCAGCGACGCCATCGCGCTGGTGTTTATGTGTGGTTTCTTCGCTCCTTACTTAAAGGGTCCGAGTTGGTGTTGAACAGCCAAACAAGACAGCGGAATGCTGTACGGGCCAAATGTCGTCCTACGGCGTGGTAAAAGTGTTGCACTGTGCAGATGCAGGATCGGCGAAGTGAGTGTGGCTGATGGCGGCTTCGTCGGGGTCCAGAGGCTCGTGATGAGAGTGCCTTTGCTGCAGCTCCGTCGTCACTTCGCTTGAAAGTTCCAAGGTTTGATCATGGCGCACGTGACGGCCAGCATGGCAATGCACCCCACATTCAACATTCACATGTCTCCTTAATCTTAGTCCATATTGTTCATTCCTTTCGCATAAAGGGGAAGACACCCTCAACTACTTCGCCAAGCACACGCGTTTTGTCAAAGCAAACACGAGGCTGCTGAAACTGACAATCTTGGTCGCGAGCCCTGCGAACGCCACCACACGTCGATGCATGCGGCTCGGCTCCAAGGCTGGACACGGTACACAGGAGCTTGCAGCAAACCGTATGTATAGTGTGCACACGATCAAATGAGTAACAAGACGAGCTTTTCCACCACATGGGCAGCGTCAGCAGTGCCTGGTGATGCGCAACCCGTGGCCAGCATTAGACATACAGAACACGAGACTGGCTGGCTGGCGTCGTAGTACAGTTGGCACAAGAATCTCCTAGAATTCTTCGAGGATATGTGGACTCTACCCTCCTAGCATGGCCACGTATTATCGCATTACCTCTGGTAGTCCAGAAAGTACCATGGACACGCTGGCGTACACCGTGTACACTGGATCGCGCTCGGGTATTGTCGGACCCTCGGGGATTCCCTTGTAGTAAGGCGACGGCTATCTATCAAGTACATCAGCCTTATCGCTCTGTAAGACGCGGCCAAACGCGACAACACCAAATTATCAAAGAAGATCCCCAGCTCGTATCTCCGCATCCTGGGGAATCCAATGTGATCGTCAGGTCGGTTCGACGCACTTTACCGCTAATTGGAAAGGCTGAAGCAGCTTCCAAGTCCCTACGGAACCACATCTCCGCATAAGCTGATAGGTAGGTTTACACTGCCCTGAGTGAATCATTGCCTTACGACTAAGCTTCCTTCCGAAGGAAGCCTATCACAATGATAAGGCCTGTTATCAAACTCACCGCAAACAAATGAAGCAACAGCGTTCTCGCACCGACTACAAAGGTAAGGTGCATTCTTTGTCATTTGCTCTAATCTATTCAATCATCCTCACCACACCTCCACACTGTTCTTCTGCTCTGAATCTATTCTGGGTATTCTGCCGCTCTCAACTCTCAACTCTCACCTATCTCGACCTCGCCCTCTCCGACGGCTCCATGGCCTCGGAGTCCCTCATTCTCACTACCACAGAAGAACAGCACAAAGACGTCACAGTGGGGACCATCACATGCACTGCACCTATCCCATTTGGAGGAGACGAACAATGGCTTTACCTACCCGCAACCAAGAAGTTCGATCTATCTCGCGGGTCGCAGCAGAGAATGGTCTTCGAGTGCGATGAAGAAGATCGCAACCACACCGGCTTCATGATCGACCCTGGTACCTCGGTCTTGATTGTTGTCGACATGCAAAACTACTTTGTTCACCCAGTTTATCGAGATCACGCAGCAGGCATTGCCGCCATTGCACCGACACTGAAAGTTATTGAGAGATGTCGTAAGGAAGGGATTCAGATCGCCTGGCTCAATTGGGGAATCAGTGACCATGACTTGAAGAAGATGGCACCTGCTATCCAGCGAGGCTTCAGCAAGAGTCTAGGATGGCACGTCGGGCTCGGCGCCCAGCTACCCGATGATCAGGGAAGGTGCTTGTTCAAGCGGACCTGGAACGCCGAACTCTACGACCCTTTCAAAGCAGTCGCTCAGCCTGGCGATTTGTTCTTTGACAAGACGCGCATGAGCGGACTCTGGTCTGAGAAGGAGCCTCTACACGAGTACCTCCGTGCATCCGGCAAGCAAACCCTACTTTTCGCTGGCGTCAACACCGACCAGTGCGTATTCGGCACCGTGTCTGATGCCTACTCCTACGGATGGGACTGTGTCCTGATCCGCGACTGCACAGGCACGATGACGGGCCGAGGGGCTCAGGAGCTTGCCGAGTACCAAATCTCACAGAACATGGGGTTCGTCACCACCAGCAGCGCTTTCTGTGAGGCGCAGATTTGTGACCATTTTGAGGGTTGCTGATTCAATGGCACCCGTCTTCTACGTTGGCGGTTTCTTGTTCTTGAGCGTGTTATCCGAATACCCATAGAGCTACAGTCTAGCAGAAATATATTTACATGACATCTGTATGAGTCGTGTTGTTGCAAGGTTGTTGTTGCCCAATTACGTCGTAGCTGCCCAGACCGTTAGTGGATCTGCACAAGTTGAGGTACGGATGACGCACGACACTGGGGTGGAGATCTTTCACCTGAGGAACTACCTCACGCGATAACGTTCTTCTCAATAAACTGCACTTTCCACCCAAATACGTCTGCAGCGTACTTTGAAGCGACAGTCCAGACAGTAGCATAATTCTTGAATCAATATCCAACAGTTCGCCAATACGATGTTTTCTCGGGTTTCGATAGGCCTGACTTGCTTGATGCAGCTATGCGGAACAGTCGCGTTACCAACTGAGCAAAGACCATTATTACTCAACGGTCCCAAGAACGTCCAGGCTGTTCGAACCAAGTAAGGAAATTCATTCACTCTATATGTACTCCACTAATTTGCTACAGACTCCAACACGCTGAGATAATTCCTACGGTCATTGACGATTTCCTACCTAGCCTTACACTCTCCGTTCTCTGGTCAGATGCCAAGGCCAAACTCGGCAACACAATCGATCCAGAAGATCTTCAAGAACAACCCAGCGTCGTCCTTCACGATGACACGAGCCCCAATGGAATACACAGCATGTCTGACATGAGCTACGTCGTCACACTTACAGATCCGGACGCGCCGTCCCGCGACAACCCAAAGTGGAGTGAGATGTGCCACTGGATTGCTTCCAACGTCACTATTGCGCCAAACACATTCTCGATCCTACCCCTACCAGAATTCGGCCTCACTGAACAAACCGAGTCGACTGATGGCGGTCCGGAAGACGTAATCGAGTACAAGCCTCCTGGTCCACCGCCAAAGACGGGCAAGCATCGCTATGTGTTCCTTGTCTTTGTGCCCAAGAATGGAACGACTGAACAGCTGCATCTGAGTAAGCCGGAGGACCGTCAGCATTGGGGTACTGGAAAGGAGGGTGGTGGCGTGCGAGAGTGGGCTGAGCACAATGCTCTGGTGCCTGTTGCTGCCAACTTCATCTACTCGCAGAACGATAAGCAGTAGACGCGTATCGTTGTGCTGACTGGATGCATGGAATGCCGAGGGCACATGCATCTCTATTAGCTATTTCTCTTATAATCTTTCTGCAAGCGGCGAAGGAGTTTTGTTGGTAGCGTACATGTAATGTTGATACCAGGATTCTCGTAATGAATGCACATACCCAAGCCTTCTCCACATCGATTGCATGCTATGCGTTATCGCAAAGACAAAATACTTGCGCCATCTTGATGGGCAGAGCGAATCTGTATTGACATTGCCGGCAAGGTGCGTCGCTAAGTAGCCCTACGGATCGTGAAGCTTGTGGGGCGACAGCTCCTGCTCCGGGCCGAACAGGTTGCACGCACCCCGCGTCTTCAACCTCACCCACAAACGACCCGCGATCACAGCCGGTAATGTGATTCTGTGCCACGCACGCATGCATCATCTTACCACGCCATTCAGGATTCCGGTCAAGACATTCAATTCGCCAACTGCATCGCCAATTAACCGGACGAGGGATGCGACAACTCCAGAGGACCCATATCAACCGGCCACGCAGCCAATACTGGTAGGGCCAACATAGGCCTACGCGCTCGAGACGACGATGGGTCAAGTCTACCTCCACATACCCCGAATCACGTATTGATTAGCCTCCCTGGCCCTGGGACAATGAATGCCATAGCTCTATGGACAACTTTCGATGTGAATCCCCGTCTTTCGCATGTCCGTAGCGATCACCTTACCTGCAACAGACTCTCCTCTCCATGAAAATCAACGAGGAACTATGGATTCTCACATCTCGACGAGCGGCATTCTGTGAAGCGGCCGAGGCGGTGAACATAACGGTCGAGCTCTAATCGAGCTGGTTTCGAGGCTCAACACCAACGAATTGTGAGGGAGTTGCTGGGTTGGTCTCCATTCGCATCGTGACTGAACGCATGCATTGAATTGCCACATGATACGTATCTATTATGCGAACGTCATGCACGACGCACTGGACGAGGGTAATGATGTTCGCCAGCCGACTACGCACGGCAATCACGAGCTATAGATTAAACACCCTCTTATTTCTATCAGCGATAAACAGCCCTCCAATGGCCCGTAACGAGTACGACTTGGACGAATGAGGATAACACAGGATGCACACTATCCTCGTACCGATCAGCTCTTGAAATTCCGAGTCGGCTGTGCATGCGCGCTTATCAGATCATCTAGGCGCGTTCGCTCAGTGGTCACAATTTCAGCGCGGCACAAGCCAGGATGTTGATGTGTTGTTGCGATACGCTAATGTTACTTACGCACAAGGCTGGGTGTGCCGAACGAGTGGAGTAGGTCGACATGCTCTCTCACCGGTGAATGACACTCGAATGCTGCCATGGCTATGCTCTGCAAGCCACCAGTGAGTTAAGTGAACATCAACATACTCGTTGAAGGCTGAGAGCGTAGTCACATCATGATTGGACTATTTCCAGGGTCGACGTTTGTTTCGACTTTCCGATGTCTGCCTTTGCGGCTGCGCAGTGCTACCTACTTAAATGCCGCGGATGGCCCTGTGTCATGAGAACAAGCCAGTCATCGACTACGAGAACTGACCTCTACTTCAAATCTCCACATATTCTACACTACTTCGTGTACATTTCTGCAACGCATTCCGCACTGCCCAGGGCTGTGTCGTACCACGTCATCGTTGTCCAATCAACAAATAGTCGCCAAGTCTAGCCATGCATGGCCAACAGCAGTCTTTTTCTTCGTCGACTCACCGGCCACAATCGGATTTCTACGATTCCCATACGACGTCTTCTGACTCGGAAGATGATATGGGTTCAAATCAAGAACGTGGGCTCTACGATGCCATTTCCGAAACACTAGCATACAGTGTATTCTCGCAGAAGTATTTCCTTCCCCACGACGACTTCGAAACGCTGGTCACCGAAACAGCCATTAAGGAGGAACTCGATAAGGCCATGAAAGGAGAATATAGCCCATCACTTGTCGAGTATATTGCTACACATGCACGAAAAACGTTTGCTACGTTGGTCGTCCAGGACAAAGTTCTTAAGGCTGCCAACCTTGAAAAATTCAGATTTGACGACAAGTACCTTCCTATCGCTGTGGAGGGATCATGTCTCACTTCTCTCAACGGCTTTTCAAGAGATTCATCCGCCTGGAAGTGGTTTTACCGGTGGAAAAAACAGGAGAAAGACGGTTTTTGTGAGAAGCAATGGATATTTCTCTCCCAAATCTTCAGGAGTGATAGCACGATGGAAGATCTACACCAAGACTGCCGGTTGCCGTTTATCACATGTGATTCTAAGAGCGAGGGGGGTAGTTTCAGCTTGCTGCACAAAGCTACCATACACCATGCTCACCAAACCGTCAGTGCAGTCAGTATCTCCATCTTGAAGTTCCAGGATCTTGCTAACTTCAACAGGGCAACCTCGTCATCGCGATCAAAGAACTACGAGATAAGGAAGTTGGGGCCGACCAGAGAGAACTTGTTGCCTTAGACATGGCGCGGCAGTTGAAACATCGACATATCGTAAAGTTTGTCGGCGGCTTCAGACAGGGTTCTACCAGGCAAGGCCCCACAAGTTACCTGCTCTTTCAGTGGGCAGACGGAGGCAACTTGCGGTCGTATTGGAGCGATGAGAACAACTGGTCTCGAGATGGAGATCTTATCAGTTGGACTACCGAGCAAATAGGAGGACTAGTTGCAGCACTTGATGAGTGGCACAACAAGCCATCACCAATTACATCCAACGGCCGACACGGAGACCTGAAGCCAGAGAATATTCTCAGATCTCTAGGACCGCAACGTGGAATGTTTCAGATCGCAGATCTGGGACTGGCAAAGGTACATTCACTACCAACAAATGCCCGAATCAAACCTTCAGCAACTCCAGGTGGGACATTTCGATATAGACCACCTGAGGTCGGCAGATTGGGTGACCACCACCGGATATTCTCTCGGTCCTACGACATGTGGGGTATGGGCTGTATCATTCTAGAGTGGATCATCTGGTTGGTTTATGGCACTGAAGGGCTCAACACATTCGACGACCAGGCATTTCCCGATGAGTTCGATACGTTCTGGTCAAGGGAAAGCCAAAGTCGTTCTATTAATCCAGTGGTGGTATCTTGGATCAAACACATGAACGACACATGTCTGGTAGACGGAGAGCAGTGTTACAGTATTGCTCTACGTAGGCTTCTCCTTTTCGTGAGAGACAGGCTGTTGGTACCAGATTCAGCAGAACAGGACACAGCCGAAGTGTACCAACAAACCATAGACGGTAATGAAGTACCGATATTCGTCACGCCTGCTTCAGAGGTCAAGGTGGTATCATCCACCTCAGGGAGAGCAAAGAGCAGAGAATCATACGAAGCGCTTCAAGAAATCGGTTCTATTCCAAACGGCAATCCACACTACATGTACAACCCAAATGTTCACATGAGCGGACCAAACGGTCGGGTTCCACAAATATCGAGCAAGTCAATGATGCTTTCTCCGACATCCAACTCTCGCCAAGAGGTGAATGGTCCCCTCGGCAATCGATGAGCAAGTTTCTGATGTCAAACCATCAGCAGAAATCGCGTGATCTGATCCGCTTAGACTATCAGCGACAACGGAATGGTGGAATAGCCAACACCAAAAATCCCTACGCAATGCCTGGTACACTGGATGTGTGGATGACACGCTTCGATAAACTTTTCGCAAAAACTGTCTTCGGTAACCTCGATAAGGAGGAAATTGCCATGCTTGCTCCAACGTATCCTATTCTGACCCCTCTATGTCAGGACTGTTCGAGCACGGAAACCGGGGTCTTCTCGAGGAGCTCATTTGTAGTATCCTACGAACAAGCCCAAGCATCTCAAACGACATGTTCTCTATGTGCTGTCTTGTACAAACAAATGGACAGTATGACAGGAGATAACAAAAACAAGATGGTGCTGCAAGAGGGGTCTTCGCTAACCACTGCAAGAGGAGAGCCTCCCATACTTTCGCTGATAGTAGGCCCGTCCCCTGGTAGGCTGTGCATTTCATCCTTGGAGACCAATATTAATCGTGGACGTAGGTCTGAATCATTTCCCGGATACTTACCAGAGAGGTTTCCCCATTCTACCAACCCCTGGAAGTCACATCCAAATCAAGTTATTAAAGAGATGGATCAAGTGGTGTGATCTGTATCACGAATGCAAGCCAACCGAGGTCGCTATGCCTCGTAGACTGGTCGACGTTTATCCAAGAGAGGGTTGCAACAGCCACGGTCGTGGGGATTCGAATATACTTCGTCTAGACTGCAACATCATTAGGAAAGACAAAAAATATGTGGCTTTGACACATCGGTGGGGCGACCCAGCATTGCATGGGAATCTCCATTTTTTGAGTAACGAGAAGCTCGAACGTTGGCAGAATCACCTTGATCTAAGAATTTTACCACAAACCTTTCGAGACGCAGTAAAAATCACTAGAAGCCTCGGTATTCGTTATTTGTGGGTGGACGCGCTATGCATAATTCAAGATGACGACGCGGATTTGCAGGCTCAGATTGGGAAGATGGAAGACGTCTTTAGGTGCGCGTACGTTACGCTGTCGGCGACATGTGCGACTGGGAGCGACGATGGCTTTCTGCGAACGGAACGCAAACCAAGACGCCACTATCCGCTTTCTTATGCCAATCAGTCTGGTAGCGTAGATATGATATATCTGTGCGATCCGATCGATGACTTCGAACGCCATGTAGAGCAAGCTGCATTGAGTAAAAGAGGATGGGTATTCCAAGAACGAGCGTTGTCTCGGCGTATTATTCACTTCACAGAAGTTCAAGTCTACTGGGAGTGCGGAACGGGGATCCGATGTGAAACTTTAACAACGTTGTACAAGTAAGCGTCATGAAGCCCTCTCATACTATGGCAGTTAAGCTCACTATTGCACCAGCCACAAAACGTCTTTCCTCTCCGATCCCCAATTTCCCGATGCTATGTTGAAGCGATACAAAGGCATGCGCATCGCCTTCTTCGAAGAGATATATGAAAAGTATTCTCAACTCGACTTTACCCATTATACAGATAGGTCGTTAGGCATGGCCGGAATTGAATCACGGTTTGCAAGATTGTTCGGAAAGGCACAGTATGGCATCCTGGATGATCCGACTGAGTGCAGCTATCTACGTCGCACTCTCCTTTGGCGACGTGCAGACCTGACCAAAGTGATGACCAAGATCGACTATCCACCCAACAGACGAGTTCTCTCATGGTCATGGATGGCGTTAATGGGCCCCATATGCTTCATGGATATACCTTTCGGTGTGGTTAACTGGACTCCTAACCTTGGATCACCCTTCAATGACTGTGAAGATTCCGATGACACTCCTGGAGCTCTTCGTGGCGATGCGAGGGACTTTTTCAAGCAACGTAACGATCGCCTTTTCTTCGATCGACACAATGATATGCCCCCACAGGCCCAACTTAAATGTATGGTCCTAGGTACGCAGGATATATCGAGTGGCTGCCTCTTGACGCATTATGGTCTACTTGTCGCTACCACAGGAGAGGGCAGTGACGTCTACGAACGAGTAGGAGTCGCCACATTCGAGCGAGGCCAGGATTGGATGGTTCAGGTAGACACTAAGCGGATAAGCATCCTGTAGAGTAACTCTTGCTCAATCCTTTCGTATCCCCGATGTTTAGCACCATGTCTGATCGTGGAAGACGGTCTGTCTTCTTTGTTTGGCTATGAAATCTCAGAGTGTGGAAGTTGTGCCGATGCAATGACCCGTGTACAAACTTAAGATGATATAAATTACGAATTATTGGGTATCATAACATACTGTGTTGATGTACGCTCTTGGCTTCATTCTCTCAACTCCCTTATGATAGGTTTCAAGAAACGTAACGGCGGACCGACTGACCATGGCAGGAGCCAGGTGCGGACCGAGAAAAGTGGGATTCAGTAAAAGCTCGGAAAAGGTCCGTCTGCCAACCACTAACCCCAAAACCTCTGCATCAAAGACATTTTTGCGTTTCCTAGTCCTTGAATGAATAGATTGTACAAGTGCAACCGCCATGCTCCTTGACAGATGTTTGCGGAAACACATCATTAGGTACGACAAATACGAAGTCGAACCCAATGATATTAGCAAAACGATACTAGGAGAAGACGAATAGTACGAACGGCGTCACGCACTGTCAGGTTGACGACATGTTTATTTCAAGAGGGACAACGATGGATCTGACTTAGGGCTCTTGCCCATACGAAACTACCTGCCTAAACGTCCGGTCGCAAAATCGGCCACCCTCTTCCTCTCTTCCTCATACTTAGCTGATCCGACCAGCTTGTTCTTCTGAGGGTCCTACAGAAACCCCAACCCATTGGCTTCGTACTTAGCCACCCGAGCTCTGGCGTCTCGATACCGGCGGTCCTTCTCGTCGGCAGAATCCTCATCCTCAGCCCAATCGCTAGCTGAGGTGGTTGTGGCCTTTGAAGGCTTCGATTCCGTGGATGAAATGGGCGGGAATTGCTCTGGCCCCGTCTTCTTGGAGCCAGTTTGTTTGAACGTTTCTGTGATCTTGTACCCAACTTTCTCCGCAGCCTGTTGTTCGGGGGTAGGGATAGGCTTATCGTTAATCAGAGCTTGATCATACCATGCATTGAGCTCCGGTGGTGCTGCCTCTAGAAACTTCTGTGGCTTGAACACGTCCCTGTTAGAATACACGCGCGAGCGACCTGCGTACTTGGAATTCGGATTATCTGGTGGCAGATAGGGGCCTCCACTGGATGCCAAAATCTTGCTCATGAACTCCTCCGAATGCCATCGCTGCTCGATAGGTTCTGGGACCCAATGTCGGAACGGACACAGTTCCCAGTTCTGGAACTCACAGTTCCCATTAATCCACCCCTGGCAGTAGCCGACATCCATAGCTGGTGTGCCGCCGTACACTGCAGGATTCAACCTGGTTGCGACTGCATCTTCGCCTTTAGCGTTCTTGATGGTTTGTCCATCTTGCGAACCACTCTCGTATTTGGCTGTCTGCGACTTCGGCTGGCCGGCATAGTTCTCCCAGCGAGTCCAACCCTCGCGGATGAGCACGTTATCAACAAACCCGCTCGAGGGAGGGTTGACCCTGCTATATGTGCCCTGAGTCGGGGCTGGCTCTTTCTTAGCTGGCAGACCGTATGCTGGTGGGACTCCAGGGCCTTATCTGGCACCTGGCTGCGCTGCCTGTCTAGGAACTTGTGCTGGGTTCAGGCCTGGCAAATGTGGACCTTGGGGAGTGGCTGCTTCAGGCGCCATGGTAGAGCTGCGCTGTAGCATCGTGCCAAAGGTCGGGGGTACTTTCTTGCCTGGCTGTGCTGTCGGCGCGCTCTCGTTCTCTGGTAGGGGCGGGCGCGCCCTGTACGAAGGTGGTGTGAGCGGCTTCTTCTTTCCTGAAGAGGCTGGCTGGCTGTACAAAGGCGTCCTATCCACTGAAGGCGCGGCTCCCGCTATGATCTGATCATAATACTTGCGACTGGCGGCATCGATGCGCTTAATGCCTGCTCGCATGATCTCGCGATAGCGAGCGTGGTCATCCGGATACCTCGCTAATTGAAGCGACTTCTCGGTATCCAACATGGGTGCCACAGGCATGGGATTGCCTGCGAGAACATCAGCCACTAACTGGGTATAGAGGCTAGCCAGTCCGTTGAGCTCCTGGCGAAGCTGGTTTACTGGAGTCTGTTAGCTGATCATCGCTATACGACACTCGTGGGAATAGTTACGGATTGGGTCTTCAGACCCAGAAGGCCGAAAACCTCCGCTACTGCTCTGCATGGTTGTAGAGTTGATGCTGGTGTTGGTGTTGGGGTGAGGCTAGTGTGGAAGCGGTCGGCGATCATCAAGGTGGGATCTGCGCCAAGCGCCATTGTTTGCTGAGGTGAAGGTGACTCCAAACACATCCCCACTCACCTCTAGGGATAGAGTATGTACTGAAACTTGTCGTTTACCACATTTAGGTGCTTGTGGTAGTTTAGGCAGTCTTACGTTACTCGATGAAGTCTTACGTCTGTACTTCCAAGGTTGACCGCGTTAAATGGCTACCTATCACTGCCTTCGTATGTACCAACAGAGCTCTAGCAGCACTACAAAAGACCAAGACAACATATCTTCCAGTGTATTCTAGTACCAAGAGTCTTTTGGTAGCCCCGTAGTAGCTTGCCTCGCTTCACTCGTCGTATGTGAGTTTGCGATGTGTAATAAATAAATGGCACTCATTAGACACTGCCGCCACATGTTCGAACTTGTCGTCCGTTGAATAGATCTGAGCATGAAGTGCTGGCACGTTTCCAGTGTCACTCAAAGGGTGGGGCTGCTGGCGATGCTGGAGATATAGAAACACGAGGAATAGCCGGGCCGAACAGTACGGCGGTGGTCACTGAGATGCCTCATACAGTAACTTTACTCGATGTCGCTAAAGCAGTAGCATTCCGGGGTGGAGAGTTATCCGAGGACACGAAACTTGTAGGTAGCGCTGGATTCGTAAACGTCGTTGGTGCAGGAGTCGGAATGCCATTCTTATGAAATAGTATACCCGGTGGCTGTCCCATCGATGTTGAAGAAGCAGTCACTGACAGTATGACTGGCAGAGAAGAACTTGGGCACAGGATGATATTCATGCACGATGACTGAGAAGATAGATCTCCGCTCATGATCAAGGGATGCGCGTGGGTGCTGAGTGCTAGCGGAACTGTAAAGAGGATATACATGAAATGCGTACGTGCTGGTTATCTTGATAATATTGAATAGTAGTAGTTGTAAGCTTTCCACAGGAACTGGTAAGCCGTTATATAGATCACGTTTGCCCGAGTACTTGAATGATAGCGACGTATGCATGGGCTGTTTGCACAAAGTTAAGAGAGGAAGCCGACAAACAAAGAAGGCTTGGATTCGACCAGACATGTTGCCAACGACTAACAACCAAACCTACATGTGTATCACATATCAATTGTAAACTACTGCTCCGATTAGCTCTTGACTTTGGCTTGTAGCAAAAGTCCAATTGTCTCCACCAAAGTATACCTTAATATGTGCCGCTGCTGCCCGGTGGGACGAGAGGACGTGAATCTTTTAACATGTGCAATCGGCGAACGAGCGGTTTCTCAACTCAATACCGAAGATCAAATTATGAAATTTCGGCATGCTGGATGACTGAAACAGATCACCAACTCCATGTTCCGTTAGGTCCGTCTTCCCAACCCTAACTCGGTACGGAAACCATGACCTTGTCGCTTCTCGCCGAGCAGACAGATGACCATGAAGTTCATCTTGAAGCAGCCGTGTCCCCATAATATATTGCAGGTGGCTTGGACCAGCGTTGCTAACTAATTGGACGACTTTCCGCAAGCTTCGTGCTGTCGCCTTCGACGGTCGGCTTTGGCGATGTAGCCAATGTACAGTAGAGGCTTCAAGGGTATGTTCTCGGCGCCTCACCTCGCGCATTCTGCGAGGAGTTGCTTGCAAAAAAGCCACACGTTATTGACACGGCATTCCAAGCGGGCACTTGCCCTCGAACTGAGGTATGCACGTGTAGCGAGGGGGCTGACACGCTTCCACTGGCTGCCAAACTTGGCGTCAATTCGTTTGAACGCCTCTTTGCAGATGCTGTGCTCTTCGATCGTCGGATCGTCAGATCGTTGGAAACATATCTCTGCAACCATTTCACGAATCTTTTGGCTTGATCGGTCGTCATCGGTTGCCCAGCAGAAGCAGTCAGGGATCGTACGTATATGCACGGGTGTGACTTTGCGCGCTCCTCAAAGCTGTCAAGTGTCTGCCGAAGGTTAGCATCTGAATCATACGCTTGTTTCAGGTTGCCGCTCGTGAGCTCTTTGACGACTCTTTCTGGCATGCTGCAGAGGGACATATGGAACAATTCTGTCCAGTAGTCTCGAGCTTGCTCGACGAAAACGCTGCCGCACTTTGATCCGCTCTCGTGCTCAGCTATGCATGCTGCATTAACCAAAGGGGAGAACCTGACTGTCTCGATGTGGCTGGCCAGATGGGCATAATGCCCGTTGTATTCTGGCTCAGGATCATTCAGGATGCCAATATTCTGGCAATCTGGAATCTCGGACGGAATCTCGTCCATCTGTCCATATTGCATCTGCGTGTCGAACGGAGCGTATTCGACACCCTCGCCGTCTAGCTCGTCTGCGTCGTGGGAATCGTATGCTTCTGCGATATCAGAGACGTAACCCAGATCAATGCGTGCATGCTTGCGAATCGGCGAAGCGGCATTAGCTGCAGATCTTCGCAAAGGTCGAAGGCGGGCGCTAGGCAGATCCTCTTCTGGATCTGCTGAGCTTTGGCTAGCTTGCGAGCGTGATGCACCCCTGCGGATAGGAAGCGCTTCTCGACTGCTCGGCCCTGGCGTCCAAGTGGCGCCGGTATGTACACTTTCCGCACCGTCACTAACAAAATCCTACATTTCGTGGTGTTTCGCCTTGAATGGGGCCGCCATGATGTGGTATAGGCGATGCACCCGGTGGAGTCGTCGATGAGATCTGCCCTTGGAGGCAAGGCTCCCCAGGGGTCTTGGCATCGGCATTTCCCGCCACTTGAAATCGAACTTCACACCATGAAAAGCATACCACGACCTGATCATCACTAAGCTTGTAACATACTGCAACACAATTCCCATGTAGGCTTTTGCAAGATGCATTGATAGGGCACTCGGGTTTTGAAACCACTACTTATCGGTGCATTTTTGGTGTCCTTCAGAGACATGTCGAGCTATCCTATTAAATGGGCAGTATACTGCCGGCAGTGTGCAAATAGGTAAGCTGATGTGCGTTTATAATGCAGCAAAGTCTTTCAATCGTCAGCTTATGATGCCTAATTCCTGTGTATTCAACATCGCGCTCCGATTTAGTGTTAGGCTTCTCGGCGATGCAATCTTCTGTACCTGCCTTTCCGTAGTCTCGTAAAGGTATTATTTCACTGCACTCTTGAATATCTTGTAATCTCAATCTCATTTCTCATGAGTCCCCTTTTATCACATCAACATCATAGTGGGAATGGTCAAGCACAAACTATCGTTTCTCTTGTTTCAACATAAGGGCTTCTGGTACACTCGAGCTGGACATCTTCGTTTGTAGAAGCATAACATTGCAGAGGCAGTGCCGCGAAGTTGCTGCGAGAGTAGTGCACATGGTACGTCATGTCTTCCATCGATTTCAAAAACTTTTGAGACTACTGGCTTCAATCACACAAGGTGTAAGAGGGACAATACGGCAAGTGGCCAATTCGACCTATCTGGAATTGGGTGAACGTGAAAAACGCTGCCGGTGTTGCTGGCGGCGAAACGATCTGCCGTAGCGTCGTTGTTGTTGCTGTTATAGCAGGCAGTCGCACACGCCTGATACTCTTCTCAACAACACACGCCAACACCGCCTGCCGCCGTCAACATAGAGGAACCAAAGCCTCCAAAATATTTATTGGCTCTCGCTGTGCTTGTAGAATGCTGGGCAAAGGCTGGCACCACAGATAAGTGGTGTCTGTGCCCTCGCCGTTTGCAGCCAGCGTCTTATCACCACCGTCGGTACCTTGAGTAAGTTTTGACTGTACGAAATGCATACGAGACATACACTGACTTCATATATTCACCTCTGCAGGTGCCGCAAGAATCACCCATGTGCTCTATGTGACAAGCAGCGTCACAAAGGAAAAATGTGTCATTGAGCGCTCTGGTACTATAGAGCGTACTTCACTGATGACTGGTTCAAGGACCATATGCCCCAATTTTGGGAAGAGAACAAGGTTCTCATCCAGAATACCGCAGCGCAAGCTCCTCCTGCTCCGGTGCAGCAACAACCGGCGCCTCGACCGCAGCCGCCACGAAACGATGACCGCCGTGACGACCGGCGTCAAGATACCGGGAGCCGTGACGACAGCAGCGACCGGTATCAAGATAGCAGACGCCGACACCGCGACCACAGCCGTGATGACAGTCGTGATGGCAGCCGTGACCGGCATCAAGGAGGTAGGCACCGCTCTTACAACGGACGTAACGGTGATAATAGGTTGCATCGCTCTCCATCTCGTTCTCCACCCCGGCAGTCTACATGGAGTGGACGCGGGCGTGGCAATACCCGTGACCGGTCGCGTTCGCCTTTGCCTTCGCCGCGCAGACAAAATCCTGACCCAAATTGGGACGATCCACTACGTGCCCTCAATCGTGTCAGAATGGCCACGAAGCACGCATGGAAGGCGAACAAAGCACAACAAGGGAATGTCACAATGGGAGGCGTCGAGAACGCAGAAGCCGCCCAGAACGCTCTAGCTCCAAGCCCAGTTGAAGATCAAGAATCTATTGAGCGCCTTCGGAGGAGCGTCGCCGAAGGAAGGCAGCAGCACCTGGCCGAAATCAATGCAAAGAATGCATTCATCCAGGGACTGCAGCAGGAAATATTGCGACTGCAAAACTCGGCAGCCCAGCCGAAGCCTCCAGTACCACCCCAGGAGCAACATAATAGTAGCTCCAGATTCAATGCGGGAGCACCAATGTTTACTCCCCAAGCCGCAGCACCAGGTAAGAAGCCACAGAACGGTGGCTCCGACCCGAATGCAGAAGCGCCACTGCCTTCCTCGAGTTCACGGCTAAAACAGAGATAGTCATATTACTCTCCAAGGCCCTTGTGGTAGACCATTGCGCGCACAGATAATCAGAATTTGCCTACTGGATTGTCGACGTTCTCAACCCACTCGTCTAGATTGTCGTTCTTGCTATTGTCGTTGACTAGAGTGGCATCTTTTATACACTATTCTTCACCATCCTTAGATTCCGCATTGAGCATTATCCTCATTTTTAGTGCATCCCCCCTTCGCCTACTTATAAGGCAAATTATTAGTGTTTGTTGGTGCGTGAATAAACTACTCTGACTCATCTTCCTCACTACCTTTATCAAGCTCATATGCTGTACCATCGTCTTCGCTGTCTCCGTCGAGGAACCAGGAGGGACTTTCCTTCTCATCCCCTTCATCCCTTGTAGAATTGTCATCCACTTCTTCTGTAAAGCTCTTTTCTTCTTTCTTAGCGACCTCAGGATTGACAACTCCCCATTCAAGCTGCTCAATCCGGTTGGTCGTAGCCTCTCGCTCCTTGTCGAAGTTCTCAACACGATCCACCATAGCCTTGAGGTCTCTAGTAAGACGTTCGTTCTCAGCATCAAGCTCTGCGAGCTCACCCCTCACTTCGTTAATTTCGGATCCCATGGCATGAATCGTATTGGCATTATTCGAGGACCAATGTTGGCTCATACCGCGCCAATACTCGACTTCTCTGGTGAGGTCTCGATTCATGTTTTCCAGTTTCGTGATAACCGAATCCGCACATGAGTTGGAGCGTTCGATCGTGGAATGCATGCGACTGAATCCCAGGTTACGACCTCTTATCTGCTCCAACAAACCTAAGATCATTTTTTCTTTTTTCTCGATCAGCTTTTCGTGTTCCTCGATCTTCACATGCTGTTCGTCAATCTCGTCTTGCGCCTCCTGGCTAAACTTGTTCGCAAGCGCCAACTCTTTCTTGATGTTTTCCAGTGAAAGCGTCATGTCGCGGAGCTCGTTAGCCTTGAACTTGATTTGGTTCTGCATTTCCCAGGCTACGAGTTCCTGGGAGGAGGCTTTGCGTCTCGCTTCCTTTAGCATATCCATGCAGTATCTCGTGCTGCCTGCTGCCCAGTCGCGCTGGGCCCGCGTTTGGGTCAGCTCTTTGGCGAGTGCTTCGCGGAATTCGAAGTGGGCGGGGGCTATCTTTCGAGTCTGCTCAAGCACAGTTTTGGCATCTTCGAGACCATTCCTTGTGTAGTAGAGGTTCATTTCGATATTGGCAAGTTTCCTTTCGGCAGTCTTGTTGAGATCATCTACGACTGAGGAATGCTTAGCTTGGGTATCCTCAAGCTCTTCTCTGAGATACTTGATTTGACAGAAAGCGGCGTGAGACTTTTCTTCAAAGTATACGGTGGCGGCAAAGGCGCCAAGGAGAACGGTTACGGCCTGGACGAGATGAATCGCAGTGAGTGGGGTATCGGTGGAAAACATGTGAAACGTCCTGACCAGGAAAACAGCGGCCACCACGACGAATTGTCCCAAAGCGAAAGGAGTCGTGACGAGGGAATTGAAATGCATCTTGGTCTCAGCAGGTAAGTATTCTGTTGTATCCAGATAGTCGTAAGGAAGAAACTCAGTATGTATGTAGGCGTTCGTAGTTGTATGCGTTCGTCTTGGACATTCAATATCTTCGGAAAGGTTTGCGTGGAAAATTGAGAAGTGAAGAGTACCATGGTCTTTTATATCCTAGCAGGAATTTTTAACTGATTGAACATGTGTGTGTTCTGCCCACTCACTGAGAATATGCCGTGCAAAACGTGGATAACCATTGGGCCGCCGTATAAAGGTCCAGAATCGGTGTGCTGTCATCAAAATCCCTGAGACGTGACTCGAGTATCCTTATCGTAACCTGGTAACTGTCATAGGTGAACCATGGCATCAACAGTGAAAACCATAGATTTAGTGAGATATAGCCACAAGTAATGTCCCCGCGAGTAGCGAGCACCAAAATATGAGACGACATTGTGGGATGAAATATTCTGGAGGTCGATTCATGTGCAATACCTGACAACTGCTGCAAACAAATGATGACGTTGACTGTGGAGTTGGGTGAGCGAATTCTGGCCACGAGTGACCACTATCAGGGCCATGGCAGTTGATTCTGAAATTTTTAGATATGTACAAGGAGGTGCTGACTGTTCGGGTGCATCTCTAGAAGTATTGGTACTACCAATGTAAATCGTTTGGGAAAGTGATTGGAGTTGATAGAGCTGATTTCACAACTTTTGTACCTAGACTCTTCCTGTGATGGCTTGACCACTGCAGTCGAGCGCATTGTGAAGCAACAACAAAATCGCCAAGTCAGACTTGTGGCATCGAGCGAGCTTACTCATTCAGCTCAACGTAGTTGGCGGGGAAGAGACCCGATTGGCCGTTGTAGCTACCGAGCCACCAGTCCTCATCTGGGAATTCCTACAACAGTATTAACATTGGTCTAGACAGTCGTGCAGGTAAACTTACAAGTCCAGTAACTGTGGCTCCTTCGGGGAAGCTTAGCTCGTTATCCTCAGCGGCTTCATAGTCGTAGAGAGCCGTGGCAGTAGGGCCAGAACCGCCAGCAGGCTGTGGTGGTGCCGCGGCAGACTCGGGCTCCTGTGGTGCCGAGGGATGCGTGGGCAGCGCTGGTGCAGCACCAGCACTGTCGTCGTCCTCCACCAACTCAACATAGTTGGCCGGGAACAGACCACGCTCGCCTTGCGAGTTGGTGCCCATCCACCAGTCGTCGTCTACCATGTCGATATCCGTGACGTACTCGCCTTCGCGAAGCTCGACCTCGTTATCCTCGGCCTTCTCATAGTCATACTGGATGACTGCACGTTTGCCAGAGCCACCCGCACCCTCATCGTCATCTTGACCAGAAGCGACAGCAGCGGCGACGGCGGCACCACCTACAGCGGCGGCACCAAAAGTGGCAGCTGCAACAGCGGCGCCAGCGCCACGGGCAGGATCCTTAGCCTCCACTTGGGGCTCGGGAGACATGTCGCGCGCTTGCTGCTTGGCTGCTTGATCAAGCGAACGAGCAGGCATAGGCGGTGCGTGTTCCTCGGCAGGAGACATCTCCTCGGGTTCCCGCCCGCGAGCAACTGGCATTGCAATACGAACAGGAGAACCAGCAGGCTCGGGGGAGGGGCTACGAGGCGGCTGGGGCGGCGGAGAGGGCAGGCGCTGGTGTTGGGTTGCAGGCACGTCCTCTTCCTCTGCTTCTGGCTCCTTAGGTCGGGTAGGCAGACCCGGCATCGGAACACCCCTTGGGCCTGCGTTAGGCTTGCTAGAAGTGTCAAGAGGTGGCGGGCTGGAGGCTTGTGGCTCTGGTACAGGGCGCGAAGATGGTGCTCCCATGATGGGGGCGGCACCTGAGAAGCGATCCTTGAGCGAGCTTACACCACCAGCTGCAGGCGAAGCAGGCTCCTCCTGTTGAGGCGCGTCGCCCGTGCGTTGCTCACTGAGGTTGCTGGCAGACTGTCCTGTTCGGGTAGTCTGTACAGGAGCCCATGATTTGCCGGAGTAACCACTTTGCCAGCCACCGCCTCCACTTTGTTGGCTCTGGAGAGGAGTCGGGCGGCTTGCAGCATCAGCGGTAGGCGAAGAGATGGATTCGCCACGGGCCGCCTTCTTCTCGGCCCAGATCTGTGCGGGTGTCTTTCCTCCTTGGTCGGCAAATGTCTTGCTCGCAGCGCCGACAATTGGTGCTGGAGGGGCAGGCTTTGCACCGAATCCTCCAGGAGTAGGAGCCTTGGTGCCGGTAAACGTGCTCGCACCTGCAAACTTGTTTGCGACCTTGGGCTTTGGCAGGCTGGTAAGGCGTTCAGGCTGAGCCTTGAAGGCTGCTGACCTCTCTGCAAGTGATTTCGGCTTCTCTTCCTCCTCCTCGTTGTTCGACGCTCCTGTCGCGGCTGGGGATAAACCAGAGGACGGAGGAGCAGCTTGTGCCTTTGCACGAATGGCGGCGATGTCAACCTTGCCGACAGGCTCGTATGCACCCTTGACAACAGTGGGTCGGTCGTCTTTGGCATCGCGCGCCTGGGCTCGGATTGCTGCAATGTCGACTTTGCCAACTGGCTGATAGGCGCCCTTGACAACTTCAGGGCGGTCGTTCTGCGAGCCCGGGGGCTGAGAGCCGGTGGATTCATCTTTTCTCGCGGTAAGCTCGGCCATGTTGACCTTGGTGGGAGTGTAAGCGGTTCCGACCTTCTCCAGCTGAGACCTGGAGACCTGAGGGGCATCAGCACCCCATCCATCCGCATCTTCATCACCCTTTGGCGCAGGCGCGCGCGAGCGGCCTAATGGGTTAAATCCAGAGTTTCCGCCTCCGATCGATGTGGGTGTAAAAACGGGCTTCTTCGCGGCAACGGGAGGTGGGCCGCGTGAGGCAGGAACGTCGGGGGCACCACCGTACTTGGCGCCGGATGCATCTGCGACCTTCTCAATGATCCTCTCGGGGGTGAGGTCTGCATCGGAACGGGCGGTAACTTGGACGTGGTATCCCTATGCAAATTAGAAGATGAGTAGGGAAAGGCTGGAAATACGCACATGTAGAAGCTTCGAGACAACTGTAAGGTGGCTGCCGAAGTAACCCTTTGTCCGCTCTGGGACACCTTCACCGCACTGTTTGCATATCAGCATTGTGTTTTGGGCAGCTGCTACAGAGAGCTTACCCAAGCTATGAGGACGTTCTTAGGCAGCGATGAGTTTGGGTCCTTGACTTTGACGAAAGCAAACTGGATGCGGCCATCAGAGAACTCATCTATCAGGTCGAGTAGCTCTCCCTCTGCAAAATGTTAGCTATCATTCTCTGTCATGACCGTCGCACAAGTTGTGCTGCGTTTCGTGATGTGCCGACACCCGGGCTTGGGCTGACACCTTGCTACAGCCCAAGAGCTCTCCACGCCAGTGTGTTTGCTGGCTACACTGCATGCATAGCCATTGAGAGAGTACTATGTCTAATCCACATACCTCCGGTGCTCTGGACCTTCAAGACGCTCTCTTTACCGCCATCTTGCTGGAATGCGCTGACAAGCGGGGCAGCTACCGTGAAGACAGCCCATTGACCATATGTGGGCGAGCTGGCCTGGGGACCAGATGGCGCCGGAGCATTGACGACGTTCTGGTAGCTCCGGGTGATGTTGGGGCCGTTGCTGGAGGTGTTGAGCGTGGCCATGGTGGGAGGACGAGGAGTAGAGGGGAAGCTTGGGGGATGTGGTGGAGAAGAGGAGGGCAGAGAGAAAAGAGGCCCAGGTGTTTCGCAGCTAGCACGATGGGTCGGACAAGGCAGAGTACGCGTATCCGTATGTGTGTATGTGTAATTGGGCGTGAATTATCCTAGTCCAGTATGTAAGCACAGCCGCCGCGCACAAGTTCGGTGTGAAGAGCAACTATGTCATGCTTGGCTCGGGCACCTAGCAAGCGGTGCCGACGGCACGCCCAAGACCTTCAAGGAGACCCTCGTCCGCCTCACCGCAACGATTGGACATAGCTCCTTCGCACCGTCTGACAACGCTGCATGCAAAAGCACCATATCCTGCATCCTTCAAACCGCCGCCTAGACTGCGGGCTCCATAGCAGCTGCATTCTAGCCTTCTTTCACCTCCACTCTGCCACGACAAACACTAGCATCGACAACACACCCATCGCACCGCCTTTTCGAGTCTCCTTCCCGACGCGCGCTGATACAACGCATCTGTCGCTGTCGTCTGCCATCGTCATATGTCTCCATGTCTCTAGCCTGCTCACGCCGACGATGAGTATTTTGTGAACTTTGCACCAGCACGGCTGCGTCGCCATGGAGGACCGGGAATCGAGCGTAGCGTCGTCGGTCGACTTCTACAGCTCTAATGCAAATCCAACCCATGCGCCGGATGCGCAGAGCGACGCGCCTCTCGCAAAGCGCAAAGCAGAAGATGCGCCAGTTGAGCATGAAAAGAAGCGCAAGCTCAGCGTCTTCTCTCCTTGCACCTCAGGCGACTTGAGACGTTGCGCAAGGCTACCACCTGAATTGTGGCAGCATGTTTTCTCTTTTTGTTCGCTTGCAGATCTTGGTCGATTGATCCAGGTCAATCGATCTTTCCTATCCTATCTCACAGACGTGCGCAGCGTGTCGACTTCAAAGTCACATCCTAGCCGTCTGCATCTCCTAAAGTCTGAATCGTTGTGGGCCTCTGCCCGCAATGCAATGTGTACCAAGCCTCCGAAGCCACTCCCAGGCTTCACTGAGCTGCAGATGTGGCAGCTGGCTTGGTCCAAGAGATGCCAGTTCTGTAACAAGCTTGATTCTTATACTCCAGGCGAGCGCATATGGCAGAAAGGACCTGGTGAAGCAGGCGTGAGAGTCATCTGGCCCTTTGCTATCAGAGCGTGCGGGCCGTGCCTGCTACAACAATGCCAGACGGTGAGTTGCGCCTTCCCATTAGACGGTCGCGACTGACATATCTAGGACGCGAGCCTTCTCTTTTCGGCTGCCTCCGCTCTACGACCCGCCCTCCCCTTCGCGCTACTCACAAACGACCAGCATTACATTGCTGCATATGCACTGCAATCTGTGACGACGCCAGCCAACGTGGACATTGCCAAATACTATTACAAGAAGCATGTTGAGGAAATCACGCAGGAGATGAACGAGGCCATTGGCCGTGGTCCTGCAGCAGCCGAGGAGTGGTCCAAAGGTCTCGATACTCGCGGCAAAGAACGCATGAAGGTAGCCGAGAACTGGGAGCGCTGGGAGGTCAAGAATCAATGGATGGAGGAGCACGAGGATGCGAAGCGCGCAGCATCTGCAGCTCCCTCACATGCTGCCACGTCACACAGAGAACCTACCAAGTCACCCCCTCGTCGAACTCCCTCCCCCATAATTCATGCCCCGGTTCCAGCGAGTAAGTATACCTCTGTTGTCTCATTTGCTGCCAGACATGGCGATGCCTCTCGATACTTCAACAACACCCCTCCAGTTCCCAACCTAACAGGTGTAGCACCATCGTCTCAGCATGCGCAAGCGAGACCGCCTACTGTTCCACCACAGGCTTTTACTCCTTCTGGTCAGCGAAATCTTCACGATGCAAACGAGGCCAAGGCGACCCGAAAGACCGACATAGAACGCCGGTGTCAGCAAATGGATCCCCCTATCGCCCCGAACGTTCTGCGCCACATGGACTCGTTCAAAGCTGCTATCCAGATCTCACAGCCAATGAACGACTATGCATGGAGTGTGCTTCAACCCCGCTTGATCGCCCAACTTCCTGCTGCCCAACAAGCAGAAGCCGACCACGTGGCTCGGGCTGCTTCATTTCCCACAAAAACAGCGGACCGCCGCCACCCGGACGCGAACTCCAAGGAGGCCAAAGAAGTCATGGACCGGGAGTGGGAAGAGTCGCAACGCCCTATCCGCGACCGGCTCGATGCCATTGCGGACAACTTCATCAGCCAGGACTGGGATCATGGCAACGCCGTAACTTACGATAATAGCCCAAAGTTTGCGGCTGACCTCCTTGCTCACGTGCGACGCACATACTACGCTGAGGAAGCGGAACAAGAGCCTGCTCACTCTGGACAACATACGCAGCCTTCTACTGATAGTATGAATACTAGGCCTAAGCTCGTCCTGGATAACATGAAATGGGTGTACGACAACAAGGTCAAGCCTCTAACAGAACAGTTCCGTAAGGATATTTTCCTGTGCCGTGGCAGCGGCTGCGAACATAACAACAAATTCTATGGTTTCGAGGGCGTCACCCAGCACTACGGAGCCAAGCACACTGCTGCCTTCAGTTCAGGAAACGTGGTCGTGGCGTGGAGAGAGGCCGAGTGGCCAGAGGAAACCCCATTCCATCCAGAACCCCTGTCCGTGAAACAATCTCACCATACTCATCACCCTTCTTCTAGCACGAACGGGTTTGGTGGCTTTTATGGCGGATACTCACGCGCAGGCACATCGACACCCCACATGCCAACTCACCATCCACAGGCGAGCCCCGGACCTTACAACTACGGAGGTCAGTACAATGGACCGTTCGCTCCACCACAGGTCCCTTCTGGTACAATGCCTGGATATGAGTACCCCCAGCCATATGCGACACCTGTGGACATGTACGCACATCAAGCCATGGGGCCCCCGGGTTATGGTGCTCACGCAGCCCAAAACCCATATCTGACCTCTCCTGCCATGATCAACAATGCTATAGCTCCCCCACCACCACCCAACATGCCACCGCCCGGTCAAGGAGTTCCTGAGATCGTTCCTAGCGGTACAGAAGATACCGGCCAAAGTACTAGCTCGTTTGACAAGCAAGTAAGTACGGTCATCGACATGACCCAGGACGTCTGGAAGCGCACCTCTGGGATCAAAGATATGCCAAACAGCCTCAGGATCTATGTGTTGTTACATCGCGTCATCTCCAAGTTCCATGTAGAGTTCAACCACGAACCGAACTTGAACCACTTCATTGATGCTCTGTCTAATCATGAAATGCCAAAGGCTTTGAAGAATGCACCAGGTCTCTCGTGCAAAGCTTGTCAGACCGGCTCCTCACATCACCTGGGAGGTTCCTTCTACTCGAAGTCGGAAGAAAGAACAACCTACACTGTCCTGGGCCTACTATCGCACTTTAGGAGTCAGCATCTGCCATATCAACAACCTTTACCTGGCCACGGAATCCCTGTTGCCCCTCTGGACTGGAAGGAAGACATGATCGAGCTGCCTAGCGAACGTTTCATTTCTGGACTCATACACGCTCCAGGCATGGACGACGAGAAGCTACTAATGATAGCGACTGTCTTTCCAAGCCTATTTCCCATGCCATTGCCCAAGATCGGTGTGATTGATAGCCATGGACTAGCTTCCCCAGCCTCATCAGGACCAAAGGACACGGACAAAACGTCTGGTGCAGTCGATGTTCCCGGTGAGACTATAGCACGCCCCAGCTCTGTCATGAATACTGCAGAAGTAAACTTGTCGCTGCCACCCAAACCGTTGGAGGCTGGTTATGACCCTGTTCGACCAACCCTTGCTGGTGAATCGAACGAGGCATCAGGCTCCACGAATAGGAAACGTTCCTATCGACAAAGCCCGCCCGCTGAGCGCAGGCAGCACCACTACGATGAGCCTCGATACTATGTAGGTGATTTACAGTACTCAGCGAAACGTTTATTGGAACTAACATGCTTTTCTGTCAGATGTCTAGGGACCATCTTGATGATGGCTATCACCGTCCGCGGGAATACGTGGAATACGCCCCCAGCCCCAGGATTATCCATGCAGGCCCTGCATATGATGACTATTCTGGTCGCCGGACAGCATTCCGCGAGCAAGAGCGATTCTATGGACCACCCGAAGAAGTGGTCTATGCACATCCGCGGGAAGGAAGTCACGGTAGTCGGGAATACAGTGCGTATCCCCGCCCGGTTCGATACTACGAGGAAGACGATCATCGGCCCGAATACCGGTTCATGAACGAGCGCCAGTCAAGAGATGCAAGTCCGCCTCAGGGGCAATCTGCAGCGGATCGATTCCTAGCGGAGAATGAGCCCCCGCAGCCACCTCCGTCACAAGTACAGCCAGAAGCGGACGCTGCCGTGTCAGCGCAGGAGAATGGAGACGGACCTCATTACACACCCCCACCACCAGAAACTTCTTTACCAGCTGAAGCAACAGCATCTGTGCGCCCTCTTGCACCACCACACCCTAGAGCTCCATCCACTGTTTCCAACAATTCTCGATACGATGATTATCAATCTAATGGGTACCGGATGCCCATGCCTGGACCGAGCGGCCCGCCACGAAGGTCTGGACCTCAACGCCGAAGAGATCGGCCCAATGACAATCGAGGGTCGTCTCGATACCATCGATACATGAGTGTGGCACGAGAAGATCCCTATGGCCGTGGATCTAGCATGAGCCGATCGCAAAGTAGGAGATACGAAGAACAAAGGCGACGCATAGATCAACAAGAAACACCGCAACCCAATGCCGAGCCTGACTACGAGCCAGCGTATTCTAGAGAGCATAGCGTTGATCAATCCGTACAGGATGATGGCTTCTACCCGCCTGCCCGCCGTCACCCACGTGGTTACGTATCCGTGCAAGACCGCCTGCATCCACACGCGTACTCACCACCACGATATCGTTACGATGAACCTCGCGGACCACAGCCAGTTTACGTGGATGAGTACGGGCATCCTATGCACGACTACGAAGTTATTCGTGTACGCGGTGACACTAGGTATCGCGCCCCGTATATGCCACACCAACCTCATCGATACGAACATGATCCATATGGATACGTACCGGTACAATATGAGAGACCCCACCCACAGAGATACAACAGTCGCCCTGAGGAGTATATGTACTACGAGGAAAGAGAGAGGCCTATGCCTAGGCGAGCGGCGCCGGATGCAGAGAACGATGTATACGAGCCGCCACCACCGGAGATCAAAGTGGAGAGCGTGCCTGTGCCCATGCCGCCAGAGGCGTCTTGATATCACATGTTAGCGTGGCGTTTGAGATTGTAACGATTCCCTGACTTTGTCTGTACCTCTGCTATGCCATGTTTGGGTTTTGCATAGCTGGGTGTTATGGGTTCCAATTGGCTAATTCTATCTCGTTTGATTTGGTGGTCTGCACTATCAGGTAATGACGTTCTTGTAGTAATCTCTTGCCCAAGATTAATATGATAGCCTTGCTTCTACGAATTAGGAACACTGGGTGAAAGCCAATACCCCCTTCATGCTGCATGACATGGACCGTATACAACCACAGATACAGAAAAGAGGAGATGACGGGCAATTTTTATTTTGGCATGTGTGCCTTCTATAGGGTATCAAAATGAAAACGTGACGGAGGAAACGAGAGAAGCATGTCTATGCAGTCGACTGAATCACTGGTTCCACTGAAGACTTCTCATCCACGCCCTGAGCGGCGGCGTCGATTCTGTTTTGAGTAAGGCGCTGCAATATGGTTAGTATAGCTCTGCAGTTAGGTGTATGATTACATACCAACAAGTTCCTCAAAAGCACCGCAATGGTGACCTTGCCAATGGCAGGAACATAGATTGAGGCCTTCTCCTTGACCTCTGGTGTGAAGTTCCTTTCACTGGAGAAGTTGATGCATGCGGCTCCGTCCCTCATCAACTCCAGTGGTACCTTGTACTTGTCTCCAGGTACACCGCTGATGACCACATCGCTAAGTGGGAGGCAGTCGTTGAGAGTCCAGCCAGGCTTCTCCACCACCTCGTGTCTTCGCTTCCTTAGGCCAACGCCTCGCGTAAACTCTTGCACGTCGCTGATATCCACGCTGTATACATGGGCACCGTCATTTGCCAGTAGTGCGGCCAACGGTCTGCCTACCACCTCACTCCTGTTAATGACGGTAATGGTGCGCCCATGAAGCCTGTTGCCGTACGGGAGGATGGTGTTGTAAATCCTCAGATATTCCAGGATCTTGATCACGGCCAGCGGTGTACACGGCAAGATGCTCTTCTTCGTGCTGGCAGGGTCAAGGAAGCGAATATTCTGGTACATGTTGAAAATGTAACGATGCGACAGCCCCTCAACATCCTTGTCAATAGAGACAATCTGCTGGAGATATTGGTCCTGGCGGTTGCCGAAGATGGGGTAGTAAACGATTATGCCGTCAACAGCAGGGTCATTGTTTGCTTCGATGAGGCGGTCCTCAAGAAGTTCGCGATCGACTTCGCGCAAGTCAAAAGCGAAGCCACTATAACGGCGTTAGTAGGCGGTATTCACCCAGCTTGCAACCACAGGCATAGCCATGGAAGAAGTGAGTATTGATCAGTGGACGCGCTCACTTTTCAACACAAGTTTTGCCCGTCCATTCTGCGTATACCCTCGCCGCAGGATCAGCGCTAGAAAGGAAGCCGACAAGGAGAGGTTTGCGCTGAATTTTGCTTAGGCCATCGCGCACTTCGTCCAGGAGACCCTTGGCGATGTTGTTCGCGAGGATGACTTTGCAATTGGGTTTATCGTCGGCCATGGCGGGGTAACTTTGCTGTTTGGGGATACGTCTGGGGATTCAGCGGGAGATAGTAGTCAGTGCAAATGGATCAAGAGATGAGTCTTCCGAGTCTGACTTTATTCCACTGCACGGGACCACAGAGACCAGTCAAGCTTCTTACATTGGCGCAATTAAACGCTCATTTTCCTCGCTGCCGACACTTCCCATAACTTTTTTTGCGCGAGCCGCCCCACCATCCGATACCGGCCAATCAGCAACACCGCAACTCTGTAACGTCATTGCCGCGAGTCTGCAACTTTCTGAATCGCGTGCTTTCGAGGTACCCGACAACACACTACGATACCCCGGACGCGACGAGAAGATGTCAGATATCCAACAATATCTGCTCGACTTCGACAGAAATAAGAAAGAGGCGACGGTGACTGCTCAACGGAGCGCGACGCGTATGTACGAGGTTCCGGTGGGGCATTTGGTGGGATGAGGACTGATAATGGACAGGACTGAAGAATGGCGAACTGAAGCTTATAAGCCTGGTCACTGACCTTGGGGAGTACTTGAACAGTGAAGATGGAGCTACAAGATCGAAGAGTACGTACTTTCGGTATGCAGTAAGGTCTATGCTAATTCGCCGCAGCAATGTCGTATCTCGCGGAAGTACTGGCATCTGTTCCGCAGAAGGTCCTCTCCCTTCAACAGCGTACGTTCACCACGATCACACAACATATACTGCATCGGTTCCTGTACGAGTCTACCACAGACTCTTGGTGATAACGCAATTCCAGCACTGATACGAAGTGTTGAATGGGCATTGCGCTCGCCGAATGAGAGCATACTACAGTACAGAGAGCTGAGCTAACCCGGAGCTTAGGAAACCTACTCTGCGATTTCATCCTTTCCCGAACCGAAGACAACGAAGGCCTCGGATCATGCGCGAAGGCACTATTGGCACTGGAGGAGCTAGGGAAGTGGGATGATCAGCGGGTAATTAGCATCGTTGACGCCCTCCTCAACAACACACACCCGCTGCGTCAGTACAAGCAGCAGAGCGAACGCTATCCAGTATTGCGCCTGATTGACACACTCATGGCAAAGTACCGCGAAGTCCTACGAGCCCACCACGACGCAACACCAGACTTTTTGGGGCGCTTTATAGCATACTTTGATGGAGAGAAAGATCCTCGGAATCTGATGGTCGTTTTCTCAATACTGAGGGTACCGATGACGGAGTGGAACATTGGTGGAGATGCTCAGGACCTTTTCGACGCAGTCTTCAATTACTTCCCCATCACCTTCAGACCGCCCCCTGACGATCCATATGGTATCACAGCACAAGACCTGAAGGATCGCTTGCGAGATTGCATCTCATCCACAGCCGACTTTGCGCCATATGCGTTCCCTGCGCTCCTGGATAAACTCGATTCTACATCTATGAACACCAAGCGAGATGTTCTGTCAACAATTACCGCCTCAGTGACCGAGTATGGACCACGGACCGTATCGCTATATGCAGTCACACTATGGGATGCGTTGAAGTTTGAGGTACTAAACGTTCAGGAGGAAGACCTGGCAAAAGAGGCACTCGCGGGCCTGGCCGCAATCGCAAGGATGCTTTCACAGGGTACACCAGGATCACTAAACGCATACCTCAAACCAATTATCAAGGAATGCAACGAACACCTCGAAGACGCTCCAACAAAGCAGTCACAGGCTTCTGCAAGGTTTCTGCAAAGCATTGCCAACGTTTCTCCCGAAGTTACCAGTATTCTGCTAGCCGGAGTACTTCCGAACCTTTTCTTGCTGTTCCAGACAGCTGACACCATGGCAAAGCGCCGAGGGTTGTTGGAGGTTCTTGTCCAACTCGTAAAGGCCAACATCGACGTGTATGGCGACTGGAAGAAGATGGGTCCTGGCGGAGCAGAAGTCAGCAAAAACGCGCTCGCGCAGTTTCGAGACCAAGCACTGGAAGTAATGTTGAATGGTCTCGAGACAGCTCCCGCTAAGGAAGTATCTTTCCGACTAGTCTGTCTCGATGGACTCATCCAGCTTTCAAAAGCGCGAGGACTGCTAAGCGATGAGGATATCGGCCGCATCATTCAGCTTTTGCATTCGGTTGTCATCCACGAAGAATCGTATGGGAAGGACGAGGTTAAGGAAGCAGCGATTAATGGCATCGTCGAGGTTGCCCACCAGAAGCCACAGGTTGTTGTGGAGAAAGCATTCCCGGCTTTCCTTGCTCAGCTTCCAGATACGGATGCAAATGGATCGAACAATTACTCAACTGTGCTCGAAGCCTTTGCCAAGCTAGCGGGCGAAGAACAAGTTTTCGACACGGTCATACTGCGGCTCAAGAACAAGTTCAGCGCGGCAGTCCAACAGGGTGCTTCCTCTACATATATCGTTGCACTGCTCTCTGCGATGTTGTATGCACTCAAGAAGGGCGAGAACAAGCTGTCGCAGGGTTCAGACAGTTCGACCTACTACAGGGACATCGCACTACCACTTCTCCAACGCGCATCAAGTTCTGATGAATCACATCCGGTGGCGTTTGATGACGAGACAACACTGGATCTTGTCGGTCGCATATGCAATCTGATTATCAGATATCTGCCTATCCATCAGCAGAATACTGTTGCTACCGAGCTGTACACCCTATTCCGTGAAAAGCCACAAACCGAACTCCCGCCTTTCAACCTCAGCGCTGGTGCCGAAACGAATAAGACGATGATCGTCTCTACCCACCTCCTCGCTTCCCTTCGCAAGGATGCGATCCTGCCTTGCGAACTACAGCTCCTAGTCTCTTCTCTCGCAAACTACGCCCAGCAACCTTCCCTATCTCTACCTATCCGATCAGCCTCCCTTCGTCAGATGTCGCTTGTCATCAATAAGTACTACACCTCTGCCGCACTCAAGACATGTATGGATCCCCTCGTTGCGGACTTCGATCTCTTCAACCCGGAGAAGCTTGACCCACCACGGATACGCATCATCTTCGCTTGTCTTAAAGGCATCGTACTACGGAGTAGCCCTGCACTGAACACGTTATATCCAACGCTCTTATCCCTACTATCACATCCGAAGTATGGAAGTACAGTTGCCCAAGGTTTCACAACTCTGTTACAGCCTGACGACCTTCTCACCAAGGAGAACCACTGCCAAATTCTCGGCCTACATAAGCACAAGAGCTTCGCATTGTTGGTACCAAGCATTACAAAAGCGTTCCGGGAAGCAGACCCCCAGACCAAACCCAACTACCTCATTGCACTTAGCGGTGCGCTAAGATGGATGCCTTTTGAGATAGTTGTTGAAGAAGTCGGTCAACTCGTCACCCTCCTCCTACAATCTCTTGATCTTAAGGGCGCCGACAACGTCAAAGAAGCGGCGATTGGTACGCTTACTTCTACGCTTGTTGAGAAGCCAGAAGTACTTGAGGAACATGCTGGTGCACTCATCTCCCGTCTTCTGACTAATGCTACTGTTACCAAGGAGAATAAGGCTGCGCCACCACCGCCAGCAGTCAGAGTAGCGGCGTTGAAGTGTTTGCATCTGGTGGCGGAGAAGTTTAAAGAGGAGCGAATACTAGGGTACAGGAGGGAGGTTGTAAGGAGACTTATTGCTGCGCTGGATGATGTGAAGAGAGAGGTTAGGAGTGCGGCGGTAAAGTGCCGGGCGAAGTGGTTGCTGGCCGACGAACCTGATGATGAATAGATGGCAGATACGATGATGGACGTATAGGCTTTGGATGTCACCCTGAACAATTTGACTTTTGAGACGCCTATGACTTGCTACAAACGTGCAGATTGGTATAGTCTCACCCAACATTCGAACGCCGAAGTGCCTTTAACGCCACCCATGCAGTAGTTACATCCTGTGTCTTAATACGCTTCATACCCTGACCTTCTTGGGCGTCTTCTCCTCATCATCGCCCTCACTCGCCGAATCCTCGACGCCAACCTCCTCGTCATCGTCCTCGTTCCTTCCTCGCTTAAGACCCTTCATCTTCCTTGTCTGCAGATTGGCAAAGTCTTGCTTGCCAACGTGAATCTTACCCGTCTTGTCACCCATGATATCCGTATCGATGTTCTTCTTTGTCCGCGGCTCAACACCCTTGGGCTTCTTGAGCGATGCCTTCAGCATATCTGGGTCAGGGAACATTTCGCGACCGAGGGTAAAGTCCATGCGTGGACCCATCTCCTCGACCTCGATACGCGGCAGCTTTTGGCCTGAGCGCTTGGTGCGGAGAAGGTAGAAACGGAGTTTTATTTGGGGGTTGGGGAGCGCATCGGTAGGTTCTTCGGCCGAGATGGAAATGAGGTATTGGAGACCTTCGACATCGACTTCGGTCGCATCTTGACCCTTGAACAGGTCGATGAACAGGCTCTTTGCCAGAGTATACTTTGTCTGGTTGGGGTCTTCGAAGACGGTGCCGTGGAAGCTGATTAGTGGCTTTAGGCCGATTGAAGGCTTCTTGTTCTTGAACTGCTGGAGCGTGCGGAATGTCTCTGCGTTGATGTACAACTCCAGCATGTCCAACATCTTGTATGAGAACGTCCTTGCTAGCGTTAAGCAGTGTGGTCGCTTCTTAGAGTGTAGGGACAGGACGAGGAGCGAGGTGTCGTTCTTCTGAGAGAAGAACTCCAGCGAAGTAGCATCGTCGAAGGGGTGGATGTCGTTCTTCTTGGTGAAGCGCTCGATAAAGGGTCGCTTGATAGTGCAGAGATCGGCGACGGCGAGCTTGAGGATCTGAGACGTCTTCTGGCCAGAGACGAAGAGCGTGGTCTTGGGGTTCTCGTTCTGTTGCGGTTCGCGCTTTGCCATTGCGCGCTTGGCGCGGGCATTCTTGGGTTTCCTAAATCATGGTATCAGAATCGCCTACACATGCAGAAGCTATGGCTATCTTTACGTACACTGCCTTGATCATTTTGTCGTTGTTAATCTGGGTGGTTTGCTCATGCCGAAATCTTGGCTAACAAAAAAGTTCCGGGGCCCAGCGGCGCCGGGAAGACTATTAGCCGATCTGATAACAAATGCGGCAATGGCGGGGTGATTCCGCAATTCGGCCCTCTGACGTGATTTCATAGGCGCTTTGAGGCGGCAACTAAATATTAATCAGGTCATTCATCTTTCATTGTACATCCATTGGCCTCCCATATCCGTAATCCACCACAGACGTTTAACCACCGCCTCTACCACGACATACACGATTAGCACCATGGCTACCATGCAAGAGATGCCCGATGAGTCGGCTTTCCACTCAACCATCTCCGCGCTCCCACCCTCCACTCTCGCCATCATCTACTTCCACGCACCATGGGCAAAGCCATGCGAGCAGATGGGAGTTATCCTGAAGACGCTCGCCAGCACATACCCCGTCGACGCGCCCATAAAATTCCTCTCGCTCAACGCCGAAGAACTGCCCGAGGTCTCCGAGCAATACGATGTCACAGCCGTCCCGTACATCGTTCTTCAGAAGGATGGTAAGACGCTGGAGACAGTATCGGGCTCAGATGCATCCAAAGTACGCGCGGCAGTTGAGAAATACGCTGGTGCCGGCAGCGGCCAGTCGTCCAGTTTACCACCTGCGCAAACCGTCACACGACCGCAGGAGAACGGAGACAGCACAGGAAAGAACCTCGCCGGTTACACGCCTGGCGCACAGGACCCCAAGACCGCCCCCGAATACAGCGCGAGCGAGCACCGACAAGGCGAGCAGCAGACAAACAAGGACGAGCTACACCAGAGACTAGGCGAGCTGGTCAAGGCAGCACCAGTCATGTTGTTCATGAAAGGCACACCAAGCTCGCCGCAGTGTGGCTTCAGTCGGCAGACAGTGGCAATTCTACGTGAAAAGGGAATAAGATACGGCTTCTTCAACATTTTGGCCGACGACGAGGTGCGACAAGGACTCAAGGAGTTTGCCGACTGGCCGACTTTCCCACAGCTCTGGGCGGATGGCGAGCTAGTAGGTGGTCTTGATATTGTAAGTACACCATCCGGTCAGCATGGAAAATGTGCTCTTGTGTGTCTGTGAACGAGTCACATGGTCCTGCGCAACCTCGCGCATATACACACGCTAACATTTTCGCAGGTCAGAGAAGAATTCGAGAACGATCCCGGTTTCCTCTCTCAGCACGCCGCCAATGCCCCCAAGACAGCAGCTTAGTTGGCTTCAGACGCCAAGTACGACACGATAACCAGATTCCAACAAACGGGGAAAGCGGATGGAGAGTTCAGGGCCTGGTGGAGAGACATCGGACTGGCATCGCCAAAGGACTACGACTATGATAGCGGAATCTCGGACGAGTAATGCGTTTGAGCATCCGAATGTCTTCGGGCAGGCTCGGTTGTAGGTTCCAGACCATGATCGAAGGTACGGTTATAGTCTTCCGTGAAAATGTAGGACTGGAGTATGGTATTGTACTGTTGGCCTGGGAGCAGACATGTTCGGTTTGTAGTCTTCTCAAATACCAATTTTATTACCCGTGTTACCCAAACAGCTTCGCCTATGTTCGTAGCGGTGATTCCTGGACGTCGCAATGTTTACTATACGAAACCAACATGTTCATTTTCGTGTCCATATGAACCCCCTGGATTGTTTCTCTGTCTTTCCTTGATTCCACTTTGACAATTTCCTGGCTTTCAAAAACGAAGACCATGTCGGCCGTGTTTCTGTTTCTGCGGCTGGCCCGATCCAAGACTAACGTACCTTGTCTCCCGCTTGCTCGCAAGTCCCAAATCAAGAAATCTTCTTAGAGTCGATGTCACTGTATGTGCTCATGAGCTGTGACGAGCATTGTTACCTTCGACATAACCCGAGCAGAAGAATCATCCATTGTATGGTTGTGCACGGTGCTAACGTGTATATATATCACTCCTAGTTTCACTGTCTTTGATCATTCCTTACTTCACGGACAAGTTTTCAGGTCTCAACAATGGATACCAGCTTGTTATGGGGGGTCTCGTCTCGGGAGTCTGAATCTCGGTATTCGAAAAACATTTATAACTCACAGTCTTTGGTTGCGGATTGGGCCAATAATACACTAAATGGCGTCGCCGTTGGCCTTGATGGAGACTTCTTGCATCCGTGGTTAGGCTCCAAGAACAAAAGGGTACTGCTGTCTAGGTATGTGTTTGTGCGTGGAGGACTGGTCCTTCTATACGAAAAAAAGAGAAAACTAGGTTGAGTCGTTAATGGTACCCTTGGCGTGTGGCTGCATATTCGGTAAAGTGATTTCCGTTGTGAGATTCCCATTGCCTGACCTTGGATGGATGCCAAAGTCGTGTGATTGTTGGGCTGACATGGAGGATCGAGCGCGTATTCGATGATGACACTTTTAGCGCGTTCTTATGCCGACGCGGTTCCCCGCCCGTCGCTGCCTCGAATTTGACCTTCACCGCAACACTCTTTTTCCATCGTAGATCGTCAGGACTTATAGAGAGGCTCTAGTCTGGGCATTTACAGGCTTTGGACAGCGCTGCACATCATGTGTCTTACACCCAGTACCATGGTTGTATGCAGGTGCAGCGGTAGTACACCTTCAACCATGCTTCGGACTCCGAGACTAATCACGGCAAGTCGATGGTATGCCGCAAACACGGTTTTATTTTAGGAGTCAGCCTGTCTCAACATGATCTGCTTGCAACCACGTCTACCATTCACCAATTCACAGTATTGATCCCAAGCCATCACTCTCTGAGCCTACTGCTCACTGCACGTAATCCATTAACCGCGGCCACTTTCAGAGTGAAAAGCAACAGATAAGACACAACATGCCTTCAACATACTCACAGCCAGTTTCCAAGATACCTCCGACGAAGCCTGATACGAGGTTTCTCCCTCGGATCCTCTGCCTGCACGGCGGCGGCGTCAACGCTGCCATCTTCAAAGCGCAATCACGATCCCTCATCCGCCACCTTCAACACTCCTTCCGCCTCGTATGGGCTGACGGCCCCTTCTTCTGCGACCCCCACTCAGACATTATCGGCGTATACAGTGACTACGCACCGTTTCGGCGCTGGTTACGATGGCTTCCGGAACATCCTGAAATCGATGAGGACACTTGCATCGAAGAGATTGGATATGCGATGCGAACAGCAATGGAAGACGATGATCGGGAGGGCGGCACAGGCGAGTGGGTAGGCTTAATGGGCTTCAGTCAAGGAGCGAAGCTTTCCGCAAGCCTACTGCTCGAACAACAAGCCAGGGAAACGCAAGCACGCAAAGACGGAACAAAGATCGCTACTGGTCTCACAGGAATCCCAGGAATAAGGTGGAGATTTGGAATACTACTAGCCGGCCGAGCGCCCTTGAGCAACCTGAATCCTGAGCTCCTCAAAAGCGAAGCACTAGTGAGTGCGGGCAGCATCTCGGAAGGGTTTCAGTTTTGTAAAGAGGTAGACGAGGAGGCTACGCTGCACAAACCAACGCTTCATGTCCACGGCATGGCTGATCCAGGACTGCATCTACATCGAAAATTACTACACGAGTATTGCGAAGACTGTACGGTCACGTTAGTAGAGTGGGAGGGCGCCCATCGGATACCGCTTAAGAGTATGGACGTTGACCGAGTTGTCGACGCCATATACGATATGGCCGAGATGACTGGGGTGAAAGTCTTGAGGACTGTTTAAGATTACGAGATGGCAATTTTGGCGGCATCGCCGTTCCCACGCTCAGCAATGCCACCAAACGCAATCTTCCAACGATCACTTTCTCCTTATCATCTGTGTACACACAGCTCATCTCGGAGACAAGACCAACGGGCTTGCTGAAGATGAGCGGCAATACCAACGGCATTCGAGTGAAAGAGAGTTTCCTGGTAGTTATGCTCGTCACATTCCTTTGTACAGCGGGTTTTGGAACAACTTACATGTCATCGGAGCACCCGTGTTCTCTCCACGCTACTTCATAACCTGCTGAGCCCCTTCACATGTTCGATCAGGCTATCTAGACTTCCAAACATCCAAGGCTCATGATCGTCACTCTCAACTCTCCAACTTTACGTTAATCAACCATGGACACCGATACGTCTGCAATCTCCTCTTCTACTTCGCCAATTTCGAGGACAAGGATAGGCCAGGACCTAGCTACTACCGCGCGAACTACTTTCCTGTCGATGTTCCGAAGCCTCGTTTTGTCTAGACTGAGTTGGAGCTGGAAGGTAGCCTCGTAGACGATAAAAGTATCCCGGGGAATTGGCGATTTGGGTTGGCAGTGTTGATATCGAAAGCAAAATCGGAATACTTGCTGAGGCACGTGTCGCTAGAGAGATTTAGGTACTTCCGGGAGAATGCGACGGTTGCGGCCAATGGTATGCAGCCAAGAGACTCTGCTATACCCCCTTTTGAAGTTGAAGAGTAGGATTCTTCAAAGATAGTAATTTTTGGTCAAGCGTGTGAGGTTGTTTGCCGAGGATCCAGGTGAAGAACATTCCCCTGCAAGATTAGAAACAGATTCAAAGAAAATCGCAGGCAGCGAGGCGAGAGCCTTGAAGTCAGAGTCAAGTTGTATACAAAGTAATATCATCCCAACATGGGACATCGAGAAGAAGATTAGTAAAACAGATAAGTCATGTCACGTCGCAACCTCCTCTTGGTTTGCCTTCTTCTCCCGCTCTTCTTCCTTCAACCTCCTCTTCTCTGCTAACTCTTGTCTCCACTTCATTCCATCTTTCATAATCCAAAACACGAACCCTAGCAACACCGCCATGACAAGCGCTATGAATGAAAACGCCCATCCCGGATTCATAGCATGGCACATTGGGATGATCGCCGCCGTACCACCGGCACTCATCATACACCTGGCGAAATTGACTGCAGCAGTTGCAGCAGCGGGTTTGTCGCGATGGAGATCGAGGAGCAAGCCGTTGGTGATGTTAAAAGCACCAGTGACACCAAAGCCCATGATGAACAGGGCGACTTCCGGGCCAACGATGTGTGTTTGATATTTGAGTGTCCAGCCGAAGATGACCACTCCGATCATGCCAATAATGTGACATGGAGTCAAGATTTGCAGACGAACGCGCTCGATGGGGAAGTTGGTGAGATCTTGTTGTTTGCCTTTGGAAATAGTCATACCAACAGCTTTAGCATAGCGGCGGAAGTTCCAGTCAACAACTCGACCTAGGGTGAGCGATGCAATTAGGGAAGCTACACCGTTGGAGATGTAGCAAAGACCGATGTGCAATTCATCAAGACCATATGCGGCGTAGAACAGTTCTGGGATGGCGGAAATTGTGACCATCTGACCCGTGAAGAAGAGACCGTTGTAGAATAAGATGATACCAGACTCTTTCTCAGCTAGGATGCGAAACGTCGCAAGCGGATTAGGCCAAGCGATCTTTTTCTTCTCTGGCTTGGGAGTGATGCCGTTGGGCGACAGCTTAGCGAGCTTGCGCGCTTGTATGCAGCTAATGACGGAGCGGTTTACACCCTGAGGAGGTATAGAGCCATTACCAACGACTTTCCGGCAAGTCTCAGGGAACAGAAATACAAAAATCACAAGCAGCACTCCGGAGAAGATCGCCAGAAACCAGAAAATAGATCGCCAGCCCAAATACTGCGCCAGTAGCCCACCTATCGTCGGACCGAAAGCCGGGCCCATTAATACACCGGCTTGTGCATAACCCATGTAGGTTCCTCGCTCAGCCGATGTAGAGACATCCGCGACGACTGCCATTGTCAACGCAATAGCAGCCGTTCCACCGACTGCTTGCACCATGCGCAGAATGAGAAGCGCAATGTAGTTGGTTTGGAGTGCGAGGCCGATATTGCCAATGCTGTAGATAACGAAGCATATGATGAAGGTCAATCTTCGTCCACTATTATCCGATAAAGTTCCGAGGAAAGCAGGAGCTATGGCTTGGGCGATCTAAGATAGTTAGTTGCAGTTACCGATATCGGTGGAAGGCACAAGGTCAGCGATACCTGAGCTGGAGAGAGCCCATGGGTAGCATGAACGTGTCCAGTCCACATCATACTAAGACTAACTGTTCAGACGTACCATGTATGTAGTGATCGAGATATTGACCTGCGTAGGCGTGATATCCAGCACATTGGATAGCACGTTGAGCGCTGGAAGGAACATAGACGCGCCAAAAGGCGATATCAGAGCGGAAATGGATACGAGGAAGATGATCCATGTCTTCATGCCTTTGCTAAAAACAGAGTAAGGAGGTTCAGAAACCTGGCGTTCCAGGTTGGCTTGCGATCCATCTTTCTCGACATCCAATTCCTGGCATCTCTCGTCCTCACTAGCAATGTCAATGTTATCGTCGCTTGTGTTGTCTTTCGTGGAAGCCATGGCGAGGCTGTTATGGACTCGGCATGCAAGGCAATGTGGTTTTGGGTAGCGTGTTAATTCCAGTAGATGCTTCAACAAGGAAGCAGTATGTAGTGGCGCAGAACCAGTGTCAGGGTCTCGAGGATGTGAAGCTGGGAGAGCTGTCGACGAGGTCATGAGGGTGCGTCCACCCTTAATCCACCTGGTCGCCTATCGAACATGACGCTAGTGCCGGGACGTGGAAAGGATGCCGTGCCCCGTTGAATCTCGCTCCGCAACATTGTTAAATCCAGGATCTGAATGCGTGTGAACGAAGTGATGTATGCAAGTCGGGCAGCAACTAGCCGATATTGGCCGACCGTTATGCAGGGTGAGAGTATTGGTTGAGACCCTATATGGGGAGACGCGGTATTATCGTGTTGTTGCTGTATCGCTCTGTGCATACTATGCGCCTCTGTGGAGCGATGACGCACCTGAAGAGGTCATGAAAGAGGCAGGTGGGCGTCGGGGGGCGTATTCCGGGGATAAAGGTGTCGGAAAGCTACTCCCGGCGCGCCATCGGGAGTGTTAATGCCGAGGGTTATCAACCGCCTAATGTTCAACCGACTCTAACAGAATCTGCGTAGATTGATGTTGAGACAAGCTTTCATAGCAAAACCTTGTCTACAATCGCGGACTGCGGTGTTGAGACTGATCCGTCTTGCCATCACCTGCGCCGCGCATGGCTTTACTCAATCCTTCAAAGCTGATGCGGCATGAGTCACTGTGATAACGCAAAGCAGAACCTTGATACTGATCAAATGTCTATAATCTTTTGTACATACCACCCACGCTTGTATTCATAACATCCTCAAGTACCCTGATCATTGAACGCCGATAACATGCTCTTTCTCGTAATGTCGTAGGTAAAGTCCTCTAAACCCTCGGTCGACTATGGTCCTTATGTGTATATATCGTCGTCACCATGGAAGAACCTCAACACCGCTTTCGCGACGAGAAGACCGTCATGCATCCAATCCGCTCTCTCAGCAGCTTCATCCGCTTCTTTCTTGCTCACACTCCCACTATCGACCCTCATCTCAAGTTGCCTCTTGACTAAGGCCTCATCAAACTCCATGTGACCTTGCGTGGTGAACAACCTCTTGTGGATATACACGCCCTGGACGCCAGTATGATCACTAGTTCCCCAAACGTGAACCTTAGTGTCCTTTGGTATTAAATCGGTCGTCTCGGTAGAAGGAGGATTGACGACGTGGTCAAGATGCATTTGGTGAAGGTGAATCTTAGTTTGGGTTTCGGGCAGATTGAAGAGATGGCGGCCAATGTCGGACAACTGAATCGGCTGATGGGACAGTTCCCATTCGCCATCCTTCTGTGGGTTGACCGTGGAGCCGAGAGTTCTGCAGAGGATTTGGTGTCCGAAGCATATTCCTGTGAAGCGAACGTCGGGGCGGTGTGTCCAAACGTCTATTATGCCATTAGCTATTGCCGTGTGCTCATACACCACAGATGTAGATGCATACCTTTGATAAACTCAATAAGTCTGAGGATCCAAGGATCATCACCGTGTGCGTCCCAGCAACTTCCTGTTATGAGGATGGCATGTACGTCGTCGCCAATTTCCTCTAGCTTCGGTATCGCGCCACCTTTAGGCTCAACCACATATTGCATGGAGGTCTCGATACCCAGACTAGGTTTGTGCTCGTCTCCAGCTTTCTTGAGAAGCTCACCTAGAACGACTCCGAAGGAGCCAGTCTCTTTTTGAGTGTCGGGATGTGTCTCGTCTGTCTCAAGAACAAGCATGCGGACTTTGTCCGGATGGTTGGACAAAAGTGTTCGGTTTTGTGCGATCGGTGGTACCATCTTTGCTGTAGTTGTGTGGAATTGGCGTGGTATAGGAAAGAAGAAACACTGTGGAGCAGCTGGTCTGCAGGTTGTAGTTTTATGTATGCAGGGTCCGGCCAATCTTTTGGGTAGCAGTGACGTCTGTCGTAGAAAGTTTTGCCCAGAAGTGACGACGCATGTGGGCTTGTACATAATCAGGTCAAGTCCGAGGAATCAAATGCGAATGACAAACACCAAGGCGCCGTCCAGAGCAGCCTCATGTAGTATACTCCAGCCTCCATCTTGGCAATGTCGTGTTTGAGGGTTCGATGACGATTCCGCTTTGACGTCGGGTGCTGTGGAGAGACTTTAAGGCCTAAAATTGAAATTTTAACGTAATAGCAGAGGCTTAAAGTCTTGGGAGCTCTGATGAATCCCGATGTCCCGGCCAGTTCGGAATAAGATAGACGCTAGGCATGCAGGTACTGAGGATCGATGTGGCTGCGTGGCTGAGCCAAGTGATCTGATTCGTCTGTCTATTTTGGCCGACTAATATCATGCTGTGGCTGAAATACCTACTCCACGCCCTTACCCTTCAGTTTCAAGTCTTCGGGGTCATGCGGGGCTTCGGCTTTCTTCCCTGTCGATTCCTTACCAGTCAAGACTTCGGTGAAGATCTTTCGCAGCGCTTCAATTGCCTCTTCGCCAATCTGGTAATGCACAACAAATCTACCACCGCGGACCCTTACGCCGTACTTCTCCGCTAGCTCGATAAAGTTGTTGATGTCAACATGATGCGCCTCGAGGTCTAACCAAACCATGTTGGTATCTACGGGGTATTGCAGCTTGCCTCCAAGGTCGGTCCAGATGCTTGCAATTTTCTTTGCGTTCTCGTGGGACTGGGTGAGCTTGCCACCAAGGAATGTCTCTTCAATGGCAACGCGCATTGGAGCTGCAACAACACCAGCTTGTCGCAAACCTCCACCAATAGACTTGCGAATCCAGCGGCTGCGCTTGATGAAATCCTTTGTGCCGACAATGATGCTACCGATGGGCGCTCCGAGACCCTTGCTGATGCACAGGCTTATGGTATCAAACTCGGCGCAGTAGTCTTTGAGGGTACCAGCGCCTGCAGCTACAGCTTCCCACAGACGTGCACCGTCCAAGTGCATTATGATGCCGTGTTCGCGCGCCCAAGCCGATATCCGCTTCACTTCAGACAGAGGCATTATAGCACCATTGAGCGTGTTTTCGAGCGAGATGACGCGCGTAGGGCAGGCGTGGACATCGTCGGAGATGACAGCGTACTTCTGGATGTCCTCCAGTGTGAGGTATGTTCCGTTCTTCGCATCAAGTGGTTGCACCATGGCTTGGCTCAAGGTCGCTACACCTCCAGCCTCGTAGTTGATGATGTGGCCTCGTCGGTCGCAGATGATGGCGTGGGGAGGTGTGGTAAGGTGTGCTCGCAGCGCGACCTGGTTGCCCATGGTGCCAGACAGCACCAGGAGTGCCTCCTCCTTCCCACTGAGATCGGCAACGAATCGCTCAAGCGAGAGAGTAGTTGGATCTTCCATTGTGACATCGTCAAGCAGGCTACACTCCTGGATTGCTTTCAGCATCGACATGGTCGGCGTAGTGTGCACATCGGAGCGGAAGTCAAAGGCCGCTGGGTTCTTCTCGCCGCCCCAGGCAGTGCCATCGTGGCTTGTTCCATTTGTTGTGCTCTTGCTGCTTTTGGCAGCGTACTGTGAGAACTCCGACATGGCCAAGTATGCTCGTGAAGTATGTAGCTGGCGCGGGGATTGAAACGCGGGGTGGACGAGGGGCGCGGTGAAGGCTCGATTACCCGTTTTCAAGGTCTTTGCTGGATGAAGGTAAGGTCAATCGCACAGTCGGTGGACGGACCCACGTACTGGAGAGGCGAGTGAGCGGATATAAACGCAGTGGCGGCATCGCGGCGGCATGTTGGAAGGAAGGGCGCAAGGCGTGAAGCAAGCCGAAGATAGGCGAGGCAGCTGGCAACGCGGAAAACCCGCTATTCCGATTCGCTCAACTTGACATCTACGACCATCACAATAGGAAGGCGACAATCCAAGTACCACTGTCATTGCTTGCATTGGAAGCTATTACCTGAGCAAAATCACCAGCGACCAAGCGACGAAATTGTTGAGAGAGGGGTTGGTAACACGTTCGAATGCATCGTGAGCTCAACGGCGTAGGGAACGCAGTCTTGTACTTGCCATGTTCCCCCTTTGAGAGACAGTTCTCAGCAGAATAGGAGGCTTGGATTGAGCCAGGAGTTATTTGGTTGGTGTCTCTGACACCCAAGAGCTATCGTTTTTTGTTTGGGTCGTTGGTAATGCAGTAGTCATGGGCACTACTCACGTGTAAGATGGTAGAAAATATGCCCGACTCCAACTTGACGCGCTTCATCACCTTCTACAGTGCGCTCACGTTTCCACCTCGGATCTCCCATACCAGATTTCACAATAAAAACTTCGAACATCATCTCTGTGCACGGGCAGAGGAGTTTCCAGTGGGGAAAAAGTATTACGATATCAGGGAGAACTTTATGCTGAGCAATCAGTGCAAGTTACACGACCATCCGACCGGACGATGCTGGAGGTCTTATAAGGTAGTCTGAGTTATGATCGCGAAGATGCTCCCGCTACAGCTCTCTACGCTTTCTCGTCCATTTCACCAGACATCGATAAACAGCGGTTTATGGACTTACGGCTAGCATAATGCCTTGCACGGAAGATTAGGGATTCTCGAGGGGAATGACAAGATGAGATTAAATCAGATGAGCGCTCAAGTAGAGCAGTTTGTCACCGTGGTGAGATCTTCTTTTCCTCTATCCCAAACGTGATCTTTGACAAGGATTTTGCTGCATGTGCGGCCGCCAAAGTATATCAAAGCTTCTCAGTAATGGAGACAAGTCAAAGAATCGGTAGTACTATTGTGCCAATCCACGTCAACGCCTTCACCCTCTTTCTTCTTCATTTCATCGACGAGTCTCTTCTTGGTATCTTCGAGAGGCTTCTTGGTAGGGACTATATGGATCCAAGTGTCAGGAACCACACGCTGGTTCATTTCCGCCATCTTCAGATGTAGTCTCACTCTAGAGATACTTGGGAATGTCTGGCGGAAATGTTTGCGAAAACCATCCCGATATCCAACGGGTATGTCCACTGAGATGACGAGCCGTCGCTGTCCGAGTATACGGGGTTTAATCCATCGACCGAATGTGTCGAGGTTGTCGAAACAGAACTTATTGAGCCGGTAGCCAATCGCTGATGTCTCAACATACATCTGTCGGCATACTTTGTGTATAGCGAAAGTCAGTGGGACAAAGCTGGACGAAGAATTCGGGCCTTTTATGAAAGGAAGCATGACATGTGTGAGCCTAATGTCCCCTCGAGTAGGCCAGTAATCACGGATATCGATCTGGTGATAGCCGGCAGTATATTGCCAAATCTTGTTGCAAATCTGCTCCGGAAGATTGAGCAGAGGGGACTGGAGGGAGTTGGCTTTGGCGCTGCTGTATGTCAGCTTTCGTACGATGGATATTATGGCATCAGACGTACATCTCCATCAGATCCGAGTGAACAGGAAAAATGGCCTTCATCAACCCATTCATGTACTTGCGACCCGGCTGTGAAGTCTTGCGAGTATCGAGAAGTTTCCTCTTCTTCACAACTTTTGTGCGCTTTTCGGGTGTCGGGTGATTACGAGGTGCCACAGAATGAGTGGACAGCTCATATGAGCCCATCTTAGAGGTTTGATGTATTCTTGTTGTTTGCATCAAGAAAGTGTAGTTGGAAGACAGCAAGGTCAAGAGAGCTTGACAGCTGCACCCGCAAGCTCGAAGACGCCCACATATCGAGCCACATCCTTCTAATGAGCGAAGTGCAAGAATCGATGAAGATGAGGTTTGTACTTCGAGACTAGTGGAGCCCCCGTGTAAGTTGAAACAGGAAGTGAAAGTGAAGGGAACGGTGAGCTGCCGACGCAAACACTTCCACGTTTGTCATAAAGCCTCACCGCAACATGCTAGTTTCCCGCAGAATGCAAACTCCTATGTGGAAATGCGCATATAATGTATTGATTGAACCCCACGGTAGCTGTGTATATCCTATAGCTTCCGTGCTCGCAGGCTAAACTTTGCGATTATGCCCGTTTCTTCCCACCAGTCTTCTTCCAGCCCGCACTTCTGCTCTTCCGTCCATTGGGACCCTTCTTCTTGCCTCCACTGCCCTTGAACTTGAGCCCACTCTTACCCTGCCTCTCACTCGCTCTGTGACCTTCAAATACAAAACCTTCCTTCGTTTGTGCCTTGGCGACTTTACCCAGCATCGACCTCGCACGTCCTTGTTGTGACTTCTGCTCTTCGGTAAGCTTTTGTTTGTAACCAGCACCAGGTTTGCCCTTTGCTGCTCCCGGTGTCTTGGTTGGCGGTGGTCCTCTCGGCTTATCCTTGTTCTTCTTCTCCGCTTTACAACGCGTCACACGAAGTTTGCGGGGAAGCATAGGCGGGAACATTTTCTCGTTGAGTTGCAGCGCGGCTTCCACGCCGTTCTCATCCACGAACTGGACGTAAGCGAACCCCTTGCCGACTCTCGTCTTTGCATCGCGGACTACACGCACGCTCTCGATTTTCCCGCATTTAGCGAAGTGGACCCAGAGACCTTCTTCGATGTCGGAGGCGGGCTTGTTCTTTTTGGGCTTCTCGCCTTCTGCCACGGGTGTTTGGGACTCGTCATCTACAAAGGGGAGGTTGCCGACGAAGACACAGCGACGATGGTCGACTTTGTAGGGATGGGCTAACGAGTCGACGTGGAGGTGACGCTTGAGTAGCATGGAACCGTTTAGTCTCTTGACAGCTTCTCTTGCGGCAATCTTGGTTGTGTAGACCACGTATGCGTTTGTGCTCTTTGTAGTCGCGTCCATAATGTCCTTGGTTGCAAAGGCAGCGCGTTTGGGGAGCGAGGTACCGAATGCTGTTGATCGGAAACGGATCGACTCGATCTTGTGCGGAGGCTTGTTGTCGGCAAGATCGGATATGAAGGACTCTAGATGCTTCTTGAGGGCCTTTTCGGCGGGCTTGGAATTTATGCACTCGACCGAGACATTGCTCAGGAAGACTGTGCGCGATGCCTTCTCTACTTCAGAAGCGCTCTCGTCGGTCTTCTCCATGAGCGACTCGTGCTTGGGGATAGTGAGGTCTTCGGCCTTGTCTGCAGCCTTGACATCTTCCGCTTCCTCGTCCTCGTCTTCTTCATCTGAAGACTCGTCTTCGTCGTTCTCGTCTGAAGACTCCTCATCCTCATCGTCCTCATCATCTTCTTCTTCTGTCTTGCGCTTCTTTTGTCTTTGCTCCTCCTCTTTCTCTTCCTCTCGTGCCAATTTTCGCATGTAGGCGTCCTCGATTTCCTCCTTGTCACCTCGCTTGCGCTTCTTGGGCTTTTCTACTGCGCCGTGCAGTGCGGCTTCACGCAGTTTTGCTAGAGCAGCCTCGTTCTTGGACTCGGATGCTTCGCTAGCATCTGACATGTCCGCGTCTTCGTCTTCATCCTCGTCGTCGTCGTCGTCGTCGTCGGGCAAGCTTCCAGATGCCGAGCTCAGTTCCGCATCGTTCTCATCGCCTTCGTCTTCATCTTCACTCGAGTCTTCGGTCGCTTTTCCTTGTACACGCGCTTGGTACCGTGATTTTGGAGGCGCTTGTACGGGACCCGCCTAGATATCAATTAGCAACCACTCTTCAGTACATATATACGACAGACGTACACTGGCCGCAAACAGCGATGCTAGCGCAGGGTCAAACGCGGTTTTGTCGACTTTGATGAATGAACTGTCTGACTTGTGACTCTTCTTGGGCGTGCTTGTCTTCTTTTCTGTCTTCGCAGAGCGTTTGTCCTTTGATTTGGCCATTGCGACAATCGAGATGTTGCCGACAGCAAGCTCGTCAAAAAGTTTTGGTGGAGACCCTTCACAGCGATTACGCGCTAGGCCCAGATGGCGCCTGCAGGCGGCAGAAAGTCACCGCCTGAATAGGGCAGTGCGGTCATTCGCAAGACTCTCAGGGCCTCTCCCGGCAGTCGACCCGCTTCTGAGCGCAGTTTACACCATCCCGACTAAGCTGCCCTCCACAATCACCCAAGACACACTCATGAGAGTCGCGGTTCCGCGTTTGCATTCCGACGTCTACAAACATCCCAGACCTGCCACCCCGTCGCTCCTGCCAGAAACATCCCCACACTCACCCTCGACGCCCGCGTCCTTCACACCAGCAACACTGTTTTTGACCGCTCACCGGACCCAGCGTCCTCGACCCCCCGCAACGCCCATACAACATCGCCGGCGTCTTTAGTATTACTTGCAACTCATTTTCAGGACATTGGTCACGAGTTGAGGCAGTCTTCGGCGTGGGCGCACTATGAGCGCGCCCGAACAGACTAGACGGAGCACCTCGAGAACAGCTCCTGGCCCCAGTGAAGAAGTCGCGCAGACTCAAAGTACGTTACCACCCACTCCGTATTGATCCTGATGCGCTCTTTCGGGTTTCTGAAGGGCAGCGTTGCGCCTTTGGTCGCCTCTCGAGCGACTGTCGATCTTTGCGTCAACAACCGAGGCGACGACAGAGTCGCGAACTTCCCTACCTCACCACGTCTATTACCCACGTCGTCCGAACATGCACCAGATCTAACAGCCCCTCACAGGTGCAATTCCAACACCCACGACAGAATTACCCGACCCCACTCTCACAACCTCTCAGCCAGACCACTCTGCGCCAGCGCAAATACCAACAGCCGCTGTCCAAGATCCTACCGCAATCGCTGCCGCGATGCTGTCTACAATGGCAGCTCCGACTACAGTGCTTACAGAATCACTGCCCGCCGAACAAGCTCCTAATGGCTTTGATGATGTCGCCGACAACGGCTCTAGCAGCTTGAGCGAGCTCGGAGACGCATCAGACGACCAGTCAGAACCCACACCACGGCCAACTGCAGTAGCAGACATGGACGAAGATGATTCAGAGGCCGAGACCGAGCGGTTACACAACACGCCTCGGAAGCTCGCGCGCACAGGTACAGAGACATCATTACTCTCCGAGCCTATATATACGAGAACACCAAGCAAGCTCGCGCATTCGAAGACTATCGAACACGACGAATCGGCTCCTCCCACACCCTCTGCCATTGGAGACGACGCAACGATAGGCGAGGCATCTACAACCGAGAATCCCCTGCATTCTCTCTCGCTGATCGCAGCATCAGAAGCGGCGAATCTCGAACATGTAGGCATAAAAAGGAAGCGTACCAGTGCCGAAGGAAGTCCAGTAGATGAGCGTGAAGAGGAACCACTACGGAAGCGAAGCGTAAACGCGAAGGCCTCAGCGCTTGATGGTCTGGCTGACGCTGCAGCGGACCGACAGGGACAAATGGACGCAGACGAAGAGCTTGAGAACGCTGAAGAGCACCTATCGGCCCTCGCACGAGAAGAACTAGAATTGGAAGAACGACAGGCCAACATCGCCGCGCAGACTGTCAGCGAAATGGCCACTGTCGCAAAACACGCGAAACCAAGGAAAGGTGGCAGGAGGGGGAAAAGAAAGACGGAGGACCCTAGCTATGCCTACGCCGAGACGTTCGCAGCTGCTGAAGCACACGAGGCTGAAGCCGAGGGCGAGCATGACGACGAGGATAGCGCGGTGCTCGACGAGGAAGTGACCAAGAAGAAGCAGGCCATTGACGAACTTGCAAAGATTGAAAAGAAGTTCAAGCTTTTCCGAGAGAAGTAAGCAACTTGCATGGGACTTAACCACAAGCATCAGCTGCTGACTGCCACTAGATTATGCGACGAGCAGATAGCGCAACTCGAACGGGAGCTTGAGATGCTTAAGCAGCCGAACTGTGTCCACCCCGAGTACGTTGCTATGATCAAATGCGTAGACGATCGACGCGCCGACAAGATCGCATACGAGGCGAGGCTCTTGGAATACAAGCAGAAGAATCTAGAGGTAATCACAGCAGCAGAGCGGCATCAGATGCACAGTCAATACTTCCAGACTGTGCGACACATCCGCGAGGAGATTCTTGAAGAGTGCAACCAGCGAGTATTCGAAATACAACGTGGGCGACGCCAGCTTGGGTGCGACGAGATTGAGTACATGGTACGACTACCTGAAAAGCGGTCAGATCAGATCAGACACCAAACAGCGTACAATCTTGAGGTTTCCGTTCTGTCAGGTGTCGCCAAGTACGTCGGGTTCCCAGCAGCACCAGACATCAGTGCTGCACGACCAACGGAGATTGATGAGGATCTTCGAGCAATGAAGGTAAGTGGCTGAACGCAACTGCTAGAGAACTAGCAGCTGATTCGGCGCGGTAGATTGCAACACGTGCTCCAGCACCGCCTCCTTCGTTCCGTACCTACAACAGAACGACAACAGCAGACGAGGCAGCCGCAGAAGAGCAGTTTCTAGAAAGCACGCCATGGGCCAACCCACGACATCCCTCACACCAAGAAGGTCGGTATCCTCCAGGACCGTCCCGCGTACCCAGCTACCAAACACCAGCTGGCCAACGTCGAATGGTCGATCTCTCAGCTCCCAACGGCTCTGCCTCTACCATCGAAGCGAACTCGAACCCCCCGTCATCGAACGCTCACAACGCAAACGGTCTGCGAGGCGAAGCAGAATCTCCAGTCCTACACATGAAGCGCGCGCCGGTCGATCATGCAGCGTACGCGGAGACGCCTGGCTCCGATCCTCGCAACAACATGGGTGTTCTGAGTAGAGAAACCTATGGGATGATGTCAAGTCCTGCAGCGCAGCACATGGATATACCGCACGAACAAGCTGGCCAACGTTGGGGTGGCAGCATGCGACCCATTAACGCAGAGCTAAACACAGCGCCAGGTCCACCGGGTGCAGGCCGACCAGATGCGGCGCGAGCACCATTGACACAACGTAGTGGCCTCGGTACTGTCAGTGTTGGCAGCGGCCTGTTTGGACGGTGACGTGCATGATACACGCTGAACCATTGTTCTCGACATCTGTTTTACTATCTGTTGCGTCTTCCAGTACAGTACCATTGGGCGGCGTTTGTTGCGGTAGACTTGGTTTGCATCCACAGCGGGCTGGCAAATTAACATGAGCATGACATGATGGGAGGTATAATCCCTTGGCGTTTCCGTGGCTAGTCATCTCCGCTTTCATGTATACCTCCCATGGAGGCTGTGTATTTTGTTTTGTTTAGGTTCATGTTCATACTTTCAATCCTTTGAGAGCGGGCTGTGTAATCAGGATGTAGGGACTAGGGAACGACGGAGATGATACCTTTTGATATCCGCGACGAGCACAATCAATGCTATTCTGATGCGCCAAAGTTTAGCTGTTCTTCTCCAAATGTGTCGTTTTTCGTAATCTATGTTCATCAACACACTCTCTTGGTCGCTGTTACTAGTACTGACGAAGCTTCTCGTCAGCCTACGGCGAGCTCGTCACCGGATTTGGACTTGACCTCTTCAGCGCTCACATAACATTCCCCTCCTGATCTTTCGGCGCTTGAGAACCTTGAGACCAAAGATTGACCCACCTCATCTAAGGTACCTTCCATGTCTTTACGAGAAATAAAACCGTCCACTATTAGTACTTGCCCTTGACAGAAGAAAGGTGAGTAGACGATGTGGAGATAACAAGCAGGCGAATGGGTTATATCCTAATCACACTGCTCTCGGCAGAAACATGAGAATACATCAATGCGTCTCTGATGGCTTGTGGTAGAACTTCTCGATCGAGTGTAACACGCGCTCATGCTCCGAACCACCACATTGAAGAATTGAAGCCGTCTTTCTGGCAATGTGCCGGCATGTCAAAGACTCTTCAGACAATAGGAATCTGGTCGTTATGCTCAGCTCATGTATCATCTCGACCATGAAGTGTCGTTCTGCACATTTGAGACATGCACATACATCCGACATCGCAGTCGTTTTAAAACTCGGCTATGCGTCTCTCAAAGGCCCAATTTTCCATGACTCACGTCTTGTTGAGGAGAGAAAAAGAGAGACACTGTATTCTCGCAGACGCGTTTTGCTCACACAACACATGGAATGAATAAGTTGGTGTTTCCGAATAATTGATGGACTTTTATATCAAACGTTCTTCTCAGCACTCATAGTGCTTGGTGTACGCCGTCAGAAAACGGGACTCACCTAGTCATCGAGATTTGGCTTCTTCGGTGTGGAGAAGTGGATGTGGTATGAAAGGTAGGTGAAAGTGACGCGGCGTTATTCTGTGTTGTGTCAGGGACACGGTGATTGGGCAGCGGACGTTTCCTTGGTCATGGTACAGAATGGCGGCTTTGAATCCAGCATTCGAACCATCAACATGCGCATATCAAATCTAAGTTAACATGCTACGTCTTTCTGAGAACTTGCAAAGTTTGAATCCCAGCGCTGAGGCTGAACGCAATAGGGATCTCCAGAACGCGTAATCCGTAACAGAACATGAATACTTCGGCAAAGATTCTTAGACTTTAGGTTCATGAGCAGAAGTACTAGAGCAGACCAACGTCATATCGGACAAGCTTACACAAAGGCCGAGGACGAAGCTGAAGTCAATGCGGGTGATCGTCATGATCACGATGCGGTCCGGTCACGAGGCATATGCGTCAAGATGGAGATCCCATGTGACAGACTGGACAGCTACAGCGGCAACCTGCATGAAGCGGACTGAACCCTTTTTCCAAAATCGCACTTGTGAGATCTGCAAAGGTGGCTGCGTATGTAGAGATGCGGCTCCTCTTCGGGGTGGAGTCCCGTAAAGCTCGTGGACCATGAACCTGCCCACAGCCCTTTTGAGATATGGTTCTTCACTCTTGGACCCAAAGTAAACTCAATTTCGCAAGAAGCGGAAAGCAAAAGGCCGAATCCAGTATACATCGTAACGCGAGTAGCTGATGAGGCTTTCGGCATATGGCCTCGGTAGATGCTCGAGATCATCGCCAATGCTTGAGCTTCGTCGATCACGAAAAGCAGCTGCACAAGTCGGTCGTTGAACATGTTAAAAGGAATATCACTAGGATGAATGGAAGCCCAGAGTTGGAGGCGAGACGGGCATGATCACTGAAGAGGTTGGTAGTCTTAGCATGAACGTCGGCTATGGTATTGATCGCGGGTCTCTTTTTCCCGGTGATAGGAGTAAGTATGCATATGGTGTAGAGGCCGCTGTGTGTCGAGGTTTTGCTTCCCAAATGCGGTCGCATATAGACATGGAGTCTTGAAAAAGTGGCCTAGGAGAGCAGCGATGACCAAAGGAGTTGGAAAATCAATTGGATGGCTCTCGATCAGGAAGTGACAATGTTAGCTTCCTCGTAACGTGGTCGATATCGAACTCGCATATACAAACGACTTTGGCTAGCCACCCGGGAGCAGTGATCGCTTTCGTCAAACCCACGTTGTGATCGTCGGTCCCTGGCAGATGCCGACGCGTGATGCCGGTGGCTGACCGTTTGGTACAGGCTACCGAAAGATCGACCCGTGCAGATCCGAGGGTGGTAAACGAAGGCCACGCGAGTGACTGCCATGTGTTCGCGTAGAGGCAGTTGCCGATGCCTGCGCTGGCCGCATATCGTCACGCGTGAGTCTGGTCACATTCAAAATTTGGTTCCCGAAACTTTGGCTGGTTACAAAGGGCGCGGCACGAAAGTGACAGTCAACGCTGACTTGTGGCTAGATAGAGTGGAGGCTTATCTATGACATACACAATATCAGATTGCCTGGGGGGCCGTAGACTGTAGGATCTGTAAGGACCTTTCTCTTGAATCAGCGACACTCAAAGATTTCTCGTGGCCTTTGGAGATCGTCGGGTTCGCTTGACGTAACGACACATTGTCGGCAGATGCCATCTGCTAACGCGTTAGTCAAGCCCAAGGGTACCACTGCGCTGGATCGTAAACACGTCTTTAGATGTGCGGTCAGGATGCTTGCGTATACGCCGTCCCAGCGATTTGCGCCATGGTGGCTGGATTGGCAAAGCAAAGAACCGCGGGGTCTCGCGCTTGTGATCTGGGGGATTACGACGTCGGACCGACAGCAAACCTTCGAAGCCTGAAGCACATCGCACCCCATTCGCGAAGCATCGTGATCCTGAGAGATGCGCATGCATGTTGTGCTTGAATCAAGGGAAAAGCTGCGAGTCAAAACTCACGCCATCGCTAGAATGCCCCACTAACATCGACTCGGATAGTCACGATTTCGAGCAAGCGAGAAAGGGGAAGAAGGTGCGCGTTGATAGCGACAGAGTTTCAACCCGTGGCATGGGTCTGTTTCGACTGTGCATCAGGTATACCTTGTAGGGCTGAGGTATCAGCTGGGACGTGTTTTGCATCCGTGTCAGGGAACATTGATGAATTCGAAAACTCACCTCGTACCGATGCCATTGAGATACACCGGTGTACAGAAGTTGCCATACCAATCAATAGCTGCGAACGACAGAATGCTTCGAATGTGGCTTGATAGTGTCGGAGGCATGGCTCCTAGACCGTTCCGACTTTTCTGGGTGCTCAACACGATGAGAGCTACCTAGCTCGAGAACGGCGAGATTGCAACCGTACCGAGAAGCCGCTGGGGGTGCTCAACAAGCGGCTGAGTCTTCAAGGTTACCACGGACCGTAGGCTAGGTAACGCGTTCCACACATTTCTACGGCAAGGTGGTATGGTGGTATGGAAGGTTGGTCGAAGAAATCGCTGTTTCTAAATCGTTTAGCTCCTGTGTTCCGCAATCTTTCCCGTCAGCTACACTCAGGCCTGCGCCAGAATGACATGTCTGTCATCGCGACAGTGCACAAACGTGCCGTTCTTCATCACAAGGCGAATGTTGTCAAGCATGGAATAATTGTATTCCAGCCTCGCGTATCTCAAATGCCGCATCGGGCTCCACAGGTCGATCGTCAACGCTGTGAGAGTCAGTGAACATGATCTTCGAAAAGCAAATAGGCCCCCATGTGGGTTTTGAGCCGCGAAGAGAGCAGCGGTCGAAGCCCGGCGACGGTTGGACGGACGCGAGGTGGAGTGAACGGCATGCAGATGCACTAGTGGCCTGCGCCAAGTCGTTTACCTATGCACAAAATCGCTCGCCTGTGGCGTTCCGGAACGAACCACCATCTTTGGTCAACCTTCCGGGACCTCAAATGATTTCATCTACACAATTTCAACCATGCTGTGACAGGGTAAACGGTAGTGATAAAGAAAGTTTGCATAGGTTTCGTACATTCTGTGCTAATCAGGCGGATATTTGAGTTTGCTGGTCGTAATAACGTCTTGTGGAGGACGTGTCTCCTTCCTGGACACCTCATCACCCTCCTGCATATTAAGCGAATTCCATCTAGCGTTAGGAATCCGCTGTTCCTGAAAAGTATGACCTCCGTCGTTGGTAGCGTCTGCCCTGCAAAGCGTCAGCAGAGGCCCACTTCAACTGGTCTGGGGCAACTTCTCCATTCGCCCTAAGTTTCAGCTGGGCCATTGGTTGCGTTCAACAATCATGGAATCTAGTGCAAGTCCTTCCGTGCACATGCCAGGGATCACCTCTACGGCGAGAATTGCACCTCTGGTACGGAAGATGCATGACCCTCGAATAGCGGCACTACAGGGAGGCGGTTCAGCCCCACTTCATACCTCAATCTGCAGTTGCCGTCCGTCATACCCAATGGCTAAATGTACCTGCATTTATTCCTTTCCGTTATGGAGTCTCATATAGATCAGGCCTGAGACTAATCGACCTGGCCTGGCATTTCTGACAGCTCTTGATATTCTCCGACCTCCCAGGGAGTTTATAGTAAGGGTCTGTTCCGGATCAACGCTTTCTTTTCGTTTCCGTCTCTCACTTCCTGGCCATTCGATCGTACACGGAGTCGTGTACGAGTACGAAGAAGGATGAGGCTCCTACAATTGTTGCTCCCGTTGCTGGCATGGGTGCAGCTAGTAGTCGCTCAGGAATCGGCTATGCTCGCTGTGGCCAAGCAACTTCCCAAATGCGCGGTATGTACAGTCTGAGCACTGCTCTCAACACGTACTGATGGGGTTCTTCAGCAAGTGTGCCTTACTGAGGCAGTCGCCCAATCGCCCGTTCAACACCCGGACCTGGCCTCAATATGCGCAGATGCTAAACTGCAAGGCGAGGTAGAAGCATGTGTTATGCAATCGTGTACACTGAGACAGAGTCTGAGTGAGTGCTTCAGTTCCCATCATTGTGTCGAAAGTTACTGATTGCCATCCTTAGCGACCAAGAATGTTACTGCAACAGGTTGCCACGCTCCGACACGTTATTCTGGCGAGTCCATTCGCGTATCCAACTTAATTCTCTCAATCGTCACCGCCGTCTGCGCGCTCACCAGGATTATATACAAGGCTGTGTTCTCCATCGGAGAGCTCGGGTACGATGACTACAGCGTCTTGGCCGCACTGATAGCCGGTGTACCATCTGTCGTCATCATCGACAGGGCCATCGTTCCAAACGGTCTCGGAAGAGACGTATGGACAGTCAGCTTCGAGCAAATCACCAACTTCGTCAGATATCTTTACGCCTTGGAAATCCTTTACTTCATTCAGGTTGCTCTTCTGAAGCTCACGCTCCTTTTCTTCTTCCTTCGGATATTTCCAAAACCTACAATCAGGCGTCTGCTTTGGGCAACCGTTGCGTTCAACTGTCTCAACGGTGTTGCTTTCACGTTTGCGGCCATCTTTCAATGCCGACCGATATCGTTTTACTGGACAAAATGGGATCAAGAGGGATCTGGCCAATGCATCGACATCAACGGATTAGCGTGGACAAACGCCATCATCAGCATCGTCCTGGATGTCTGGATGCTCGCTTTACCCTTGTTCGAAGTTTTCCACCTACAGCTCTCCTGGCGCAAGAAGCTTAGCGTTGCCGTTATGTTTTGCGTCGGCACATTGTGAGTCACTTGGTAGATAATCACTGGTGGGCCATCACTAACACGAAACTCAGTGTGACCGTCATTTCAATCCTGCGCCTCCGATCTCTCGTCAACTTCGCCGCTTCTGCGAACCCAACATGGGATCAGACGGACGTCATCAATTGGTCGAATATCGAGATCAATATTGGAATCATCTGCGCCTGCTTGCCTGCACTACGCGTCATCCTCGTTCGTCTATTCCCCAAGGTCCTCGGTACGACCAAGGCCACCGACCGACCCTACTACGCATACGGCAGCCAAAGCCATGGAATGAGGAAGGGGGGAAGTGCGCTGGCTAGTGGCCCAGGAAGATCAGCCGTCTCAAACGGTGGGCGAGATCCGAACGCTATCACATATACCAAGACTTTCGAAATACGGCATGCAGATAATGATGAGCAGTCACTCGTGCAGATGGAGATGGATCAGTTTGGACCGAACAAACAGAAGAATCCAAGTAGCAGCACTAGTATTTCGAGTTTGTAGATATAATATCTTAACAAAGCCCTAGTTGCGCCACCAACACTCAGAGACGAAGCCCCATTTGAATATTCGAAATGTGGTCCTGAAGGTAGCAGACGTCGACACCAACCCTACGCAGCTACGGCGCACAGGGGTATGCGAGCCGATCATGCACACAGCCACAGCCAGCTGCACCTGGGCGGCTACCGCAGCAGTCCCACATCTGCCTTATTCAACAGTCTTTCTTCCCAACTCTTACGAGACAGTGGATACGAGTGCGCTTTCTCTTCCGGATGAGCTAGGCTTCTCACCCACAGAACTATCTGCGGCATCCGTTTTCCCTCCCCCGTGTGGCTGCGCACAGAAAGAGCGCACGCGATCTGAATTGCGGTCCCTGAGAAGCTCGGCACGTCTATGTCACCTCTGGCAATCATAGCTTCATTGCAGTTGTTGAGAGATTCCATGAACAAAAGTTAGAGCGCGACGATTCGAAAGTACGACTCTTGTCCGGAGGAGTGGAAGAATTGAGCGGCAAATATGCGCCTCTTACATGCGACAACTCTTGAGTTCGAAGTCTTCCACGACAATCAGACTCCGCGATATCTTATACTGTCTCATACTTGGGGAAATGAGGAGGTTACCTATCAAGACATGCGCTTCTTGCAACAGTGTCATGCTTTGCCCTATAGTCTCAACAACAACAGCATACTCATGGCCGCGTTGGAAGCGGCCGCAGGACTGAAGATCTCCGCCATGGATAGAATCCCTGTTCAGGCTCGCACTGGTTACGAAAAGATACTAAAAACGGCCAAGCTCGCAAAGGAGCACGGACTGGACTATTTCTGGATAGACACCTGCTGTATCGACAAAAGCAGCAGTGCCGAGCTACAGGAAGCAATCAACTCTATGTACCGATGGTACCAGCAATCCTGGTTATGTGCTGTATATCTGGAAGACGCCTTTCCTGCGCGAGATCAGTACTCTGGTGTGCTGTTCGAGTTTGATATGGCATCCATGCTACGGGGATCCAAATGGATCACTAGAGGTTGGACTTTGCAAGAGCTTATTGCCCCTGAAACTCTTGAATTTTATGACCGAAAATGGGGACTCATGGGCTCCAAGATCGATTTTTATGCTGCGGTGGCTGAAGCAACCGGGATCCCTCCCACTGTGTTATATACCGGCGACCTAAGTCGAGTTTCAGTCGCACAGAAGATGTCTTGGGCAGCTAATCGCGAAACGACGCGAGTGGAAGATCGCGCATACAGTCTGATGGGTCTCTTCGGGATACACATGCCTATGCTTTACGGAGAGGGCGACAATGCGTTCAGGCGGTTACAAGAGGAGATTATAAGAACGACTCCCGATGACTCAATCTTTGCATGGAGAGCAGTTGAGGGGTCCATTTCCAGTTGCTCTGGCCTATTAGCGAAGTCACCCGATGATTTCGAAGGATCACAGTTTATACAGTTTATGAGGGACGGCCGTACCCAGTTTGCTACATCAAACTTAGGCCTGAGATTGGAAACGTGGATTTACCCATTATTGGATGGGGGCTGTGATGAGGTGTGGGACGACTCGATTTTTGCTCTCTCGTTGTGTGTGATGGAGAACAGAAGCACGGTTGCTTTACTCGTTCGACGACTTAGCTCAACGCACTACACTAGAGTCTCTCCAGACACCTTCAAGACTTCCAAACATCTGTCTGCTAGTAGGAGCAGTCTCGAGACGGTCTATGTCGAACACACACCCCACATTCCAAGCTCTTTTCGAAGCCGTGCGATGTATTACTTCCAGTTCCAGTTCGACTCTACAGTATATCGTATTCAAAGTGCACAACCAGAACAGCTGTGGGACCCAATTCACAACCACCTTTCGATCAGTTCCGAATATCTTACAGACAATAGTCTGAAAAAGAAGGAATACTCAGGCGCGCCCATGTTTTATGGCACGGTTCGGCTGTTTCACCGAGGTACTCTCTCCTTAGCATGTTCGATCAACGTTGGGCACAACTTCCTGACCGGACAAGCATGGTTGAGGCTTTTGAATTCTGATTCTACACCCGCGGATGCGCATTGGCGTAGCGTATGTCAAGAATCTGAAGGGTGTCACATGGAAATGCCGCCAGCACCACCCTTTCGAGTGTTGCGAATTTCTGAATCCGAAGTCGTTAGAGTGACGATGCTTCCTGGCTTGCATCGCGGTATGATCTCTTACATTGTTCAAATATCTCAAGAGCAGAGTCCATAACCCTCTATGCAACCGACGCTGCATGATTCACTTATACACGACTGTAAATGATGTACGTGGCTGTGCTCAAGATCTGGATTATCGTCTCATGGCAAAGCCTGTACTAGTTGTCGACATCTTCGGCTAGTTCTGGGAGGTGGTTCATTCCCTATTGTTTTCATATCCCCGGTTATTTAGCGATCCCGGCCTGCAATATGGATGTCCACTTCACCCAGCTTATCTGCCGTAACCGACTGCCATTGGGCCGAACACAGCACTCAAAAAATGTGAATAGTACACGCGGCGTAAACCTCTTTATATGTAATATAGTAACTCATTTGAAGATCGTAGCCATAGCCGTGGATAGAGCCCCTACCCGCTGTCAGGTACAACATATGCCGAGCCATCTTTGATGCAGCGCACCGGATCTTCTAGAAACCGATTGCATGATTCCGCGGCCTTATATTGGTGATTATCTGCATTTCTAAAACCTTCATCTTGAGACGCTGCGGTATCATGTCTATCCTTCTCCCCCTCTATGTGTACCCAAGTGCAGGCGCGTGGGATCCGCTGTACGCTGCGTACGTATACCATTTCCCACCGACCTCTTTCACACACTGACAAAGTCCTAGAGCAAAAGCGCATAGAAATGTAGACTTTACCGTCATCATCAACCCCTGCTCTGGCCCTTGCATGGGATCACTCCCCGACCAAGTGTACCTCGATGAAGTTCCCAAACTTCGAGCCTACCCAAATATCCGCACATTGGGATATGTTGCAACGGACTACACAGATAAGCCCATCGAAAGCGTATTAGCAGAAATCGACACCTACGCGCGCTGGCCGAAAGTCACAAACATCACCGGGATGCGCGTCGACGGAATCTTTTTGGATGAGACACCGAGTACTTTTGATGAAGATGACTACGCGTATTTGAAAACGGCAAAACAAGTAATAAAGAACAGCACAGCATTCAGTGACCGCTTCATAGCTCACAACCCCGGTCTGATACCCACCTCCATCCTCACCTCGCCCACTGTGCTTCAAGAATCCTACCTCAACCTCACCGATCTCACCGTCGTATTCGAAGAGGCATTCGACAAATGGCTTGACCGAGACGTTATGGTTCCGTTACAAGCACACAAAATTCGGCGCTCAAAGTTGGCTGTGATTCTGCATTCCTTGCCGAATCTGAGCGAAGAAGTGCTAGACTTTATGGTACAGCAGGTTGAGAACACAGCGGATTGGGTTTTCCTGACAGACAGCGCGGATGACTATTATCACAGTTTTAGCGCGATGTTTGGGGACTTGGTGAAAGCGGTTGACGGAAGTAGTTGAATGGGGTAGTGAGATTCAGACGTTGATAATCCCCACTGTGGTCCAAGAGTCCCAGACACGCACCTTGTCATGCTACTGATCTTGGACATCAAGCTGCATGAGTATATGAGAACCAAAGAAACCATCAATTGAAGGCCATAGGGAAGACCAGAAGCGGTCAGGTATACTCAAAGAAGAAAAAAAGGTAAAAAGAACTTCTACGTGAGCCGACTCACACTCCCACAAGACCTCATCCGCGTGGTTCGACATGTGCACACTGAATTGGTCGAATGTGCCTACCATGCATCACTCAATACCCCTTTGCCGCTCTTCTTCACCATCTAACAGCATTCTGCCGCACACTCGCAGCAATCAGCACAGCACTCGCAACCCTCCTCGCAAACGAAACAACAGCAAAGTGTCGCCAAACTAGACTCACGTTAGCCCAATAATCTTCTCAAACCAGAATGCCTCGCTTCGAAGAGCCGTGTTGACTTACCAAGCCGCCAAACAACCCCTATCCTTCTTCTGCTTTGGTGGAGGACCCTGTTGATACTGTCCCTGAGGAGGACCGTAGTACATTTGTTGTTGTGGCGGTGGAGCGCCGTATTGTGGTTGGCCATAGCCTTGGCCACCTGGGGGACCGTAGCTGTGAGGATAGTGTTAGCATCTTTTTGTTCTTCCAAAACGTAGCCATTCTGCGCAATGGTGAGGAGATTCGGGGTGCGCGAGACTTTGCGACGCATGTCCAGGTCGTGGTCTTGGATTAGGAAGCAACGTACCTTTGCTGTGGGTACTGAGGACCGCCTTGGTAGTAGCCTTGGTTTGACATGTTGTTTAGGCTTTTGTGGAGATATATGCGCGGGTTAGGAGTCGCGGTGTACGTTTGTTGGACGTGTGTTCACAAGTCGCGCGTTCGTCAATGCCCAAGTGATGTAGGTAGGATGAGGCAGCAACCGGCGGTGATCGATTAGGTAGCTGTCGCGTCGCAAACCAAGCTTTCGCCGAGGAATCCTCAGAATCTTAATTTCTCGCTTGCGAGAACCGTGTATTAGAGCCTTTGACTTCGTTCTTCGAAGTCAGGTTAGGTGTAAAGGGATGTAAGGCTGGAGGAGATACAGTGGAGCCTTGTACGGGAACGAGGGGATGCGCCGCCTTTAAACTGCGCGCACCCTCTCACTCACTCACGCGGACATGCATCACTCGGCCCAGCCGGTCTATTACGCTAGTTAGCATGAGCCACATTCGCAGTGGGCCGAGTTATTGGCGCAAATAAGCCGGGGTGCGAAGGCTGCTTGGTGTGCTTTCGTCATCGCCACACATGCTTGTCATGCTTTTTGGCAACGCGACATCGGGGATTTCCAGTCGCGGCTGCATGATGACGAAGACTTTGATGATGCAGTTGGCCGATGTATGCTTACGATTCTTTACTACGAGTTAGAATACCTGACAAGCAGAGCCACAAACGTGTGCGCGGTTTTACATGGATACGACATCGAATCGGCCAACCAGCCAGCCACAGCAGGGATATTCGTGCCACCTGATGTGTCAGGCTAAGCTTTACTTGGCAAAGGCTTGGTCGCATCAGTTTCGCGCCAAGGGTGAACGACAGCTCGAGACAAGGGGTTAATCCATTCTGCACAGTTAACATATGCTACGTACAAACTCTCTTACAGTGTCGCATTTTCGGAATGCCATTGTAGGTTTTCGAAATGTCTATATTATCGAAGCTACACTTCTCCGTATATCCTCTTGAGTTGCAACTCAGCCATCGCACCGCGCACGTCAGCCTCAATCTAGAACATGCAATACCGGGCCGATAGGGAGGCGCACGCTGACTTTCCACACCAATTAACATCGGGCCTACCAAAATACTCAAATCAAGACTGTAACCGTAGAGCAGCAACAACGCCATACTGCATGTAATTATGAATATTGAATGCGAACAAGTGCGATGTGAGCTGATGAAGAATGCTATGGTGCCTTGCGAATCCACTCCTCCAAACGACGAACAAATATGGTAAAACTTATGTACATTTACATATGGCAGTAGGGTAATTAAGTGGGTGCTCCATAGGTAAGCAAAGGGGCGCGAAAGGATCAAATAGCCATCACAAGCGGGATTAGAAGCCGAATGGGTTTTGGGGCGCTGGTCGATGGTTAGAAAGTGTTTGCAAAAAGATATGATCAGGTACTTACTAGCATTGGCAAGGTTCGCCCTCCCCGTCGGCTGGGGTGTAAGCTTCTTCGCAGGCTGTACACCAAACTTGATGCTTGGAGGTGGACCCGTCTTCTGTGGCACCAAAGGCTGTGCCGTAGGCATCGAAGGCATTGGCGGCATGGGAGGGATAGGCGGAGCGCTTTGGTAACCAGTCGGTTGTGGCGCAAGGGCCGGGGGCAGGAAGCGGTTGACGCCAGTCGCCTGCGGGTTAAGTGGGGATGGTTGGAACGAGTTGTAACCCGTGGGCTGAGCCTGGAGTGGCTGGAATGGTGCGCGTGGTGGGTCGGCAAAGGGACTGCCATTCCCGAAGCCTTGGGTGAAGTGGGGCTGTTGTTGGAAGCCAGTCTGCATGGGCTGCTGGAAGCCGGTTGGCTGCTGCTGCTGGTATTGCGCAAACCCAGTCTGCATAGGCTGTTGCTGGGGTGGAGACATGGGGTTGTAGCCTGTGGGTTGCGGCATCATGCCGTTCTGCTGGAATCCAAAACCGCCATTCTGCTGTGGGAAGCCTGTCATTTGCTGTTGCATCGGTGGCATACCCTGCATGCCTTGTCCTTGTCCTGAGTTCTGGCCCATCATGTTGGGGTTGTAGCCTGTGAGCTGAGGTTGTAGAGGTGGAGGAGGACCAAAAGCACTCTGTTGCGGGTTCATAGGGGCAGAGGAAGACCGCTGTGGTGGTGGAGCGATGAGACCACCAGTGTTTTGCTGCTGAGGAGCTTGTGGTCGCATGCGTGGCGGAGCCATGTTTTGAGGTTGGGTAAGAGCCTTGATGGCCGCAACCTGTTCGAACAAGGTAGGAGTAGCGCCCGTCGGTTGTGGCTGCTGAGCGGGAGCGGGAGGTTGTTGAGTAGGTGCTTGCGCCGGCTGCGGTGCAGGAGCAGGAGGTGTTGGCTGAGCAATCTCATCAGGCTTGAGCGCAGGCATATCTAGGAGGGATAGGTCGTTCATGGATCCAGTCAGCTGTGGTGGTTTCGCTGCAGGTGCTTGTGCCGGAGGTGAGGAAGCTGCTGGCGCAGATGTGGACGCGGTCTTGGATGGCTTTACATCCCACGCATTGTCATCAAATCCGTTTGTGGTCTTGTCAGGGGTGGGTGCGGATGCTAGCGGTGTCGGAGTACCATCTACGGGCTTCTTGACGGTGTCATCGGATTTTGGTTCAAACGCCTTGGGATCAACGACATCGTTCGTTTCAACAGGTGGTGCAGGACGTCCTTTGCGAGTGTTGTTTCTCAGTGCACCCCCTGGGCCGGAGAACAACCCACCAGAAGCTCCCTCTCCTCCGTCTTCAGCGTTCCGCTTGTCCCTTCCGAGCTGTGCGTCCAAGTGCTTGGTCACACGTAGAATGTCACCTTCCTTGAGACCCAACGTGCGTAGAAGCCCAGGGGTAATATCTGGTATGTTTTCTTCCGTCATTTCATCCTTGGTAAACGCCCTAGCGTAGCGTTCGCAAATCTGCGGGTTCACACCACACTTCAGGAAGAAGTCGAACCAATCGTACTCTGGCTTCCTCTCGACAGAGATACCAGTTGAACCCGAATCCTTCCCGCGGGGCTGTTGCATGCTCTTTCTCTTCAAATCCGACAAAGGCTTGTCGTCATCCAGAGACTCTCCTGTGACGCGTTCCACGTATTCGAGGTCCTCTACGGACATCTTTGTGACAGGTACGGCGATCTTGACTCCATTAACTTTGTGTAAATGAATCTTGCCATCCTTGATGAGGATAAACTCTGCTTCAACCTTGAATGATCCGGAGCGGTCTGTCCAAGTGCGTACTTTGGCGGAATCTAACACTTTTGATTAGCATCTCTCCTCACACATAATGTGTGTTCTTGAGTCCCACTAGGTAAATGTCCAGCGTCCACCGAAGGCGCGGACCCCTTTACAGGAGACAGATCAAGAAACTCAAGTAGTGAAAGTGCTGTATACTGACTTGGCTTAGACGAGGACTTTGAACTCGAGTCTTTTGCGGAGCTTTCGCGCTTGCTTGATGATCTCTGTGAAGTACGACGATGGTCAACATTTGTTTGCATAAGACTAGAGTTACGCGAAGGCAAGTGCAGGCCAGGGCCTACCTGATCGTTCCTTGCCTCACTTTCTGGCCTCTTCTTTCTTGAGGCCTGGCGAGCAAGCTCCTCTTCCTCCCGTCTGTTCTGTTCGACAATGGATCGACCCGCGTTGGTTCCCGATCGAGCGATGGCGGCTGCAGGAGCATGTATGGGGGCAGTTTCTGTGATTTCAACGTAGTTAGCTGGTACGACACCCTCTTTGCCATTCTTCAGCCGCCTGACTTTCCACCATTCGTCACTGGCAGAATCGTCGAGGACCAAGATCTCGTCGCCGAGACCTACGGTAACCTCGTCATCGCCTTGTGCCATGAAGTCGAATAGCATGACGCCCTTCTTTTGCACATTCGAACTTCCCGAACCAGCAGCGAGTACTTCGCGCAGTCCTGCACTCTTAGCGGCTCCTGCAAGCTCACCAAGAGCCAACATGATCTCCGATGCGGTGTCTTTGGCACCGCAGTGGAAGTCAACACTCTTGCTTGGCTGTTTCAACTCCATGAATATGTGTTTGCCTTCTTGCGAGTAGTACTCCATCTTTTCTGCGCTCCATTCCTGCTGTGGTCCGTCGCGCGACTTCTCAGGTGCAATCATAATCATTCCTTTCGGAATGTTGACGCCCAGTGTGATTGGCATTTTCTTATTCTTGCCCGGCTGTGTGATGTACTCGTAGATGTTGTACAGATGGTATCCAGAGCCGGACACGGGCGTCGCGGGCTGCTCATCCCTACTCGGAGGGTCATACTGGTCGAATGTAACGCTTCGGGGAGGGGGCGATCTAACTGGAGGTGATGGGGACCGCGTATGTGCGTATTGAGTTGGTGGAGGTGAGTATACTTCGGATTCGGGCCGTGTGGGAAGACGAGGCGGTGGCGCTTCTTCGTCCGACTCTTCTGGGGTGAACTGTACACGTCGTTGTTGTTTCGGAGGCGCGGTTACATTGGGCGGTGGAGAGATGGTTGATCGCGGTGCTGCCTCTTGCGACTTTTTCTGTATGATGCCAGCCAGAGCAGCAGCGGGACTCTGCGTTGGGGGAGTGTCTGGAGTAGGCGGTTGGTCGTCATCAAAAGAGTCCCTCGCTGCTGGCATTGGCGGGCGACTAGGCAACGCTGGAGATGCCACAGCTGCTGCTGCTGCTGCCGCGTCATCTTGAATAAGCTCGATGTAATTCGCTGGTGCAAAGCCATAGTCTTTTTCCACTCCCACCAGCGTCCAGTCGGGGTCCGTGGTATCGTAAACGTCTAAAATAGCATCTTCTTTGAAGGAGAGCTCTTCGTCTGTCTGGCGGTCGTAATCGAACAGGGCTTTGGCTTGGGCGATGGGTGCGGCCTACGTGCATGGTTAGCCTCCAGACTATGGAATTCCACAGAAACGTTGTCGTTGTGTTTGATATAGCTTTGCGACCCAAGCTGGGCTTTGTGTTGTAGGTGAGGCGCAGCATACCTCTTCAATGTAATTGTTCGGAATCAAGCCCTCAGGCTCCTCGTCGTCTCCATCGCGTCCCTTCTTCTTTGCTTTCCACCAGGCGTCAATCGTCGACTTCTCCAGCACCATCAGGATGTCGCCCTCGTCAAGGGCGATCTCATTGCTGCTCTGGGGCTCATAGTCGTATATGGCGCGGTATATGCCTAGGAACACCATTGTGGCGGCTACAAGTGCGGCGCAATCTCAGAAAGTGTATACAGCGTGTCGGGGTAGGTTATGAAAGGTATGTATAGCCTGTATCGATACGCATAAACTCGGCGGAGGGCCACGGGGGTGCTGTTGCCGTTCGAGGGGCCAGCTGGACAGGGGGAAGCTGCTCGACGCTACCAGATCGGCGGCCAGCAGCTAAAGAAGCAGGAAGCAGACAAATTCGAATACAATAAAATGCTAGGAGCGCTTAATGACCAGGACTGCGGGGATGCTCGTGCTGTAGCAGCCGGGAGTGGTGAGACAGATGGGAGTTGGGTCGACGATGCTTGTGAGCAACTCAGCACGAGCCAACCCGCCTTGTCCCAGACAGTCCCCACACCGACGTCAACCCGCTTTCATCCCATGTTCCTGCGACTTGTCAAGCGTGCCTGCGAACGGCTTTCTGCGTGACAAGCTCACTCCTTCTGCTGTTGCCTGGATAGGTCACTCGCTCACAAATCACTTGTCTGAGCCCTTTCGACGCAGAATGATGCCCAATTGCGCAGGGTATACGTAAGCATAGTCAGAACTAGGGATTATAGTAATGCGAATTGGAATACTGGTAGAATAGATTTTTCTTCAGGGTCTGCCTTAGGTCAACCGCATTCCACTCTACGCTCTTCACCTAATACGTAAATCTGAAACCTTCCGTCCCTTCCAATAGTCGCTTTCCCCTAGTCTGCCGCTTGTTCGATGTATAGAAAAACACCGAGAACACACCAACCAGTCCAATGATCAAAATATGACTCCCTATGCTCACCCAAATCGCCGTCATATACCTTGGACTCTCTGATTGTCTCACAATGAAGCTTCCGGCAATGCCTCCTGCCCCGTTGAAGGCTGTAACCATTGCTGCAGTGAAGACCCTCTTCCACTGCCCGACGATGTTATTCGCCTGATAAGTCGCCATGGCAGCCCAGTTTGCCACATATGCACCGGTTGCAAGGTAGGTGCCGATATACCTCACTGTGACCTGGTCCGAGAAGCCCAGCATGCAGAACCCAATAATCAGAGAGACGCAGTTGAAAACTATGATTGGCCCTCTCAATTGAAACTTGTCGCCGATGATCGAGGACAAAATAGCGGGAAGAACCGCGTAGTCTAAATGTAGGTGTACAAAGTCAGTATATGTCTCACATGCAGTTCGTACAGGGACACTTACAGTACGGTGGCGCAGATAGTAAGATCGATTTGTTCGAAGAAAAGCCCATGCCGCCTTGCAGAATGATGGGCAGGAAGTAAGAGAGTGACGTCGAGACAAGGTTCTGCAGGAAGTAAAGGGTGCAAAATCCGTAGACTTTCACATCTTTGGCGTGAACGAAGACTTTGGACCAGGCGAAATCGTCAGGCTTGACATCGCCTCGGTCCTTTTGGATGCGAGAAGATGCCAATGCACTTTCGTGGGGCGTGAGGAAGTAGAAAGAGTTCTGCGCGTGCTCAGGAAAGTCGACCATCCACCAATAGGTCAAGATACCAAAGAACGCGGTGATGCTCCCCTGCACCACGAACATCCACTGCCAGCCTTTGAGCATTTGGCCGTCGAGCTGGTTGAGCCCAAAGTTGACAATGCCGCCTGTTGCCAAGACAATGACTTCACCGCTCTGCATCAAGGCAAAACGAAGCTGTTGCTCTTTCCGCGTATACCATGTCGAGATGAGATATGTCAAGCCTGGGTAGATACCCGACATGGCGATACCGAGAAGGATGCGGAGTGCGATCATTTGCCGCCATGTTTGTACGAAAGCCGTGCACAGTGTGATGATGCCGAAGCAGAAGGTGATGAAGGCGAACCAGATACGCGGACCAAATGTCCGAACAGCAATTGTTGATGGTAGCTGGAAGGCAATACTCGCAATCGTGAAGATGAAGATAGAGACGGAGTATCTGTTGCCGACGTCCAGTTCCAGATCGCTGAGCATCGATGTAACAGATGCGCTAGATATGACGCCGCTGTCGAGCAGATTGAGTGAGCACAAGATACCCGCGATGCTGCAAAGTCGAAGATCGACCTTCATGCGAATGCTGTTGCGCCATTCTTCTTCGATTATATCTCTTTCCTGGTCGTCAAGCTCATCATATGGATCGTCTTGTACTTCTCGGATTGATTCATCCGCCGAGTGTTGGCTGGCTGTACGCTTCGTCATGTTTTCGCGGTTGTGATGAATGAGGGGCAGGAGGGTTGTACGACGAAGAAGTCATCATGTAGGTCGCACATGGAAGTAGCCAGAACAATGCTTATCGTAACACACTCGAAATTGGTGTACATATCCGGTATGCAGAAGCTCCGCACTTCTCAGGTGCAGATCTCCGGTTACTTGCCGAGGCGCGGTTCCGCACACGAATTCCGCAGCGAATTACTTAGCAATGACCAATCCACAAATTCGGATATTTGCACTCGGCTTTCCATGAATCCGCGGGTCGCACGTGCGATTGAGCATGTCACAGGTCTGTTCACAGTCAGGCACGAAGCCGAAAGTTTTGAGAGATAAAACTAGCATATGAAAAGGCTGGTGCAGCTCCGACGAGCATGACGAAACAACCTCAGTCCAAAGTACACTCTACTGAGCTCTCAATTTTTGACACGAAAAATGCTCTTATTTCTCGGTCGTACCTCACGCAGAGTACAACTTGAGGATATGAGCTTTTTTTGTAGCGCAGATATGCTCATGATCTTTGACAGCTAGCCGACATGCGATTGTGGTACAGATCACAATCCTCAACTGGGGAAACATCATAATTTCGACAGCTCGGTTTCACGCACAATGTGATATACCATGCAAGGCATCATGTCGAGTTATACATAGGCCTGGTATGACGCTTTACCCTAGGGTCGGAGGGCGGCCTATATGCCATACAGCTTCAACCATCGAGAGGCAACAATCCGTACTTGCAGAGCCCAGTTCAAGTAAGTGAAATGGTATTGATTTTCGTCCGATGAAGGAGGACCCTTTCTATTGTAGCCACTGGCTCTCCTGGCCAGTGGTTGGGTATTCTCTCGCCAAGCTAGGTAGCGAATGTGGGTATTTGATCGTAACAGAAAAGATGAGAAGACAAAAGTACAAAAAATAGTCCACACATGTGCAGACAGAAATAGAAAGCAACAACAGAACTCCCAACATCCGAGTGAGTGCCGTATGCTCCGACCGCACCGCCGTATGTATGATCCAAATCCCACCCAGTCCCTAGCTAAGACAATTTGTGTGTGAAAGCGTCCATAACCGACAACAGGGGTAAAATGCATAAGCCAACCCGGGTTTCCCAAAAGCACTCGCTTCGTAAGTCGTGAAATGAAGGGGAGCTCCCGAAAGGAACTGCCAAGAATATCAGTTATCGAAATTAAAGAGGTGTAGAAGTCGAATCGTGGAAGGAACAAAAAATGTCCAAGGCGGAGGGGATCTAGCCCTCGTCTTCAACATCGTCATCGTCATCCTCTTCGTCCTCTTCGCTTGTGCTGTGACGCTGCACAGCACCCGCCTTGTTCTTCTTGATGTTCGGTGTTCCCTTGAGCTGCGTGGAGGATGCCTTGCGCTTGGGCCCAGCACTGGCAGGCTTGGAAGGCATGGATGCGTTTTCCTTGTTGCCGTCTTCACCCTCGCCTTTTGCAGCCGCATTGTCCATTGCAGCGACCTCCTCTGCAGTCAAGAAGCGACCACCCGGACCACGGGGACGGCGCATAGCGTGATTGTGCCTGGACTCATGCAGGTATGGCTTTCGTCCCTTGGACGTCAGCCTCAGCGCATCCTCGAGTTTTTGCCTCGCGAGACGCCTTTTCAGGATGCGATGGAATTGTTTAGCGTTCACGTAAAGAGGTGCCTCTTCGGGTTGCGCTCCTCCTGCAACGAGCTCTGGTGATTGTTGGTGCTGGGGTTGCTGGGTCATTGGAGGAACGGAGGGCCTAGGTCCGCCGTGGCTCATTACAGGCTGAGGCTGTTGCATTGCAGGACTGCTGATCTGGGTACTCATTCGACGTTGTTGCATCTGAGTTGGCGTCATCTGAACTTGAGATGGGAGCGCGTTGTTCATCGCGTTGGAGACGTTTGTCGGCGACCGTGGAGCTACGCGTCCGTCGCCCTTCATCTGAGACACGGACATGCGTGGAGATGCGCGCGGGTCCTGTGCGAGTTGACCTGGAATGGCAGTCTGATCATAGTACCCAGCCGGACCAGCTGCAGCAGCCGTGGCTAACGCTGCAGCCTGTTGGTGTTGTTGCTGTTGAGACGGCATGTATGGGTTCTGCATACCAGCCATGTACGCCTGCTGCTGCGGAAAGCTCATTTGCTGGTGATGTTGGGGATGTGGCGCACCGCCATGGTTGTAACCTTGAGAGGGTAGAATTGGTGAGGATTGTTGACCGAATTGCTGCTGCATTTGTTGCTGAGTGGGCGCCGGGGCATGCCCGTGGTGGGATTGTGAGAACTGTGCGTAGTCGGTCATGACTGTCTACACGATGTCTCGGACGTTGGCTTGTTTGTTGGTTAGAGACGAGACAGTGGAAGGATCACAGTAGGCGCGCAGCTCAGGTAAGGCTGGGTCGCGTTCAGGGCAGGGCCGACTCTCGATGTGTTGTCAGTGGCCACGCTTAGTTGAGGCGACTTCGCTAGAGTGCACGGCTGGAGCCTTCAGCTTCGAGGCGCAAAAGTCGCGATTGGGCGCCGAGGGGCAGTGCGCGTTTACAAATGGTAAAGCGTTTTGTCGAGGGTGAAACTGCACTCTAGAGGGCCGCGCCGTAGTGGAGAATGGTCGTTGCGGGTATTCACCAGTTAGAAATGAAGGTGAGAGCTGTCTACACTGTTAGGAGCAATGTCAGCTAGTTCAAGACGCGGATGGCGGAGCAATTGGATGATGTCGAGGTTGGCATGTGCTGGCTGGGGGCGATGAGAGGTGTGCGCTGGCAGCCAGGGTGTAACGTGCATATTAGCATGCATGACGGTGGACGCTTACCTTGATCAGTAGCAGCGCGTATTGTCGGTCGCTGCGCCGTCAAGATGGCAAGTAGGCTTAGATACTTTATGGCTTTGAAACCTAGGGCGACCAGCGAGCGGACAAATGTATATTGTCGTTGCGCAGGTGACAGCAGCGTGGTCCAAGTAGCGGGCAGAGAGCGCGATACAAGAGGCTTGGTGGGCTGTGTGTTGTGTTGCGGAACTAATGCGACGTCAGCCCTTGAGCATGTGAAGCGGATGCGCAGCGTCAGAGCACGCGGTATGCTCGTCAAAGCTGGTGAGGCAACAGCGCGTCATGTCGAGGGGAGGTGGTATAGCCTTGCGACGACAATGACTGTGTCTGCACGGATGCGCCGTTTTTCAAGAGGTTTCCATGATGAAGTGGTAGCGACTGCCATTTAGAGCCGCTGGCGCACAAGCAACGAAGATTGCGGCAATAGGCACAACAAGAAGTCGTGTGTAGATCAGGGCGCGAGGACGGGGATGACTTACCAATGGTGTCGTGGTCTGCAGGAAAATGTGATCCCGTGATCTATATACTCCACGGTCTGTGGTTGGGGAGATTTGCGAGTCGAAGTTGCAGGCCGATCTTGTCTTGTCTCACCAGACGCGAGCGAATTGATGCCAGGCGGAAGCTGCGGGCGTGAATACAGGGTAAGTAGAGCTCGTGATATGTCTCTGCTGTATGTTTTGTTGTATGCTTGCTGGAAGCCCGAACGCGTCGTAGCTTGCGATAAGTGATCGTGCTTGAGACTAAAAATGCTCTGGGGAGAGGAGCAGATGATTGGAAGGCGCAAGAGTCTTCTGAAGAAGGAGCGGCCGGCGACACCTATAATTCGCGTACACGCCGACGCGCTAAACCCACTAGCGGCAGACAGGGATCATGGCCCCATACGGGCAAGGCAGCCACAGACTGCATTTTCTGCGTCACTCAACAAGACTGTAGTCCAGGTGCAACGAGACGGACAACTTGCATCACTGTTTCCATTTGTTTTCCTCTGGAGGGTTGCGCCTCGATGCTGACTGATCGAGCATGCTCTCGGGGTGCTAATGAGTGAAGCGGGGTTGGCGCAAGATCCCGACACCCCGAAGCTCAACCGATGACGCGGGTGCAGTAGACACGTGCCCTCCACCTTCAGCCCGGCGATGAAGCTGTCCTCCCTGTTGTCGCATCTTGAATTCCCTTTCGACGACGATATTGAATTTCAAGGTTCAGACAAATCACACACTTCACACATGATCCAACCTTGGAAATTGTGTGGCCACAGCTTTCAATTGGCGCGTCATTGGAAATTACTCCGCCACCCCAGACGGCTGATCCGTTGGGCACGGGCGGGCGCCAAACTCTGAGCTTGCTCTGCCCTGGGCCAAAAACCCATCCATTTGATCGTTTATCAACATATTTAGGATGGGGAACAACAGCCTCTTCGCCCACTGTTACAATACGTGACACTCTATCCTACCGCAAACGGGATGCTTCCGTATCCGACAAAACACTGCGGGGTGGTTAGGACAGGTACCTTCCGTGGAGCCCGACGCCCTTCCACCGCTATGTGTCTGCCTCAGGCGACGCGCGCTGCTTCGCGCTCGACTAAAAGCCGCCACCACTGTCTCTTACGTCTATTGGCCCAGCTTCTGTCTCGCCCGCGTCTCAAAAAAGTATTCAACATGATTTGGATAGCTCCAGGCCATGTAATACCACGTGTGCAAGCCTGATAATGAACAGTACTATTTCGTCCCTTCCTTGCACATCCAGATATGGATATGTGCACCGCCGTCACGTTGGCTGTATAGTAAGCACAACGGAACGCGAATGCAGGTGGGCGAAACTCTGACCCCAAGCCGACCCGCTCCAATGTCCAAGCTTGCGATCGTCACGTTGACCCTGCCTTGCCTGGGGACAAGAGTGTGCTCATGCCGCACAAAAGAAAAGAAAAGCTCGTGTACAACTTTGAATCTGGGCTCTTCGAGCCGAGACGCGTACTGTCCTCGTCTCAAGATCAGTAGGCATCAAGACCAGCCACCGACATTTCCCGCCGCACCTCGCTGCGTCATCTTGGACTCCACGTCTCGGACCCATGACAACGGTTCGGCCGCTCGGAAGTCACACAACTTTGTTGATACTTCGGCCCATTTACTCCAACATGTGCTTTTCGTCCGGCGGCTGAAGATGGATGTCATCTAGAGGGCAACCACTACATGAAATGCAAGGGGTAGCAGCTCCTTGGCCAGAGGATCGCTTCGTGCTGCTTTCTCCGTAATGTGAGGAGTTCGGGCACTGTCAGGCGCTTTGGCACCCGTTGTGGATTCCGTTCGCGATACTGCACCTTCATCTAGACGAGTTCCACGACAGTCAATCAAATGCCTCACTTCCTGCAATTGCACCATTTGCGCGACACGCGAACCCAAGTACCAGAACGGTGCCGATGCAGCTCGGCTACATATCTGTCAGCCCTGTATCGCAGCGTATCAGTTTCGATTGCTCATCGCATTAATCTAATCAGGTTACATCTTCCGCTCGTGTGCATGGCCCCCTCACACACACACACCTTGTCCGCCAACCCACGCGTTCGTCCTTGGGTGACCACAAGCTCGATGCCGTACAGCACGCGAGAGTTCCCACGAGAAGTTGGCAGTTGCACCGTCCGCTGCTCCCATACCACACTTCTTCCGTTGACCTCATCTCCCTAGCAATCGACTTCTGAACCTCTGCCTCGATAACCAATGGATTAGTAGTTCCATCCGGGGCTCTCGCTAAAACGCTGTTCGGCTCCAGCAGAAGCTTACCCGCCACCCGTAGCCGTCAATGTCGCCTTCCTCTTCGGATGGTCATCTTCAGCCCATCCCGGATGAAACCGTTACTCTAGTTGACAAGGGAACATCGGTGAAGCACCTGTCGCGTGCATCACCGTGCTCGTTTCATTTTGATCTTGCTGCACATTGCGGCTCCTACAATCTTTGATGTGCGAATAGAGTTCGCGCCTCCGCAGATCCCCCAGACGTTCGACACACTGCGTCCGCTGTACTGCACCGTACAGCACCAGTCATGGTCGTTACCTGCAGCTGCGGCTTACCGGCCTGTAATACAGACGCTTCGACCGGTGCCTATGGGACACCACTGGATACGATATCTGACGCTCGGCAAGGTGTCACAGTTCTCGGTTTCATTACCTTGATCTCATCAATTTTACAAAAAAGTACCGTCATCAACATCTATCATAGAAACGAAACCCAGGCAGGCAACTAACAGACATGTCACCAGTATTATTGCAGTTCATATGTCATGCTTTATGCACTGGCGGCGTCGTCGGCAATCCTTGACAAGGATTTGTTTCATTTGACGTGTCTCACTGGAAGATCTCCAGACACATATACAAGCCTACAGGCGAAAGAACTACAAGAAGCCCAGATGCCAACAGATCCATCAACAACTGTGAAGGCCGAATCGCACCTGTCGGAATCGTGGAGATTCAGACATGGCCCAAGTGAAATGCTCCACCGACAAAGTTCAACTCACCAGCCTATTGTCACTTCTAGAACGAACCCGACCAGCTCAAGTGGGAGGAGACGCGAGATGCACTCCAACAAATGTTACTAGCATTAAAGCAGCAGATGTGATTCGATTGGTCGAGGATAGGACCTTGGGAGCGCAATGAGGGCGTCAAGCTACACCTATATGCGATATCATGGTCTTGTAAGCAAGTAGTTGTGTGCGAATCTTGAAGGTATCTTCCGATCTGGTATAGCCGCTATTGAATCAAGACGACATCAGCCACCCTTCAGTTCCCGCCGCCCTCGACTTATGCCACACCTCGGAACCATGATGGTAACCCCTTCATGTCATGTGCAGCGCACACCAGTTTGATCCTCCCGTCTTAACGCATTCGACTATTACCTCTGAGAACGTTAAAGACGATGGTAAATCACAGGATTTGTTCCACAAACGGGTTGCAGAATATCCCTTCCACGCCATCTAAGGTTCGTACACTTAGTAGCTACGATCTTCAGACCAACCTTTTCCTTATCCAACAGTACTTTATTTATATTCCGCAAATCTTTCTCGATCCGACTCGCTGACCAGCCATTTATCTCTTCAATTTTCCTGATACTCCTCAAGTCCAAAGCAGTTCAAGATGCGGGAATCGGTCTATAAGCCTGCAATTATGATTCCCCAAGTAGAAGTGTTCGGCAAAATACTGGGCCTTCAATGTCCTCATCTGCTGTAACTGTATGGAAAGACGGCTTGATGTCCAGATTCTCGTCGCGTTAATTGACCTGAAATCGAACGAGTTGAAGGCGTATGGCAATAAAAAGTGTCGTCGTAGATGCCACGATCAAGGACACCATGGCTAGGTTGGACGATCATGTAGACCATGTACCTCCCTCTATCAGAGCAGTCGGCTGAACGCACGGTTTTCGAAGGATGATCACCGCAATGCGATGTATGTGTTTCAGCTTACGAGAGGGGTATTCCATCACTAACAAGGTCATGGTATCTAATGGAACAGCTTACAACTGCTTTTGCTATTTCTTCCAGCTGAGACTCATAGCAGAATCTTTAAATATACACTTGGCTACCAGCTCATACGTATTCCCACAGACAACTACGATTCTAACACTTCTGTTGATCTTCCCAGCCAAGCTCTTTTCGGGGCAAGGCCACCTGGTGCACACAACGCGATGTCCTAGGTGCAAGCACGGCAGTTCCATGACTGCGTCTCTCCGATCAACTTGCATTCTCGCTACCATCCCCGGTCGTATCGCTCCTGTCCATATCCTGTGTCTGCTTTTCAGCGGTGACACGAGGCCGAACGAATGATCACGGTGACTAACGATTGTACGGCTTGTTAATCGCCAAAACTGGCACGGGACTCGATACATTCCATATGAGTTGAACAAGCTCTCCTTCTAGGGCGAAATGACAATGAGGCACTGGTTCGGCAATAGAGCGGCAGCTCAAAAGCGCGCTATCAATACAATCTGGTTCAATCTAGAACGGCAGCGCAGTGGTGCACTTTTCCCTACATTCGGGTTGCAGCCCAGAAGCGCCCGTGTTCATATCAGAAGAAGTCACGGTATCAGGACAGTTTACGTGTCCGTTACCGCAGTTCAACAGATGTGGTCTATGCAGGGTGTCGAGCGGCTCGAGTAGGACCTCAAGGACAGATTTGCACGACAGATTCGTTCCCTAATGTCTAGGAAAGAGGATGAGCTGTGGATTGAGTACGTCAAGTAGACTGGGTTAGGGTGAGATGGTCATGTGCGTTTCAATCGTACGTACCTCATCTATCCGCTTGGCTCAATCTCGGTATGCAGGATAGCAATCTAAATGCACCTCATTTGTACAGCCATAGTTGCCGAGGACACTATGAACCTCTTGATGCGCATGGAAAAAATGATGCATGACCAGATTAACTTGCTGTATATATCATTCGAATCGCTGCAATGCTCTGAAAGAGTGGTCGTGAAGCAGCTTCTTATCCTGAATCGCTCAAAATGCATCTCCTTGTAGCTCTAACTGTCCTTGCTACCACAGCACAAGCTCACTGTAGGCTCACCAAAGTATTCTCAGAAGACCTAAGCTAACACTTGCAAGACCGCTTCCCGAAGCTTATCCTGAACGGTGTCCCCGAATCAGCAGAATGGACATCCATCCGGCAAACCAAGAACTACCAAACCAACTCTGGTGTTACTTCCGTTACTAGTCCCGACATGCGCTGTTTCCAAAATCGCCCTGGAACAGGTACCGCGACTGTGGCTGCCGGTGATACCTTAGGCTTCGTTGCCGCGGCTTCGATCTCGCACTTCGGACCGGTGCAGTTCTACATGGCGAGAGTGCCGGACAGTGCGGATATCAATACGTGGGAGGCGGCGGGGAATGTGTGGTTCAAGGCAGCGAGCATCAGCGCGGTGGGGAGTCCGTTGACGAGTGGGGAAAGCACTTGGCCTGCGTATCGTAAGTCTTCATCCACCCTTGTATTCGCTTCCGCCCCGAGGTGCTGACATCAGCACAGAGAAATCGCAAGTCGAATTCCAGATCCCAAAGAACGTGCCAAGCGGCAAGTATCTTGTCCGTGTAGAGTCCATCGCACTTCATCAAGCTTCTTCGGTCGGCGGCGCGCAAATGTATCTTTCATGCGCTCAGGTTGAAATTACTGGCGGAGGAAATGGTAAGCCTGGGCCTTTGGTAGCGTTTCCGGGAGCATATAATGCGAATGACCCTGGTCTGAGGTGGTCGTACTATCCGATCGCCACGAGTTACACTGCTCCTGGGCCTGCTGTGTGGAACGGCAACTGAGCTGGTTTGAAACTGGCAGAGACGATGGATTGGGTCAGCCATGATGACGTGGAAGCTGGGAGAATGTCTGTTGCGCCGCCTCTTTTTTTTTTTTTGCCATATCCGTTCTTCAGAAATAACCACCCAGCCTAATCCTCTTTTCTACTCGATCCAGCCGAGCTCATTTTGTCATTGACTCTTCTCACACCAAATATCGCTCCTGTCTCAGCTTCTCCGCCTCCTCTTTCTTAGCCAGTATAAAGGCAACCTCAGATCCAGCAGCAACTACAACAGTTGCTGCCATACCGATGCCGGCTCCGATAGCCGCAAAGCCCAGGATCGTGAAACAAGTGTATCCGGTGAAAATAGTCAAGTACATGACACGAAAGAAGAGTAAAAAGAGGTCGTCAGATCTGGGCTTCATCGCATTCGACTGAGATGCATATCCGGTGCTCCAGGACGATCAAGATATGGCATCTGTAGGGTCCAGCTATTTTGATCGTCGCAAGGCTGGGTTTCCGTTTTCGGTTTTCGGATACGAGGTGATGTTTGAGCTGATCTTAGCTGGACAGCACGGCCATGGAATTGTGGGGGTACGATTCCGCGCCAACCGAGCGATCGAGGGCGTGAAGCTGAAGCGAAGGGTATCGTACCACACCAAGTGAGTTGTGAATGATGCACTATGACGAGATGAAGCGCAGTCATCATGGCCGCTTCAAAGCCACGTGATATGGCTTTCAGCTTGCAGCGTCGGCCGCGTCAGCCTGTCGGCGATTGGCCCACGAGGTCGTGTCCTTATGCCAATACTGCACAGTTCAGCGTGCCATCATACTACCTTTCTGTTTATAGCAGTGGCTGTGCAGGCGGAAACTCGTGCGCGATGAACAGACATGACGGAGGCGCCCCTGAAGGTTTCTAGACCGACGGTACAGAGTAAGAACACAATGCTTCGAGCGATGCAAATAGACTCGGAAATGAGATTATAAAGCTTCCTGCATAACTACAAAGAGATTTGGTTGCTTAGAGGTAATTGTTCAACATCGCAATGCTGAAAGACTTTGCGGGTACAAGCGCGTTCGCTGATGTAATCTTTCGAATCCGCCAGCGAGCCTCCACGGACAGGACGTATACATTGGGCAAGGATGTTGGATATGTCACATAAAGTTTGGAGGGCAAGCAACCACGGCTGAATACTAAGGATGATGTTCGTCGTCTAGAGACGCTGTGATGCTAAAAACGTTGGCACTTTGAGGTCGCGTGTCTGCACGTGTTGACGCGTTTGTCTTGGCGCGCGTTGAGCCACTCAATTGCCACTGGTTCAATTGCACATTCCCAAGTACACGAGCAGCGCAAACCTACACGGTCATGCTCAACTAGTTTCCTAATGTTCAGAAACCCTCGAGAAAATCGTTCCTTGCCAGAAGAATCTCGACAAACACCCTCCACTGGTCGGCCCCCTTCGCCACCCCGCTCGTCCTCTCCAGCAGCAGAAATGGCTACCAAGACCGCAACGAAGAAGGCTGCGCCAAAGCCGAACATGAAAGCCCCTCCACCGAAGAAGACCGCCGTCCAAACTACACTTACACCAGCCGACTTTGCGAAGAAGTCGCCCGCCAGCAATGGCAGGAAACAGAAGCCGACCGGCACGCCAAATGGCAACATCATGGCATTCTTCAAGAAGGCTGAGGAGATCAACAGCCGTATATTCCTGCAAGAAAGAGGGTCAAATCCAACGATCGTGCTCGATGGCGACGAAGACGATGTGGGTTGGAGCGACGAGAAGAGCAATGGCGTCATGACTACAGACAACGATGAAGAGCGCTATAATGAGAACGGCGGGAGCGTTAAAAGGCGAAAAGTCAGTGAAGAGGCGGTAGCACCTGTGCCAGCCTGTTCACCTCCACCCGCTGATATGGAAAGCAACGCTTTGGACGCATTGGCAGCCGATGCTCCCAAGCAAGCGCCAAAGCTGCGGAAGAAGTCTGGACCCTTCGTAGACGATTCAGAATCCGAAGACGATGATGTAGAAATACCTGCAACAACTCCAGGTATGGCTGCACGAGGACAAAATAACGAGTCGCCAATTACTAAACCAACGGAGGATCCGTTACCCCCAGATAGTGTCAAAGACCAGATTCCCCGCGAACCCCCACCGCTGAAATCCGAGCCCATCTCTCAACACGGCGGCGAAGACTTGAACGAATACGAAGATCTAGAAGATGACGATTTGCTTGAAGGCGAAGAATACGATGAAAGACGATGGATGAAGGAACAACAAAAGCTGAAGATGGAGGAGGCAGGCTTCGAGGGCGATCCGGACGAGTTCGATGCTCCACCTCTGTTTCCAGAAAGCGATACCACCGAGATCAAGCAGGAAGAGCCAAACGCCAAAGATACACCCTCATGTCCAATATGCGGCAACAATCTCCCAGGCCTGTCGGAACAGGATGTATCGGTGCACGTCAATGCATGCTTAGATGGCAATCCACTCCCGCTACCTGTTGCGAACCCTCAGGAAGACAGCGAGCCGACTACAATGAGCAAAGCGAAGGCCTTTAAAAGACCAGGCAGGCCAGCTAAGCCGGGTCAAGCAAACCCCTTTCAGCTTGCCAAGCCCAGTGCTCAGCCGAACTCAGCTTTTTCGAAGCTCATGGCCGGTCATGCTGAGGATGCTGCGTGGGCATCCGCTGCGGCGGAGAACAACAAATCTCGCGGCAAGCCTGCCTACGAACGTACCTGCCCGTTCTACAAGATCATGCCGGGCTTCTTCATTGCTGTGGACGCGTTCCGCTACGGGGCCGTCAAAGGCCAGAACGCGTACTTCCTCAGTCATTTCCACAGCGATCACTACATCGGACTGACTTCGTCATGGAAACACGGGCCAATATACTGTAGCAAAGTGACTGGCAATTTGGTACGACAGCAGCTTCGTGTGGACCCCAAGTGGGTGGTTGATCTAGACTTTGAGAAGAAGACAGAAGTGCCAGGAACGGAGGGCGTTCATGTCACGATGATCTCCGCGAACCATTGTCCTGGTAGCTCTCTTTTCTTGTTTGAGAAGGAGCTTGGCAAGGGCAAGAGCCTAAGACTACAGCGAGTCCTACATTGTGGAGACTTCCGTGCATGTCAAGCACATATTGAACACCCACTGTTGCGACCAGACGTCTTGGATGCTGTGAGTGGAAAGAACCGACAGCAAAAGCTAGACGCTTGCTACCTTGATACCACCTACCTGAATCCCAAATACGCTTTTCCACCTCAGAAGCAAGTTATTCAGGCTTGCGCAGACATGTGCGTTAGCCTCAGCAAGGTCCGTGCGGACGACTCCGATGGGTGGGAGAAAATGAAAAGAGAACGCGCGGGCCAAGGCATGGTCCAGTTCGTTCGGAAAGACGCCAATACAGACAACGCAGGCGAACCCAAAAGTCCTGAACGAGGTCGACTTCTCGTTGTCGTCGGCACATACAGCATCGGGAAGGAGCGCATATGCACTGGCATTGCAAAGGCTCTGGGAAGCAAGATCTTTGCGCCGGCCAACAAACAACGCATTTGCAAGGCTCTCGAGGACCCCGAACTGGACGCACTGCTTACGACCGATCCCCGCGCAGCCCAAGTACATATGACCCCGCTGTTCGAGATCCGAGCGGAGACTCTAGACGACTACCTGCGCGACTATGCTGATACGTTTTCGCGCGTTGTCGGCTTCAGACCCTCAGGCTGGAACTATCGCCCACCAAAGGGTCGCTTTACCGAATCGCCCCAAGTACAAACCGTACTGCATTCGGATAACTGGAGGAGTACTTTTGCTATGAAAGACCTTACCCCGCAAGCCGGGAGTGGAAATCGAGCAAGCTGCTTCGGTGTGCCGTACAGTGAGCACAGCAGCTTCAGAGAGTTAACTATGTTTTGCTGCGCTTTGCATATCGACAAGATTATTCCAACGGTCAATGTGGGTAGCGCGAAGAGCAGGGAGAACATGAAGGCTTGGTGCGATAGGTGGGCAGCGGACAAGAAGAAGAACGGGCTTTTCAAGCTAGGTGAGGACGGTGAGGGCTGGTCATAGTACGCCTTAATTGGCATGGTCGTTGGCAATCGTAGATCCAAGGCCTTATTGTGGTAGCGATATTACCAATGCCAAAGAAGTCTGAATACGACCTAGTCTTGCTCCATGTCAATTCTGATCTTATCGCATCTACCTGAGACCTTCTTCTATAACATCTCTGAGTACATAATCCGCCATGCCGACAACTATCCGCCTCCTTGTCATCTCCGACACTCACTCCATCTGGCTATACACCCCAAGCTGCCTCGCACCTCCATGCGACATTCTAATCCATTGCGGTGACCTCATCCAAGTCGGTGGCCTCGCCGCCTATAAGAAGACTATGCAAGACATCCAAACCATCAATGCAGAACTCAAATTCATCATCGCCGGCAACCATGACCTCGATCTCGATGAAGAGTGGTTGCGTAAGAACGCTGAAGAGGGAGAAGAGGAAGAAGAGGAAGAAGAGGAAGAAGAGGAAGAAGAGGAAGAAGAGGAAGAAGAGGAAGAAGAGGAAGAAGAGGAAGAAGAGGAAGAAGAGGAAGAAGAGGAAGAAGAGGAAGAAGAGGAAGAAGAGGAAGAAGAGGAAGAAGAGGAAGAAGAGGAAGAAGAGGAAGAAGAGGAAGAAGAGGAAGAAGAGGAAGAAGAGGAAGAAAAGGAAGAAGAGGAAGAAGAGGAAGAAGAGGAAGAAGAGGAAGAAGAGGAAGAAGAGGAAGAAGATACAAAGGATAGCAGCAGATGTGTCGAATTCATGAAGTCGCACGAAAAGGACGGGGTCTATTACCTAGCAGAAGGTAGACACGAGTTCAAGTTGAAGGATGGAAGAGAATTCATGATCTGGGTGAGCCCGTATACGCCGGAGTTTAGTAAGAATCGACCCTTTCGAGACACGCCTTATGCAGTAGCACTCACTGGGTGGGCTGTCGTCGCGTTCACTTCGACAACCTTCACTGCAGGCTCTTTCTCTTTCTTCAACTTCTCCTGTATAGCTTGATAATTCCGGCTCATAGCATGCCTGGTAAACTCCTCTCCTGTTACCATTGGATACTTATTCAGTGGACCCTGGATCTTGGCGTCTTTGCACGGCTGGTTGAAGAAGGCGATACTGTAGCGCTCGCCATAATAGTCGTTGGGCTCGCACGGAGCCTTGACGCGATGGAAAGTAGACTTGAAGCGGTCGTCGGACCACGACATGAGGAGGTCGCCAACGTTGCAGACTGTCTGGCATCAATAGGGAGTTCAGGCAGGTATCAACACATTCCACATACCAATCGCGTTTTTGTCGGCGTCCGGCTCGACCTTCGTCCATGCGTCTCCGTAACCAAAGGAAGTCGATACTTCCCGCCCTGGACAGATCTCAAGGCCAGACTGCCCTGCCTTTTGGAACAGCAGAGTCAGGAAATCCCAGTCAGCATGCGCACCCGCTCTGTGATGCACTTCTCCTGTGGGATTCGGTAATCGCGGGGTTTCGAAATAGTGCAGTAATCGGCATACAGTCTGAGACTCTGGCCTGCTAACATCATGTGCTTTGATGAAGTAGTCGTCCTCGAAGTCCAAACCTCGAGCGAAGCACTTCATGAGCTTTTCGCTGACTGCCTGTACTTTGTGCATGAATGCCAGGGCCTCCGCCTGAAAGCCAGGCAAGATATCATCATCCAGCCATCGACCTACTCAAAGATCAGCATGGTCATACACAAGAGATGTAGAGTTCAGCTCACCGTTCATGCCCTCGCCAAACTGCATTTGATAAGACTCTTTGCGGTCGACTGCACCAGTTGACGGCCGGATTTGCGCGTTCTTCTCCCATCCAGCATTGTGCTGGGGAGAGAAAGGTACTTGCGATTTTACGGGGTCGGGTTGGTTGAAGAAGCGTGCTGACTGATTGAAGATGCCATCGACAGCATCGCGTGCTATGCCGTGATCTACGATACAGAAGAACCCATGATTCTCTGCAGCGTCGACAAGTTCCTGTGTAATCAGGTCGATTCGAGAGTCAAAGTCGCGAAGGGAGATGGTTGGCACGGGGCGATCGATGTATTTTGTTGGCGCCATGTTTAGATTTTGGAGATCTCGGTTGCTTGATATTGATGAGTTTGACGTACGAGACGAGTGTTGGAATTGAGGGAAATCCATACCTACTCTTATGTTCGGCCATTTTTGTGTAGATGCATATGGTGTCGCAGTAACTTCTCGGGCGTGCCAAAGCCGATGTAGCCAGGGCGGCCGTTCAAATCGGCCGCCATCGCCAATGGCTCTGTCGTCGTGCTGAGATAGGCGCCTGCAGCCTGTAAGACAGATGCAAGTCGCGGCTGAAGTGAAGTGGGGCAATCAAGGCTAGATTGGCGGGTTCCGCATCCTCGGCCGCACCCTGTCCGTCTCCATTCTTTATCGCAATCCGCGCGCCAATGATCAACTGATAGCCGATGCCTTCTCTGGATGCTAGACACGTAATGCTGGAAATGCTTGTCTCATGGCATCAAGATGCCCCTCGAGAACAACACCTAGCAGGCCGATATGGTCAACCTCACTATGGACGATAGTAACGTCTCGAAAGGGCCGCGACCCCGTTTGACATGTACAGAGTGCTATAGAAGGAAGATCAAATGCGACAAGCACGTGCCTTGCAGTACGTGTACTCGAAGGTCAGCGCCTCCGTTTCCAAGGTAGCCCGAAGCAGTTTGAGCTTCAGCAGTAAAGTGAGCTTGCACGACTGCATGTTGAATCTTAATCGAAGCTGGCAAGCCGGCTTCTAAGCGCGGTCAAACTATTTGAACTTATCTCGTGCTAAGCAAAACAGGGGCTATGCAAGCTTTTGTACCAGAGAAGACGCCGCTGTGGCATCGTCTGCACCACCACCACCTGCTTATCAAGCTCAGGGCGCGGCAGCAGGACCTGACAATCTCGTGCGCGCATTACTCGACCGTGTAGGTCAGCTTGAAGCCAAACTACAGGAACAACACAATATAGTCTCGAGCGAGACACCCCTACCTCCTCCGCAACTCTCTGACACCCCAGCAAGTCCTTCAAATGATGCAGCGGTTACCTCGTCCACGGATAACGGCATCACATCACAACCCGCGGACACTGACGATGCAGCTACTGTGCTGGAGTTTCTGGCATGGGGCCGCAAGAAGGATGCTGATTACGGAACTTCGTCAGAACATAACAGCGGGCCAAGGCGACTGAGTATCAGACACGATGACGGAGGGACCAAGTCAAACATCACATGCGAAACCAGTAGAGATGCACAGCTTGATGTACTCGAAGCGCTTCTTCCAAACAAGTCTCACATCATACAACTGGTGGAGTACCATAGTACCTCCATCTTATGGTACCACGGCTCTTATTCTTCAGCAATGTTCAGAGATGACCTTGATCTTTTTCTGGGTGAATGTGAAGGCGACGTTCGACATCAGGACCGGAATCTGCAATGGCTAGGCCTGCTGTTCGCTATCATAACTGGGAGTATTACATGTGCGCCGCCATCTATATGTCAAACTTGGGGATTCTCATCAGAGGAGCGAACGGTCCTGTCTCAAAAATGGTACGAAGCGACCGTAACATGCCTCGAAATTGCTGGCTATATCGAGATCCATACGATATATTCTGTTCAAGCTATTGCGACATTGACTATCGCGGCTCACATTCTAGGCAAGTCGAACAGCCAATCAATTCTGCTTGCATCAGCCGGTCGCATTGCCCAAAGCCTTGGTTTGCACCGCCTCGGACCAGAGAGCGCAATTGAAGCTACTTCAAAAGAGCAGCTCCGTCAACGCGAGGCCGGTCGACGGGTGTTTAATCAGCTTTGCACGCAGGATTGGTTCCAGATTCCGTTCTCTGAATCTTATTCGTTGAACCCTCGCTTCTTTAAGACCTCGAAGCCTCTTAACTGTAATGATGAAGACATGGTACCTCAGCCGTTATCCACACCAACCCAAGCGAGCTATTGCAACTATCGCTACGACATCGCGGCACTTATGCCGCAGCTACTGGATGCAATGGCAGGCTGCAACACGCTTTTCACGAAGTATGAGCAGGTGCTACAGTACGACGACAAGATGCGCAAGCTCGCTACCGCATGTATGCCCACGTTCCTATCAACCAATGCGCCGGTAGCGACGGATTGGCCTATTTATGTCGGATGGGCCAGGCGCTCATTGGCTATATGTGCCTCGCACAAGATCATCATGATACATCGGAAGTTCATTGGGCTCTCATTCACCAACTCCGCGTTTTCGTTTACACGTCGTACCTGTATAGCAGCGTCCAAAACTATATTGAAAGAAGCGTTGTCTGGCAACGACGAACAGGGGCCGATTTTGTGGATTGAGCAAGCTTTCTCAGTCGCCGCGGGGATCATCCTCAGTCTCGATACATTCCATCGGTCAGCCAGTGAGAGGGAGTTTGAAGAGCACAAGAGCCTCGTCGCAGACGCAATCGGCTACCTGAGGAGATTTCAAGACAGCAAGATAGCTTCACGCGGTGTGCAACTGCTATCTGGCCTGCAGCGTGAAATCCGGGAAGGAGGAAGCGTCAACCATAGGAAACGCCAACGGCCTGCGGAATATAGCGACTTGACTCCATCGTCTGGCAAGAGAGCACGTACATTCAACGTGGAGAATTTCATCAGCAACGTATCCCAAGACTTGCAGGTAACAACTCCGACGTCTTCAACTGCAAACGCCCCTACAAGTGTGGGAGATGCTTCATGGTATACCTTCATGAACTTGCTACCACCACAAACTGGGTTCGGAAGACAAAGTCTATTCGATGACTTGCTTTCATTCCAGTTCTAAGTTTATATATAATTCAACGACATATGATTCCGTGCGCCCACACCGCTTCTTTTTCGTATGCCTGCCACTGACTTCTTCGCTTTCTGTATGATCTCGTCCTCATCAATGTGCAACAGCTTGCCATTACTGACAAGTAGCCGACCGTCTACGATGACTGTATCGACATTTGCGCCAGAAGAATGAACCAGCATCGTGACTGGGTCCATGCCACCAGAACTCTGCTCGGCCGGATCCCACGGGGTACATGATGTGCTTTTCGGCTCCACAACGACAACATCCGCTTTCTTCCCAACCTCCAGACTTCCGATCTCAGCCTCCAGTCCCAGCGCTCTTGCGCCGTTGATTGTCGCAAACTCCAAGACATCATATGCACTCAGTACGCCAGCGTTTTGTCTGACACCGCCATGTAGAATGGATGCTAAATGCATCTCGCGGAACATGTCATACGTGTTGTTGCATGGTGCTCCATCGGTTCCTAATGCTACGTTCACACCTTTCGCCACCATATCTGGTATTGGCGCCACACCAGACCCAAGCTTGAGATTGCTGGTCGGGTTATGCGAAACTGTACTCTTGCTCTCGCATAAGATTCCGAGGTCTCCAGCTGCTGGATCAGGGTGAACGCAGTGGGCGAAGACGGTCTTCGCGCCCGTCAATTGCGTATCTCGGCAGAACTCAAAGGGACTACATTGGTAATAGTCTCGATAGATGGTGAGATCTTTGGGCGCCTCAGCACAGTGCATAGTGAGGCCAATGTCGTGGGCTCGCGCAGCTTCGCCGATTGTGGAATGAGCTGCCATTGGTGAGCCTCGAGGTGTGCCGGCAGCGAACCACATATGCAGACGATCGTTGAAAGAGCCATGGTACATTTGGTGTGCTGATAACGCAGCAGCGACCGACATAGAGTCCACATCCCGATCTCTAGCATCTTCCATATTAAGGTCCGGGTTTGACTCGGCGGCCTTAATCAATTTACCCTGACATGTGTGTCAGCGTCAGCTTGTCGATGTTGGTTCACGAAACCCTACCAGACACGCGCGGATACTGCTTTCTTCCACTGCTCTGACAACATTCTCGAGCCCGCTTCTATGTGTAAGCATAGCCTCCAGGAAGCACGTCGTCCCCGTCTTCAGCATTTCCGCAACAGTCAACATCGAAGCGACATAACCATCATCCTCGGCGTAATTTGCTTCTAAAGGCCAGATGGAATCGCATAGCCAGTTGTGTAGAGGTAGATCCTCGGCGAGTCCACGTAGCAGTGATTGCGCGAGGTGGGCATGGGTATTGACGAGGCCTGGTATAATGATCTTGTTTTTGCAGTCCACAATCTCAACATCTCGGTCTTTGTTCGAATTGAGTTGTTCGACGAGATCAACTGTCTTTCCGAGTGCCGCAACGCGGCCCTGCCCGATGAGGATTGCGCCGTCCAGTATGACTTCCCGGCTCTTATTGACGGTAATAACAGTCGCATGCGTTAAGAGACGCGACGGAACTTCAGTTGACGCTGTCATTCTCATCTTCGGTAATTTGGTATCGATGGAGAAGATGCACAAGAGGAAACAAGCTGCTGTATTCGAGTGTCTTGTAGATAGAGGTGTTAGTTCGTTGTTCTCAAGGCCTCACTCAGTCTTAGTTTAGTTGCCAAATCTCATGATCATGGCGACTTTACTGATTACTCCATGCGATGACTTCCACCAACTATGTTCATAGCTGTGACCCGTCTCAACTCGCGCTTGTGCAAAGTGACTGAGACGATACAGGCCACCTCCGCCGTTCTCCGCTTTCTCACCATCGCTAAAGTGACATGGGACGGCCGACGCTAGTGATATCTCCGCCCTTATCTAGCTCACTTCCCCTGTCATCCAGTGCACACCTCAATACGTACGCACAGTATCGTCGCAGTGTTATCGAAGTCTGAATAACAGCCGGGTTCCGATGGGCTGGTTATCGCGGGGTTTTCGAGCGCAGGAACGCCTATCGTGGGAAAGGCTTCCTGCCGATCTAGAACCACAAGTCAACGACAGCCTAGAGGTTGCTATATAGTTATGCAGCTCGATACTGATATGGATCTACTATCAGCTGTGGACCAGCACACTGAATCTCGTACCGGGTTGACTAGCAGTAGCTATGACCCTCGAATCCCATAGCGAGATGGAGCCGAAGTCAAAATACGCTGAAGAAATGGGTCCATACTCCCCAGCAGTGAGCGAAGAGATGGGAACAGTGACTACAAAGTGGCAGGATACATTCGCAGAGATCAAGTATGCATTCACAACGAAAGATGGATGGATTGGCGACTATGTATGCCAATGCTCTACCCTCCCACCTACCATTCAATAGCTGACAACCTCTAGGACTACGTCTACTTAATCACTCCCAACATCTGGCCGTTGAACAGAAAGTACAAAGACTATCAAGCCCCATTCTACGGACTCAACGACCGGGTTCCCGTTCTTTTGACCTTGCTCCTCGGTCTCCAACATGCACTTACCATGATCGGATCTATCGTCTCTCCACCACTTGCCATCGCTTCCGGAGCCTTCAACTTCGACCCAGCGATGACGACATACCTAGTCTCAACCGCCTTCATAACCACTGGCATTGCGACGGCGCTGCAAGTCACTCGTCTTCACATTATGAAGACCCCTTTCTTTATAGGCACAGGTCTCCTAAGCGTCGTGGGACCAACATTTGACATCCTACCCATTGTCTTCAACTACGCTGCTCTACGATACAAGTCCGGAACTTGTCCAGTGCTCGAAGACGGAACTCAAGGACCTTGCCCTGACGCCTGGGGTGCATGTCTAGGCACCATGCTATGCTGTGTCTGGATCCAAATAGCCATGGCATTCGTCCCACCCAAGATGCTCAACAAAATCTTTCCCAAACTTATCACGGGATCCCTCCTTACCCTCATCGGAGTCTATCTCGTGGGCAACGGACTACAGAACTGGGGCGGATCATCCAACTGCCATGGCGGAGAAGGCTTCTACGCTCTATGTCCCGATATCACTGCACCGCGCCCGCTGGTATGGGGACATCCAAAATTGATCGGTCTGGGCTTTAGTGTATTCGCCACTATAATCTTAGTCGAAGCCATTGGGGCACCTCTCATGCGTTCAGCCTCCGTCATTATTGGCTTAGCTATAGGTTGCGCCATCTCCGGCGCGACAGGATACTGGTCAACTGAGCAACTCGACCAAGCACCGGGTGGTACTTTCCTCTGGGTGCACACCTTCAAGCTCTCTGTCGATGGCGCACTAGTACTGCCTATGATCATCATGTTCGCATGTCAGGCTGTGTCTTGCATTCCCGACATCTTGGCCACTGCAGAGCTATCCGGTGTTGACATCGAAGGCACAGAGTTCAACAGCAGGATCCAAGGCGGTATCCTGTGCGATGGCCTAGGTAGCTTCTTCAGTGCGCTGGCTACGGGTCCGCCGATGGTCAGTCAGGCTGGCAACAACGGCGTCATTGTCCTCACCGGGTGTGCATCTCGTCGTGCAGGTTGGGCAGCAAGTAACTTCCTGATGCTTATGGGCGTCATCGCGAAGTTTGGGGCCGTCTTCGCTTCTATGCCACCGTCTGTGCTGGGTGGTATGCAAGTCTTCCTCTACAGCACCATCGCCGTAGCCGGTATCCGTGTCCTCGCACTCATCCCTTGGACCCGTCGCGATCGCTTCATACTTGCCGTTGCGCTGGGAATCGGTTTTATGGACATCTGTCAGCCTGATTGGTTTGCACAGGTCCTAGCATACGATAGACCGAATGAGAATCTGGTTGGGTTCGAACAGGGTATCAACCTGGCTGTCGAGACGCCGTTTGTCATTGCTGCTATCGTCGGCATCTTTTTGAATGCAGTGCTGCCTAAGGATAAGAGTGCGGCACCGATGGTAGGATACGGGGATGAACAGAAACATCCTAGAATAGGAGTACGTGATGATTAGTGATTTGTTATTGTTGTTGTTGGGAAGTTTCTAAAAACACCATCATAATATGACTTTTCTATAGGTCTCTAGATCTGGGATGTTTCGGTGATATTGCTATTGCGCAGCACTCAACATGGTTAATTCAAAATAACATTCATCTATACAGTAGATCACACTTTACTTGGATGTTTTCTAAAGTCCGTCCGCAAACATCACGCCACCAGCCTCGCTCTACTTTCTTCCCCAACCAGCTCGCCACAGTACTCACTCTAGTACTCGCCCAACACGCGATGGGCATGTCACTGTCCACCTGAGATTCGGCCCTTTGCCACTCCCTTGCCACACATCCAGTCCCGCAGCCGCCCCATCACAACGCGCATCTACACTGTGTAAGGTTCATAGTGCCTTCGCGTGGAAGTGGTATGTGGTTTCGATTTCGGCGCGCGGCAGAAATGTGGATACCTGACCACAGTATGGTGTAGGTAATCGTTTGGCCGAGCGTCTCTGATCTTGCGAATGGAGAGGTTGGTCTGTGAAGATCAGTGGGCTAGGAAATCTCGGCTGGTTTGCCGAGTTACATAGGGGCGGCCGGGCCTGGGAAGTGGAGAGAAATAAAATGCGAGTTTTCCTAGTTGGTGGATTTTTTGAGACAGTCATCGAAGATGGCGATATTTACTTAGCGCACTAATCATGAGTAATCCTTGGAAAAACAAGGCTGCACTGTAGTAGCCAAAATGCTCACAACATGGGACTGTACCGAGAGACGAAGGCGACAATACTCACCAAAACCGGCCCTTCTTTGCAACCAATTCTCCCGCTTCTTCTCCCGCTCCCCCTGCCCTCTTCGTTCTCTTGACCCTGTTCCCGAACGCGGATCATCGTGCATTTCATGCATATCAAACAACGTGTCAAGCTCGCGCAATCGTTCAGATCGGTGAGCGAACTCGTAACAACCCACTTAGCTTCCTTCCTTCGCATGAAGACAACATGACTCGCCGAATAAGTTGACAAGACAGCCGCCCTAGTCAGTCGAAGACGTTGAAAAATTGGTCATAGCATACAGGTACCAGCTCCTGCTAGGTGGGTTCGTGTTGATGGGAACAAACCGGCCGTGGGTAATTCGCTTGGGGAAGCATTACGATGAAACCAGGGGTCAGGGTTTAGTTTACTGGGATTCGGGTGGTCGGCGACTGTGTGCCTCGAATCAAGGTTAGTTTGCTATCGTTGTTGTTGTTGTTGTGGCTGCTGGAAGGTGCCGTTAGAGTGTTGTTTAGAGGATGCATACGCGGCAGAGAAAGTGTGAAAGAAGGTTTGAACAACTGCGATATGCAAAAGACTGCATGTTCACGTTACATGATTGCCCGCTGGGCGTTGTGACATGATGCAGTAGCGTACGTTTTTCCCACACTTTTACCCCCCCCTTCTTCACTGCCCATGTCGGATCCCATAAATCTCTAGCGTCTTCTCCACATCACGAAAGCGGTCCGTTCGAGCCATGTATTGCAGGGGCGTGTAGCTGGCGGACCGTGCGTCGACATAATTTTTCACATGTTGAAAAGTTCAGGGGACAAAAACGCTCGAGCATTTTCTTTTACCTCGGGATCGTTCCAGGCTGGTGGTTAGGTGGGCGTGTGCGTCGATAGTGGCCTGGAGCCGCGAAACCCGGTTTGAACAGACCGCAAGATTTATTGTCTGTGATATTGAATATCCAGGTCGGAAGGGTCCCTGTTGCATTCGCGTACTAAAGTTGTACGCGTGGTGCGGTCCGGTTACCCAAACTGTGCTGAGATCAGCGTCGTCTTCCTCGTCAACGTCGCATCGCATTGACATGATTGACGATCAGGAACAACAGCTAAACTGCTTTTTACGAACGGCACGAGCTGCGGGTAGAGGGATGGAAAGTCGAGACGAACGTTGGTGATCTCCACGTGCGATGCTGCGATTGGTGCTTTTGTTATACCGGGCCGTTTAAACGTTCTGGCTTCGTTGAATTAGTAAAGCCTGGTGGCTGGGATGCGTGTGGATGCCTGGTGATCCTGGAAGAAAGGCGTATGACGCGTGTTTGTTAATGTGCGATCACTTTCTGTGTTAGTGGAAGCTAATCTACGGTGTCGGACGGCTCCGAGGGAACTAAAGCTGAGAGAATAGATTGAGTGGGGAAAGCTGGCGCGCGTATGATGTAACTTGATGAAGCTGGGACTGTGTCTTGGAACAACGGGGCTTTGAAGGTCTAATAGAACGATTGGGCAGACTGGAGTGATTGTTGAGGCTATCGCGTGTATGTTGGCATACGAGAAGTGGGTATGATGCCCCATATTCTCATGAATGAGGAAGGTCCTAGTATACATTGCGATAATGAACGAACATTTGGCTTGCCCAAAGTGATATTACAGTGATAGTATTATGCTAGATGGTGTTGCTACCGGCGCGTAATCGTCATTGCGGTCGTGCTTGCGGGTATCGCAAGATCAGTATATTGTACAGGCGCGCTTGTGTTGGCAGCGCTTTTTGTGAGCTTCCATCTCTAATGGTGGTGCAGCTGAACTGGTCTCTTAACGCCGTCCTTCCTGTCTCCCCAACGGATTCATCTTCATCCATCAAATACAGGACTTGGACAGCAATGTCAATGACGCCGAAGCGTGTCATGCTGTCATCTTCGCCCATCACCTAATCGTGACGATAGAGTGCCCATGCGCTCGCCAGTCCAGACTTATCCACCCGCTGAAGCTTCCCTAAAGTGCATGACACAAGCGGTGTAATCGTGATCCGAGTTTGGCGTCATGATTCAACGTGCGCGTTTGTACATGGATTGGTCCGTGATGGAAGCGTTGTCGTCCCACCTGCGCTTCAACCCGTCTGGTATAGAACTGGCAACCGCTTCCTGCCACATTGTCGGAGTGACATATACAGGCGCGGCGTTTGCATAGGTCGACGAGGGTGGCATCTGACCCGCCGCTGCATGGACATGGCTGGACTGGGGTGAGGTATTTGATATCTGGTAGCCGGGTTGCATACCCTCCTGTGCCGGCCGCATATCGTAATTGGTTCCTGGAGGATTGGGTCTTAGCGGCGGAGAGGCCTGGGAGGAGGCGCTAGTAGGAGGGGGCGTACCAAAGGCTACATTCCATTGACTGTGTTGTATTAGCATAATGTTCGATCAATGGATGATATCTGAACCTACTCAAAGATGCGTTGTGGGTTCCATTGAACGTTCTCCGGCATTTGCATGCTGGAAGCTGGCTGGGCCGCACGGTGACCAGATGCCATCATGACCAAAGACTGAGCTACGGGAGAGTCAGCCTTGGATCCGCGGTCGGAGACCGAAATTGGTGGAGTAATGGGGTGTGCTAGGTAGTTGGCCTGACCTGGTTGTTCCAAGGGCGAGGGATGGCTCGGGTGACGAGGTCGATACGATCCCTGATGTCCCATAGGACTTGTTTGTGTAGCCACCTGGGGGCTTCCCAACGGGAATGATGATTTCAGGTCAAAAGGCTTCGAGCAATCGGCCGAGAATGCTTGACGAAGGCTGTTCACTTGCTGCTGCATCTCAGGCATCGGAAACGAAGGGGATACGGTTTCCAGGACGCGCATGTGGCGTACGAAGAAGCTTCTGGCGTCATGATTGATGTCAGGATCAGGACATGTCACGGCGACCTACAATTGTCAGTTAGGAGTCTTACTACATTTCGAACGTGACATACCAGGTGGAGCATGGTGCAAGTCAGCACGGCATAGATATGAAAGCTTATGCCTCGCATCATGCACAGCAAACCGGGCATGCCGTAGGTCTTCAGTATCGCCTCTTGGAGTTTGCATAGGTTTTTTGCAGCCGAGTAACAAGTGAGCATGTGCTGCTTCCATATCCCGTCATAAGACTCGGATACGGCATGTAACTGCGGACGGAAGTGCATGATGATGGCCAAACAATGGTAGCTGTGCATGTTCGCCAGCTGATGAGAGGGAATCCAAGGAGCGGTGCCATCCTGGGGGTAGACAATCTGCATATCCTCAGGGAGCTCTCGCAACCAGAGTGAGAAATCAGTATTATGCCCGACGAAAGCTGGATCCAGTGCCCAGTCCGGGTTCTTTTTCCTTAGTTTGCCATAGACAAGGGCCGAGTGGTGAATGTTCTTGGCAATGCGGGCGTATTCAACGAACTGCCGCGCAATCTGTAGCTCAGAAGGATCCTGTCCTGCGATGTGTCTTGGCATCTCCAAGTCTACGGTGTCTGTAGTAACACCAAAGTCGTAGCGTCCTGGAGAGATTAGCATCTTGAAGGTTACTGCTTCCCAGTCGACCTACCTTGAGGACCTCCAATCATGACCTCGAAGATCAAGCACATCTGCCATACCCTGGTCTTAGCAACACAGTCGTGCGCTGTAGATCCGCAGGATTTCCCCATCTGATGAGTGTCATAGTGTTCATGCAGTTCGAGGTCCTTTGCCATGGCTACGAGGCTGACAGTGGCCATCCATGAACGCCAGAAGTAACCTCGCTTTGGTGAAGCTTCACGAGCTTTCAACAACAGAATCATTGCCTGCATGGTACTTAGACGTGATACGTCTTTGAAGCTCTCTTCATGCTCTACGTGTTGTTAGCAAAATTGTTATTTTCAACATCTGACGCTACTGACTTGTGGCAAGAGCTAGCCATTTGTTGCCCTCCTCTGCATCACCCAGCATTAACGTGGAGCAAGCGAAGATGGACTCCAGCATGAGCGGAGAAATAGAATCAGGCGCGCTATGCCATTGCTGATAGAAGTAGGCCTTGTTGATGACCGGGCAATAGGGGTGAATGTTGGTGAAGAAATAGTCAAAGTAATGCATGGCCCGGTCATCATCCGGCATCATTTCCGGCGGTATGCGAACCGTGTGATCCAGGCTTACGGACGGAGGCAGTTGTACTTCATACTCCTCCTGTGCGGGTGTCTCGGCCAATGCCTTCTTCATGTTAGTGATGTACGGGGCTATGCTGGTCAGCGTGATGTCGTTTCAACAAGATGCAATGAAGCTCACCAA